AATCATCGTACCGGCGGTGGTTAGTTTCGGGCGCCTTGTCGACTTTCTGGTGGCAGAGTGCATTACCCAAAAGACTGACCTTGGCAAGTGCCGTATGGATTCGACAAGGAAGAACTACTTCACTCCACTCCGCTTCGGAGCGCCATCTCAGATACTTCTTCTCAAACCCCGGGGCATTGCTGGATATGTATGTGTTGCTGAACCCCCTCTTTCTACGCTCAGACTGATGTGGTGATTACAAGCTGGACAGTTACCCAGCAAACATCCCCGAAAAGCCTCATACCTATCTCAACTAGGAAACCTCGGATACAGACTACAGGCTCGACCGAGAGTACCAGGCCAGCGAATATTACACGATGAACATGGCGAGTCATCCGGTTCGTTCGGAGATGACCCTGGACACACTCGGAGATACGTATTTCGTCAGGACTGAATGTCTGGTTAGGGTTCTTGCGCGGTTACGACCTACCACTGGTGCTTTGGGGGTCGATTTGTCGGAATTGAGTGCAATCAGACTGTCAGTGAGTGGCTAACTTCCTGTTCAGACTTCGCGGTTTGACACTGTGGACCTGGATACGAGGATTGATCAACCGACAGACTTGGGAAACCACACCTATACATATTAAAACGACAGTTTTTCCTCTGTCGTTGAGAAAACCGACCCAGGTATTACATTTGCGTTTGAAACTTTTAGTTTGAGGTTAGTGAACACGGGTTTACATGGAAAGAGGTCAGCACGAGTATATGCAAAGGTGCAGGAGGTTTGGCATTTTTATAGCTATGGCTATCCGTGAGAGAAATACCTGCTGATCATCATACAGACTAGTCGCCTATCACCGAAGTTTAGTCTCACTAGAGCTAGGAAGTCGGCTTATATGCTACGATAGCTTGACGGGTACTCGTCGAACCGTCACTACTGCGTCTTTATCCTGGTGACAATCGCCGGTTAGAACTCAATCAAGGCCTTAAGTGGTATGGTCAGCAGCCACAAACACAACACGAGCAAAAACATACCTGGAGTCAAAGAACTCCACCACCCTGAGAAAAAGATCAACACCAAAACTAGAACCAGGGGCTCTTCAAGGGCTCTTGCCAATCTTGATCGCTATTCCGGTAGAAGATGAGCACATCGAAAAGCTTCAGACCCAACATATCTTTACTTCCGTTTAGCTTGAGGTTGGCCGGCAGCTTATCTTTTCTATTGAAAACGTTAGCTTCGAATTCATCCATGGTGTCCCGATAGTTGAACAGTGTCTCCCATTTTTGACCGCTTTCTAGCCACTTGACTAGCATGGGCTCATAGACAGACCGGATTACTCGCAGTACATTCAATCGATCAGTGGCGGACTGGACGGTTTGGTCGGCCAGAGATAGGGGTTCCCAGACCCGACGCGCGGCGGGTGTCACTCTGATGGTCATGGTTGTCCGAGGGATTTTGAATGGAAGAGGCACGTTATATGCACCAGCCATTTTGTATTTAAGATGAGAATTTGAGGCTCTGAATTGTCATTGGAGTGTGATGAAATGAGTATGATCTCTATGGGGGGAGACGAGGACTAAATAGTCGAGGATTTCATTGAGTCTATAGATCATTGTCCATCAACTCATTGTGTTTCTTTTTTGTTTGCACTTCATAGTTGTTCATCCCCCCAAGACAAAGGTACTTCTGAAATAATTGATTGTTCTGGGATTTAATTGGTTGAATCGACAAAACAATGGTCTTTGTCTTATAGTAGAGCACATTCAACACCGAAGGAAGGAGCCTGAGATCTCCTCCGTCGCATCTTCAAGACTTTCTTCACTGTCTCTCCTGGAGTGTCACACTTTTGATATCACTCAGACACTCTTCATCAGTCTCTGGATGGCATACAGTCTTCATCTTTGGATCTGCAATATTCTTGTCGCCGTGGGTTTTGTTCCTTCACTTTCCAGATCCTCAGTCGCTCCCTTCTTGGAAAACATCCCAAGATGAATCCCCCTTATCGAATCGGCATCGAAATGGAATTCTTGTTGAAACCACTCAATATGTCCTTTGGCTCCATGGCAAGGCTGAGAAATGTTGCCGAATATATCGTCTCGCATTGCAACGAAGAACTCGACTCAAAAACCCAAATCCGCAACAAGGTTGACAAACAATGTCGCCGGCCAGAGTATTGGTCTCTGAAAAAAGATAACTCCGTCATCAGTGACAGTTGGAATACCTGTATCTTCACCGAGCTGCGAGTCATCGTCCCGCCCTCATACTAACAGGTCCGGAATAGTCCCTTTCGAGTTAGTATCGCCGGTCCTTGATTACAACAACACCAACACTTGGCGCAATGACCTCCGTGAGATTTTCAGAGTCTTGGGCACAGTGTGCAACATCCGAACCAACTTGACGTGCGGCGTCCACATTCACATCTCTCGCGGAGTAGCACCATGGACGCTGCGGACACTCAAAGAGCTTAGCCGGAACATCTTTTATTTCGAAGCGGTAATTGATAACCTCGTGCCCGAAGAGCGGGTCAACTGCCACTTGATTCGGAGCAACCTTCGTGGAAACGAGGCATTCAAAGGGATGACACCACACGAGTGCCTGCGTCTGGTCGAGAGGTGTGTCACTGTCCCGCAGCTGGCTAATCTCATGAACAACGGGGGTTCTCGCTATTTCACTTGGAATATGCTCAATATGGTCGAAAACAATCGGAAGACGATCGAGTTTCGACAACCCCCTGGTGAAGACAATGTGGATCGAGTACTGCAATGGGCGGAGTTTGTCGTACTTTTCCTCCATGCTGCTGCTATGTCGGTTCCTTTCGAACGACTTTCGGGGTACCGCCGGACCCGCGAGGGGCTATTTGAGTTCCTCTCCATACACAATCTTCCTGGATCTGATGTTGAGGCTGTGAGGACTCTGCTATCCACATCATTTGCGTCGCCGGATACGGATGCCTAAGGACGTACCCCGGTTTGTTATCGACATCCCCCGCCTTGAGGGCAGATCTGTTTTCGTCATGACGCGATTGGGGCTGACCTGGCACGGGAACTGATAGGTTGACGGCTTAATGAGGACGAACTGTGGACTTGGAGGAAGCGTCGGTGTGTCATTTTGTCTTCGTTCTGGATATCTCCGCCATACAAGTCAGCCTCGCTACCCATTCAGCAATGTCACTCCATTATCTTGTATATTTACGGGCGATTTCAAAACACCAAGTGATTCCTGTATATCAGAGCTGAGAGTGGCAGTGAATGGAGCTGAGCCAAGCCGCAAACAATGTGTTTACCGTTTGGTGAGAGCCGACCGGCAAGCACAATTGGTGCATAATTATAATACTGATACTGAAGTCCCTGGATTGGTAAGTATTCTTTTATCAATGGGTGGTCACTATATATTATCTATGAAGCCTTCATCGGTATGAGCTTAGCTCATGGACGGTGGGGTGGCGAACGGAGTCCATCTCTTGTGCAGGCGCAAATGCCTCTCGGTGGGGGTCCTGGCCTTTTCCGCGGAGAAGCTGCGTCGGATGCACTTGCTCAGATCCATTTTTCCTACGGGAGATACCCCATATAGTGATGGCGATTATTATGGCAGCACCTATGACGGACCCTATCACAGCCCCAGCAATCACCGGTGCGTTTGATTGGGTGGGATTTGAGTAGGACATAGGGTTTGGAGAGATTGTGGATGCAGCCGATGCTGTGGCGGCCGTCGATGATGTAGCAGTGGCCGATGTAATTGAGTTTGAAGCAGATGTGGAGTGGAGATGGGAGTCAAAGCTGCGGAGAGTTCAGTCAATGGCAAAGTAAGTCAAGAAATCCTAGACAGTACCCGAGGTCGATGTTGCCGTAGGTAGATTGCGGAAAACTGTGAAAGCTACCCAATAATTTGCGCAGAAGATGTTGCTCGCTGTGGGTGTGCCGTATGGGACTGTTTCGAATATTGTCATAGTCCGGCACTGGTTACTAAAGTGGTAGAATTTTTTCGATGAGCGCTCCGCCCAGACATCAAGGATTGATGCAATAAGTGAACTCACCAGGTAGCCGTTTTTCCGTCATCTTATGTGATACTGTTACCTTGACAGTCGGTGGCATATGCGCAGGCACCGGTTTTCGGGCATCCACGTGCATAGTTGCCAGAGGTCGTCCAGGTTTCAGGGTCCGTCAATGCTTGAGCTGAAAGTTTTCTTAGTTACAATTGATCTTGAAAGCCTTTTCGGTCATCAGGTACGGATTCTAACCATGTACTTACTGGTTGAAGGGCCCATATACCAGCCAATAAAGCCAGACTCGTTTTGCATTGACACGTTCAATGCGGTTGTCTGAGCAAAGACGCCATGGTATCTCGTGAACTCATGTAAGAACAGCAGACAAACTGCGATTAAATAAAGAAGATTACCCGCCATCGGATTCGAATTTTTTGTCTAGCAATCAAGTAGAAATTAAAGAGGGGAGTTCAATTGTGCTATAGCTCACGATCTGAGGCTTTAAACAACTACTGAATCATGAACCTACAGGGATCTGAGGGCAACCAAATCACAGGTCTTGATGTCTACACTAGACATGCGGGCGTTGCCCACGAGTGTCGTGACCAAGACATTTTTAAACCACCAATTGCAGGCCCTGGTTAGCACTATCTCTGCCAATCAAAATAACACGTTGCGGACGCTAAGAGGCTTGGCCACAAGCCCAATGAGGCTATCCGGACCAGGCTACGTTCCGATACGTCTAGATTTTAGGACCAAATGGGTCTTCTCGTGAACGATTGCTGATTTGTCTCGTAGCGAGAGGACTCAACCGCAACAAAACTCCACAGCGGTTGTTTAGCGCTTTGTTCCTGGTTTCAGACTGGTCTCTGGTGATTGTGGTGATAGAAGTACTTTTGGCAATCTTTCCACTAGTTCTTTGATCAGGGTTTAGATCCATCTTTCTCTGTTCGGTTTTTTTTTTTCTTTGTCTTTGATTCCCCTATGGTTAATACTCTTCTGCGGATACCTTGATTGTTCCGACTCCTCATTTACACAATGATCTCACTCCCCAACCTCAATGCCTCTCGGTCAGGGCGCATATCTGCTATTGCTATATCACTTCTAGTTTTTTGCACTTTTTATGTTTGGAGCCCGTTCCATTTTGCTGGGTCAGATCCTAGTGTATCCTCCTTGCCAACTCTCACGGGGAACGAGGCCTCCAGTTTGGAAGCCAGCGCTTCGGTGCAGCAGCCTTCAGAAGGAGCGCAATTTACTCCACTAGTTGGCCCCAATACTTCTATCTACAACATTCCCGACAAAGTATGGCATTCAGCTAAAAATGAACTCGTTTCCGAGCAACAACGCGGATGGATCAACAGTTGGACACAAAGAAATCCATCTTTTCGCGCGGAACTGCTGACTGATCGTTCTGGGGAGCAATTCGTTCATGCTCATTTCCAACAGCGACCGGATATTATTGAGGTCTATGATGGCTTATCAATTCCAATTTTGCGCGCTGATCTTCTTCGCTACCTGATCGTTCTTGCCGAGGGCGGATATTGGAGTGATCTAGATGTGACGGCAGAGAAACCATCCATCGACTGGGTCCCTTCTGAGTTCAAGCGACCAGACATGAACATCGACATGATCGTTGGCTTGGAATTCGATTTCTCTTACCGTGGTCCTGGCACAGAAGTTGCCTCGCAATTCTGTAACTGGGTCTTTGCCGCTCAGCCGTCATCCCGGAACCTCAGAGTGATTGTTGACACTGTAATCAACAAGTTGAAAGGGATCGCAGCTGCCAACAATGTTGGGATCTCGGGTATCACTCTGGAGATGCTCTCGGATATTGTGAATGTTACTGGTCCCAAGATCATGACCATCGCAATTCTGGAAAGTCTTGGGCAACTTCTTGGGCGAACGGTCGATGATCGCGACTTCTCCGGCATCAAGCATCCGAAATTGGTGGGAGATGTCCTGATAATGCCGGGTGTCTCATTCGCTGCGCGCCAAAATGGAAACCCGACAGACCAAGGCCCAGCTCTGGTCACACACCACTATGAAGGTTCCTGGAAACAGGCAGACGCAGAGGCGAAAGAGCGAAAGAAGCAGATGGAACAGAATGATCAACCTCATCCTTAAACAATTATAACTTAAGATTCCAACTCCGATATTCCATGCCGATTGTACCACTTAGCCTTGTATCCGGCGAGAGCTGGACATCCGATCCAACTGTTCTCATGAGCCCTGGCCCCTGGAGGTAAGTCCATCTTGGGAGTGTTGTTTTCCGAGAACAAATGACCGATTTCACCCCTCCTTGGCGCTGTGGGGCTATGCTTGTATGTACATACCAAAATGATAATGGATCGTTGGGCTACTGTTGGCATCCAAAAAGAGGCTCAGCGAGCACGAGAACTCTGCCCAGGTGGATCCGTGGGATGGGAGATTTGGGAGATATCATTGGTTGATTGGGTGGATTCTTGGCTTATAGCCAATCAGCGGTTGAGGCTGTGTCAGTCAACCTTGGAACCATCCAAGGCACGGCCCGTGATGGAACCTTCGAAATCGACACTCTCTATTCCAATGTTGTTTTCACACCCACTTCGACTATCGATATCATTGCCGTGAAGTAGACTCAGGTTCCGGTTTGATCGTTGGATATCCCTGTCGATTTGGCTCCAGGTTCAATCTGTGTGTCCCGAGCGATCGCCAACGCGCTGAAAAGTGAGGCAGTGGAAGTTGAGTACGAAGTACTCTGTGTATTCCTCAAGGAGGATGCATATCGCACAGAAAGCGGTTGTCAATATCTATACAGAATGCGGAGGACATTGAACATGCTACACACCGACCAAAGTCACCGTCATGACGTCGTTCCAATGGCCCACTTTTACGTACCGTAATTACCCGGACAAACAAAGATGCGTTGCAAACACCCGACGAACGGCGATCTTCTGCCGAAATCATTCCTTGGCATTTAATTGTTTGCCCGGGCTCAAAGTGAGGGTAGTCTGGATTGCAACCAAAATTAGTTCGAGTTGTTGTTCGATACTGCTTTGGGATCGCCACTGTGTTTCCCGCTGCTGGTAAACCAAATACCGATGAAGCTCCTATCAGCTATTTGACAATTATGCTAGATGAATATCAAGAGGTATCGCCGTCCCACAATCAGAAACGGAGTACAGACTATCAACGTCATGGCCAAATCTCGGCTTTGCTACGCCTCGCACCTCTTGCAGCCACCGCAGACCTGGTCACATGGCTTGAAGTCCAATGTCCGTGGTAGTCTGACTAGACACCTGTAAATAAATCGAATTGAGATCCATATGCCTTACTTCAAGTAATCAATATGCGTGGCTTGGTTTGGCTTCTTGTAGTATGTACAAAAATCCAGTAGCTTCAGGGGAAAGAAAAATGCAAAAATACAGGCCAGATACGACATCAGAAGTTAATGACCATGCGGTGATCGCACGCTGAACCAACCCGTTTCATGGGCGCAGTTGAATCGGGAAGTTGATGATATTGATACGTCCAAAAGTCGAAGTGAATCCTCCTGACCTTCGAATCCAAATCTCTGGTGGCCCAACAGTGTTTTTTGGCGGCTGAGCAGTCCCGCAAACACGAACACGAAGATCACCCTGGTAAATTACCAGCTGCATGACTAGCCGCATTGAAGCTTAAGCGCCAACTGGTCCTGCGGGGCTGTACAGGGCGCACTGCCTCGAACCTCATTTCTCTTAAATTGCTGCCTTCTGCTTCACACATCTATGAAGATTCAAGCCTACGCTAATTACAAACCTTAATAATGAGTGGATCTCATTGCACAGTCTGTCCGAATTTAGAGCTACTGCAGTGGCGTCAAGGTATGTTTATGTCCCCGCGAGGAAGTTGCGATTATTGATGAGATATAGGCAATGCTTGGGAGATAACTCATGCCCGTCCAGAGGACTTGTTGAACCAACCTACTGGACATTCGAATGTGATATCAGAAGATACCCCGGTTACCGTCATGTTGGTCAATCAATCTCGCATCAGTCACGACCAATGAGTTAACATAAACAGCATCGCATCTGCAAATAAAATCCGTGGATGTGGTCTATGCCGCCAAGCGTTAATTCAATTCCTCCAAATGCGAGAATCATGGTGGTCGGATCACTATAGGAAATCAAATGGATACTTCGGATGCGAGACGACTCGCAAAGCAGGAAAGATGACAGGCGTCAGTACGTATGTCAATACCCACTCCGCGAGGGGATACTGATTGGAATAGATACTTGGTCCTTCTTTGAGGTCAAGCAACTTCCTGAGAATATGGACTACTATTGGGATAAACTCAACGTATTTACCAGATGGGTTGCTTCTACCAAGCAAACAATCGTTGTACTTTTCGATCCGGAGTCTGCCATTCGACAATTAGTCACGAACTCGCTGTTGAAATTTAACCCCTCTCTACTGGAAGACCCATATTGGGCCTATCCAACTATCCTAGACACCGTGGCGAACCGCCAAGAATCTGCTGTGTGGCTCATTCGCAACCAGGTCAGAGAGATTGAACAAAAGCTTCCCGTGCCCGGGGCTATTCCCAGGGCTGTCCCAAAGCCTGATTACAGAAAGTTGCACGATATTGGGCGCCATGCGATCCACGTCTGCGAGACGCTGGATGTTGCAGTGCAAACGATAGAATCAGTCCAAATGCACCACCTCAGATTTCTGCATTCCAACCCTGAAGTCAACGACCTAGCAGTTGACCAAGATGTCCGCGCTGAGTTGGAATTCCATCGAAGTTTCATCGCAAACCTACGCCATCGGTCAACCTCTAATGAAAAGCGATTACGAAACGAGATTCAACTAGCATTCAATACCGTTGCCCAGCATAATGCCGGTACCTCTGTGGAAATTGGGCGTGCTGCACAGATAGACAGTTCGGCGATGAAAACCATCGCTTTCGTCACTTTGATTTTCCTACCACCAACCTTTATATCTTCTCTTTTCAGCATGTCCTTCTTTCAATGCGGACCAGATAATGGTTGGGGCGTCTCGAACAAATTCTGGCTTTACTGGGTCTTCGCCATTCCAATCACTGTCGCGACTGGCGTAGTCTGGCAATATTGGCACAATCTCTTCCCGAACGCCGACTACAAGCCGGCCCCTGTCAGAGCCGCCGAATTGCCAGTAAGATCTGAATCCGTTATGCCAAATTTGACCATTGAAGATGAGAAGGTCTGGGGGTTGTTCAGTAGTAACTGACTGGCAATCACAGAATGATATCCCGTGATGATGAAAGCTGAGGAAAAGACGTGTCACTTGTAGAATTTAAAGATCACCATGAGCCCATACTTCAAGTTATGAATGTTAAACGCAAGAACGGAGCTTGAGTTTTGAGTCGGGTCTTTCGAAAGAAAATCAAATTATGGTAATATAACAGTCTATTAAAAAAGGGGGGGCAGTTAACATGTCCCCTTGGAAAGCGGCCTCACGAATTTTAAGTATTCACCTTGTGTGAACTTTGAAATTATGACCAGCAAACACCATGTATCAAGTAATCACTCCGCATCAGCAGTAGCCCCCTCATTCTCATTTTTCTTCACTGGCACGGTCTTTCCAAACAGCTTTTCCATGAAAGCGTCCGACTGTGCAGCGTAGTGACAACGTGCTCGGATGCCAGGACCAAATTTGTAAAACAAAAAGGGCATAGGTACACAGGCGAGGGCTAGGAAAGCAGGAATACTCGAAGCCCAGTGGATTCCCAGATTTTTATACATGGGCGTGGTGAAAAGCGGGAAAGCAGCGCCAAAGACCGACCGCATCGCAGCGTTCGCAGCTAGCACGGATGCAGCATAAATTGTATACGCGTCGATCAGGTAATTCAAAATGGGGAGGAACACCATCACCATGCCGTATCCGAAGGGAACACCTGCTGCAATAGGTGCTATCCAATGGACGTGGGGAGAGTTTGTCCAGGCAAACCAAAACAGACCGATCGGCAGGGCGATGGCGCCGTAGAAGGAATCCGGCAGACGCTCTTCTGGGGAGACCCGACCAGGTGTTGAGAGTACCTTATTCTTGTATCGGAAGTAGGCTGGGAATGTGGCTATCACAGAGAACATGATGCCGACCAGGATTCCGAGGAAGGCAAGACCTCCGAGTCCTTCACTCCACCCACGCTCCACCTGGAAGACAATGGGGAAAGCCGCGAACATGAGATATAAACTGTAGGTGTTAGATGTAGCCTGAGATATGGTATGAAACAAGAGTTAAACTTACATTCCGTAGATGATGGAGAGGTAAAGTGAAAGCAGAAGGACGATGGGCTCACGGAACAGAAGCACCCATGGTCGCGAGAGAGCAATCTTCAGCACCTCCGCCGGGGACTTTTTACCCTGCTCAACATCGACCTTGCTTCGGTAAATCTGACCGGAATGTTTAGACAACCGCTCGGCGCGCTTTCGCAACAAAACTGGTGCGTATGTTTCAGGTAGAGTAAAGATCATAACAATTGATAACACACCCGCAAATGCGGCTAGAAGGCCCTCAACCCAACGCCAGCCCGCAGACTCGGACAGGAACCCGCCGATTATGGGGCCAATAGTTGGACCCAAAAACGGAGCCGCGCAATAGAGCCCACTAGCCAATCCACGACTGATAATCGGGAAAGTGTCTGCAATAACGCCACCAGAAACAGCGAACGGCGCAGAGCCGAGAGTGCCGGCAAAGAAGCGAATAATGATGAGTGACCAGATATTTTGCGCTCCAGCTGCTCCAGCTGTGAAGGCCGTCAAGCCAAATGAGCTGGCGATCATGATATAGCGACGACCGTAGATCTCACTCAGAGGGGCCCAAACCAGAGGTCCGACGGCGAAGCCAATGACGAATAGCGAAATGCCCAGAATGGCGACCTCTTCGCTGATTTGGAAATCGACGATGACTTCGTTGATACCCCCTGAGTATGCAGATGAAACCAGCGCGACGGCCAATGTTGACACACCGACCAAAATCGTTATCAGCCACTTGCTCACCTCGGAGAAGTTCATAGGATTCCGCTCGTCTGTTTCCGACCATGACACTTGGAAGGGGTCTTCTTCCGTGCCTGAGCCATCGTAATGGTCATTGATGATGCTCTCAGAGAGACATCCTTGGTCGAAAATCAGACGCCAGCGGGGAACAGCCTTTGGCTGCGCAGACACCTCAGAGACGGCCATTGTCACCAAAATGGTTGGAAGGGTGATGTCGGATCTGGGTCCATTTTAACCAGATCGCACCAGCGCCGTGCCGACGACCTAGTGAAGAATTTGCATTCGGGCGATCCCCGAGTGCTCGTAAGCGATTGACATCACGCTATGAAGGCAAAAGCTCTGCGATCTGAGACAAATCCATATGGCGAGCTGATTGGAGTGGGAAGTGGGTTGAACGGAGAAAAAGCGACGATCTCCAAGATTGTCCTTGAATCTGCGACCCACCGAACCCAAGATCTGCTCAGCTCTGCGACTGGTATCGCTTAGTCCCACTAGTACCGCCTATCAGTTCGGTTCTGGTTGTCGCGAGATTGAGCATTGTGCAAGATTTGCAGATGCAGAAATTTGGAAGCGGATTGTTGCGGGTGCCTTAGGCTGTATCGATGCCTTAGGCCTCCACGGTGGTGGATATCTCTCCTTCACTCCACCCCTTTTCACTTTGCAACCTCCTCATATGTTTGGGTATGCGAGCTTACAGCCTCACGCTTATGCACATCGCTTCTAACTATGTTTCTCGCAGTATCGCCCAATGACAACCGGCGGGAGTTTGTGTTCCGCTGCGAGCGAGCCCCATCTCTGCTGACGTCGATCCGATCGAGATCGTCGGTGATCAGCGGCAGCCAAGCTCCGGAGCTTGTCTGCGAGTGGTATCTACCGGGACACTGGTGACGAGTGATCATGGAGGCTATGTCCGAATCAATCTTCACAAGACAGGAAATATTCCTCGAGGTCGAATCGTATCCACGAGAAACATCGCCACAGGCTGCAACATGAACTCACATGGTGTGGTGCTCTCAGAATGAGAAGCATAATGTTGGGGTATATAGCACAACAACGATGTTTCATCACCAATGACAAGCTGAGAATGGAAATTCACGGTTCCCATAACAACCAACACAAGGTCAATACGCCCTGGCCAGCTCACTAACTTATTCCTGGCATTCCAGCAAAGATCGTTCTGTTCTCGGTGTCATTTGCCGAAAATTCACTGGCTTTTGATACGGCGGGGGCGAGAATGGCGGACGAAGATTGGCATTTCTAGGAATGGCTGAACACAGCGATTCGGTTCCTTTCGAGGGGTGCTCGACGTTCAGACAGGTCCCTTTAAGAATGACCCCACACCCATCGAAGCAACGGCGAGCTTTGGGCAATCAATTTTCATTTCGATCTAACGTACGAACGCAATAAAAAACCATGGTTGGCCACGCAGTATTCGTGGGAAGCAATGAGCAAAAGGAGCGACCGAGTCCTGAGGGACACCAACCAAAAACAGGAGAAGAAGCACCTAGCAGATTGGCCACAGATGCCCGAGAGGCTAATGCGAATGAGCACACCTTGACCGCCTGCCAAGCTCTGAAAGCGTATCCTTGGGCTTTGTTTTGGACCTTGGCTTGCTCCATGTCTATCATAATGGAAGGGTATGATAACATACTGATCACAAGTGTCTTCGGCTTTCCAACATTCAAACGTCAGTTTGGTCAATATTTCCCCGACAGGGAAGGCTGGGAGGTTCCGGGACCATGGCAATCTGCTTTGAGCAGCGGACCTGTTGCCGGATCAATCATTGGGGCATTTCTCAATGGCTTCATCATTCACCGACATGGCTTCAGATTTGCATTCATATTGGGCCTGATTATGATGATCGGTTTCATTTTCGTTTCCTTTTTTGGTCGAACTGTCGGGGTTCAGACTGTTGGTCAATTTCTTTGCGGGCAGGTGTCCCCTGTCCCACTGGGTGATACTTCTGACTGACATGCCATCCAAGTGTCCCATGGGGAATGTTCGCAACCATTGGACCGGCATACGCATCGGAGATATGTCCCATGGCTTTCAGACCATATCTAACAGCCTACATCAACGTGTGCTTTGCGATCGGGCAATTTATCAGTGCGGGCGTGGTACAAAGCATGGTCGACAGAACGGATCAATGGTCATACCGAATCCCATTTGGTCTCCAGTGGATATGGCCAGCTCCGTTACTCTGCATTGCCTGGTTCATGCCGGAGTCACCATGGTGGCTTGTTCAGAGCGGCCAGTACGAGGAAGCTGAGCGATCGGTGAAAAGATTGATGGCCGATTTTGAGAAGCCCAAAGCCGCACAAGTGGTGGCAATGATTGTCCACACCAACGACATTGAAAGGGATATTCAGACTGGAAGCTCATATCTAGACTGCTTTCGTGGGACTGATCGCCGTCGTACAGAGATCGCTTGTGTGGTGTTTGCCGGTCAGATTCTATGCGGTGCCCCTCTCGCATTCAGCGCCACCTACTTTTTTCAGCAAGCTGGAATGAGCACTGAGAACTCATACAAAATTGGACTGGGAGGTACCGCTATAGCGCTTCTCGGAACCACCGCTTCCTGGCTTTTGATCGCGAGATTCGGTCGTCGGACGATATACCTGGTCGGGATGAGCTTTATGAGTGTTTTCCTTCTGCTAATTGGCCTGCTAGCCCTCCCTGGTTGGAAACAGAGTATCGCAAATACTCAATCAGCACTTTGCATCGTCTGGTTACTTACGTTCTCCCTTTCTGCTGGGCCAATTGGATGGACTGTCCCAGCTGAAGTATCCTCCGCAAGGCTTCGAGCAAAGACCATTTGCTTGGCAAGAAACTCTTACTACATCTGCCAGATACTTGCGAACATAATCCAACCATACATGTTGAATCCAACGGAATGGAACTGGCATGGCAAGACCGGATTCTTTTGGTTTGGATTTGCGGTTCTCACATACTTGTGGGCCTTTTTCCGAATGGTGGAAACGAAGGGTACCACTACATTCTCATTGCATGAAAATTGTCTTTCTCTAACTAATACTTTTCCAGGCCGAACTTATGAGGAGCTGGACTTGGCTTTTGCGGCTAAAATCCCAACCAGGCATTTTGCGGCGTACAACACCGGTTTATCCCACAAAAGTCCCGATCAATTGCACGCGCACAACGCATGATTGAAATCACGATCTCAATCGATCGGGCCCATCAATAAAAACACAAATCCCCCACAGAGAGAGGAACACGGCTAGATAGCCAATCGCCGACAGCTTCATGACAAGGTTCTAAGAAGATCATTGCTCCAATCAGTCTACACTGGACCCTTACTTTCTCTCTCACGCGTTTCAGTGGAGCCCGGTGCATACTCATGCTATGAAATTCTGCTCATTGGCAGTGCTTTTATATTATGATCCATCGGCCATGGATCTGTCCTGCGTTACATTCTATAAACACAAATCACCTTCCCAGCTTTGATGCTCCCCTGCAAATCTCTCAGAAGGCTCCAGTGACAGGAGCACCATTGAGCTTGAAGTATCCAGGTTGAAGAGTCTGGTACACCTGCTTGGGATCAAACTTCTTGGCAATCTTCTTCAGAAGGGCCTTGTTCGAATCCCCGTATCCTGCGATGGGATCCTGGAACATACTAGCGTAGTTCATATAGATGTATTCGTTGTAGACCCCGACAATTTTGGCCTGTGCAATGACCTTCTCCCAGAAGGCGTTGACAAAGGCGTAAACAGTGTCGTCGTCGGATTCATCGCTCCACCAGCAAGCAATGTGCATCAGATGGACTGGTCCGTTGGAGCTGTCGAGACCGAGGGCATTGCCACCGTGCTTCGCCATGTTCTTGATCATTACCTCTGTGATGCCTTGGTAGATGATCACTGGTTGAGCACCGGTGACGTTGGCCACTTGGGGAATCATTGAATAGAAAGTTTTCACGACCCAATTGGCGAACTCCTCATTCAACTCCACGGAAATTGGCCAATATACTTCACGGAGTCCGAATGGATTTTCGGTCTCCAGGTACTTCACGTACTCGACAAGCGACTTCGAGCTTGAAGTGTCGGAGATTGCCGAGATGTTTCGGTATTGTTTATAGATCTCGGGATTGGAGTCGTTCTTTGTGTAAGTCAATTCAGCAGAGGCGAGGTTCATTCCACTGTTTTGTAGGAATGCAACGTATTGCTGGGCATGACCATCCACGGTGGCATTGTTAACCACGTTCTTCCAGGCATTGATAACATCCGGGAATTCACTCTCCAAGAAGGTCCTTGCTCCTCCGTACATTTGAGGAGCGGGGATGGTGAAGAGGTTGTATTTGGTGACAAGGCCGAAGTTGTTGCCACCGCCTCGCAGGGCCCAGTATAGATCAGGGAAGGTGTTTTCACTGACAGTGAGAATCAAGCCACTGGCGGTAACAACCTAGCTCTGTCAGTAAGAGTCTGTGCCAAAATTTAATTTCTTAATCGAACCCATACCTCGAAACTTTGGACATTGTCGCAAGCCCACCCGAACAGGTTGGAATGATAGGAGATTCCACCACCAAGAACAAAGCCGCCAACTCCAATACTAGAAGCACGGCCACCAACTGCACCCAGACCGTATGGCTCCAAGGCGGAGTAGACGGCAAGCCAATTGTTGCCGGGTCCAACAGATACAACTGATTTATCCTCATTCAGGGTAACTTCGTTCATGTCCTTGAACCAAATACTGATACCACCCGGGCTGCTCGAAGCCCCGGTGAAAGCAGCATGTCCACCGCTTCTAGCCGCAAACTGGCAACCAGTGAGACGAGAGAGCAGAACGGCAGTGCTGACCTCGGTGTTCACTGAAGGTCGGAAAACACAATGGGGCTGGACCTCTTCTTGCTGGACTGACCAAAATGATCCAGTGAAGTTATGGTATCCAGCGCTATTTTGACTTGAGACTTTTGAACCAAAGAGAAAGTTCAAGCTTGAACACTATTTGATTGTGATCAGTCGAGCCAAAAAAAAATAACAAATACTGGTCGCCTGCAAGCGAATAATTAGCTGGCTTACCGCTATAGAACAAGCATTCTCTGTCGACCGTGCCTGAATATCAGGAAGCGATGCCAGGGCCGGGATCTTGGTCACATCCACACCCAAATTCTCTAATGCGCTCGTCACATTGAAATTGTCTGATTCGAGAGTAGTAGCAGCGACGACACCGCCGATAGCGGATAGCCCGCTAACAATGCTTGTCAAACGCATGTTTCGGGCGCGTTAATATTCCAAACACAAGCTGAATACAACTGAAAAGCGCTTCGAGTAATTATTTGAAGTGAAATGGAGAGAAATTCGAGTCTTTTAACTTCCCCAGGGTTAGTGGGTCGAATGGCATTTACTTTCCGCGAGTCCGATGAAGTTCATTCGGTCGTTTATCGAAGCATAGAATCATATTAAGGGGTAGGGTGGTATTACTCGCTAGCTTTGAATTCGCTTCGACAAACGCATGAGACATCCTCGGTCGGACCCCTAAGCGAAGCATGATCCCCGATCGCGACAACGCATGCATATCATTGGCCAGGTAACCCTCGTCAATTGCTTTCCCTTGCTTTTTCAATGGCTCGCGTCTGTAACCATACATATGTTCACTCGTAAGCCAGGTGCTAATCTAATCTGGAATTTCTGTGTGTATAGGATTGGATGAAGCTTGCAATTGAGAATGGCTCTAAACGCGATACTAAATGGAAGATTATTCCAAGGTTCGCTTCAGGTAAGCAACAAAGCAACCATCCTGAAGTCATCACCTAGCATTTTTCCTGATGAAATTGATATACCAAAAGACTTCTTTCTCCGGCGTTTGCTGAAGTCGCTGATTCAAACGACCCTAGGTAACCAAGTTCCTCCGGGAAGAGGCCGGCAAATATTTTCTAAGCGAGCGCCACGTACTCCGTAGGCTGGTGGCTTCACGCCAATTCGACGGTCCGACGAGTGCAAAGGAAAACGACAAATAAAAGAGGAATGCTGGCCATTTATAGAATTTTGTTTGTATCGGGAGAAGACTTCGTCATTTTTCTTTCTTCCAACAGGCCTACAAAAGGTCTGTGTTGCATCCGTGAAGATAGCTAAGCGGCCCCCAATCGCCAAAGAGGCCCCCAACTGCCACTGGAGACCCGGGCGGGATATCCACCCCACTGGAGCAGCTCCCCATCCGTGAGTGGCCCGGCCCGGGGTGGGGCATGCAACTTCGATCCTTCGTGGCATTAGCACCGCTGGACTTCATATTACCCCTCGGGGGCTAAATGCCTCTTATCCCTGCAAAACCGGCTTGAGGACATGTGGCAAGGGGCCATTTCACTCGATTATACATGAAACTGCAGATAACTGCAGCCACAACCATGTGCTGGAGAGATCCCTGTACCCAAGTACAAGGCCTTTATATTATGTGCCAGAGTCCCACCCCATTCGGGGGTAGGCTGTCCCTCAGCCTCGCTTGTGATTATGGGAGAAATCTCCAAGGGCAACTTTGGGCCCGAGACAATCAAAGCAACAGGGATTGCCTTGATCGTGGTCACTACCATTGTGTTGGTTGGCAGGTTTGTCGGCTCTGTTCGGAAGCTCAAGGATCTGAAAGCTGAAGACTATCTTTTGCTCATTGGATACTTGTTTTTCTTGGAGCTGACGATACTTTACATCTACATTGCACCGGTCATTTTTCGATTGGCGGCCGTCCAAGCGGGGACAATAGCCCCGTATGCAACCATCATGGAAGATTCACTTCGATTGCAAATCGTCTTTTTCGTGACGACGTCTTCCCTGTGGATTTCGCTGTGGATGGTCAAATATTCGCTTTTGGCTATGTATAAGCGGCTGCTTGTGGGCAAAGTTTACCTTATTGCTTGGTGGATTATTGTGGGATTCTGCACTCTGGTATGTATAAGTGGCTCGTGCTCTTTGTGGAGAGCTTGCTGACGAGGACTTTAGTTTATCATTGGTTGTATAATCTCGTCATGGCTCTCCTGTTCTAGCTTTCATGCCTGGTTCACTGCAGGGAAGTGTGATACAACTCGAGATCATCGCGCTGCTGTCATCAGCTTGTATTTCGCATATGCTGTGGATATCATCACCGACCTTGCGAGTAAGAGCCATCGACAATTTGTCAAAAAACTTCTTTCCTAACATGTTGATAGTCATGGCTCTTCCAATTCGGTTGATCTGGAATCTTCAGATGAAACCCAAGCAAAAGCTGGTCATTGCCGGACTGTTTTGCTTTGGATGGATATGCATCATCATCTCCACCATCCGCGTCGTTCAGCTAGGAGAGACTCCAAACGGCGTTCCTGCTCCATCATGGCTTGCTTTATGGGCGACCATCGAAGCCTCTATCGGTATGCTGTAGCCGTCCTTTCCCTTGTGCTGACTCTTGTGAAACTAACATGGCTTCACCTTAGCTGTCATAATTGGCTGTTGCCCCGGCCTTTATCGCGTCGTCAAAACAGCCATCTCCCCTTCCAAGAGATCTTACCAATATGAGTCATATAACCTGCGCGACCGGGGAGGCAGTGGGATGCCATCACATCGATCTAGTGTGCTGAGGGAATCGAATCTAGTTTGTGACCGGTTCACAGGAAAAGTGGAGGCATACCAGTCAACAAGTGCATATCGGTCCTCGACTCCAAGGAGCAGCCAAGAAAGATTAGCACATCCAAAAGAGATGGGAAATATCATGGTAAATTATGGCGTTGCGGTTACAGTAGAGGACCGTTGTGATGATTATGACCGCACAACCCGTTTTGTTTAGGTAGCCAGAATTTTATCGGGTGCTGTCTCAGCTTGAATCTATTGAAAACTTCTACCAAAAAGATGCACAGCAGTCCACGTACAAAAACCACGGCTTCAAGTCCCGATTTCATTGACAGCAGTAATTGACCTCCGACGGTACACTCAAAAATCACTATTTTCATCCTTCACCATGTCATCATCTGTGTCTGATTGTTGGCTCACTTCGGAATGGCTTCTTCCGGTGTGGCTTCGGGTGGAATCCATACTTTCCTGGGAGACTTGAATCTCAGTTGCCTTTCTTTCAAATAGACTCTGTGCTTGATTGAGCAGATGACGCATTCGAGTTCTAATAAAACAATATTCCTTCCACACCTGCCTCACTTGTGTCCGGTGAAAATTATCGTTAGTGGAAGCCAATTCTTCGTGTTCGTTTTCCAATCGATCACATTCGAGATCCAGCGAGGTAATGTAGCGATGGATAGCATCTATGATCTCTCTTCCATATGTCTGGATAAAGCTGTTTTGGGACCTTTTTTCAAGTTGTTGTCTGTTGGTTTCATCTTCATAGATTATTTGTAGCAAGTCAGAACTGAGGTCATGAAGCTGAGATTCCAAACTTTGCAGGCGATTGAACCATGCGTTGATAGCATACCACCGCACAAGGTAGACAACGTGTGCCCTCATAGGAGTGGTCTTGTCGAGATAATTGGCACGGCTCCAACCCTGGCAGTAGCTTTCCGAAATATCTTTGGCGAATACATCCACATCGTAAACTCGTGTCTGGTTGTTGCAACTGGCTTGCTCTGCTCTCTCATTGACATTGCCGTCATGGGTCTCACAGAACTCCCGGAATGTTTTCGTACTATCCCTTAGGGACAAGGGATCAAGGAAAATCCAAGGATCGTTATCGCCGTCCTGTTCCGGAAACTCGGGATACGGAGGAAATAGAACCAGGACTATGGGTGTTGGTCAGCAAATTACTCGCGCAGTAGGAAAGTAAGATTTTGGGCTACCTTGGCTTTCTGTGACGTGAATCGTGACATGCTGGAGGATATCCAAGCCATTTTGTGTGTACTTTTCACCCTGGTCGCATATGAAATCATTGTCTGCAAATCTCTGTCGAGCAATGCGGCGGTTCAATACGACGTCTTGCAGCCCCAAAGATTCTGTTCTCAAAGATTTGATGGCGCTTGCTCCGGCGTTCTGGTCCTGATACCCTTGTACATATATTGTCCGCGGTATGTCGATGGAAATCGTCAGTGGGTCACAGTACGGAGTAATTATGGTTCTTGAGACCGAATCACGGAGGGTGAGGTCTTTCGCATGGTCCACATTTGCGAATTGAAACGGCCCCAGTCCGGCTTTGACAATTTGCAGGTTTCTTTCTCTCTCATATACTCCAATTGAAGTGTGAATATCTTCGGTTTTGGTCTTTGAGGTCCCTATTGTCTCAAGGCCTGTGGTTTGCTCGATTCCCTTGAACGACATCCCAATATGGTGGCTGAGCACGTTAGGGTCCATTGAGAGCCCGGATCCCAATGCTTCCATGCTCAAGCAAGTGAGGTGCTGGGCACAAACGATGCGGGGTGGAGACCTGGCAAACAAATCCTTCATGATTTTCATGGAAGCCAGGTCTGTTCCATCGTACTTTTGATCGGTAGCAACTACTTCGCTCATATCAAGAATATGTATCGGCGAGGCGAGAGTGGATATTTCAGAATGATAGCCACGCCGGTGAGGCGGGACGTGGGAAAAGCGCCATATCCGATCGTTTCGTGAAAATGTCAGCAGATGGTCATAATCCGGCGAGAGTGACTGCAGATATCGATGATAGATGCCCTCCTGTGAGGCAGGCACCCATGCCGCCATCACTTCTGCTAGCCTTTGTGCCGTGGGGTTTTGGCGCATTGGCCCAGGGCCATCAGGACCACCTTTATCCATGGAGGCGATGGAGTTGATAATATTGGCTGAGTTTTCTTGGGGGAGGGGTGTCCCTGTATTTTTGAAGGCAAGTGAGTCCCTGGTGGAAACGATAGTTGGGTCTGGTGGTGAGGGATTCTCAGCCTCAACGCGGGGTCTTTTGTACCTGTTGGTGATCCCTGTCGTTTGCTGTGTTTGCCTTCCCCCTGTGCTTGATACAGCGAGCCTCGTCAAAGCTCTTCGCATAGTCCAAATATGATGAATCCCCCAGTTCACTTCACTGACCTCTCTCAATGAGGTACCTGAAAGCCGCAGACCAGTCAAGCTGTACAATAGGAAGTAGCAAGAGATATGTAGAATCGTATAGTATTAATGGTCTACGAGAACGGAGTTTGTGATGGTTTGCTAGGTTTGCTACCATCAGCAATATGTGCTTTCCATGCCTTTGCACGTTTGCATACTTTGCATACTCTGTACTATAAGAGCAGCTCTCCCAACAGATCTCCATAGTCTTCTTTATCTTAGTTCTCTTCATCGAATTGGACCTTCATTTTTTGAAGCTTTGCCGCTCTCACAACTTGGGGGAAATCGAAAGAAAAAAGAAGCAGAGAGAGAGGGTATCTCTATCGACACGGAAGATTGGATGGGCTTCCCCGGACTAAACCAACAGTATCTCTAAGATCCGTAGATTTGATGTATACCTTCTTATCCCTCAGGAGATAGTACTCGTACTACGTATGCACTTTGGTGTACTCCGTATTGAATAAAATTTGAGAAGGAGATACATAGAATCTATAAGAAAGACCGCAGAACGAAGATCTCTTGATGCGCGAGGAGGGGAAAGAGAAGAGAGAGAAGAGATAGGGGGGAGAAGCATAGAAAGAGAATCAGGTGACCCTTGGGGCACGTGACCTGACTTCTAACAACATTATACTGTAATTTGATGATTTGGTAAGTTGTCAATTAGATGCATCCAGATCCCCCTATGTCCTCACTTCAATGAAAATGTCCTCCGACACAGAAGGCCACAATCCTACTGCGCAGCCTGCCCCCATACCTCGTTGGCAGAGAACTTCCGCATATGTCATTGATGTACTATTCTGTTGAAAGAAGTGATATAAAACCATGACAAAGTTGAGTTTATCGGCCCAGGATACTGTTTTGGATGTCAATATGATGTGGAGGATGAATACATTGTAAGTGACCAATCATGCCGCTGTAAAGTTTCACCATTATCATCATCAGTGCTGAACATGCAGATGAATCGAGGGATACTTGGTGAAATTAAAGAGGCTGGAGAAGCGATGAAAAAAGATCGGATGTTGGAATTGGAGGCATTAGTAGAAAAGCGCAACCAAGGGCGAGGTTGAGGTTGAAGTATTGGGGATGTTGGAAGATATGATTAAGGCGGTATGTCGCTTTTCGAGTCCTAGGTTAGAATTGGGGCTCTCGATGGCTAAATAGATATGAAGGAATCCCTGAACTTATCGAGTAAGCAGTAGCACTGCACAAAGTACTCTATATTTGGTATCTGCATTGCATCCCGAGATCTGCGAAGGGTTAAATTACTCACTGTGAATGCACAAGAGGGTTCGAGATCACATAACATGCGGTAAGGAGAAGGCAACTGAACGTAAGGATAGAATCAAACACTGTGTTCGTAATAGTAAACGTACTTATTATACATAATACGCACAAGCGTTGAAACGACTCTGCAACCGAAGATCAGAGCGATTGAGCTGAAAAAATATTACACAAAGATGTGTCAAGAGAAAATAAAACTGGCACTGAATCGGAATCAATGTCCAGCCGGATAAGAAAAAGGGGTAAAAAACATAGATGCAACCAGTAACGACCGGGGCGAATATCCATACAGGGACAGCCGATGCAAAAGTCAAGTCGCCATGCAAAAACAATATGCCACGAGAATCAGGTGCGAAAAATGTAAAACAGAAAGGGATATTATGTCCGTTGAAATCGTGTCGTGTCGTTGAAGATGTGCAGTGAAACGGGGGAGAAAGTAGGGGGGAGCGGAAATGAGGAATTATGCGACAGCACAATGGAATGGAAGGTCAAGCACAGCAAGGAGATTCGCATCAGATGATGCGAGAATGATAAAGGTAATGGGACAAGCCCAAAAATGAGAAAAAAAGAAAAATCGGAGTCGTAAAGCGTAAATGAAAGATCGTCAAGACAGCTGTTGCTGCAACCCGTGAAAAAAGAACCTAGAACCCTGTCGTAGTGCCGATGACGGCTAGCGTGATGACAATCACGATTATGATGACACCGAGGGAAATCATCCATCGGTTGAGATTTCTCCACCAGCGCGCATTGTCATGTCGACGCTGCTGGATGTTCATGCACTGCACCTCAAGCGCAGCTTCAACATCGGACTCTAATCCACACTCGGCCATTTCGGGAGACAGTGTTGGCCGGGGTGGCAAGGGCAAGAAGGCCGCGATACACCAGGCGAGTGGGAAGATGAAGCCAACGCAGAAAGAGTAGACTTGGATGTTGCGGCGACCAAAGGTCGGCTCGCTGCGGGAGTCCAGTGAAGGCGCGCGCCAGCCTGATCTCGACCCTTGCAGAACTCGTCTGTCGGGAAGCAGGTGGGGAGACCAGCTGTGGTGGAGGCGGTGATTCGCGTTGCTGGACCCGCCATCCGAAGGCTGCGGTGAGGGTACCCAGTGGGCACGGGGATCACGCATATCGCTTTGCAGGCGGCGGTGCTGGGGCAGTGGTGAAACAGGCCGTTGGGTGGTCCCGGTCTGTTCTGGGGACCGCGGGCGCGGGACGTTCAGAGGCCCGGGGACCAGGTTGAAGACACTGGAGTTAGAGGTTCCCGTGCGTGTTGAAGGTGCGCGGATGGATGGGGCTCGGATTGATGGGGCCTGTGTTGAGGGCGCTTTTGTCGAGGGTGCGCGGGCAGATGATGGTCGGCTGCCATCGATCATGGTCAGGGTGGAGTTCAATCCCATTGGTTCGTGCAGATAATACACCTTCGCCCAGGTGGGAAGGATATTGAAGATGTTGCTGGAGCCAGTGCCCGGGCGGGTGCTGCGAGTGCTGTTACTGCGCTTGGAGCCAGAAGAGATGCTCTGGGCGAAGATCGGACGGGAGGGGAGCTTGGTCAGGCTATCAAGGCGCTCATCATCACTGTCAGTTGAGCTCTCGACGAGCCAAACGGAAGACCGGGTGTCTTCCTTCTTGAGGGCGGCAGCGGGTGGAGGCGTAATCTCTGCCATTGAACGGTCCGAATCAGACTGGGGTCCGGGCTGGGCGGAGAGGTTTGCCAAGTCATCGGCGGACCAATCAGATGAAACAGTTGACAGGTGAGGGTTCCAGCGGCCAGATGCCAGGTGGGGATTGCAGCGACCAGATGCTGGGCCGGGGCTGAAGTCACGGTCTCCTGATACGGAGGTATCTGCGCGAGAGCTCGACGATGATGGCCCACGAATTCGGGGGTATTGGATGGGCACACCATTGTCAATTGCTGCCTGCAAATCAGAGGCGGAACGGAGACTACGCGAGGAAGATGTCGCCGAGCGGGAACGAGGGCCTGATGGAGCCCGTGAGCTTGACCGGAAGGACGCCACAGACTGAACGGGCGGGCTGGACTGGTAGGAAGGGGTACGGTAGCTCAGACGGTCGGATGAAACTGTCTGGAAAGTTGTCTGGAACCAGGGAGTGGCGCCGGAATGTCTCACGACTGTTCCCCGTGAGTTGAATGAGGAGATTGAGTTTGATCGTGGAGTCTCGGATGATGCACTGTGTGGGCGAGGGAAGTGCATGCTAGAATTGTCCAGGGTCACAAAGTTGGGGCTCGATGGAGCGCCGATCTGTTCGATATTCGGGCTGGAATAACCGGCAATTGATTCATCCGAAGACTTGGGCGACATCGAATAATCCGAGAGAACAGCTTTGATCGTTGGCGTCGCAGTTGGCAAAACAGCCATATCGTCATCCGAGAACTCAGGCTCGGAGCCCTCCGATCCATAATTGGGCGCTTTTCCCGACGGCAGGTCTGGCAGAGAGGACTTGCTCGAATTGGGGTCGTCATCCCACATCTCTGGCGGCGAATTGCCCGCGTCCACTGTTGACCTATCCCATCCTTCGCCAATTGAGAGATCTCGCGGGCTGGCCGGGGTCGGGTGACTGAAGGTTGGCGATGAATATGTCGATGATGAGGGTCCAATGTGATCCGAATAGCTGAACCCAGTGTCGGAGATATATTCCTGTTGTCCTTTCCCGGGAATCGGCAGCAAAATCTGTTCGGGTTTCGTGGGGAATGGCGTCGCGGTATACATGTTCACCTCCTGGTCCACCTCCTCGTGGTCTGCCGATACCATCCGTAATGAGCGAGTTGGCGATCTTTCATTGTTGTGGGCGGAAGTCCGCTCTTGCAACGCCCTCCGCGCGCGCGGCGGCGAGGTCGATCGAGGAGCAGACATTACACACTATAGCATTGATCCGAAAGAAGGACGAGGGAAGTCGAAATAAAAATAGCAAAATAACAAAAAAATGACGCGGGCGGTTGGCGGGTGCGGAACCGGGAGCGTAAACAAGCGATTGTTTTCCTGAGTGTCGATGTCGATGAAAAGAATGTGGAATCCTGGGGATATTGAAACCGGGTCTATAGGCCGAGGATTAAAAAAGAATGTGGTAGACGAGCTAAGGCGTCTATGGATTAGTACGTTTCAAACGTCCGAACCCATTAAAAGAGTGACAAAATCGACAAGAACCAGCAGCAGGGGAAAACAATCATTAAAGCGTTTCAAAGCACAAAAGCACACGACGAGAAGCAACGAGAGAAGGGAAGTGAGACAGAAGGGGGTGAGGAATTTTGTTCGCCCAGCGGTGAGGAGCAGCCGGAAGTGCCTATCACCGCCCAATCCAGACTCCAGGGTGATGCAACCTGCATGGGCCAGGAACAACTTTGTGGCTGTGAGCGATTGGTCCAGATGCGATAAAAAAAGATGAACTACCAGTCTGGAGCTCCGTATGTCTCTGGGCTGTCAAGTCTATTCTGGTTCTGGTTCTTCCCCCTATATCATTCTGCCGGACCCCCGTTTCATGTCATGTCTATTGATCCCATTCCTCTGTACACCAGCATGATCGACCATGCTCGATACTGATCAGAGAACTCTCATATTCCAGTTTGTGCAGTGGAGCCAGTGTGCGTTGTCCTGAAGCTAAGCCTACAATGGTAAAGGCCTCGTACTTTTCCTTCTAGCGCCCTGCCCGACCCTGGCGTGATGGTACAATCAAGGTGTCCATTGCCAATGAATTCAATAATGTTTGCTTATTGCAGCACTCGTGTGAGCCGGAGAATTAACCTCACGATGTCTTTGCCTCCCTCGCATTGACTCGCATTGACTCGCATTGACTTGCATTTAAAATGAGGATTGGCAAGGGGGAGAGCTCACAACGCTCGGTCCACCGGTTTGCCGTGTCTGGCTAACTCCTCTACGGGATACGAAGTACTCCATAGAGATCTGAGAACAATCTGAGAACAATACTAAGAGCATAAAGAGAAGAACAAAGTGAAAAAAAAGTGGGAAATAAACAGTGACGTTGAAAAGTAAACAATTCGAGATTTGAACCATGGTTCCCTCGACCTCGACCATGGTGCAGGTCTGACAGTACCATACTGTATTGTCCTTTTTTCACCCAATCACTTTCCACTTTTCTCCTCTTTCCATACAGCCATTACCGCAACAAAGAACGACGTCCCAAGTCTGGAGTCTTCCTGCCTCCATAAATATTCCCAACCACCCCAGGATGGCACCCGTCGGACTAATGGCGCGTCTCAAGAGTTTATACTCCAAGCAGGGTAAGGAGGCAAACCTTCTATTGAATAACCCGCTAACATCCCTCAGAGGAACCCGCCCTGTCAAATCAGACGGTCGCATTTCTGTCCGTATGTAAAATGTCTCTCATGCATATCCCAAAAAAGGATCATGTTTATTATGATCTCTTTTGGGTGTGATGTTTTGATGTGCAGTCCTAACTTCCCCAGGTTCTCCTCACTCTACTCTACGTGGTCCCATTTTATCTTTCCCCAACCACTCGCCCTTCGCCAAGCCTCAGCCGCGATGCCCCATCGGTAATCAGGGCGCGCATCCGCGCTGTGACAGGCTCTTGCATCGCCAGCTCAATCGTAGTTCTCTGGCTAGCCGTGCAAGAGGGTGGCTCCTCGCTCGGCGCTGCCATCCGCCTGCTGGGCTGGTGGCCCGTCGGCGTATTGGAAATTTTCAGATCACTCCTCCTAACAGCCATCCTGTTCACCGGCCCGCTCTTCGAGCGCGGAATCGTTGAGGGCGAATGGCGCCTATGGTTCCGTCGCTCAAAGCTCTCCGAGAGTCTGGGCGGTTGGATCGGATGGAGGAACTATGTCGCCGTATGTATCCCCAATTGACCGAAGACCATAAGCTAATTCGTCCAGGGTCCTTTTACTGAGGAAGTCATGTTCCGGTCGGCCATCGTGCCGCTCCATCTGCTGGCGCATGAATCCCCAGGTCGCATTGTCTTCATTGCGCCCCTGTACTTTGGAATTGCCCATGTGCACCATTTCTACGAGTTCAGACTCACCCACCCTGATACGCCGGCTTTTGCTGCGCTGTTGCGCTCCCTGTTCCAGTTCGGATATACCACCGTCTTTGGTTGGTATGCGACTTTCGTGTACCTGCGCACCGGCTCCTTGATTGCCGTCGTTGTGGTGCACAGCTTCTGCAATTGGTGTGGGCTGCCCCGGCTGTGGGGCCGGGTTGAGTCCGGTTACGTGGGCCCTCCTATCAAGAAGGAGGATGGTGTTGCAGTGGAGGAGGGGCCTCTGGGTCTGGGGTGGACCGTCGCCTACTATGTTCTGCTGGTCGCGGGAGCTGTTGGATTCTGTCAAGGCTTGTGGCCTTTGACTGAATCTTATCATGCTCTTGTTTCCTTTACCACGAAGGCTGCATAGATCCTTTCATCTATTGGTCGGTCATGGGCTCTGTGCCCCCTGTCATGGTTTATGATGCATTTTCATGTCGGCGGTTTTCTTTCTTTTATTTTGAAGACTCCGGCGTTTGTTTATAGGTTATGGGCGAGTTCGGGAGATCATGAATAGGCGCCCATGGTTACATTTCGTACTCTTTATGTGGATATCATTCGGCATTATGTCAATACAAATATTCCACTGGTGATACATTCTACTTGAGTAGCGCTGAGAATTGAGAACCATAGTATGCGCGTAATTGTTTTGATCGCAGCTTCGAAGATATCTCCAGCACCCTGAGTCTCCTCCAGGGCTGAAGCTGTGCGTCGTCTGTCACTGGAATCGCTTGTCCTTCTCAAGTTACCCTGCCCAGGTGGATACTACTTTTGGAAATATACAGTAGCCTCTATAGTAAAGTTGGACCCTCGTGGACAATGAACCTTTACGCACCCAAAAGGAGCTTTTCTCCTGCTAATTTATGGATCACGTACTTAGTAGACTCCAGGATATCTTACCATGGATGTAGGTGGTTACCCAGCCAAGAAGGTACTTAAGTAGTTCTGGTTTTTAATGTCGACCTTCGTCTGCGGGTGTCGATATATATCATTGCGGGAAGACATCCATCCTACTTAAGTACTTTATCGATAGATTCACCAACACCGGGTTTCAAGACAACTTTAGAACATGAACAAGATCGGATCAATTGTTTACAAAATCCGTGCATTCATCCGGACCTCAGAAACATTTCATACTAAGATTTACTTGGTTGAACGTCAAACGTTTCGTCAATTGCTTAGCCAGAACTAGTCCCGATCCGGTTAGCACACAGCCTAACTACTTTGGGAATATGGTCTCGACTTCTCGACTTCTCAACTTCCATGTTCTAAAGTTCCAGGGTGATATCCTGCTGTTCTCTCTACCCTGCAAATCTCCAATGCTTCCTCACGCCAAGTTCTGGAAGTCAGAAACCGACCGCAAGGTCCTGCCAGCACCAACCACCATCGTCCCATTCGCCGGTCGCATCGGCGCAAACCAAGAGTTCTCCCTCGACAAAACCAACTGCGCCCAAGTTGAGATCCTACAAAAGTTCCCAGACGCCGCACCCTGGATTCCATTGCGCGATGCCGTCTCATTGCAACACTTCCTCCAACCTGAGCTGTGGAAGGCCGCGACGATCGAGGCAGTTGGTCCGTGCACCCGCATATGCAAGTGACAAGGATGCTCACGGATCTAGGAACATGTTTATTAGTCTACCTGACCTGCTTCATAGGCGTGGGTCTGGGTGAAACAGTCAAGTGATTTCCTCAGAGCTCTTACAAAAGTGATCATACTGACGCCGAAAAAGTACATTCGCGACTGGAGCCCTGGTGCCCAGTCTCCTTGGCGGAGTGACGGCAATCCTGGTCCTGCCGCTGTTGATCTTCGCCACGGGTCCGGTCTCCGGTGCTCATTTGAATCCGACAATTACCATCGCGACGTTCTTTGCACGCCTGGCGACGCTGCCGCGATGTATTCTCTATGTCGCGTTTCAGACGCTCGGGGGGACGATAGCGGGTCTGTTGTTGAGAGCGAGTTTCGATACGAGATCGGTCTGTTAGATCCATCCCTTGAAGGAGGATTTAAATTCTGATACAACTTTGCAGTTCACCGTGCCTGGTTGCTATATGGATTCGACCAAAGTCTCGTCGGGGAATGCCTTCGCGATAGAATTCACCACTGATTTCGCGTTGATCTTTACTGCATTTGGAGTTGGATTGGATCCTCGACAGCGCTCAGTGTTTGGCCCCGCCTTGGGTCCCATATTTGTTGGCATCACGTTGGCGACATGCACATTTGTGACGGGCTTTAGCCGAGTGGGCTACACTGGATTCTGTGAGTGATTGAATCAAACCAGACAACCTCTGCACTCAAAGATTGGAAGGAAACTAACAATCAAAGCTGGGAACCCTGCGCGATGCTTCGGGGCAATGGTTGGCTCGCACTTTGCTTCTTATCACTGGGTTCACTGGGTAGCACCACTGTGTGCCTCCATTGTCCATGGGATAGTGTACTATCTGGTTCCGCCATACTCCCGGGGGAGAACTCCCCCTGCGAGCGATGGCTCATCTTGAGACAGTGAAAAAAGGCGGGAAATGAATACTATGTACATGTGCTCGGAGATGAAATTTGCTCCATGCTTGGCAGCGCCTACATCCTTGAGCCCAAGCAAAAGGTAGGGGTCGCATACTATTGACATAATTACAGGTTTGCAATCGGCAGTCTCTGAGCTGGCGCCCAGGCCGCTGATCTCGACCAATTACGGATATGATACTTTGACAAATATGATACTTTGACAATTGACATAGGGGAACAGCGCGAGAAATGTGCTGAGGGTGACTTGGCAGCTCTTCCAAGCGCCAAAGAAATATAGGGATGACATCAAGGACATTAACTATATACAATCTATCTAAACTCCGATCTTGAATGTAATGAGAACACCCTTGTGATCAGTGGGCCATTCATTGTAGTAGTGATCCGGCTCAGGTTTGGGATCACCGACCATGTAAACCTCGGACTTCTCCGTTGTCAGATTACCCTTGTAATAGACAAAGTCAAGGCGATCCATGGGCTCCTTGCGGCCATCGTAGTCGTCATTGATGAGATAAACGGGCGACCAAGTGTTGGCCGGGTCAGTGGCCGGGTCCGGGTGAAGTTCGCGGTATGCGTCAATAAGACCCGCGTCAACAGGGACCTTGGAAGTAGGCCAGTCGAATTGGCCAATACCACAGTGAGAAGATTTGGTCTCATCAGTCCAGTCGAGGTGCGAAGGTGCATTGAAGTCACCAGTCAGAAAGACAGGGACATTGTCGGCGTTATCGAGAGCGTCAGCCATGGTATCCATAATGGCATTGATTTGGCGAATGCGACTTCCCCTCTCCTCGGTATCCATTATCGCATCGGCACCCTTATTGTCAAAGCAAGGATCATAAGGCCCATAGGGATACGCGTAGGGATGACAGTTGTGGATGATGACTTGGCTGTCATCACCGTCGAGAGCAATTCGCACTGCACCACTGATCTCCGTGACGGCACCGTACTTCTCGGCTATGGGATAGCGGCTGATGATGCTGGAATCCTTGCCTTGCCATGAGTACCAGCCCAAGGCATCTGCAAGCTGCGTCGCGTGCCCGTGTGTGCTTTCTTGGAGACCGATGATATCTGCATTTGAATTGGCGATGGCGGAGATTTGTTTGCGGTTGTAATCGCTGACCTGGGTACCGCCGTACCAAAGGTTCAAGGACATAACTTTGAGTTCAGTGACGAGGGACTTTCCAGAAGGAACCACTGGAACAGTCACATCGACTGTGACGGTCGATTTATCAGAGGCTGTAGCTTTTACTGTGACAGTAAAGCTGCCACTCTCACTTGGAATCCCAGAGATAACACCATCCTCAGAAACACTGATCCAATCAGAACCAGAGCTCTTGCTGTACTTGGTATTTGGATCCGGCGCATGGTGCAAAAGACCGCTAACTCGAGCCTCGAAATTCTCGCCCTCGCGAGCATTCTTAGTGGTGAATTCTTTGACGTTAAACGATATAGGACCCTTGCCAGAAAGGAAGATATCAATTGGGCCAGCGAGGATTTTATAATCATCACCAACGAGGAAGTAGGCCTTGTAAGAGCCCCAGTTCAGATGTTTATCGTCAACACGCTTCGTTTCCTCTGACTCCCGCATCCAGTCCCAGTACAGCGGTTCTTCTTTGCCCGGACCATCGCCGTAGATACTGTATATTCCGATCCAGTTTTTTTCTGAGGGTCGATCGGTCTTGTAATGGAATGTGAAGAATGGGCCGTCAACGAGCTCGAATGAGTTCTCGTGTTTTGAAAGGGCTGCTGAGGCGACGAGGCGAATTCCACAGAGAGCCGTGAAGGCGAGAGACGAGAGACGCATGGTGCCTGGGGGTTGTGCGCAATGGCGCAATGGGAAACAATTGGGTGATTAAGAGAAGTTTTGTTTGCTCTCACTCGGCCAGCCTCAGTGAAACCTCTGAAGTGTCTGGATTCCAGGTAGTTTAAACTCTTGCGATTGAAATTGAATCGTGGAATCGTAATACGTTCAACGTTGATTGAAACGCGAGAAGACTTGAAAACAAAGCAGAGCGTGACGTCGTAGCCCTAGAGCAAAGAAAACGGGTATCCTGTGGTTTGCAGTTAAATTGAAACGAAGGGGAAAGTGCGACTCGCACCAACTTATGGGTTAATGCACGGTTGATGGGGTTTTGTATTCCAGCGCTTCCCTGCTCAGCTGTTAGCTGTGACAGGGTAGCTGTGGATCCTGGTCCTCGCTTGGTGGACAATTGATGGGTTGTGATTTAGATCCCGTTGCTATAGTAGCGTGTTCTGGGCCTTGGCCATGTATAGCTCGTCGCAGTCCGTTGAAAAATGAGATACTGCCAGTTAAAGGGAGTGTCATTTTTCCAAGCGACTTCAATTAGCAACTGTCAGATAAGTTCTCAACGTTGTCTGAAAAGCCCTTGAGCTGTTGATATTTCATCTCATTCGGGTGCCAGCGGCTGTATCACCCGGGCAACGGTGTGATGCGCTAAAGTGGTCACAGGGTACATCACTTGGCAGTATTTCCTAGCAGGTTGGTATTATGAAGAGGAGTTACAAAGTACTTTAGTGTTGTATGAAAGCCAATAGACTATTGCAACACTTCAGTGTCGAGATATCTACAAAGCGTCAAAAAGGGGTGATTGTGGTGTTTGCAATGTTTGCACACTTCCACAACTCATGTCCACGGGTGTTTTGTCGAATGCTCGATCCTACATCGTGCCATTTGCCTCAGGTGGCTTACTCTTTCTCTCGATGACTCCTCAATTCGACTCTAGAGAGTATATTGAGGTGGTGAGATGAGTTGAGATTCGCCAGTTGGCGTCGGCAAAACCCCGAGATCGGCATGCCGAATCAGGTAAGGCCGAGGATATGACGTCAGCCTGCAGGGCAAGTCAACAAACCTTTCAGGAGGGGTTTCGACCTCTCTCTGCACCTCGCTGCACTCGTACGTCGTACTCTGTAAGACCGACTTCCGACCTTATCATGATCATGATCTCTCGTCGGGAACTCAAACCCTATGTGGCAGAGTTCCTTGGGACTGCCCTCCTGATTGTCATCGGAGATGGTGTCGTCGCCCAGTGTCTGCTGTCCGACTACCACTACGGTACTTGGTTGTCCATTAACTTGGCCTGGGCATCTGCCGTATGCCTCGCTGGCTACCTGTCTGACCCCAGCCCGACCATCAACCCAGCCGCGACCATTTCCCTGGCCCTGGTGCGTCCATCTGCAGGACAGTGGAGACAGATCCCCGGCAAGCTGGCTGCACAGTTCTTCGGCGGCTTTGTCGGCGCTGCCATCGTGTACATCAACTACCGCTCGGCTATCAAAGATTGGGATCCCGAATACACGATCCCCGGTGGGTCGATCTTGAGCCCCACGGGTCATCATTCAGCGGGTATCTTCTCCACCTACCCAGCTTCCTTCTTCGAGTCGAACTGGGAGGGCGTCTTTTCAGAGGGCCTGGGCTCGGCTGTGCTTATGTTCGGATCTCTTAGCATCTCTGATCCTAGAAATGCCCATCGTTTCCCGGCCCCACAGTTCGCTACCTTCCTGCTGCTGCTCATGATCGGAGCGGCATTGGGCTGGCAGACTGGCTATGTAAGTTCACTACATCGTCGGGTTAGTCACATGCTAACAAGACCAGGCTATCAACCCTGCCCGAGACTTTGGTCCACGACTCTTCTCTGCCATCCTCTATGGCCGAGAGGTATTCTCAGCGGCTAACTACTATTTCGTGGTCCCCCTCTTCGCTCCTATCATTGGCTGCATTGTTGGCGCTGCCACTTACGATAGCTTGCTGTTTGAAGGCGAGGGCTCTCGCGTTACTGATGCCCTGGACAAAGCCGAGGGTCATGGGTCCCTTCGACTGGAGTGATTCTTTGGCCCTGAAGAGCCATTTCTGAACCCGTCTGCATATATTGAGAACAACGACAATCACGACTTCAGGATTAGACATAGATTATGCGATGATGAGGTACAGCAAACCAGTTATGAGATTTGATGCGATATGGGATCTCTGTTGATATGATCGAATTTACATAGTATACAGCACTTATGCCACGACATGTTGAACGCTCTATTTGGTGACTTGAGGGGAGAAGTGAGGCTTGAGGCCTGCAACATACGATCGCCTATGATATCTAGCTTCGTACCCTATTTCTCTTCGTTCTTTTCTGTCCCTACAATCATCCCACACCAATCACTTTTAAGCGCCCGGCCATTCTCAAATTTGGAAACTCGGGCTTGCAGTATTGGCGAGAAGTACCTCACGTGGTCTTCCCCGCAATGGTGGCTATTAATAGGCACAGCCCCGGCCCCAGAGCCGGATATAAAAGCTAAAGGAGGTCAGATCACTGCCCAAGTGCCCCTAAGCTGCACACCATACCTTGACCGGTACATTCGCATCATCTCAAAATGGGCGTCGAAAAACTGCCAGATAGCTTAAAGGCTATCGTCAATTCCATGAGGAGCGAGATTAGACAAGGCAACGTGAAGCGGGAAGGCGAAAGCGGAGCCTTTTGGAGATATGGTGGAAACGGTTTCGTGGCCTTGAAGAACTCACTGGAAAGCGAGCTGGCAAAAGAGATTGAACCTCACGGCATGCAGGTGAATATGTCCTGTCATTCTGTTGTCAATAGCCCGCTAATCCTTCAAGGTGTTGGGATGCGACGTGCGACATTCTGACACAATGGAGAGAATCACCAATTTCCTATATCCGAACAAATACTTTGTTTTCATCCCTATCAATGGAAACTTGACGCTATCTCCCGGCAACTTACTCCCGAACGACACATATTGCTTGACTGATGGTTTAGATGGTTTACCTGCGCCTTCTGGAGACGATGTTGATGTGGTCGTTGTCATATATAGGTATATTAGATAATGTTGAGACGGCACGGCAAGAGAAGCGGAAGGGAACCGACTGAGTTCACTGCGGGGAGAGAAAGAGAGAGAAGGGAGAAGGCTGCGAGCTATGTAAACATGGGGGTTGGGGCGAATACCCTAAACAACACACCCCCTGAGACACAAGCCCAAAAAAGCACCCCAGGAAAGCACCCCCAAATCAACCTCTGATTCTCAAACACCCCGTTTTTGACGTTTGTAGCATTTTTGTGGTTCATCCATTTATTCATCGTTGAATTCACCATCCCCCCAGGTCCCTGAGGCTCATCCCCCCCCTTCCTCCTGGGTTCTCGGACTCCATATGCACCCCAAACTATTCCCATTTGCCAACTAGCTGGTCGGTAAGATCGTTGAAGGGGGGCCCCACATTGTGGCTGTCGTAAGCTGTATTGAACTCCGCACCGCAAGGCTCTGGAGCATCCATATTGAATATCGCAGCGCATCCTTAGAATTCGTCGAAGTTGAATACCGACGAAGCACTATTGGCCGTACCGCTTGCTGCATTTTGCTGCATAGTACGTTCAGTAGGAGGGCCGTTACTGGTAATTTGCCTTCGACAGATGAGGCTTGAAGACCCAAAGGTTTGAATCAGGAACCCATCCTTCCGGGCGTCGTTCAGGATACAAATGGTAGCATATCTTTGCTGAGTGGTGACCATGGGAACAGTAAGAGCACGGCCCCTTAGGCTGAGGAACTTCCACCCCCTTCTTTACCCAAATCCTCGGTCCTAACCCTTTTTGATGGTGTATTTAAGCGCCGGTTGGATTGTTCTGGAATAGGAGTTGTAGTATTCGCGGTAGCAGGCTTGCTTGTGGCGTGGGCATTCTTCGCCGCTGCCACCCCCACAAAACCAGCCCGCTTTTCCATAGGAGCAACTCGGTCGAGTATACTCCGGCAGTCGGTGAGGAAGTTATCCATGGTGTAATTTCGTACTGCATCGCATCCTCTGTCGTGGAATTGTGCGAGCTTGACTTTCATGAAGCTCTCCAAATGTGGTTGGGTTCCCAGTTCGTGCATGATGATCATCATTAGATAGTAGGGATTCATGTCGAGGCCAACGTTGGTCCCCTGCAAATTCCAGTACTGCACATCCTTAATGAAAGCTTTGGTAGTGGTGTAAGAGCTGCGTCTGATATCGCGAATGGTCATAAACACGTCGCTCATGCGAGAAGGTCCGGTGCCTCGGAAGTCGATACGGAGGAATTCCATGAATTTGTCCGCAAATGCAGTTGCTTCCCCACGCGTCTGAATGCTGGTAACGATGTGCGGTTCCACGCTGCTTGCTAACCATGCCCGTACGGTCTTTGACAGAGTGAACCATCTCTCAGCTTGTGGTGAGTCGGGGAATGGTCTCGGGATCTCTGATTCAACCAAGTTGTGAAGACTCAGGGATTCCAACACGCCCATGACGGAGCGATGCCATTTTTCGAAACCATATTTATCGGAAGGCGGAGTTCGAATTCTGTGTAAAGGGTAAATGAACCGGGTTCGGGTAGGTTAGCGCCTTGATCTCTGTTGGCGTCAACTCTCGTTCGATCCTTGTTGATACTCTCCCATGTTCCATCCGGTGGACCGCGAATAGGCAAATTGCCAGGGGGCACTTGAGCGGCCATCGTCGCGGGGGAGGGAGGGAATCCGACGAAGTGAAGTGAATAAAGTGAAAGTGAAGGTGAAGTGGGGTGAGTTGAACGGAGTCAACCACCCTCTTCCCCGGGGTAAAAGTAGCGTCTCGCACAGAAGAAGCGTGTAGAATAGCTTATTCTAATAGAAGGGATCTAATCACCTGTTGAGACGGCACGGCAAGAGAAGTGGAAGGGAACCGACTGAATTCACTGCGGGGAGAGAAAGAGAGAGAAGGGAGAAGCTAGAAGGCTGCGAGCTATCTACACATGGGGGTTGGGGCGAATACCCTACACAACAGATAAGAAATCAGAACGAATAGTAGATTCAAATTTGTTGTTGAGAATATAGCACCCAATTTAGCCACATCAGCATGATGTGTACGGAGTACATATCACGAATCAACCTTGAACCTGCCCAGGCACACTTAATCAATTCTACTCTGTAGGCGAGAATAACCCAAAGGTTTGTTTCGAATTAAGAGCGAGGAAGATTTGTGACTATGCAGGCTATCATGGTCAGGCGTTCTTACTAACAAATGTGGGTTGGCTAGTAGAAATCCTATTCAAGAATGATATCCCCCTCAAAGGTGGGGAGGGCTAGCACCGCCGTAACTCACTTCCAGGGGTAGTCCTCGGAAAAGTGCCAATTCTGATTACAATCACAGCGTACGGCTGTCACCCGATACTATTGTTAAATAGAACTTTTACTGGGCTTGTTTGGGTACCAGCACTTGTCAAAATTGTTGCAAAGATGTTGATCGAGTACGTAAGGTGGATGAGTCTGAGCAAAAGAAACAAACGTAGCAGTGGGCGCTTCAATTCTTTTCTCTTTTTCCGATGTCAAGAATGCCTGGCAATGGGAAATGATCAGGCCCTTTGAATGCTGCCGGGAATTCGTCGTGAGGTTCTGGCTCTAGCTCTTGGGTTTCCTACAACTGACTCTTATATCTGCAACTTACATGAGCAGGTAAAACCAATATGCTCGACGCCGAATTGAGTCATGTGATGTGTTGCATGAACCATGACCCCCTGGGCACTTGACCATTGGGCTCAATTCTGACCCCGGAGAGCAAAGCTAAACCTGACCCCTCTTCTTTGACCAGCAGCTATCTCACCATGTCACAGTGGAGTTTACCATCTCTGAGGCCCCTGATAGAATCCCTTGGATCTATCCGGCGTGTTTTTCGTGCCCAAAGTCATCAGCAATATCAGCTTAGCCCCACTCCTGATGCCCCTATCCCAAAGCCTTACGATACATTCAGCCTCGGCAATCAAACATATGCCCAACGAGCCACAAACCATGTAAGACCTGTTTCGCGTGCTTGAAGCACCGTCAGTTGTCATTTGTCTCATCGGGTTCAGTCGCTTGGCTCGGAATACCAAAACACCGGCTGTCTAGTTACTATTGTCGAGGTAAAGCCCGGCGACCGGGTAAATTCGCTACTTCTTCAGAACATCATTTCCGAATATCTACGAGACGACGTATTCCGGCAAGAATTCCTATCTGGCGTTATTTTCGCAGGGGCCAAGAAAGCAGCAGTCACAGTCGATTTGGATTCTAGTGAGTTAATGCAGACATGGGGTATCCAATGGTTTTGCTTCATGGAAGACACGGGGTTATCAAGTCAGCTCCCACCGGGGCCATATACTATCCACCAAGGACAACTGTACTACGTACGCCGAGTGTACAGTGATGATAAGTATGGATTCTTTCGGGGCATATGGCACTCTCATCATTCCCACGGGTTAGTTGTGCACCCGAAAACTTCAGAAACACATCATTTAGACCGACACGTTGACTGAAAACAGGGATTTCCTCGAGCTTCATATTTCTGGAGATAGGTATCGATCCTTGGGAGTTGCCGTTCCATCGAGAATACACTCACGTCCCTCGCAAAACACACCTTTGGACGGCAGTAGAGTAGCCGTGAAAGATAATTTTGATCTCTGTGGTCTGCGCACCTCCATTGGGAGTCTTTCTTACTACCAGCTGTATCCGCCTAGCAAAAAGACTGCCGAAGCAGTTGAGAAATTGATCTCCATGGGCGCGGATGTCGTTGGTAAGCTCTCCATGAGTGCTTTTGCACTGATGGAACATCCAATGCAGAGTGTGGATTACCAGGCGCCTATCAACCCTCGGGGAGATGACTACCAGATACCAGGCGGCAGCAGCAGCGGTGCTGGGGCTGCTATAGCGTCCTGTGAGTGGTTAGACCTTGCACTAGTGACTGATAGTAAGTTCACTTTGTCTTATGCCTCTAAAATCTATTATCTAAAACCAGGAAACACAATATCTAGCCACCGGAAGCGCGCGCATTCCAGCTCTTTACAATGGATGCTTTGGCCTACGACCCAGCTCGGGCATAATACCAATGACAAATACCAAAACAGTTTACCTGGAGTTCGACACGCCGGGGCTGATGGGACGTGACTTGTCTCTCTTCCATCAATTTTTACAGTCCTGGGGCCACTCAGAGTCCGCAAGAAAGGTAACTCCGGGGCCATTCAGAATTATTTTTCCTCGGGACTTTCGATCAGTAGCAAGTGACAAGCAGCTGAAATTATTGGATTCCTTTGCTGGTAATCTAGCAAAAGTTTTGTCGGCCAAAGTTGAAGAGATCTGCATAGCTGCAGACTGGACTGCAAGCCCACCGGAGCAAAGCGAAAGTCTTGACGTATTCCTCCATGAGGTGAGAGCTCTAAAGAACAAGCGGTAACTAGAGGGATGCTGATGAGTCCAAATACGTACAGATCAATACACACGGCTTTTACTATGCTGCATACCACTCATTTGACGAGTTTCGATCAGACTATATTCAAAAGTATGGGAAGCCACCATTCGTTACAGAAGTGATCAGATGGATATGGTGCGTCAGTGTTTGGTTTGCCGCCTTGTAGGCGGTAATTTCCTGACAGTCATGGATCTATGCCTTAGCTTCCAAGATCTTTAGTAACAGAAGTAGGGAACTGGGCAAGAAGGTGAAACCTCAGGAAAACCGAGAAGCCTTGCGCAGAATCAAGGTGTTTCGCGATTGGTTCCTCCAGAGATACCTGTCGACTGCGACCGAAAATATCTTATTTATCCTTCCAATAGGCAAAGTTGGCCCAAACTATCGCGATCAATACCCTGGCCTCCCGGCGGTGCCATCCACAGGCCTCACTGCGACGTCTCTTAGCCCTTCAATAGGTGCCCCTGAACTGACTGTACCAAGTATGTTGACTTTAACCATCTATAATCTGTTGAATTTTCCCGATGGTATAGCTAACGTGATATCACCTACATCTGAACAGTTGGCGAAATTCAGTACCATTCCAGAATTACTGAAAATATGGAGACTCTCCCTGTCATGGCTGGGCTCATGGGTATGCCAGGTGCAGATAGAGAGCTAGTACAGGTGGCCCTGTATTCTCTTGAGAAATTAAATCTACCAACCAGAATCCAGACCGGCAAATCGATGTTTGGGGAGCAATAAGAAGGGGTATTCAAGGTTGGGAGTTGGGACTAAATGAGACATTCAGACGTACACTAGGAGGCAGGGTAAGTAACAACTCTTTTTGGATTGAGAACGATTCACTTGGTTAGAAGAGCTTTTATTCAAGAATGACATCTATATCCCTCGCATTTAATCAACTCGATAATTCTGTACAGGGTCTTCAGACCATTCAAATTTTCGGGCAAAGCGCTACCGCAGGGAGCTATAAGCCCATTTAACATACCCTTGAAGCCAACATGGTACATAGATGAACATTGGCCCTGGAATTAAGGGGTCTCGGTTACGAAGTCCTTCAAATTTCAGGTGTTGATTGGATGACCTTGATAGGAACACTCTTACGGAGTACTTGAGTTTCTCCTGCGATGGTTACCGAGACTTGCCAGTCTATTCCGTGCGTGTGTTTGATATTGTATGTGACAAAGTCGGGATATATAGGGGCAAACACACAATAGGGACGCGAGGCATGAGAGGGGCGCCAAACACGATAGCTGAGACCTTCTTTGTGGAAAGCAAGTTGGAACAATTCCCCCAAATTAAGAGATGCATGCTGGTCTCCCAGAGGTAGGACCAATGGAGAGTCCGGTTTGTCGAATGTTCTATCCAGGTGGGCGTCAATCGAGGACCGATGTATATCTTTATGAACATTGCCGAATGGAGGGCGATCTGCAACAATGATATGACTGTAGCTGATCAGGGACATTTTGAACCAGTTTATCTGAGCTTCCTGTCGAGTATTCTTTAGTGAATCGCTGGTGTTTTCCCCGTGACGCGCGATGTCGAGGACAAGAGGAAAGTTGGAGCGGTTGATGTCCAAAATGCGAGGATATGTGAGATTTATCTGGAAAGAAACCTTGGGAACTTTAGATGATCTAGTAAGTCTCTGTACCATTTGCTTGAATGATAAGGTTGTGTCGTTCGCAGCGAGAAGTAGTCGCTGAGTTTGGACTTTCCCCTCGAGGGATAAGTTTGTAAGCTGCTCGGGCTGGTCGTTCGGGACCATCTCATGCGGATGATCAATTTTCACTACCGAAGTAGCCATGGATTTTTGAGGCGACCCAAAAGTATGTTTCAAGCTGGCGGTAAGCCAATATTCTATGAAGCAGCCGGCGGCGAAATTGGAATCGCGGCCGAGCCCTTTGAATGTTCCGGGCAGTCCATGATGTCGCGCGTTTTCATCGATCGGGAGAAAGCTTCCCGCCTGTGTTCGAGATTTCGTAAGTGTATCGACTGGCTTGGTGGGTATTTGGATGGTGAAAGACCATCTCAGTGGCTCGCTGCTCGCTTCAGGTAGATGAAGAGGTCCGCTAAATAGCACTTCCTCCAGCGTGTGAAATAAAGTCCAGTCATCTGACACCTGTTGGTCTTCGTCACGGGGCTTAAGATGGCCATTCATGCGACCCAACAGCGAAAGAGTCAATGTAGCCTCAAAACTAACAATATGTTTACAGCGCACGACGCTGCCACTGATGGTGTCGCCGGGGGTGTAGGACTTGAGATCATCGAGATCGAATCGGAGGTGGTCACTCCCCCGGGTACCATGTCGAGAAGCAAACATTTTGTGCAGTGGGAGATAAACCTGGGGTGTTGTGCGCAGCAGTAACGCTGAATTTGAAAGGAGAATACGTCTTCCAAATTGCCTTATCCAAACGGTGGTAGGTAGAAGCAACATTCTAAAGGCTTGGGGGCCAAGGCATACGGCCCCATGAGTATACCTTGGCCCCCATGAAAAATCAAACGCAGCCAATAGGCACACGCATGTCGATCACGCTGGTAGTTTATAGTCAGAGCATCAACGCGTACGCATTAAATATTTCTGTCATGTAAGGTTCTGTCCTTATGTTTCAGATAACCTGCCGTAGCCTTGGCTCAACACGATTTCGACAACGCTCGTATTTACAAAATTGAGGTCTAAGTCCAAGCCGATTTCTTTATCTGAACTCAAAGGGTAGCACGCATCATAATAAACACTCAGGCTCCTCTCTCCGCCGAACCTCCAGCCGAACATTGGGATCAACACCTGCATACACTCCAAACCGGACGGGAACTGCTTGGTATCCGGGCGGCAGACGGAGATCGAATTTCAACAGAATATGAGCCAAACATAGCTTCAACTCTGTGCTGGCGAAAAACCGACCGGGGCAGATGTGTCTACCACCACCGAAGATATTATGCTCCCGACTCGATTGAACGAACTGACTCGCTTTGTCGCCTTCGCGTCGTCGTTTTACGAAGCGGTAGCCGTCGTATGATTCCGGTCTCTCGTGAATGGCAGGATTCCACATGTCGCTTGTGTCGACCATGACATGTGAGCCTTTGGGTAGCTTGGTCCCGTCCGGCAGGAATGTCTCGCGAATGACCTTGCGCTCTAGTCCCACTGTGTTCCCAGTTAGACATGATTTCCGAATAAGGGGCATGGAGACTTACCAGAGATAGGTATCTGCCTCTGTGATTCTTTCATCACGCTATCGAGCAGTTCCATCTTCGCCAGTGCGGCGAGTCCAAGGCCATGCCCCGAGAGAGATGTTCTGATTTCCTGTCGGAGAGGCTCGACAAGTTGCGGATTGTTGGCAATATCGATTAGAATCTGTCTGAAAAGCTCGGTGGTTGTGAACAGTGCTGCCATGGCCAAGGCAAGCTGGACATCGCCTGCTGGGTGCGTGTTTCCGGGGACTTGCATGGTCCAAGCGACAGTGTCATGGTACAAAGGTGCCTCCAAGCCCTGAGCCCTGGCAGCTTCTGCTTCGGATATCCTCTTTTGAACGACCTCTTGCATGATGGTGCGCGCTCGACGCATAAGATCTCTGCACGCCGAGGTATGCGGCAAGAACCATTGTACGATTGGACGCAACGGTGCCTTCCAAGTATGAAGCTCACTGACAGCAGCGAAATACTCGCGTACATAACTCTGAACAACCTCCTGCCACTCTGCATCCGTGGCCTTTTCGGTACCGACGAAGACCGACGCTGCTGCCCATGAAATGACACCGGTAGTATCTTTCTCCCAGTCGATGGTTTCCCACAACTTGCTATCACCCCAGTGGTGTTGTAAAGCCAAGTCGACATGCCGATTGACCACTGGTACGATATTTTCATTCTGTGTTAACTTCGTCCGAAGTAGGTCAATCAGCATCCTGTCGGGGCTGTGGAGTGTGTGTTGCGACTCAAACCCGGGAAGGTGGGCGAAATATTCCTCTCTGATCAGCTCTTGATGATCTAGGTCTTTGTTTGTCCTGATCCAGTCGCTCAGGGAAGATGGAAGAACAATCTTCGTACCACCAGGGACGAGCATTGTGACAGGGCCGCGGTGTTTGGCAAGGCCTTCGGTGATGAGTGTTCCAGCATCCTGGTTGTAAGCAAGGTATGCTTTTCGACGGAAAAAGTCCCAAGGATAATCATTCACAACTGGAAATATCGGCCGTCGTCTTTGGATGAAGTGATATAAGGCGGCCGCAACGGCGAGGAGCGTCCAGGCGACGCCGTTGGAAAGTAAATTGATCAACATCAGAAATTTTTCGACGAGAATGAGAATTTGAATAACATGCCAAGCAGACCTTACATGCTTGACTTATAACATTCAAAGATTGAACCAGGTCTGACTGAATTAGAGGTGACCTGCAATGGCGCATCATGGGTCACCATGAGTCATTTAACCTTATCCATAGCGGCTCCACTTCCCGTTGTTCGTCCCCACCAGTCCCAACTCGCTTAGGATCAGGAGCACAAAGAGGCGTTGCGATCAAGTACCCCGACCTCTGTCTAGCAAGTGATTCTTTTTGACGAAAATTATTACAGATGAGGAGTGACTCCGTGTGAATCTTGAAATACATCACCACTTATCCTCCCACATGATGCTTGATATGATGCACCTCTTCTCCTCCGGCGATGTCATACACAAAGTCATGGACCTTTTCACAATCAAAAGACACGGAATCCCCCGCACACGCCCACTCCTTACTCAAAAAAAAATGCCCGATCGTATTGACAGGTGCCCGAATTTCAGCGCTAACCACCGAGTCTTTCACCGTCCACGCAACACTCAGAGCACCATGTGGAGTCGGAACTGTGGCATTCACATAATCCAATCCCAGTCCGGCGTAAGCAGGCTCTATAACCCAGGTTCGATACCCAAAGCTCGTCGGCCGAATACCTGCCACGTAGTTGGTGAGCGCATATGTCGCCGCGCCGCCCCAGGGGTGACTGAGGGAGGTGTATTGTCCCAGGCCAGGCTCGGAATTCTGATTGACATACTCCCAGCTGGCACCTGAGTTGGTCGACTCGTTTCTGATCATTGCGCCCCACAGGTTCTTAAGTAAGAATGCCGCAGGAGCTGCTTGCTTTTGTTCTAGAAGAGCTGACAAAAGGAACCCGTTTGTGTTTGGCGAGAGATTCGCGGTAGAATCAGACGAGGCAACCTTGCTCGAATCACGATACCCGGGCCCTAACTTAAGACTTGGCAAATGGGACAAGGCACGGTGGGCTTGAGTTCGGTTCGTAGTGCCGGATGAGATGGCAAATCCAAGCGCAGCAATTGAGAAATTTCCGGGATCAGCCTGCTCCAGGGAGTAGAATCCATATTTCTCACTCCACAGCACATTGTTCAGAGCAGCCTTCACGGATTTAGCAAGGGAATTCCATTTCTTAGCTGAATTTCGGTCGCCAACGGCCGCAGCAACAGATGCCATGCCACTGAATGCCTCCACGGCAGCAGCATTTACGGCCGAACCACTAGTTGGACCTAGGAAAGCAGTACCAAACATAGCGAAGTCAATCAGACCTGTGGGATTATTCTGGTATGAGCCAAGCCAGTTAACCGCTAATTTCCATGAGCTCCAATGCTTGTGGGCAAAGGCTATATCGTTGGAGTATTCCATGTAAGACACGAACGAGATCAGGGCGAGGATATGATAGTCTGGCAGAAGGTATGCGATACCGCTGACCGCAAAAGTTTTCGACTCAATGTCCGGTGAGTAACCAAGGGATGGTGCCATGGGAAGTTGACCAGTGGGTAGTTGGTAGCTGAGAAGCTGCAGGAAAGTACCAGTGACATGGTCGTTGCGGTAGGTTGTCACTCCGATGATCCTGGCAGTATGCACAAAGTCTCCGAGCCAAACCAGTCGATCGCGTTTTGCGCCGTCCACACAAGTCGGAAAGTAATTTCCATGCACACCGTATTCTGGTAGGACTTTCGTGGCGTCTGTCATGGAATTGTGATAAATGAGTTTGCCATTTGTGTCGCGCGCAGTGACCTGGCGAACATGGGCAAATTGATCTTGCCATGCACCAAAACCGAAGGCGCCAGAGGTTGAGATTGTCCCTCCGCCAGCGTAGTAGTCGGACAAAGAAACATTAAATATTTGAGTCTGATTCAAACTGACGGCCAAATGTCCTGATCGGACACAAGTGGAAATGTGGTACCACACGCCTTCTTGCACGTCGAAGGGGACTGGAAATGTGCCTAAAGAGTAAGATGACAGGGTAGTCTGATTGACAAAGCTCACACCATGCGCAATACTGATGGTAGAAGGTGGAAAAAGTGTCTTGTTTGCATTGAGGAATGTCGATTCTGCCGGATAATTGCTGACCAAATTAAAGAGGACTCCCCCTCGAGAACGAATGCCAAAATTGGATCCGATTGACCAAAGAAGGCCTCCCCGAGATATCTTTGCTTCGAATTCCAAGTCGTATTCAGTGAAGTTGTAAGTCGAGGAAGAGTAGCTGGGGACACTGCTGGACACCAGGGCTCCTTGGCGAGATATCTTCCATGTCGACGTCTGCGATCCTGCATCAACGCATGCCAATGAGACTGCACGAGCGCCTAGAGACCAAATGTCGTTGAAATCCTCGTTAGACGAGTGGAAGCTGCCGGGCAGAGTCGCTACATCCACTTCACCGACAGTAGATTTGAAGGACACCGAGTGAAATTTCACCGTGCTCTGGGTGAGCAGACGGATACTCTGCCATCTTTGTCCCCCCTGTATCAGATAGGAGCTGAATTGACCAGGTCGGGTGATATTGAAGGTTTCCACGCGGAAGGAGTTGGCCAGGCTGGATACAAACAAGCTGGGACCGTCGCTGAAAGGTTCAAGTAGTCCTGTAAATTGCTCGCTGTATTTGACCTCGATCTGTGCAGGACCAGAAAGATAGGAAATTTCAAATGTCGGGTAGCCAGCCACATCTGCGGCGTAGTCTAGAGTTGCACAAGGCGTATCCGGCGTCAATGTAAAATTGCAGCATGCGGTATCCGAGATCTCGGGGCTTTGCCCAATGGCAACACGTTGACCATGGAAATGGACGCTTGTTGTAGAGTTAGTAAAAGTCCTGAAAAGTATAAAGTAGGGCGACTCAACGAGTTACTCGCGGCAGCATGACATCCGCTCGCCAACAGCGTGATGAGCCCAAGGATTTTCATGGTCAAATGTCGACAGTTGGCAAATCTGAATAACACATCCTTGACATCCCCCGAGACTAAATATGAGAACGGCCCGGCTGCGTCATTCAGCTTTCTATTTTTGTTGCCGACAGCCCCAGAATTCTTTTCGTAATTGTAGTCGGAGAGTCCGAGAGTGGAGCTTCACCGTATTCGGAACCCTAGATCGCCGGTGATCTCTCGGTACGCGTATAGAGTAGAATAGAAAGCGGGGCCGTGGACTTGCTATACGCGTATTGGATATCCGGCTTCATCTGTCCATTTCCTCCCTGAAAGATCAGTATCAGTCGAATATCAGGCTTTGGAAAAGATTTTTGTCATTGAACTTGACGGAAATATCAGCTCCAACGATCAGAGTGCCTGATCAGCAAACAAAATTGGATAGATTCGGTGAAAGTCTTGGATTTCAGCAAGCCTTGCTGGTACAAGGAAAGTGCCTCGTTGACCGTTGAAGCTATTTTGGACCGGGACAGGATAACTTATGTATTTACTTCGATGTTTCAAATCAATTCGGTTGATGATCATTCCCTTGATTCAGAGAATCCATCGCATGCTGCATTACTAATGTGTGTCGCGAGCTTCAACATCCATTTTCGGGTTGTCTGTAGACAACGCTATCGACGGTGGTAGTCAGAGTACCGTTGGCGTAAAACTTGTTCAGCTGAACGTCTACATCGAAATGGAATCCTCCCGGGCCCGTTATTTTGGTACTGTTGCTGATCCCGGATGATGACAAGTTCGAGACCCAATCCACATGAATCAAGGTAACGTTGGGATAAAGCGCGGTCACCCTCTCGTTGCCGGCGATAAAGTTGAGGCCGTCATCGGAGTAATTGTGATACGTGGCTTCAACTATTTCGAGGGCTGTGCCTGCATCGTTGGCTGTAAGGGTAACATCGGCATGGCCACTGACTTGGCCAGTCAAGGTGTAGTTTCCAAATGGCACAGAGGGCGCCGTCGGGGCGCCGTTTCCAGGAACGTAGGGCTCACCCCAAGGAACAGTGTCAGAGACAGGATCGACGACAACTCTCGCAAGGGGCTCGCGGCTAGTTAGAGTTGCCATCATGAGCCGGGCATTTCGCCCACCAGGTGCATTGGAGACTGGGCACGGCAGTGGGTTGCTTCCTCCGCAGTCCGGCTCTTGAGTCAAGAGTTCAAAGTATGCAATCTTTGTACCATCTGGAGACCATCGAGGGTCCGCGCCTCCATTCCAAAATGAGTCGCTCACACTGCCCGAGCTGCCATCACCATCGACGTTAACCTGTTGCCCTTTGTAGTAGCCTGTGTCGTCAGAGTAGGGTGTAACCTCCAGGTCGTAAATCCAGGGCTCGAAAAATCGTCGCTTTCCATTATTCCGGATAGATGATATGGCGGCGGTGGTGAGGGTGTCGATTAGCGGTGGTACACCCCGCATGCCCGCAAAAAACATCAATCGATCATTATCTGTGCTGTCCATAATGACTACCCAGCGACCATCTGGGGAAGTGTCGATGGGATCGACATACTCTGGCCCGTTGGTCACTCGGACTACTTCGCCGGATTGCAAGTCTACCCCGGAGATATCAATATTGCAGGATTCAGCTGGGAATCCGACGTATTGAACCTGATCGCCCACACCTCCGAAGCCACGCGCCTCTCCTACCGAGATAGCCTTTGTGTTGATAGTCAAAGCGCTACCGTTCGCAGAAATCAGCGCCGCGCCTTTTGATTCGTAAAGCCCGGTCACATTGACCAGATCGTATCGCGGCGTGTGAGGTGTGCCGATGGCGGGCGCGGGATTGAACTCCAACCGCGCGAAATAGGCATGCTGTGATGTCGTTGCGCCCGATAAAGACATGGAATTAAAGCTGATGTGAACGTCATCCGGGTGTTTTCGCAGCTCGCGAATATCACCTCCAGCCCCAGAACCATCTGGTGATGTGTTCCATCGGATTGGATAAATGTGCACCTTATCAGGTGTGCATTCAGGACTGGCGAGTTGGGCCATACCACAATCAATGATATAGTTTCCCGCAAGAACGCGAGTACCATCGTTGAATGCTTGGGGATACTGATAATCCATGGTCGAGGTGAGACCATATTGTTGGTCTTGGGGAACCCCACATGTGATACATTTCCACGCATCACCACTGGTGAATAAAGTCCCGTTGGTACGGACAATGATCAAATTCAAGCCGGTGTAGATACTGGCCGGATCTGGGGTAGCCGGGGCTCCAGTGAACTCCAAAGAAGCAGTGACATGGTTGCCATCAGGCAGAAATGTCCCACTCAGGAGGTTGGATGAGTTTGCACCGATGCATCCAGTTCCATGAGGATTGACCAATAGCGTACATCCACCGGTGGTCTCATTGGAGGTGACTGGAGGCAGGGGAAGCTCCACAACCTCAATGGGCTCAGGCTCTGGGGGTGTCGAGTGCGTCGTACCGCGCTTCACGGGCTTGGGTCGGTCACTTTGGGCGGCAACTGTGAGATAAAGTCCAAGAAGAACATGTACTTTGAGATGCATGTTGGTGTTGCTGGCGGCAAAGTCAAGATACAACCATTCTTCAAGCAATCCTGGCTGTCCGTGACCACCCCTTTTTAGATGCCTGGTTCAAGGAATAATCTTCTGCATCGTACTCGTATCATCGGCCGAATTCACCGGCCGTGCAGAAACCATCTTGCAATGCCTTCTCCACCTGAGTTGCGGCACTCGGGTTGCTGGTCGATTCCAACCAAGTGGTCCATGCATACGCGTATTCCTCATCCGGCTACCCGACAGCCACGACCGCAGATGAAGATCGCCATTAAAGGGATAAAAAGAGTTTCAAGTAAAGATCTGCCTAGCCATCAATGTTAGTGCCTTCGGTGATATGTTGGAGGAAACAGGAGGTGGGTTGAGTTCAAATGTTGTTCGAGGTAATGCAAACTGTGCAAACATAACCAAAATGCCCAAGGGACCATGAGACTGACTGGGGTCCGGCTACAGACGCACAAAATTTTGGGCCATACGCGGGTCCCGATACACACGCACACGTTTCATACTCGCGCGCACAAAATGGATGAATAAGCAGGTCACATGATCTCAGTAGTTCTCATCATTGATCATAACCCTACGCTCCCTATATACTACCCCCCCAACAGCAGCCCCCTGGGGGCAATTCCCCCCCAAACCCCCTGGGCGCCCAGCAGCCCCCTCCGGCTCCGGGGGCGATTCCCAAATAAAAAATAGAGGCTGATTTGGCAAAGTAGATTTGACAGATCTCACCTCGACGTACCCTCATTACACCTTAATTAATTAGACCTCATAGGGCATTGCCTCCGGTTATGCTTCAATTGCAAGCATCCTTTACACATATTAGGGGGTCTGGAAGGTTCAATTGATTAAGACCTCCCCCGGCGGGGGGCAAGCCGGTAGATCACCTCCGGGGGCTTGCTGGGGGTAGTACATAATAGCCCCCGGGGGGCTGCTAGGTGGTAATTGCCCCCGGGAGGGGCCCTGTGACCTCTCAGCAAGTGGGGAAGAATTGATAATTTGAAGTTCTGAGATCATGTGATCTGCTTATTCATCCATTTTGTGCGCGCGAGTATGAAACGTGTGCGTGTGTATCGGGACCCGCCATACGCACAAGGTGGATGTTTGCACCATTTGCACTAGTTATCACCTGACCTCATACCTCTCCCCTAATTACCATAGCAACTAACCCCCGAGTTTCCCCCCAAATTCCCCCAAGTTCCCCCCCCAAGTTCCCGCCCAAGTTCCCGCCCCCCCCAGCTCCCCGGGTGGGAATTCCAAAAGAGGAAATAGAGGGTGTTTTGACAAAGTGTCAAAAATAGAGAGATCTCTGGAGAGCAAGCAGCTGGGGGGGAGCAGCCAATTTATTATACACCGGGTGGGAGTTTGGGGGGGTAACCGGGGGGAATTTGGTGGGGATTTGGGGGGAACTTGGGGGGAAATTGGGGGGGATTGCCCCCGGGGGGTAGTATATAGGGAGCTTAGGGTCATGATCTGTGCGTACGGAACTAATGAGATCATGTGACTGCTTATTCATCCACTTTGTGCGTACGGCCCAAAATCCTGTGCGTCTGTAGCCGGACCCGACTGACTGCCTCTCCCTCTTGCCCCTCTCTGCCCCTCTGTCTCAGTTTCTGAAGATGGCTTGATCATACGGTGTCTATTGTTCAATATTCTTCCTGCTGTGAACAAGAGTTCGCTGGCAGTTGCTGGCTGCAAGAGTTTTTCACTTATGCTTCACCCTGGTGGCCCCGTCAGGTCACCCTTAAGCAACCCACGTTCAAAGCTGTGAATTGTTCATGGCACAGATGATCCTCTTTGTATTTTGAATTTAGATAAATGCAAGTGGCTAGTCCTGTCTCGATATCGACCTCGTTTGGATTTAATGACACTTTTCATTCACATTGATCGAATAGATCTGTGAAATAAGCCCTCACCTCCTCAGGCATCGATCGGTATGACTTAAGGTTGTGTTCAACAATTAAGCCACAAAGCGTCGCCTTGGAATAATCTTCAACGTCCCAGAAATCTTCACCCATCATTCTCGCCTTCTCTCCAGTTGCCCATATCTTTCGACAATAGAGCGCCAGGGCAAACGGGTTTCCATTCTCAATTGCCTCATTCAATGCTTGAACAATGTGCTCTTTGCTTTCTGTCTTTGTGATGGGAGCCGCATTGAACTTGCGGGCAAGGGCTTCGGCAATTTCATTGCCGGTAGGCTTCAGTTCACACAATGCTATGTCACGACCCTGCAGCTGACTGGTGGGTGTTGAAGCAAAGATCTGGGCGTGACCTGCTGCCACATAGGACCGTGTGCTATCAACGAATTAGACAAAAGCAGACTGGAAATTTGACTGTGATGGCAGACTGACCAAAGATTTAAGGGCTCCGAACCACTATCGCCAACGAATTGAATTCTATTGTTTTGGGAGTCAACGCCCATTGCACTGGAAATTTTAAATCCACAATCAGCAAAATGTCTCCTTCATGAACGAGCGAACTACTTACGACGTGTTCAAAGCGAACTCTGCAAAGTTCCCGGGAAGAATGACCGTGGTAGGGATTCCGGCTTGACGAGCTGCTGTCTCAACCTCGGACTTTTGTCGGTTCACGGGGATAGTGTTGCCTTGTTCATCGTATCTTGCCGCCAAATTAGAGGGAACGAATAGTTTGACTTGTGTCTTTGGGATTGCCTCAACGAAATGGTGTTGAAGAAGGACGCCGCCATGTCCAACAAGGCAACTAGAGAGGAGCATGAGTTCGCAATTTTTCATGTATCATGCATATCCTCGTTCCGTGTTCCCATCCACTGACTCACATGACGATGTCAATATCCTTGAGTTTTTCGACCAATGATGTCTGGTCCGCCAAGTCAACTTCAACAACCGCAACATTGGTGGGTAAAGATGATGTGTCGGAACCAGGACGATGAAGGACCCGAAGGGTAGCACCTGAGCTAGCAAGTGCTTTCACGATTTCTGAACTAGCCCATCCCCGGTGGCCATAGACTGCAATGCGATTGAAAGTCATCTTGTAATATGTTGGCTTGGACTGACCGTGATCAATATTTCGAGAACGTGCGGGATTTCAGGAATTTAAGTACCTGCTGGTGTGACCTATACTAGCTGTTTGCATCAACCGCGTTATTTAATTGCTGTTCGGAAGACAGTGATCATTGATTGGCTTTCATCGCAGGTATACTGTTGGCCACAAACATGTTAAACCATCCAAACACGAGTAAGCTACTATGATTGGCTGAACTGCCCGTATGGTGGGGCCAGATACAAACATGTCAAAACATGCAAAGTCAAGGAAACTATCACAATTGGCTGGATTTCTTTTGGTGGATCTCAGGAGACAAGACAAACATCCGCCCCATCAAAATATGCAAACCTTCCAAAGTTGAAACTATCCAGTGTGGTAGCAGTGAAAATTCTGCTCAACTGCTTAAGTGAGGAAGAGACCAGACTCAGAGCATTAATTTCTAACTTGATCAATAAATAGCAACCTCAGAGGCTTGATTGAGGGCGATCATCGCCTAAAAGGAACCTTGGAACCATGGAGATAATGTTGATTGTAAACACCGCACAGTTAGTCTTTTAAAACAGACCACACGCACAACTAAACCATCATGAGATCATCACGACAGCTTTCTGACCAGTGAGGCCAAGAGAATCATCCTCGTTTCAGACATATAGAGATCCGGGCAAACGGTAGAAAAGGCAATGCAGCATGTTGAGGATGTAAAGCGGCTGGGTTGTAAAGTGATATTTGGCGGTGCCGCGCTTCGAAATTCAAATGGCTATTTCATTCAGCCGACGTTGGTTCGTGATATGAGCCCAGAGTTGATCACAACGCGAGAGGTATTTGCGACTGTGCTGGGTATATACCCACTTGAGACGGAGGAAGAGGTTATTTCTCTGGCAAACAAGAGCGATGTGGGCCTGGGAAGTTTTATCATGACCGAGAACATGTCGAGGTGCGTTCAGGTGGCGGAGGCATTGAAGTTGGCATGGTTGGGGTTAATGTGGGCATGCTCAGTGCGTGTGAAAGTCCATTTGGAGGCGTCAAGGATAGCGAGTACGGGCGTGAGGGAGGCACTCAAGTAATTGAGGACTAATTTAGCGTGAAGTCTATTCTCCTAGATGTTAATCACTAAAGACAATCATAGATGCAATGGATGCCGTTGATGATCACCAAGAAATGAGTCTCTTAAGGGGGACAGAGCGGCCGGGTCGGCAACACCGGGTAGTGGGGTAGTAAAGTGTAGAAGTGACGAGGATTGGTTGGATATGTGACAAGATCCACCTGTACCGAATGTAAATTGCCTGGTTGGCCCAGTGGAAAAGGCGCTGCGGGGGCGGTTCTAAACCATCCCGGTTCTGAACCGTGTGGTGGCCTGCCTTTCGAGAGACCCTGGTTCGAATCCAGGACCGGGCAACTTCTTTTTTTTTTTTTTTCCCTCAAACAACTGGGCCATAAAATAGTGAGTCAATCGTGGAGATTCGCAGAAAAGTCGGCGCAGATGCCATCATTCTGGGGTAAATAGTAGTCCCGCCTGCCGTGATGTTGACAAAAAAGCAAACGCTTCACGTGACTGGGCATGTATCAGAACACGCTAGCCCCCTTTGGCTCAGAATCGAAGTACCAATATCTATTCTTACTCATGAGGCCTCACTGGAGGTGTCGATCGGACTGTTTACATGATGTTTGCCATTAACAGCATGTTTACTTTCACGTTTACATCTGGTCTCTGTAGTTTACATGTGACATTTTCTCCTAGTAGATGCCCCCACCCATAGCTCTCTCTCTCTTCTCTTCTTTTATTCTTCACCTTTACTATCTTCGAGTACTGGACTTCTTCCTTGATCTCAAAACCAACCCATTCTGCACTGTCTCAGTCTCCACAACAAGAATGGCTCCACTCCAGAAACCCAACATTCTTCTCATCTCTCTTCAAGACCCCCTCGACCTGCTTCATGCTCCGCTGGTCGACGCTCTCCTCCAAGTATCAAACGTCAAACGCGCCGAGACCGAAACTGCCGCCGTCGAAGTGATTGTGAATACTTCTCTGAGAGCAATCATCATCACGGACGAAAGTCTCACAGAGCCCACCGACGAGAACGAGGAACTATTTCTCGCTGTCAAGTCCTACCTCGAGGGCGGCGGACTCGTCATCCTCGGTCTATACTTTCCAGGCAACGTCGATTGGGCCAAAATGGGGTTTTTTTTCGAGGATTTCGGTCTTTCTTGGAGGGCTGGCGACTACATCCGCGAAACTTGCCAGATTAACCACGCTTGCGTCTTCCCCAAGTCTCTTCGGTTGACTTCGCTGCCGGTTGAATTCAGCGTCAAGGCCCTTCATATTCGAGGTGCCAAGAAGACAGAGCGGATGTTTATTACCTTTCCAGATTCCGAAGATGAAGAGCTTGCCATTCGCGGTTTGCTGGGAGATAGAGAGCAGAGAGTACAGGCTGCGGTTGTGGCGGGGAACGTCGGTGCTGGTGTTATGGTTTACTGTGGTGATTTAAATGGCCAGCCCCACACCTACGCACTGATCATGGCACTTTGTGGCTTCACGTACGAGAATCCGGAGGGCATGCTTTAGTCAAGGGAATGAGCTTTGTCTACACTGGAAACCAGAGAGTTCACATGTTGCGCGCCTTCCATTGATTTCCTTGAACAAAGTAACAACTTCGCGAATACAAAGAATTTGAGTAATATGACTTCAACCGCAACTCCATTACTATGAGCAAAAGAACCTTGGAGACATGATAATAAAACACAAGAAACGAAAAACCAAGTTTTATCAACCGCGGAGTAATCACTTGCGCAAAGCCTTCATCAGCTTTTCCATGCTTCCTTTCAAGTGAGACATGATGAAACTCCCGAGCTCTGCGTGCATTGTCGGCTTCTCATCTTCGTCGAGATCGCCGTAAGTGTCCTCCGCTGCACTCCCATTCGCAGCGACGTCAAGGTATAAAGAGCGATCCTCTTCGTCCTCACCAATAGGCACAATGAAGCTCCCGAGTTTCAACAGGAGCGAGTTCAGTATCAAACGACACATTCGGCCGTTCCCGTCGATGAACGGATGAATATTCACGAACATGTGCGTGTATTTTGCCGCAGTGGCAATGGGGTCGATTTGCCCATCGCGGGTGGCCTGGTTAAGGTCTGAACGAAGCTCGCGGATTATGCTCTTCATTTTATACGGGACCAGTGTGTGGTGAGGAAACTCGTGAAGACCGGCTGAAACCGCCTCTGTGCGATAGACACCGCTGTATTCCTCCCAAGGCATATCATCGGCATCGATCTTGTAGGTGAGAATTTGATGTGTTTGGAGTATGATATCCTCGGTGAGTCCGCGATCGCAGATGCAAAGCTGGTTTATTATGAAGGAGGCAGCTTTTGCATGTTGGATGATTTCGCGACAGCTGCGTAAGATGGCTTTGGTGTCTGCTGGGAGATTCTTGCGTAAAAGAGCATCTTTCAGCTCCAAGAAATCCTTTGCTTCGTCTCGGTCTTGGGGTATCTCCCCACCGCGAAACACTGCTGAACAGAGTTTATGGGTGATGGTGGCAGTGCTGCCAGCGCGCTCAATCAAATTTGATCCAAATACCATGGCAATAAGACGGTTGAGTATGCACTCTTCAAGTTCCGCTTTATGCTCAGGGTCTGTATGCTCTTTCAGCCACGAAGCAAGTTGGTCTGTAAAAGTCACAATCTCGTGGAAAACGTCTTCCGGTTCGAAGTCATGTGTGCCGATCTTGTAGCTATATGTATTATCCATCACGATGGAAAACCCATTCGAAAAACCTGTCGAGTTGCGAAGGGTAGTTTGTAGATGTTTTCCCAGACATTCGGGAAGGTTCAACTTTGGAATTTTGGGGGGTGTTTCCGAGGTGGAAGATGACTCTTCGGCCTCCTCCGCCAGGCGTTGGCATTTCTGCTCCGAGTGATTGCCGGATGAAGCCATGATTGTGAGCAAGAATGGTGGAGAAAAAGAGGTTATGAAAGTGAAAAGAGAGTGAACTGATGGAGAATGACAAATTTAGCGACGGGTCATGGATTCGGTGGCGGCGCGATGTCCATAGAACCACCCCGTTCCAAACATTACCTACACTTTACTCATTACGGCAGCACCCTTGTTAATCTCATCTGCTCTCTCCTTTTGTAAATTTCTCTGTTCTTTCCCTTCTTCTTTCCTCTCCTTCCTCTCCTCCTTCCTCGCCTCTTTCCTTGCCTCTTTCCTTGCCTCTTTCCTCGCCTCCCTTCTAAATTCTACACTGGATATGGCCCTGCAACATCACCCAGGCTCTTGATCGTTGCCATATCCTGGTCCGTCAGCTCAAGGCCTGAGTACAATTTGGCAAAATCTCGCTCAACCCATACTGACTGTTTGAGCCTGTTTGGCCCTGGTATAGTGCGGTAACGGGCTCGGGTAAATCTTCTTTCCTTTGCGGACTGCCCACTAGCACAAGTCTCTCAATCTCGGTTTGTGATTTTCCCCTTGGGTCATATTCTCGGGTTGTAGAACCGAAAGAGACAGCGGGTAATGACCCAAGCTCTGGGAGTGACTTTGACCCAGTCCACGGGTGATAGGTGTGCTTACCTCTCATGGACACCAGGATCAACCAGCCAAGGGTGAGCAAGAGCATCTTCGATTGCTAATCGTCGTTCAGGAAGACTTGCCATTGTGCGCAGCACAAAGTCCTTACAGAAAACACTTGAATTACTTAGCCGCTGGATGGGAAACGATCTGGGATCCCCGCCAGTCACATATTGCTGGTCGGGGAAAGGTGGTTTGCCAGTTCGCAAGCAAAATGCCACAGCCCCGAGTGCCCACACGTCCACGGCTTTTGTAAAAGATTCCGAGGCGCCGCATTGCTCCGGGGCCATGTATCCACGAGTCCCAGTCCATGTCCGCGGTTCAGGGCGTTCTGTATTTTTGCAGATTCCGAAATCGGCAACTTTCACGTGCCAGTTGGGACCGCGATGAGCGACTAGAATGTTCTTTAGGCTAGTTAGTAGAGCCAATGTAAAGCACATCCAGAGAACATGCCTTGGGCTTAATGTCTCTGTGAACAAAATTCTTGCCGTGCATGTACTGCAGGGCGCGGGTAACTTGGGCCACGATGGATGCAGCTTCGGGTTCCGTGGGCAAACGTGAGACTATGACCTCTTGGAGGTCTCCAAGTTCCAGGTATTCCATCGCGAAATAGAGGTATTGAACATCTTCGAACCAGCCAAAAAATTGGACAAAATGCTGGTCGTACTGCAACGAAGTCAGTTGAGCTACCAATAGATGGTTCATCTCTGTACGAATGATCTACCTCAGTGACATCTGGATCGGAGAATGTGACTAGGGCTTTTAGCTGCCGGGTAGACATCTCTTTTGCTTTGGTCTTCAAAACACATTTTACGGCTCGGGTGGCATCTTGCGAAGGCCCTGAGACGCAGATCTCTCGCCAGACTTGACCAAACTGACCCGTTCCAATGCATTTGTCACGACGCCAATACTCATCGCCAGAAGTTTTTTGGTGATATCGGCGGTTGCCGAGCCCGAAGGAGGTTATGAGCTTCCATTTCCGTAGATCATGTTTGTTGAATGTATTCATAATTTATCCTAATTGTTAGAAAATAAAGAAACTTTAGAATCGGACACCAAACAATTGAATGAGGAGAAGTCTTGTTCTCGCTCTGAACGCGCAGGGACAGGACATTTAAAGGGCGGGCATGATTGGTTGAAATTTTGTCTTACTGCGCCACCTGGCCAAGGTACTCCGTACAGCTGCCCAGGTCTACAGGTGGAGTACTTATAGAAAGTAGCCTTGAAAAAAGGATACATAGTACACTTCTCAAGCTCTTTGCGAGTCCATTTCTTCTGAAACCCAACGATCAACATAACTTTTCTTGACCTCCTTCTACAGGTATCGCGGTAGCCACCAAAACTTTAGAAGGATCAGCCCTTGTCCCTGCAGGTCTACAGGTGGAGAGGGGGGTTCGCCCGGGCGCCAAGCACCAATGCGGCTGAACCATTTATACCCGCAGTTTGATTGGTCCATCAAGGTTCGAGTGACAATATTCGCCCGAAAACTATTCGCTATAGCCGCTGTGGATGCATGTGGAATCCCTGCTAGCTAGTATCAAACATCCTTGACTAGTGGCATACAGGGTTGTGTAGTGCCCAATTCTTGATGGGGGATGACCAAAGATGTACCCCAATCTTCGCGTACGGCTCATCTCTCAGGTACGGGGTATCGAATAGTCAAACAACCTCCGAAGTAAGCAGTGAATGTAAATTTTGGCTTTCACGTACAAAGTAATGGAAGTAACCTAGCTCTGTGGCATCGATGAGCGACGTCCAGACCGCCTCCAGGGCTCCTGCATAACCGCCGAGAATGAGCAATAGTACTTGTCGATCTTCGGTGCCTAATACGGAGTAGGGACCTGTCACGATAGATGCCCTGCGCCATGTTGCCGCGAGTTTCACCTGCGTGATTTTCCCTTCTTTTCCAAGTTTCCTTTGTAAGCCCTCACTGGGACCACATGTGCAGGTGTCAACCCTTTCGGATTGCCTTGTTCCTTTCCTAGCGCACGGGTGCTAGGCACCCTTGAATCGGGAAAAATCCAGCTTCATCTTTCTAACAATATGGTATCTTCTGGTCAAATCTCCCCTGAATCCAAAGAATGGAGTAGGCGAAAAGGCGGGAGAGCCTCATTCTCTAACTTGGCGTTTCAGCTGAAAGATTACCTGGCGGAACAGGCGCGCACTCGGCTCTCACCGCGAATGGGCGATAAATATGCGCAGATAGTGGTATCATGTTTGACGTGTTTGGATGAGGACAACGAAGATTTCGGGGCAGGAGTGGAGAGCGATGGTTTCATTGCAATCCAATTTATTGAGAGGATTTTGAACCTCCTCCACCACATTTCGCTATAAAGACGCAATACATCGTGTTTTTTCACAAGGTCTTTTTCAGTTCAATATTTGCTTCGCGATAAGTTGCCATATTGGAAATCGGCGACCGGATCTCGGAATGGGTTGCCCCTTGCCACTTGGTGCTGGGCCAAATTTCTCAAACAAGAAGCGACAGACGATTACATGATCCTTCCTCGAGATCTATATCAATAACTTCAATCAGCCATTTTATCAAGCAAAAATCAAACCTAAACCCTATTTTCTTTTGGATCTCCTGAGCCCCATATCATTTTTGCGCGGTCTGAAATCAAAGCCCAGCCCACAAGTCCATCCATTATGAGCAGTATCTTTATGTGAGTCCGTCATAGCGAGTAAGTGAATAACTGGAGCTGACACGAGACAGAACTGGCGTTACCGGCTTCATCGGTGGAGATGTGCTGTACGGCCTCACTCAGACATTAGCAGCTTCCAAAATCGTTGCACTTGTGCGCAACCAAAGTCAAGCAGCTGCGGTTACTGGCCGCTTTCCAACCGTGACTCCACTCCTTGGAGACCTTGACTCTAGCGTGGAGATCCAGCAGGCGGCGTCCCAGGCTGACGTTGTTCTTCGTAAGTATCGGGATGAAGTATCCTCGCATATCAAACCTGTTGGAAATACCATACTGATTGGAATATGGGAGAATAGACCTGGCAAGCTCAAGCCATGAGGCTAGTGCCAAAGCCATCGCTGATGGCATCAACAACAGCAAGCAGCAACACCCGAGTATGTATCACAACTTGTGGCACAAATGGACCTCATGGATCACTGGGTTGGCAAACAGATGCTAACACTTATCTCAGCATGGATTCAAATTGCCGGCGCGAGTATGCTGGCAGGCTCAGAAGTTCAATCCAAGACATTCGGCCAGCCTGGATCCAGAGTCTACAACGATCTGCAAGGCATTTCAGAGATCCACGATATCATCGGAAACTCCCCGAAGCGTGTTGTGGACCATCTGGTTCGTGGCCTCGGCTCCAGCAATCCCAATGCTCGCACGGCCATCGTATACGGGCCTCTCATTTACGGCAAGGGAAGAGGACCCGTCAATCAACGGAGTATCCAAATTCCACACCTCGCTCAAGCATCTTTGAAGGCTGGAAGGGGTCTCCGCGTGGGCCGAGGCCTCAATACTTGGAACACAATCCACATCGCGGACTTGACCAACCTGTTTGTGAAGTTAGCCTGTGAAGCTTCCAAGCCCAAGAATCAGCAGCTTTGGAACGAGAATGGTGTGTATTTTGCTGAGTCGGGAAAGATTGTAGGTCAAACCAAGTGTCGTGAGGTTTGTTGTTTTGATAGCTGATCTTACAACCCAGGCCTTTGGCGATATCGCCAAGAAAATCTCGACGTTCGCTCATTCACAGGGATTCATGAAGTCACCCGGAGTGGCTGAGATTGACGCAACTACTGCTGACAGGCTGACTCCCCATGGCTCAGTAATCTGGGGTACCAATGCGCAGTACCAAGCGATCCGGGCTCGAGAGCTGCTTGGTTGGTTCCCGCAAGCACACGGAATTGATGAAGAGATTCCACGGGTAGTCTCGTCTGAGGCGGCATCGTATCAAGCCAGGCCAGCTGAGAAGTTGGTTTGATTCCGCCGTTGCCGATGGTGTTTACTTTGTGGATCAGCGACTCTGCTTAGGTTGGCATTTTTATAGAAATTGGACAGTTATATATGTTTGCAATATCTGGATTCGAAGGTCCGAATAGTAAGCCCGACCGGCCAGCTTGGTGCATTGTACTCCTTGGTAAAAAAGTTTCTACATTCAGAGGAGTAGTTCTCTTTTGACAGTCCGCAAATACATTGGCGATAAGTGACATACTCTTTGGTAATTTGGACGGCGCAGGCTTGAAATTTATAGCAGTACTGGTGAGATTTTTGAGATGAATATGGCAAGTGCTCACACTTCATCTCCAGGTGGGCTGAAATCCAGGGCTTTCCACCCACGAAAGAGTTGGTTGGGTTGAAATGATGCAATCCGGTAGAGTGTCGAGGTTGAGAGAGTGAGGGTTGTCCCAAAGGGGTGGCCGTTCATGCCTGAGGCCAACACAAAGAGGTGCACGTGCCAGGAGTTCCCAAATTGGCAGTTTTTCCCGATGACTAATCGTGTTCCTTCGCCCCTTTCGGTTTGGGAGAGATCGTCTTTCTCCACCATCTCTCGTTTTGGCCAAGACTGAACTACACCATGGCAACACGGAATCGCTCTCTAACGGGTTGCAGCACATGTCGGTCTCGACACTTGAAATGCGACGAGACTCGACCAGGATGTCAGCTGTGCCTCACATTCGGACTACCATGTCCTGGTTACCAAGCTGAACTGAAATGGACTCAGTATACGCACTTTCAATCGAAATCTCGACGAAAAGATGAAGCTCTGGATCGTGTGTTCCGGCGGCAATTATTCTCAGGTAAGTCACGATCTGTCACCACATGGGTGTGAAATCAACAATATGTGCAGAGATCGAACAAGAATCTATGACACGATTGACCGTCGAGAGTCTTGGGACTCATGATGTGAACGAAGTGGTTGATAATCTGGATCGAGAAAACCATGCCCAGCCTGATGACCGCCGACAGAGCCTCTTGCAGGGGCCTTTCGGCGTCTTCAATGCCGCCCCAAATGATACGTCATCGGTCAATTCGATAGGACCAAGCTCAAATCCAGGCAAATCTCACATGGCAACACCACAACAGACCCATGCGGTCCCGACACTGCCTAACTCACCCCTCGACTCCTGGACACCGGGGCTCTTGACCCCAAGCTCGCAAATGCAAACGCTTTTTCCCTCGCCGGGTCAAAGCTCGGAATCTGAAATCGCGACCATAATGCATCAGAATAACTACTCAGACGGAGGAATCTCGGCCTTAGCGGCCTTGAATCACAGCCCTTTCTCGCCTTCATCGGCCACGACTGCTATCCAACAAGAAAGTTTCGTTATGCCAGAACGAGCGCCGCAGCTTTTGCGGTATTTTAAGAATGAAGTTGGCTCACTCTCGTACCCCCTCAGGGGCAACAAGAGATGCCCTTGGCAGACTATCCATCTCCCAAGAGCCGAGAAAGCATATGCAGAGCTCCTGCTCCACCAAACTGCTAGCAACACACTATTCTGCCTATTCTATTCCCTTCTAGCCGCCAGCTGTTATCACCTCCTTTACAAAAAAGACTCGAGTCTAGATTGGGAGTCCGATGGGAAAAAGTTCCATGAGCTTTCCCGTCGCTACCTCGAGCTGGGAATACGACAAGAGATTGCCATGGACGGAAAAGTGAAATACAAGGAGTTGCTTATGGCGCTGTTATCAATGACGATGCTTGAGGTAACTATATAATGCAGACAGTTACAGGACCCTACTGATTGATTCAAATTGTCTTCAACTTAGATTGCCTGCGGGAAGTTTGCCGACGCACAAAACCTCTTGGTAGAGTCCGAATGCTTGATCCGAAAAAGAGGCTTATCGAAAGCCCACAAATCAGTCAAAGTTCGCATCCTCCACCACGTCTACACTTATATACGCATCATGGCTGAGAGCACGTGCGGATGTGCTCTTATGGATATATGCCCTACAAGACCCAGCCAATGGCTCGCATCGGACGAAACGAACTTTGCTTCCTTGCGCAGTTTTCGCGTGGTGGATCATAGCACAACATCAGACTTGGATTCTACACTGGAGAAGACATCTCATATCGGAACCAATGATATTCACCTGGAGATACTGGGAGTTTGGAAAGAGTCACTTTTCCAAGAACTTTATGGCCTGCCGGAGTCTTTGATAGGCCTCTTATCCCAGACTATCAGGCTCGCAAATGAACAAGAGTTATTGCACCGTGACACAACTGTTGACATTGACCTCGTCCTGAGTTTGAATGAACGAACGAAGACACTGGAGCATCAGGTCCTTTCTTGGAAGGGCGACCAGGCTGCTTCGGTGTCCCAAGAGGACGGTTCTCGAACGATGAGTCCTGATTCCAAGAACACTAGGTCGGACTATGCCATCAGCTTGGCTGTGCATCAGGGTTTGATTCTTTTTTACTATCGGCGTATGCATAACATGAATGCTCTGATTCTGCAGGATACTGTCCGAAAGGTGCTCGGCTTTGTCAAAGAAATTGAAATTTCCAGGCTTTCCAACTACCACAGGGAAGCTTCACTCCTCTGGCCTACATTCATCGCAGCATGCGAAGCTCTGGAGCCAGAACTACAGTCCGGTCTACTTGACTGGATCTCTTCTACCGGAACTCGTACCTCCATTCCTGCCTTTGCCGCTGCCGCAGACGTTGTTCAGCGGGTGTGGGAAATGCGACAGGAGAAAATGGACTACACCCTTAGCTGGTTCAATGTGATGGAGCATGACCGCTGTCCTATCATCGTTGTCTGAATCTGCCCAGTTGCTGAATATTTCCACTGGTCAATCAGAATCAATCATGATATGGAGGACGTCCGGACGTCAGCGGCGGCACCCGATTGATCCCCACAATGGTAAAAACACTTGAATGATTCTTCTTCAGTTCGTCAATCGGAAAATGGGATAGAGCTCTGGCTTACTCGACTACGAGTCGTACGGACCTACCCCACTTCCCCCACTTAATTCGGAGTTGCTGAGGGGTCAGTTTCTTCCCTTTTCCTCATCCCCTCACCAGGTCGATCTTACGACACATCGCTGCATGATGGCTTCTAATAAAACACGAGGCATTCTAGATGTGGTCAGAGCATGTGACAAGTATGCGACTCAACTTGACATGACATCATCCCCGATCGCTGACATCTGTTTCTCGAAACGATAGCTATTCGCCGCAGAATTCGTCTCATTTGCCCGGGGCTGAGAGCAAGTATGCATTCAAAGTGAATGGCAGTGACGCTCTGCTGGGGTATATCACACATTCAACAGTGGAAAGAATTCAATGGTCGGACTCGTGGTCAATCGACCACAACGAACGGTCGGTGACTTTGATTACACCAGCGACAGCGACAATTGAAGATCGGTCAATGGCTGTCGAAGAAACACTCAAAGAAAACAGACAGCTAGCGACCGTATCATTGCTCCAGAACTGGCGCAATGAGACTTTCCCGGTATACGGCCCAGAGGGCCACGTCATCCTCAACATGGAACGTTGCGCAAGCGCATTGTTCGGCATCGTAACATACGGTGTTCAACTTCTCTGCTACGTCAGACACGAAGAAGGTATCCGACTATGGATAGGCAAGCGGTCGCCCAGAAAACAAACATACCCACGCATGCTCGACACAACTGCAGCTGGCGGACTCGGCTCAGGGACCCTGCCATTTGACGCTCTGACCTCCGAGGCATACGAGGAAGCCTCATTGCCGGAAGCGACAGTCAGAACAAAAGCCAAGCCGATGAGCGTGCTCACTTATTTCCACATGCGTGGAAGTACAGCAGGTGGGGAAAGTGGCCTGTTCCAGCCAGAGGTTGAATATACCTATGCGATGGAATTGAATGAGGACTTCGTCCCAAGGCCCCGGGACAGTGAAGTGGAATCATTTCAGCTCTTCACCATCGATGAAGCGTTGCACTCTCTCAAAGAGGGTGAGTTTAAGCCAAACAGTGCTATTGTCATTGTGGAATTCCTCATCCAGCAAGGAATTTTGACCCGCGAGAATGAACCTGACTATGATGTGATCTTAACACATCTCCATCGCAAGCTAGAGTTTCCTGTCTTGATCCAGCCATCTCGGTGAATATGTCGAGGCAAGGGTTGAAATTTTGAGTCATCCAAACAGAAATTAAGCACAGGGCCTGTCGCATATCATCATTGGACTCACTCTGGGAACCACTTCAAGCTCGTTCTACATGGTTGCGGCGGAACATTCACAACCTTGCCGAATATCAAAGTAGCCAAGGATCATCAAGTAGCTGCTTTGCAGTCTTGCGCTCTTCCGGCATCCACGTGAGCATGGACCCGAGAAAGCGAAGGAAGGATTCTGCATCCACTTGAGCGAATGTCATCCCAAGAGCCATTAGGTCGGGGGGCCAGGCATTGGTTGCTTGACGTCGCGCAATGAGAGCAGCACGCAAGTTGCGGACCTGGTTGGTTCTAGCTAGCGCCGGCGGGGCATTTGTTGAGATGGAAGTTCGTCCCAACCCTCGTTTGCTGTTTGTAGATAAACCCTCCTCACTAGGCTTTCTCTCCTCTCCCTCTCTCTCTTCCTGAGCATTCAATACGATCGGTTCTGTCTGCTTCTTCTCTCTCGCCTGTAGGCTTATCAGCATTCAGCTGCATATGCGCATCGGTACGGTAAAAATCCAAAGCAGTACATCGGGTACCCAGCCAGATACAGTTGGAGTATTCCTGAAGCATAGACTGGTCCGTAGTGTGGATGTATAAAGGGAAGGGTCTACGGTCCTCCAAACAGACTGAATACGGCGAGATTTCGGTGGGGATTCCGGTGATGTAAATCAATGCTGCTTCGATATGTTCCATCGATGAGCCGATTCGGACGGAGAAATCTCCCGCAGACATCGGATGAGCGGATCGAATTTTGATATTGCGACAAGCAATCGCAGAACGCAGACGTGTGAGTCTGGAGTGTTGAATTAGATTGCCGCTACGAACACGAGCCTACGGGAGGCTTTGGAGGTATTCGGCCTATACGCCAGACGGGATTTCGTCGTTCCTGATATGAATTTGGATTGGATGGTTTCTATAAGGAAAGTAAGAAAAAACTTAAGAGTAAGAAGAGATTACTGACCGTGTTGACATTGTTGAGATAGAAGTTCGTCCCAACTCTTGTTTGCTGTAGATAAACCCTCCTTCCATAGGCTTTATCTCCTCTCCCTATCTTTCTCTCTGGCAATCAATTCTCGGTTCAGTTTCCTTTCTCTCGCTGTGCTCTCTCAACAGACATCTTTGCGGTTTCAAAAAGTGAATAAAGGCTTTGCTTCTTTAATAATACCGAGGGATGCCTCAGGCAGATATAAGACAAGCAGAGTACAAGATGTGAATGGTGGTTTCTCTGCTTCAAAACTGCCCAGACATATCTGAGGCAGGGATAAGGAGAGCAGGGTGGAAGAGAAAGGAAGAGGAGAAGAGGAGAAGAGGAGAAGAGGAGAAGAGGAGAAGAGGAGAAGAGGAGAAGAGGAGAAAGGGGGAGGAAGAGCTATTTATACCTAGGGTACAAAGTGTACGAAGAGGACGGGGAAGAGCTCCTGCCTATTTTGCGCAGGACTCTATTGTACTGGGGACAGCGCTTTCCCCCCTCCACGAACAGAAGACGAGCAAACAGTCAACGATTTCCTTCTTGTCTTGCTACGATCATTCACCCTCTACTGGCCGGCACTAAGGTGCCAATGGAGATCGGCACGATCGCCCTTCGGGGTCACAACCTTCGGTCAAAATACGATAATTGCTCGAATGGACGGATACCTGAGCGCGTGGTCCTCACATCCTCCATAATGAGCGACAAAGTCTAACCTACCCACTCAGAAGGTGAGTAAAAGAGAACAATCATGTTGAAAAGTTTTGGACGCTAATCTCATTATACAGGTATCTCTTAGTTGCATAGAAAAATTTGCAACTCTTCTGACTAGTCGCTAGTAAGGATGGAGAATACATCGAGGAAGTGACCGCAAGCCCGGCCAGTAGCTCTCAGGGAACAACAAGTGGGAAGACTTCGTCGAATCGGCCGTTTCTCATTAGCCAGGAGTATGGTCCTTTGGATTTTGGAAAGAAGAAGGATATGGAGCTGTTTGCGCGTATCATTCTGCACCATTGTTTGGAAGTCTCTCGAGTCATTGAAAGGACTGACAGCGCTGGCAACTGAGCTGTGAGATCGTGATGTATTTGTATCGTACTATCGGAAACATTCCTAAGTGGGGGTATTTTTTTTAATATACCTTTTTTTCTAGTGAGATCTCTGTAAGGATTTCATCTCAGCCGAGCGACTAAAAGCCAGGCATAAATGCCCGTGGAACCCCGTGCAAGGCCATGCCAAGGTGGATGCAATTGGGCGAGAAGAGATATGGCGAGCTATGTGGAGTGGGAAAAGGGTAGAGCGAAGGACCGTGGAGCTGCATTGGGAGAAATAGACTAAGTAAATTGAGCAAACACCGCAAATCCCCAACAATAATAATCTTTGTCTGCCATATTGAGAACAGAATGCTTAGCAGAGAGTAGTTCCAGCCGTATTGCAAGGATCTAAGTAATCAATTTAGTGTCAAATCAACACGGTCGCATTTCTAGGAATGACTTACTGTCCACATAGTTGAATGTCAATTGTCCATGCTCAACGTTGTTGTCTCCTGGGTAGAAGTAGGGAACGCTGCCACACATTTTGCATCTAATCAAAGTCAGCAGCGTCCACACGGGATCATATTGAGGAACGAACCCATGATCCGGGATATAGTGAGCTAGCTCCTTGATCTTGCCTCCATTGGTACCGCCAGTACCCTGTAGGAATGCGCAGTAACCACCACCATTACCAGCTTGGTTGCTTACACAGGCGATGTGCTCGCCGTTGTAGTACCTGGGGGGTTTCAGTGAGCTATATCTCTTGATAGAGGAGTCGGCAATTCATACCATCTGTTCGTGTCAATTCCGTCAATCGACTTTTTGAGATTGTTAGCCACATTATCCGGGCCCCAAAGGCCACTGCACTTCGCGGATCCTCTGCAGTTGATGCCCAGCGCGGCGTTCACGGCCACAGCTGGGAGAAGTAAAGAGAGAATAGCAGTGAACTTCATGATTGTAAATTTGTATTGCGTTTTATGACCTTTGTTGTCGAATTGTCGAATTGGTTTTTCAAATGATATTTAGAAACGGACGGAAAGGGCGAGCTTTATAAGAAGACCTACATAATGTCTTGGGATCTTGTTAGTGCGTTCAGTGTGCAGAATAGTATTTTTGCCATACGGATGGCTTTGGAAGCAAGTAGGACTATGTTGACCCGACCCATTTACCGAAAAAGGATCTTGGTCTACGGACTCCAAGGGGGTTTTCATTGTTCGGGATCCACTTGGCGACGCTGACATTTGCCCAGTCTCTCCCTTTCTTTTCTTTTTTCATCGGCTTCTAACGCTGGGCCCTGAACTACCATCCCTAGCATATTCGAACCGAGACTCGATTGAATGAGAATCAAAATCAAATCTAATAAAATAGACGCTCCCATCTGGACGAGCGAGCAAAAAGACTATATCTTGGGAATCTTTTTCAACCTGAGTGACCGCTGGATTTTGCCTTTTCCCTTGTGCCCCAAGAATACCAGCTCAAACTAGTCCGCAGTAGTCCGTGTGATCCGCTGCATGATGCAGGGTTTGATCTGCAAGTCAGCAGTGATAAACTCAGCCCTGGCGATCCTTCTTTGAAGGGTGGTATTGATGAGCAAATCAAATTCCCTCTTTTGAACAAGCGCCGGGCTCAGCCGCACGGTTAAAACTCTGGTGTTTGCTGCCAGAACCCACTTGTCGGCTGATTTTCCCCTAAGTTGGACCTGAAATGCCTCAATATTTGCTTTTTCGAAGTCGGATTCGACAGGATTTTCCTATTTCACACTACCAAGCCTTTCTTGGTGCGATTTTCGACCCTTTCATCTGTAGCTGTAGCCTATTGAGGTCTTGGTGCCCTGAAAGATGCGGTCGCTGAACGAATTTGGAAGTTGGTCTTTGCTGTAAGGTGTCGGCAATCATGTTCACTGGGTGCGGGTGACCTGCATCGGGACTCAGTCAGTTTCCTCTTTGGGTTGCTTCACTGGGCCGGAGAGCCAAAGAATGGTCGCGCATCTCGTGTTGAGCTTTCCAATAGTAGTGCCTTGTAGAGATAAAGGAAAATAGGTAAGGCAAAAAGTAATTTAAAATGGTAGCAATGCCCTTATGAGCTACACTGAAACATTTATCATCACCTCACTTACCAGTCTTTCCTCGTCTTCAACCACCACCCTCACAAGTCTCCACAATGGGCAACTCATCTTTCCTCGGCTTTGTTCTTCTGGCTCTGTCCTTGACGGGATCTGCCACTGCCGCCTTCGGAATCAACTGTCGAGGATCTGCAAACTGCAACACATTCGGCGACAATCAAATGGCAATTCAACTTACCCGCGCGATTGAGGGAATTGACACAAACCGGTGGTACAACAATGGGGAGCATATCGCCTGCATTGGCTCCGGTGCTCGCATTACCGGAAATGGTGGCTTCTGTGCGTTCCTACAGGGTACCGGTGGTACCAACGGTGGCAAGATCAAGGAGCTAGCTCACTATATCCCGGAGCATGGGTGAGATTCCCTTGAGTTATGAAATCCCGATCGAAAAGTACCTTAGCTGACGAGGTTAGTTGCAAAACATGCGGAAGCGTTCCATACTTCTACCCTGGAGACAACAATGTTGACCATGGGCAACTTACATACAACTACGTCTCCAACGCATGCACCAAGGATGGTGCTCGACTCTGTTGAGAGATTATGGAGCAGTTCTTGGATATTTTGTTAAACAAGTATAGTTACATCGGATAATGAATTCATTTCGAATTGACCTCGAGCCGAATTGGTGCTCAGCGCCTGTACCACATCCTCGTCACTGGCGTTCTCCGCATCTTCCTTTGGAGAAGGAAGATACCTTGAAGTAGGGCCTCCGCCGTCGGTGGACAGCCAGGTACATATATATCGACCGGTATAATGCGATCCACTCCCCGTACCACATTGTAGCTGTAGTGGTAGTATCCTCCACCATTGGCGCAGCTGCCCATACTAATCACCCATTTAGGATCAGGCATTTGGTCGTAAAGTTGTCTCACTGCTGGAGCCATTTTGTTGACCACTGTACCGGCCACAATCATGACATCTGCCTGTCTTGGCGAGGCTCGGAAAATAATTCCTAGTCGATCCTGATCGTAGCGCGGCATAGAAGTATGCATCATTTCGATTCCACAACAGGCGAGACCGAAAGACAAAGGCCAAAGGGAGCCTTGTCTTCCCCAGTTGATCAGCTCATCGGCTTTGGTTCTAGCAGAAACTCGATTGTCAGTTTGGGATACAAACAGGCGATAGATTCCTGGTTGATTTGTGCAGGACATACAATAGATAGCCGGCATCTCCTGTCTTTGAGCTCTCCAATGATGTTGATTGGCCTTTCTCCAATGATGGTGGTGGGCCTATCCGTGTCTGTTCTTTGGCTGATGTGCGTACATATCGCTGTGTTGTGATTGTTTGCGGCGAGAAGCATGGCTTGGCGCGATGGAGGGTGCTGCGCAACGACATAGTCAACGACATAATCATCAGTTGAGAGGAGAGAAGGATATCGAGGGGAGAGAGTTCGAAAGTAATGGAATCACTTCACTTCTCACTTTCCAACAACTTTTATATTTCGTTTCAAGAAGCTGCGTCCCAACGTCCAATCAGAGTGCGCTATTTGAGTATCGGCCAATCAAACTCTATTTAATTCGGCGACTTGGTGGGGCTACCCGCGCGAACTCCGCCGACTTGAAGACGCCGAAGTGACTTCAACCAACAACTCACTTCGCATAACCTCAGAATGCCGCGCAAAGCTCCAGCAGCTAAAGTCGCCTGCGTTATTTGTCACGAGCGGCGGGTGAAGTGCGATCGCACTGAGGATGTCGCGTGTTCCAACTGCCGAAATGCTCAACGCGACTGCGAACCCATCATTTCTCGCCGTGGACGGTAGGCTCCAAGCAACAAGGCATTGATTATCATACTCATGTGACTTCAGGAAGAGAAAACTACCTCTTGGCTTCTCCGAGTCAGTCCCAAGCAGGAGCTCTCTACGGAGCTCCCACTTTATGGCGCATGGAGGGGTGACGCCTTCAACCACACACCAAGTCACTCCTACTGAAGCCAACAAAGCGCCAGAAAAATCGCCATGCTTCCCAGCACTTGGTCCAAGTGGTAAAACACAGTATGTTGGAGATTCCTCTAACCTTAACTACTTGGTCCAGCAGTTCGGAAATCCCTTCGAGGGTTCCACGGATACTCGCCCATTGCAAGACCACCTCCACGGGGCAATGCTGGCTCGGGTAGGAGACTCGACGATACAGGAAATTGAGAGACTTCGTCAGTCAAGCCTTGCGCATCTTAAGGCTGAGGGGGCTTTTGACGTTCCAACCCTCGAAACCGGTCAAGCTCTTCTCGACGCATATTTCCATTATTCGTTTACTACGTTGCCCATCCTTGATCGGTCCAGATTTCGAGCTCAGATTGAAGATGGATCGGTATCGCACCTACTTTTGAATGCTGTATACCTCACTGCCAGCTTGTACTGTTCCGATAAGCTCATTTCAGACGCCGGGTTTGCCTCACGGTATGCCGCAAGCCTCACGTTTTACCGGAGAGCGAAATCTCTCTATGATGCTGGCTTTGAAACCGATACCATTGCAACAATCCAAGCAACATTCCTAATGTGCCATTGGTGGAGTGGCCTGCTCGAACCTAAAGACCCATGGCACTGGCTAGGTATATCTGTTGGGATGGCGCAGGCTTTGGGGCTGCATCAAGCGTGTGTCTCCTAACTACTTTCATGTTACTTTCTTATACTGACACTCCGCTAGGAAGTCCTATATCCGCTTGGGGGAACGGGAGCGAAATTTGTGGCGGAGATTGTGGTGGATGATATATGTTGGTGGTTGCCTCCATTGTGATCATTGCGCGTTGACTAACTTAGATCCAGACAATGGATATAAATCTGTCTATGTTCCTCGATCGCCCGCCACACATTCAAGGAAGACTTTGCAATGTCCCACCTCTGACACAAGATGATTTTGAACCCAACGATGACCCTAGCGACAGTGAACCCTCCGATGGGAACTTTTGCAATGTCAGCATGTTCGTTATCAACGCCATGCAACTTGCTCGTATAGGTAATACATCGTCTTCTCGTCAATTCATTTGCTAATATGCCATACAGTGGACCGTTTCTTCACCATCAAGTACGACGAAGACACTGGGCATTCGCAAGACATTTGTTTAGAGCAGATCTCATTGTGGTCGAACTCACTACCTCCAGGACTCCAGAATTTTACGTCCAGCCAGAGCATATGGGCTATCTTAACTCGAATCTTATACCAGTAAGGTCCCCCGGGGTTAAGATTTATATTCGACTTGAAGCTGACGGTACTCGGGATGCAGGACATACCGGTTGGTTCTGCATCGGAGCAATCCTCGTTTCTCGATCAACACAGGGCCTGGTACTCCTATCTTCGAGATATGCACCGATATATATCACATGCTGGAGATACTAATGGCGAAAGATCTGGTTTACGCCGCGGCAGGGAACATGCAAGTTTCCTTGAGGAGCCTGGGAGGGTTCTTATTTAAAGAAGGTGAAGGGCTAACGAATTTATCAGAATTGCTTCGGTGTTGTCCGTGCTTTCGATCCAAATACTCAACATCCACAAAGGCGATCCCGGTGTCCGAATGATCTCCGAGCATCGCGCCCGATTCTGCATGATGATACTCCAGAACTTACAGGACAGATTGCCGATAGTTGCAGCCTTCCTCCCAATATACGAGTCGCTCCTCAAGGGACGTAGTATGGGCTTCCAGTCACAGGGTGGCGAAAATGCAAAAGAGCGTCCACCACGACAATCAATGCAACATGAAGGGGCCGACTCGGAGAACGAAATGCACAATGGGAGTTTGAACATCACTGAAGGGTTGTTTGATCAAATCCCGCAAGATAACTTAGGCACATTATTTCCGTTTTCTTTTCCGTTTGGTAATTTGTTTGAGGATGTCATGCTTGGCTAACTCTTGGTTCCTGTCCTCGGATGCTATGGTTTATAACTAACTACTGAATTGATTTTGCTACACTCGTATATCTTTGAAATGGCTTTTTCTGAAGAGGTATCTATGGACGCTTGAAAAAAAGCATACCTTCAAGCGGAATAGTTTTCCCCTCTCGAGAACTCTCTTCTTTCTGATGTGAGCACTAAGCTCCTTCGGCTTGGGCTCCACCCAATATTATTCGCGATTTGCGCAATTTGTAAAGAAGAATTCAGAGATACCGTTGTTGAAAATTTGCAATACCAGCAATGAAACATGTGTACGGGCCGATACGCGGATCTAATCATGCCCGTACTTTAGACTTACCGGGGCTATTCCGATTACGGCGAGACCCTGAGACCCTGATTATCTGATCATCTGATAAACCTTAGCTAGACAGGATCATCGTGGAGTTAACTACATTCGATATCCTCCAGTGCTAACTAGTCAATTTTTGGAAATTGCTCTGTGCACAGATATAATGGTTACATTCCTGGTGCGCGACGATCCACTTTTTATCCAGCCAACGCCCACCATTATGTCAGAGATTTTAGGGGACTAACAGTGCACATTTTGACACTCCGGACCTCGGTGGCCTTTGGGCCGACAATTTATAGAACGTGTACTGAGTATCTCCCTCAGCCTCGTCTCGCTAGATCGCTTTCACGACTGTGAACAGCCTTCGGACTTTGGCCGAAGCCTAACGCGCGGTCATCTCATATCCACACCTTGGGCATTTCCTACCGAGGCCTTTTGCGACTAGGTAGTTGTGGCTCAGCACCTCTCAAGCTCCGAGGCTACAAGTGCTCCATATTGACTCAGATATATGACTCACGAATAAGTGAACGAGGTAATGTTTTTGGTGTTACCGCTGCCAAGCAGTCGATGCAAGATTTCCACCTCGTGCGTAGGTCAGAATCTTAAAGCTATGATGCACTTTCACTGGAGCTTGTTATATTAATTAAGCTACGTGCCGAGAAGTCCGTGGTCGTGTCTTGCAAGGAGGCGAGACAATTTTGGGGGATTCCCGAGGTCCTTTGGCTGACCCCAGAACTTGATACTATGCTCGCCCACATACTCGTACAGAGCATTCCGTAGAGATGTCATATCGACTACCAAGTAGAACATACTCGTATAGTTGTTGAGCGATTTTAAGATGATTCTTATCTGATTGGTCTAAAAATCGAGCCCTGCTCGATGCAAAGTTTACTGATTCTACGATCGGTGTCCTCCGAATTCCGAGCTACCTGGCGGAGTCTGACTGTTGATCCTAGGAGAAATAAACTAGTGCCCACACTTCTAGAAGCTAATAATTGTGGCGCTCATTTCAATACTAGTGTATTGGATGCCAAGCATTGGCGGGATGCGCCAAGCACTAGTGTGATCAGCCAGAAGTTGGCATGTGTAAGCGCCGCAATTCAGTCGGCCAGTCGATGTGAGGTGGTATGTATGGGTTTTTTCCCTGCATTAGATCCATGAGCTACGAGTAAAAAAATTTACAATTTTGTCAGGTGTGGATACGCTGATTCCAAGCAGCTGTGAATTGCGTGGTTTGTGATGAAACCTTTAGCGTTCCTTCAAGCCAAGAGTTATTTTGTTTTACCCTTGTAGAATCCAGCTGGTAGGCAGGTAGAATGATTATCAATCTGATATCATGGGTAACCCGCTTGAGGCCTTGGTACTGTTCGAGTTAAGCACTTTCATCTGTACCCATACAGGGTACCGCCACCGGTCCAAGCCGAATTGGCCCGAGCTTGCCCTGAGACAGAAAGTGGATCTAATCTGATAAGGGTCTTAGTGCGGGCTGGCTGTATTTGGCTGTATGTGGCTGTATCTATGTGTTTTTTGCACTTTGCGTCCCCACTCCTGTAATACACAGACTCAATGCAATGGAGGATCCCTCAGGGTTCTCCGCGTGATCTGATTCAGAAGGATTCGACGATCTAATTTTTTTCTTGCTTCTCTTCTTCAGGTTTCCCATCTCGTGAAGGGCTCTTGATACACAACAGAGCATTTGGAACCAGTCATGGAGGCCCCGGATGAAAAGACGGAGTCCAAGGGAGGGACATCCTTTGTATGGAGATCATCTCTAAGTGGGAAAAGCTCAACTGACCTATTTCACATCAGATAAAGAATGTCTTTGACAAGATCCCCAAGAAGGAGGATTTCAAGCGAGCTTTCTCCTTCGCCCGCCTTCTATTCTCGTTGAACTATACTAAGGTTGATGTCCTGTTGATTATCGTCGGCACCTTCTTCGCCATTGCCGCAGGTGTTCCCGAGCCATTGCTTGGTATTGTCCTTGGTCAACTTATCAACGAGCTCAACGAAGTTTCCTGTTCCGCCACTGCCTACGATCCCTCCTCCGTCCGAACGAAAGTCCTCTACCTCATCTACATCACAATCTTCAATTTTGCAAGTATCTACATCTACGCATCATGCTGGGGTCTTGTGAGCGAGAGGATTGCTCGTCGCTATCGAAAGGCTTACTTCCGTAGTGTCGTTCGCCAAGAAGCTGCTTTTCACGACAACCTCCCATCCGGCCAAGTTATTTCCCGGTTGGTCAGTGACATCGAAACGCTACAGTCGGGTACTTCTGAGAAGGTCGGTATATATGTCGCTACCCTATCATACTTCGTTACGGCGTATGTTGTGGCCTTCATTAAGGTCCCTGTCATCGCAGGAATTTTGATTGCAGCCATCCCCTGCTTCTTCGCCATGGCACTTGTTGGAGGACATCTCGCCGCTCGATATGGCGCCCGCGTGACAAAGAATGTCGACCTCGCTACTTCGATTGCGTCTTCCAGTCTGTCTCACTTGAAGATTGTTCATGCATTCAATGCTCAACAACGCCTCGAAAATCTGTTCTCCGGTCATTTGATACAGTCACGGAAGAATGCTATCAAGAAGGCAGCTGTACACGCTACACAAATGGGAACTTTGTTCTTCATTGTTTACTCATGCAACGCCCTAGCGTACTGGAAGGGTGCTCATATGATCGCCGATTCAGTTGATGGACTTAACTCTGGTGCCTCTATTGGTGCAGTATATACTGTGATTTTTATTTTGATTGATGGTTAGTTGCCTTGTCATACCTGTCATGTCAATGCTCAATTGACTAACTAGAATGCAGCCACCTTTATCTTCAGTCAGGTCTCCCCTTACATGCACGTGTTTAGCGCTGCTACGAGCGCATCCGGGCGCTTGCTAGAGGTTATCAACCGCGACTCCGCCATCGACGGTACAGGAAACACTGGAGAAGAAGCTGCCGACTTGGGAGATGTTGAGATCGTCTTCAAGGATGTCGAGTTCACTTATCCCGCCCGACCGGAGATGCCGGTACTGCAGGGGCTGAGTTTGTCGATCCCACCGAAGAAGCACACTGCCATTGTCGGTCCGTCGGGTGGTGGAAAGTCCACTACTGTAGCCCTCCTCGAGCGCTTCTACGATCCATCAAGTGGCAGCATCTATGCTGGAACTCAGAATCTTCAACAGCTCAATGTCGCAAGCTTGCGAGGTCAAATGGGCTTTGTGCAACAAGAATCTCAACTACTGGACCGCTCCATTGTGGAAAACATCGCCTATGGTCTCGTCGGGTCTGCCGAGGATGAACTGGCCGAGGTTATCCTGGACATGCGCTTGACTGATGTTGTCGCAAGCATTCAATCAGGTTGCCCTGAGGAAGAGGCTCTCGCATCTGCTGATCCCAGAATCGCGGACATTTTCAAGCGCGTGAAGGTGGCAGCTGAAAAGGCCAATGCACTATCCTTTGTTGAGTCACTGGCATTTGGCGTATCTACCTCCGTTGGTACCTCTGGTGGCCAGCTGAGCGGTGGTCAAAGACAGCGCATCGCTCTTGCTACGGCCCTCGTTCGTGAACCCAAGATTCTTATCCTCGATGAAGCAACAGCTGCCCTTGATTCAATGAGTGAGCAGCTTATCCAGGCCTCTTTGCACGCACTGGCTGGAACAACCACGATCGTATCTATTGCGCACCGCCTGGCTGCGGTTCAGGATGCTGATCAAATCATCGTCGTTCAAAATGGCCGTTTGGTCGAAAGCGGCTCTCCCCAAGAACTACTCCAGAGCGATGGAGTTTATGCAACCATGATCAATCAGCAAAAGCTTGATAACGCCGAATTCGATAATAGCCGAGGCTCCTTAAGTGACGATAATAGCTCTCTCACGTTGGACAAGCACGACCCGATCTCAAAGGACACTGTGGTTGACAAAGAGCAAACCGTCTACTCGACCGAAGAGAAGGAGGGTGTTGAGGGCAAGACAGATTCCGACATCGCCCTGCAATCCAAGGAGCCACAGCCGTCAAAGCGCCTTACTGCAAAGATCTGCTTTGCCTTCATCCGCCCCAATATCCTCCTCATCATCATTGGTCTGTTTATGTCAGTGATCATCGGAGCCAGTTACAGCTCGAACGCGATTCTTTTCGGAAACACCGTCGGAGGGCTCAGTCCATGCAAGGGTTCAGCCAACATTCGATCCAGTGGAAACCTGTTTGGAGGCATGTTCTTCCTTGTGGGATTTGTGGAGCTGTTTGCAAATGTCATCGGTGGATGTGCCTATGGTTGGGCAGCCGATCAGGTTTTGTATCGTCTTCGCATTGCTTCACTGCGCTCCTTGCTCAGTCAATCCATGACATGGCACAGTGACGATGGACGTACCCCAGGAATGCTCATCGCCTACATTACTGGAGATGCCTCGGCGATTAGTGGCATCACCGGAACGACAATGGGTCTGCTTCTTGCGACCGGTGTTAATCTCTTCGCGGGTGTCATTATTTCATTTGTGGTCGCATGGAAGATTTCGATTGTACTCGTTCCAACAATCCCCATTCTCCTTTTGGCTGGATTCATGAAGCTTCGCGTGCAGGGTCAATTTGCCGAACGTCACAAGAAGGCATTCTCCCGGGCTACCGAGATTACTGTGGAAGCTCTAGGGAATCTACGCTTTGTCGCTGGATTTTCTTTAGAAAATCAACTCTACCGTGAATTCCTTTCGGCTATCCAAAAGCCTTACAAAAACACCACCAAGGCCATTGCTTGGGGCAACTTCTGGCTCGCCTGGGCCTTCAGTGTGAGCAATCTCATCAGTGCTCTTGCATACTGGTGGGGCTCTAAGCAGATCGCTTCGGGGCTTTACTCCCAGACCCAGTTCTTCATTGTCCTCCCAGCACTATTGTTCAGCACGCAGTCCTGTGGTCAGATGCTTGCTCTGGCCCCGGATCTTTCCAAGGCAGGAAAGTCTGCTTCTCGCATCGTTAGCCTTGTCAAATCCAACTCTGCAGAGGAAGATAGCTCCAGTGGAGCCATCACTCAGTCTGCAGTGGGTTTAACGACAGAAACAAAAGATGCCGAGGCCAGCGTTTCGTCCGAGAAATCCCCACTCGGCTCCCCCAGCCCCGTGGGTGCGATGCTTAACCAAGTATCCTTCTCGTACCCCAAGACCGCCCACATTCCAGTTCTCAATGAACTGAATGTTGATTTCAAGCCAGGTGGCTTCTATGCACTGGTTGGCCCTAGTGGCTCGGGCAAATCTACCATCTTCAGCATGTTGGAAAGATTCTACCAGCCCACTTCCGGCTCCGTTGTGATCAATGGACAGAACATCAACCGAGTCTTTTCAACAAGTTTCAGAGATGACATTGCGCTTGTTCCACAAGAGAACGTCCTTTTCGAGGGAACCCTGGCTTTCAACATCGGATTGGGAGCAAGATCTACACACACAGCTACTCAAGCCGAAATTGAGGAAGCGTGTAAGCTTGCACAGATTCATGATGTGATCATGAGCTTGCCCGATGGCTACGAAACATTCTGTACGCATGATGGAAAGCAATTCTCTGGCGGACAACGCCAAAGATTATCCATTGCCCGAGCTCTGGTTCGCAAACCAGGCCTTCTCTTGCTTGATGAGTCTACAAGTGCGCTGGATGGTGAATCTGAACGGAAAATCCAAGACGCGTTGGCTGCGCTCGCAGGAAAAACCACTATCATCGCTATCGCTCACCGATTGAAGACCATCTACCGCGCAAATCAAATTTTCTTGATTCAGGACGGTCGCTGCGTGGATCGCGGTACTCACAGCGAACTTGTGGAAAAAAGCGAAATGTATAGGGAGAGTGTGCTGCATCAGTCTCTTGCTACTTGAACTTAACTTTAGAATTACTTATTACGCGCTCATAGGGGCACTTCTAGAGTTTTATAGATTTATTTATTTATGTTTGTAGAATGAACCCCGGTCTGTTCTAAAGTTCTATGTACTGAATGGCTCCACCTGTACGGAGTAGACCTGGGCATCTAAGTAAGTAGCGCTTTAGTTCGGGCGATATCCATGGGTTATTAAGCGGCGCCTCGGGCCCCGGGGTCTTGTCTCGCGACCGGGCCGAGTGGTCCCACTTGAGCAGACCTGGAGGTCTCTCTGAAATCAATCACCTGGACATCAAATTTACAACATCAACTTTAAAATCCGATATCGTAGACAGGCAGGTAACAATAATTTATCCTTCTAAAGTTCCAGGCAGCGAATTCAATGATTGGGGGGAGTATTTGATCTCGTATTAAAATAAAACAATATAGGTGCAGATATATAAAGTGAGGAGTGAGGGGGATATCCACACACAGTATCAAGGTCAACATTCCTGAAGTCTCGATCGATCTTTTTTGTGTGGCACTTGTCAAGTGAGAATACTTAAGTATTTGAGTGTTTCAAGTGCAAGAAGCGCTGTCACTTCCAAGTCAGAAGCCCTGGAGGGTAGATATTGTCCACTCGGGGGTAAAGGCCAAGCCGATAAATTAAAGCACAGTACCAGGGACTTGCTTCTTGTCGACATTGATATTTCTCCAGATGAAAATGCAAGGCAGACCCAGTGCCACCACAGCAGTGGTCGCAATGCAGCTGAACTTTTGAGTTTCACCCCAGGCAAGGTTGACAGCATTTCGGATCTCTGATCCCATGGGATAGGTCATCTGAACCAGGTATCCTCCGACGTAGATGTCAACCCAGTCAGCCTGGGCCTCAGCAGGAAGGTTGGCCACCAAAGTACCGGGGAAAACGTTGGCATAAATGGCTGATGCGACGGTGTTTCCGGCAGCACCACCGAGACTGGCGAAAAGGCCAAGAATGGAAAGCATCATGGGCACTCCGTCGTGGTCTGCTTCGGCCATCACGGCCATGTCTTGTCCAATGACCAACATACCGCCTGCAAAGGCGATGAAGATCTGGCACATGACAATATATCCAATACCATCATCAGAGCCACGGAAGTGAACCATCAATCCAGATCCGAGAATCATCAGTGGGAGAGCAAAGAAAAGACAGGCGTACTTGAAGTGCTTGGTCTGGCGGATGTAGAGACCGAACAAGGGTGCACAGAAACACGATCCAATGTTGTAGATCTGGTTCATGTAGCCCGCATCGGAAACGCTGAGATCATATACGACCATCACAAAGTTGAGGAAATAGAGATCCCAAGCGGCATAGCCGAGGTTCAGCACGGCGGACAAGATGCAGGCACCAAGAACAGTTCGTCGTTTGAGCAAATCGTACTGGATGAATTGCTTGCGAGCAAAGAACTTTTCCCACGCAACGAAAACGAAGAATAGACAGAAGCCAATCACCAACATAGCGATGAAGGTGGGAGATTTATATTGGGCCCGTCCGTAGGTTGCCAAACTGAAGGGCAATAGTAGCAGGATGAAGGTAGCCATCAGTAGAGCTGCGCCGATGACTTTGGGAAGAAGGACGTTAGTAGGTATTTGGATTTGCCGAGGAATTCCACTTACTGTCAAACTCGTGGATATAATGAATAACTGACTGAGACCAGGTGCGGTCTGACACGGGCCTCTTGTATAGACCCATCTTCAGGGCCTTTTTCTCGTAGAACTTAAAGACCACGGCAAGGGGTAGGAGAGTAAAGGGGAAGATGATAGCAAATGCACCGTATGCCCAGCGCCAAGTTGTCATAGTCAAGAAGGACTGAGCAGCAAGTGGGCCAGTGAAAGCCGTGCAAATGAAAGGCGTGCTGGAAAAAGCGAAGGCGAAGGCACGGTTCCTCAGTCCAGATGTATCGGCAATGAACACATCAAGGATCAGGTAAATTGCATTATAGCCAACCCAGTACATTGTGTATCCGGCCGCAAATCCACTCGGGCCATTGCATGACGCCAACACAATGATTCCCAGCAGGAATAGACATGTAAATATGGTAAGGGCTTCAGCACGACCCCAGATGTTCAGGATTTTGGCAATGGGCAGCTTGACCACTCCACCTACGACGGTGGCTAGGATGGCTGCCGTTGAAATCTCAGGCGCACTGCTGAAATTGGCGTAGGCGTTCACAATAACGTTCAGGCCGATCGACGAATGGAACGCCAACATGAAAAAGCAGACCCAGATCCTAGAAGGTGAAAGTTAACGTTAGTTTGATCGTAATTCTGTAGTTAAGCTAGATGCTCGATTTTGTAGTAATTCTTACCAAGCGTAAATTCCCCACACAGCGTTCCTACTCCAGGCCAGCACGACGGCTTCGGCCTTTTGAACTCCATTGGCTTCGCCAATGATAGTCTGGTCCTCACTTCCTCTCGTACTCTTTTCATCAGAGGCTTGCATGCCATTCCGCGGAGAATCGTGTTCAGACATCATGTCAACTCGACCCGTGCTGAATTGGGCGCCCTGCTTAGAGGGGTTGGATGAAGAGAGGCCCAACATGAGACAGATAAACTGAAACAGACAGGTTATGAGTAAGGGCAACACTGCTGAGTGTAAAAGGAAAGATTGCGGAAGATCAGATAGCCCTGGAAGGATCAATAAATATCATCCAAGGCTGCGCGTTGATCTAACCAAATTGGTCTTTTTTTCATTTATGCGCGTGCGCCCACCGATTCCGGCGCGGGTTGCCACGAGAGAAAAAAAAAACCGCCCCTAGTAAAAATCTAGGCTTCACAGTTGGAATTATTCTATCTGCTGATTGGGTAGTAATTTAAAAAGAGGCCTTCTACTAACGAGTGTGCGACCAATCATCATATCCACGGCGATTTCTATTGAGACCATCGTAGCATGACCCGGTATTTCGATATCTGCGCGCCAAATTCGGCTCTTGATACGATTAAAAGATCCAGCGGCGGATTCGGAGAACGTGAGGCCACGCCAGAACGCGAGATGCCCCGAACATGGCAAGTCTACACGCCGCTCCCCATAGACACGATGCGACTTTTACAAGCACATCAACATGGTTGTTGTGGATTTCCTGGACGATCTTCAGCTATACTCCCGGTCAGTGTAAGACACGGGTAGCCATAGATCACTTCTCTCTGTCTCTCTCCGGGTCGTACGGAGTACTTTAGTCCAGTGGAAGCATCGGCCCCGACCCGGCGCACGATGATGGAGTCTGGCCACAGGTGTTCTCGTGGAATTCGGCAAATTTTGCCTCCAAACCCTGACTTGGCTCGTGGGCCATATGGAAACACAACAAAAGCCTGTTACATAAGAAATGCGAAACTGTCCAGGCAGGAACTTCGAGTCAGGAAATTCGAGTCGGATCAGGGGCCAAAAAAGGCTTGGCTAAATTCTGCCTTTGCCAAGCGTCGATGTCTCAAATGGAAAATAAGAAGTGGCTAGCAGCTCCGCCGCGTAGTGATACCACCCGTTTCAAGCAGGCCCCTGCTCCCGGTTCTGTGTATTTGAAAAATACAAGCGGTATCAGCTCAGGACCCTGGTAAATTACCAAGTGGGTCCTGCATGTATAGCTGTATCAGCCAAGAAGAATAGATAATCGTTGTGAAGGAATAAGTTTAAGTCTTTTTGTCTGCGCATGAAGATTGAAAACAGTTGAGAAGATCCTCGCCCACTTATTGCGACTAACGCTTCATCCGATGCAAGATTCCGAGATTCCGAGTCAAGGGGAGCCATGGGGTTGCTCCCTTCAGCTCTCGACTCGCGCGGGTGATATTGATACCCCGTCTACTAAATTTCACTCGCAGGCTGACGGGAGCGCCTCGTCGGGGCTCCAGTGTCTGCAAAGTTTTGATGTTGGCTTTCTAAACCGTGCAGGGAACGATTGTCTTGCAACGTTGATTGACGGATACGCTCGTTGGATAATAACCGTCAGCGATCAGAAGCATGTTGCGTTTTGCGCCACGATACAAAGGTCCGATGCAATCGTCGAGTCTGTAATTGTGGTGGCGCAATTTGTGACTGGATCCAACGAGCTTGTCTGGGAAGCACATAAGTCGGCCGGTGTAGGAACGGATAAGCTTGAATTTGGATTGTGCCTCGTCAAGGTCGCAGAAATTGAGCATATTCTACCAGAATCGGTAAGTAGAGATGTGACGCCAACTAGAGAGGAATAATTGCTGAAACCTGCTGTTTTTTGAAGGTACGAGTCGCGTTATCGGTCGATATACAAGAGTCAGTCGCGACTCTCACCCACCGAAGAGTTTCGACAGAGGGCGCAGAGATATTGAGTAAAAGTCACCTGGAATCTTTCCTGCGCAGCAGTGATGCTCGATCATATTGGCAAACGGAGTTGCGGGAATTTGTCGGTTGCACAGAGAGACAATTCCCAGCCATTTCTTGCGACCGTTTGGTGGTGGCTGCAGGAAGTGATGAAACTCTGAGTCAAAGCCTTACCTTTGAACTTTCATTGGCACAGCTGGAAGCCCTAACACAACAAAATTATTTGACTTCTCCCCTTTCCGCGATTCGCGCAGCCTTTGCGTGCATTTTAGCTGAGTATATTGAATCAGACAGAGTGATTCTGGGAGAGCGGGCATTGGAGACCTCGGTGCATGATGGCTTCGAAACTCTGGTACCAATCGTGCTGTTGCCCGATGATACTGCCCAATCATTGTTGTCTCGGGTTGACGAGTTTGCTGCGAAATCGGCTCAGATGTCAAAGGTATCTACGGAAGTTGCCCGTGAAATTCTCGAAGCTCCTTCGGACAGTCCTATCTACAACGCGCTCCTCATCCATCATGTGGAAGAGACATCATTCGAGAGCTCAACACCCTCACCAACTGAGACCTCAGCTGCCACCTCTGATGCTGCCATCAAACTGCACCTCCAACTCCTGAATCAAGCTGATCTTGAGATCACACTTTCAGTCAAAGCGACTTTGATCGACTCGGCTCATCTCAGCCTAGCACTACGCCAGATTAGTGCTCTTACCACAATCCTCCTTACTCAACCAACCGAGTCCATCCAAAACCTATCAGAATACTTCCCCAATGACCTGTTGGCGGTACACACCCCCAACGTCAGTGAGCAGCTTAGAAACGCACCACTCCTTTCTCCCGCACACTGGGTTGATCACTGGGCAGCGAGCAACCCCGACTGGAATGCCGTGGAGATTGTAAGCGATATCAGCGAAGATGGGATCCAATCTCAGACCTGGACCTACGAGGAGCTCTCTCAAACATCGAACCAAATCTGCGATTGGATTAAAGCTCACGGGTGGCAGAATCGGTCGATCGCAGTGTGTCTCGGCCGCTCTTTCATGGCATACGCGCTTGTTCTTGCGATTTGGAAAAGTGGCAATTGCTACGTCCCTGTCGCTGAAGATCTTCCCGAGGCTCGACAAATATTCCTACTTGCAGACAGTGGCGCAATTGCGTTTTTCGCTGATAAAAATGTCGCTGAAACGATCGTTTCCCCCGACGATTGTGCAGTGATTGATATCGACGACCCCTCGCTCCTCAAAGCTCCCACGGCAATTGAAAGTTCAAGTCCATTCATTCCAAACCCAACCGATGATTGTTATCTGCTATATACCTCTGGGTCCACCGGAACGCCAAAGGGCGTCCTCGTCAGTCGCGGTAACCTCTCCGCTTTCACCGAGGCGCAGTCAGAATATGTTTGCCGAGATGTGCCTGACACTACTATTTTGAAGGGCACAGGAAGTTATCTGGCACATGCTAGTCGGGCCTTCGATGTACACATTTGTGAGATGGTTTTGGGTTGGCGACATGGCCTTCGTCTTGTCACAGGTCCCCGAACAATGCTTCTAGACAATCTTTTCGTGGTCTTGAGTAAACTGAGAATCACTCATGCTGGATTTGTGCCTTCCCTTCTCGAGCACGCTGGTGTGTCTGCGGAGCTATTGCCTGACCTGCGTTATCTTGGAGTTGGAGGAGAGAAAATCTCTGAGACAATCATTGAGCGCTTTGTCGGCAAGCCTTCTATCGCACTGGTTAACGCATACGGTCCGACCGAGGTGACTATCGGCATGACAAGTCACACTGTCAAGCCCTGGTCCACTGTGCGCAATATTGGTACCGCCGTTGGCAACATCACAATTCATGTTTTAGAGGACGATACTATGAAGTATGTGAAAAGAGGCCAGGCAGGTGAACTTTGTGTGACTGGTGACTTGGTCGCCAACGGGTATCATCGCAGGCCAGATGCAGGAGGGTTCGTTGACTTCCACGGACAACGAATGTATCGGACTGGAGATATTGTGCGCTTGATGGCAAATAACTGCGTCGAGTACCTAGGTCGGCGGGACAGCCAGGCCAAGATTCGTGGTCAGCGACTCGAGCTTGAAGAAGTTTCAGTCGCGGTCCGCCGCTGCGCAACCTTCCCCGTCAATGTCACTTCGATAGTGACCCCTTCCCCGATCACAAAACGACCCCAGCTTGTCTCTTTCGTCACTCCCTCGACCAAAAAGCCGGATGGTACCCCAAAAAAGCCCACCTTCCTAAAAGATGAATACCAGGAGTGGGCACCGGCGATCCTTGCCCGCTGCAGTGCTGAACTTCCAGCATACATGGTTCCAAGTGTACTGCTCACAATTAACTCAATTCCCATTCAGATCTCTGGCAAAGCAGATACTCGCCGGCTGGTCGCGTTGTATGAAAGCATCCCCGTGTCAGATCTCCTACTCAAGCCTAGCGCAATGGCTGCCGAGGTCTCAGAACCAGATTCCGAGTCATCTCAAACACCCTTGACAAAAGACGAGGAGCTCATTCGTGAGATCATCTGTACTCAATTGCGGGTGGAGGATCACGAATCGATCAAAAAGTCGACGAACATCTTCCAATTGGGAATGGACAGTCTTGCTTCTCTCGCCGTCGCGGCAAACATGCGCAAGGCGGGCTATGTGTGTGCAGCAGCCGACGTTCTTTCCAACGCTACAGTCACCCAGCTTGCATGCTTACCAAGAACAAACGGAACCTCGGCGCAAGGCTCATCAACTGAAATGCTGTCAAGTCAGGCAGATGAAGCTTCCCAGAAGTTGGTGCAGATTGACCAAAGCTTCCGCACTTCACAGAACAATTACGCCTGTTCGAACATATCTGCAGTCTGGCCATGTCTGCCTCTCCAAGAGAGTCTGGTCTCCAGCTCAGTAGGAAACTCAACGCCCTTGTATGTCAATCACATCATGTGTCGTCTTGGGGCTGGAATCAATATTTCGGCGCTTCGAGAGGCCTTTGAGGATCTGATGCACGAAAATGAGATCCTACGTACTTGTTTCCACGTCACGGAGGACAAGGTTTTGCAAGTGGTTCTGAAGCCTCGGGCCACCAAGCTTCCCTGGATTCAGCTCCCTGTGTCTGAGGAAGCCAACGCCTGCAACCTTTTCAAAAGCCTGCAGGCAGGAATCGCATCCCGGATTGTCGGCGGAATTGAGAGCTCACCCCCGTTCCACCTTCTCGCTGGCGAAAGCACAAATGGAGAGCCAGGCTGGTTGATGCTGTCCATTCATCATTCCATCTTTGACGGTGCTAGTATGGACATATTCCTCGGTCGCCTACACCGACACTACACTGGAAACGGAGCTCTGCGTCCGACTGATCTCACACCACTTTATCGTCACTTCTTGAGCGACAACGAGGCAAAGAACAGTCATTTCTGGACCGGCTACCTTACTGGTTGCACGCCAAGTATCATCGCCCACGACTCTGGTGATGACGTCTACCAGATTCTGGTGAAGAGATTGCCATTCTCGTTGTCTGCGCTTTCCAGATTTGCGTCCAAAAACCGGACAACTGCGTCCATGATTTTGGAGACTGCCTGGGCTATCACGTTAGCGAAGAACTTGGGCCAGAACGACGTTGTTTATGGTAGGGTCATGAACGGCAGAGGTATTCCAGTCGAGAATATTGAATCAATGCTCATCCCACTTGTCACTACTATCCCAGCTCGTCTCCAGCTCTCTTCTGGTAGCTCGAAGTTACTTGACCAAGTCAAGGCACACACTGCGGCTATCATCGCATCAATTCCATACCAACACACTCCACTCCGTGCTATTCAGCGATACGCTGGTGTGTCTGGGCCACTTTTCAATGCCATGTTCTCATACCTCACGATCGGCCCGCAGTCACCTGCGGACGAGATATTGTTCGAAATGGAAAGCTCGATGCAAGTGGATTATCCGTTGGCTTTGGAAGTCAGAGCCGAGTCAGATCCCGATGCGGTCACACTCCGATTGCGAGTTGCTGATGATCCTTCATTGAATGAGAAATTCAGTGGATTTGTCGACAATGTTTCTGCCCTCGTCGAAGATTTGATATCGGATGGAGATGTCGTTGTTGATGCCCCAACAGTTTCTCAACGGGTAGAGACGCGGCAGCCTACATGGGACGAAACGCAGTGGGCCGAAGATGAGACAACGCTGCGTCAAGCTGTGTCGGAGATCACAGGTATTCCTGAATTTGACATCTCAAAAAAGGTCTCATTCTTTGCTCTGGGAATCGATTCCGTGGTGTCACTTCATCTAAGTCGACGCTTGCAGGGGAAGGGTCTCAGCGTTTCCTCGAGTGATATTTTGAGATACTCATCTATTGGTGCTCTCAAGAACCGTTTGAACAAGCTCAGCGCCAAGTCAAAACCAATTGCTGTCGTGGGGAGAAGCGTCGCCTCGTCGCCTAGTGTTGACCTTTTCAGCAAAGATGATTCGGTTGTGGAAACATATCCCTGCACACCTCTGCAAACGGCGATGATTGGCCAATGTCTCAGCTCCGAAGGAAAGGGGTATGTACATCACCACTCGGTCTTACTCGATGCCTCAATCGATCTCCAAAAGCTGGTCAAGGCCTGGGAACCTGTGACCGAGCGGGTTGATATCCTTCGCACATCCTTCCACAGACAAGACGGAAGCCGTGAGATCCATGCTGCGGTTCATCAGTCCCCGATTGTCAATTGCGCGCATGAAGAGGTCGAGTCGTTCCCTGCGGCGATTGAGAAAATCTCCAAGCAGACTGCCTACCCGACCATCGGAGAATTCGGAAGGCCCCCTTGGCATATTACCTTCCTGACCGAGGGGGTCAGTCGATTGATGGTTGTGACCATGCATCACTGTCTGTATGATGGTTTCTCCCTGCCCGTGCTTTTCGATGCTGTTGAGAAACAATATCACGGCATTGAAGTCAGTGTTCGTCCATTCGCTCCAGTGGCACGCAACATTGTCTCTACTCAGGGACCGTCTGCCAATTTCTGGGTCAATTCAGTGTCGGAGTACCGATGCCCACAAGAGCCACTGCAGTCCTCACCTACACAAGAGAGCACAGTACACTGGGCAGAAACAACCATTCAAACTCCCGTAGCTGCCCTACAGCGCCAGTGTGGCTTGCTCAATGTTACTCTGCAGACAGTGGCACTCCTTGCCTATGGCCGATCGTTGGCATTGCATCTGGGGCAGCGAGATGTGGTATTTGGCCATGTGGTATCTGGGAGAGGATTTGACCTTGACGAGACTGCATCAGTCATCGGTCCTTTGTTCAATACAGTGCCTTTCCGGTTGAAGCTTGATTCCCTTTCGCAGAGCGTGCGATCAACCTTGCAAAACATTCAAAACTTCTGCATTGATTCCCAGCCCCATCACCATGCACCACTGGCTCGCATTCAGAAGGAATGGCGTCTCGCAACAGAAGGAAGTGGATCTTCGTTGTTCAATTCGATCTTCTCTTTCAACAAATCGTACGCTTCGGACGGCGACTCGATCTTCGAGCCGTATCGCCGGGCTGAAAACCCGGATGTTCCACACTATCCTCTGAATGTGGAGTTTGACCAGACACAAGACGCCCTTGTCATTCGAGCAACCTGCCATGATCAACTGACCAAAGCAGAGCTGGATGACTTAGTACTGGGTGTTGCTCGGGATATTGAAGCTATCGTTTCAAGCGGCGATGAACCGGTTCTCAGCTTCCCTACCGGCCTAAGCGATCTTCCTTTAGTACCGGCGGCCCACCGCAATCCAGCCGAGAAGACAGGAGATGCTGTTGACCAAGACGTGACTACTCTCAGAAAGATCTTCTCGGACATCACCGGAATCTCAATCAAAGATATCCATGGTTCCAGTGGAGTGTTTGCCCTCGGGGTTGATTCCATCCTAGCTCTGGATATGAGTGCCCGTTGCCGCGACGCTAAGTTGAAGGTCTCAGTGACTGATATTCTTCAAGGAGGCACAATCCAGGGCATTGCTGCGCTCGCTGCCAGCAAAGCTGCAGCAAGCGCGAACTCTCAAAAGAAGACAAAGCAGGAGACATCGGTCGTCAAATCGGAATCCAAGACCCACGCACTGGAATTACTTGGCCTTGCAGAGGATGAAGTCGAAGACACTTTGCCTTGTCTCAGTGGTCAGCTATTTTACCTATCTTCATGGATGCAATCCAAGCGCAAACTGTGGGAATTCTCGTTTGTGCTGAGCAGTCGCACCAAGCTTGATCTAGACCGACTGCAGACGGCATGGACCCAGCTGCAAAACAGACATACCATTCTCCGCACATCATTTGCAGCAATTTCTCCCGAGGAGATCTTGCAGGTGGTCCGAAAAACCAATGATATCAACCAAGTTGTCCAAGTCGACAGTGGGCAATCGACCGAGGATCTCACTAGCATCGTCCAAGGTCTCCTCAACAAGGTTGCCGATGAATCCTCTAATCTCTTCACACCTCCCGTCCGACTACACTTGGTTCAGCACTCTGAGTCCGATGCTATTTTGTTGACGCTCCATCATGCTCTGTACGATGCTCGTTCGATTCCGATTCTTCTCAATGAATTGGAAGAATTGTATCACGGCAACACTCTGGAGCCGACATGCAGCTTCTCGTCTTTCGTGCTTGACACTGTTCAAGAGTCGAATTCTCCCTCCAGTCTGAAATTCTGGGAAGACTCCCTGAAGCTCGGTCAGCAAACCCTTATGGGAACGACCTCTGAGAATAACGGTGATCTCAAAGTTGAATCCTTAGGGCGCACCTTCCACCAGGGACTGGATGAAATCCAAGCCCAATGCCACAGCATTGATGTTTCCGTTCCATCCCTGATTCTACTCTCAGTGGGACGTACTCTAGCGCAAACCGCAGGCGTTGCGCATCCCACATTCGGTCTTTTCCAATCCGGACGCTCAGGCGAATATCCCGAGATCCAAAACATGGCAGGCCCGACCGTCAATCTCCTGCCAGTGGTGGTTCCCAACGCGTTGAAATCCTCAACGGTTGCTGGGTTACTCACCATGCAACAAGATTTGGTTCAACGCGTCAGCCACGAGCAAACCGATCTTGGAAATATCCGTCGGAAGATGCGTGAGATTGGGAACGAGCTGCAGTTCAACGTTATTGTTAATGTTGTTTGGGGTCCGCTTAATGCCAGTGGAGTCAAGGAAAACACGTCCATTTTTACCCCTTTCTCGGCGGGGTCTCTTACCCAGCCCGAAATTGAACCCCCGACCGGCGCCACTTCTATTGACAAGTTTGACTGGACCTCACTAGTTGGTGAGAATACTGTCTATTTGGAAGTCAGCCCCGATGAGGAGAACAATGGGATCCGATGGAAAATGGACTACAAACCAGCTTCAATCACGACTGATCAGGCTCAAATGTTCTTGGACACACTTGGGAAAGAGCTGGATACAATCAGCGAGGCGATTTAAGTTGATGCGAGCTCTTTGAAGCAATTGTTTGTGTAATTGAAGTTGATTCTGTTTTGCGAATACGTATACAATCCTAGGATGGGTCTTTCATAACATATAAAAAATCTTGCTCAGGTACTTAACATATGCAGAAGGTAGGATACTTTCTGAGTTTGTTGCAGACAATGAGTATGCAAAGATGATTCCTTCTGGTTGTGCTTGGGATACATGTTTTTGGCAGATCATGCCCGGGTGCTGGGTAACCCTTTCCTCCAACAGGCGTTAGAGATTCTCGGGCGCGAGCGGCTCGTTCCCGGTCAACCCCAAGCTGGCCAAAATGGCAGCTCGATCTTCTAGATTTCCAAGGCGAGAATGTTGAAATTTGCTAGTGATAACTCTTATCAGTACCGAGCCAAGTACATCCGACCACAGGGTGTGGAAAACAGGGCTTCCCGTCCGCTCAGCCGTACTAAAGCCACACGCCGGTGAGTTAGTAGTTGGGTGGGTGACCACCAGCGAATCCTCACTGTTGTATGTTTTTGTTTTTATTATTTAGTTGCCTTTCCTTGTTCTGTAGGCACTTGAAAATCGATGGTCCAAGTGATTCATCTTTTATCATAGTAGTGATAAACGGTGATCGGAGTGCTAACTCAGAAACAGATCATGAAATTTCCATACCCCACGACATGGGGTTTGAAACTATTACTAAAAGGACAACATTTCCCCGCATCATCCTTTTGAACTATGTCCCTCGGTTCAATGTAGGAGAATTTGTTTCCACCTGCCGCCCAACTCGAGAAAGACAGGACACGGAACGATCCCGCATTCGAATAGAGGGCTGCTTTTGAGTTGCCTCGGAGTATCATCCGAGTGTTGATCATCAGTCGAAGATACCGTATATAAGGTGGCAATCTTCAAGTTGCTCTTGATTTTTGTTTGAACCCCGGAGCCTTTTTACCTTCACTTCAAATATCTCACTATGAAGCTCTATAGTGTTGTTTGTCTCTTATTTTGCAAATATGCAGCATCAGAACTTGTTCAGCGAGAGACAGACTGGTATCTCACTGATACTCACATTCACGCAGTTCCTCCAATCTATGCTGCTGCGCTCCAAAAGGCTGGTGGTGACCCATCTGGATTTCAAACCCCGAATTGGACGGTCCAGGGCACCTTTGAGTCACTGAAAACCACTGGCTCTGCCAAAGCTGTTTTGTCAATCTCAGCCCCTGGAATCCCAATTCTTGGAACCGGCGAAGCGGCTCGAGAACTTTGCCGCAAGACAAACATCTACCTAGCAAAATTGGCAGACACACACCCGCACAAGCTTGATTTCTTTGGCGCTCTTCCGGACTGGAGGGACGTGAATGGGACACTCGATGAAATCAACTTTCTATACTCGACGCAAAAGGCCGCAGTTGGTGTTGGGATATATACAGCATACGGTGATCATTTGCCCGGCGATCCGATATTTGAGCCAATTTGGAATCTTCTGGAGAAGTACAGTGCCCTGGTATTCATGCATCCTGGGACGATGGACGTGAATCCGTTCTTCATCAGTGGTTTTCTCCCTCAGCCAATCGTTGATTACCCTCAGCAAACAACCCGAGCAGCAGTCGATCTTGTGTTAAGTGGTGTGAGATCCCGTACACCATCCGTTGACCTCATACTCTCACACGCGGGTGGAACGCTTCCTTTCCTAACTCAACGTGTCTCTGGAAGTTTGGTCATTCCAGAGATTGGCAGCAAGAGCCATGTCACCGCAATTGAAGCGGTAGCCCAGTTCAGACGGTATTACTATGACACTGCACTCAGCGGATCAAGTGCACAATTGAGCGGCCTTCTAGAGGTCACCGACCCATCTCATGTGCTGTTTGGAACCGACTATCCATACGCCCCCGCGGCATCGATCGAGATACAGTTCAAAGAATACCTAGCCTTCGCAGAAAAGCACCCACAACTCTCGCCGAAAGTGCTGAGTCAAAATGCCGAGGCTCTCATTTCCAAACACAAGCTGCGAGAAGTTTGAACTCACGTTTGACTAGTGACTGATTATTCCCTGCATCTCCACGGTGCTGATCAGTTCATCCGATAGTACCGTTCCAACGAGAAGTTGGCTACTTCTTCAATCTTGAAGCACTGAACAATGTGTCGAGTTTGATAAGCCAGGCCGGTTTGCCGAAGGTTGTGTTCTGTACTCCAAATTATATCACATTTATTTGTCCTTATCAGCAATTATCCTCTTTCCAATCAAAGATTATGGTAAAAGGTAGCCTTTGCGCGAGCAATACACTAAACTCAACTTCCGGAAGGCAAGTACGTTTGGTTTTCTTTCGAGTTAACACCAAAAGCTAGCCCCCAAGAACCCCCTTGCAATTTTCCAAGGTTTGCTTTCCCGGATGCGCCGGAATCAGTCCCGGAATGCGGGCACAGCCGTGCATAAACCGGGATATGAACCGAAACTATAACCATCGTCGACTCTAATTTCAAGTAGGCAAGATTCAAAGGTAGATTATAATTCGATTTGAGTTTTGCAACAAGAGCTCAAATGCTAATGCGTGGCAATCTTTCTGCAGATCTCAAGTGTTGGGATATGATGAGAGCTAGGAATCCGGAAAGGACCCGGTACGGAATCAACCAGGGGACCTTCCAAGAAATTAATATCATTTGGTCTCAACTGGCTGATACTTACAAATGCATGAAAACACCGTTGCTTCAAAGCTTCTATTTCATTCATCGCGGTCTCCAGATTACCAGCCTGAAGAGCAAAAAATCTCAACAAAAACAACAAACATACAACAGTGAGGATTCGCTGGTGGTCACCCACCCAACTACTAACTCACCGGCGTGTGGCTTAAGTACGGCTGAGCGGACGGGAAGCCCTGTTCTCCACACCCTGTGGTCGTATGTACTCGTATCTTACTTCAGAACATTCAAGAGTCATCAGTCTAACGAAATGAACGAACGGGTGCGTCCCATCTACAATGTAGTTCTCGCCTTTTACCCTGAATACGGAGAAAGGTGTTTCCACTCCATAGATGATAAATAAATGTATTCAACATCGGAATCTTCGTCAGTGGCTGAGCTACTGCGGACTAGCGGACACCCCGCAGGTTTCCCAGCTATCCTGTAACGCCCAATTTGACGCCCCAAATGTGAGCTACTTCATGCTTGAGAGCGAGTTGGGACAATTAAGCCCACCTCCTAAAGTCAATAAAGATTCTTAAGACAGTTAGGCAGCCAGATATCTTGTTAGATTGTCCCTTGTGGTTTATGCTGACTGCAGTAATAAATTTCGGCCGATCTCGGTCTCGACCGCGCACTTGGCTCACAGAATGGTCCAGAAGGCCAATTAAGCATAGCCACAGAGGAAATATTTACTTTGGCATGTAGTTAACATTGGGAGCTATATAGCCCATGAACCCATCGCTACAGGACTTATTGTTGGAAGCTGGATTATATCTACTTAAGTATCACCCACAAAGTCGTCATGCACCTCAATAGTCTCATCCTCGCAACTTCATTTCTCTTATTTGTCAGATCTGTTCCTGGATTTTCGCCAAGCTCAATTACAGATCGGCAACTAGAACCCTTGAAAAAGGCCATTACTGCCAGTCCCAGTTTACTCAATGTCGAGTACTTCGAAGATGGACCAGTCGATGGAGAGCCAGTGATTCTAGTTCACGGCTTTCCATACTCGATAGATGCATTTGCGCCCGTGGTCCCAGCCCTAGTGAGACAAGGCTACCGGGTCATCGTTCCGTCCTTACGTGGCTACGGCGGAACCAGGTTCCTGCATCATGATACTCCTCGAAGTGCGGAGCAAGCCGCATTGGGATATGATCTTATCGCATTGATGGATACCCTTCAAATCGACAACGCGATCTGCGCTGGGTATGACTGGGGCAGCGTTGTTGTGAATGTTGCGGCGGCCTTGTGGCCAGAGAGATGCACTCGCATGGTCGCTGCCAACAGCTATCTCATCCAAAACCGAAGCACCGCGTGGATACCTACAGACCCAAACGCCGAAGCAACTCGCTGGTATTACTATGCTTTCCTCACGCCACGAGGCGCTGCGGGTTTAGCTGAACGACCCAAGGATTGGACGCGAACTCTCTGGGAGAAGAACTCAGTCGGATGGAATTTTACAGAGAATTATCTCGATCTCACCACCAGGGCGCTGTTGAACCCCGACTTTGTCGATATCACGGTGAACTTCTACCGAAATCGTCTTCTCTATGCTCCAGGAGATCCTGCTTTTGCCGAACTTGCGAATAAGTTGGATAGCCAGCCACCTGTTACAGTTCCCTCGGTCACACTAGACCCGGAAGATAGCATCGTTCTGGCACCAGTGGACGCTACTGCTTCTGCAAAGTTCTTCAAGGGACCTCGATGTCATTATCGACTTCCGAATGTCGGCGAGAACATTCCACACCAAGCACCTGGAATATTTGTGAACGCAGTCATGCAGGTTTCCAGGATGAGTGGGGCGAATGTGACATGTTCGCCGATCTCATAAGAACGTTACGGTATGGACGAGGGGGCTGAGTGAATTGTGCACCCACGGAATGCAAGCCAGCGGGTGAGCACCTCAAAGGTTTTTTAATAACTCTTAACAATAGACTGATTTGGTTTGGTTCTGTTTGATTCAAAAGTCGCTCGGTCATTTGGTCAATCAGTCAATGCGCTGCGCAACACACTTGAATTTTCCATGACCTAGTAGAATGTGTAGGATTCCCAGCCGGGGGACCGGTAGTGTCTGTAAGCCTTTTGCATTCGTTAGAACAAAACGATGGATCCATCGCCGGTTGTCGCCCGGGCATTGACATCTTGACTTGCCCGACCTCCACAGTGTGGATATTTTCGACAGACCACCAACCTCAAACGGCTAGCGGATCGGCTCCCCGTAACTGACTGAGCGAACCAATAGAAATCGCCTGTAAGCCTTGGCCTTACATTTTCCTAATCAGGACAGTGCATGTTGGATCTCTTTTTCACGAATACGAAAACGGCTCAATGTGAGCTCAGTGACCCGGGGAGAAAATCAAAGGTGATGTGTAATTAAAGACAGACCGGCCCCGATGTGAAGATATGAACGCGGGGCGTGCAGGAGTGCCATCAAACCATTCAAATATGCCCCATGTATTCAAAATCCGAGATATATGTTGCTGTGATCTGTCGATCAAATCCGACTGCCGCGAACTCCATAATATTCCCGAGAAATCATCGGACACTGGACGGACGATTGGAGAGTATTCCTCGTTATCCCTAATTACCATCTTTGCTTCGTCGGGGTTCTCAGGAGGATGAGGTTGGTGATGTTCTTCTTCCGAGTGGGCACTCCCGTCCTGTTCCCCATTCTGGCGAAGCTGCTGCCATCTCCATCTTCCAGTGTGCGATCCCACTTCATGGATGAGCTCTGATCGTGATTGTAGCGAGTTTGGGTTGATGTTGATGAAATGCAGCCCATGATCTGCCGGTATTGGCATCGGTGAGAGTGTCTGAGCGTCGAAGGCCTCCAAAGGTAGTGGCCAAATCACGTTATGAACTGAGCGAAAGGAAGGATCACCTTCGCTCGAGAAACACAGAGAGATGTTCTCGTGGGATAGCTCCCACCCGGCTTTGTTGGTAGGTGGACAATCTTTGAGGCAAACTTTTGCGGAGGGGAAGTCGACACCCAAGTCTTGGCGGTTTGTGTGGATGTGTCCCGCAAAGCTTCATTTTGGCCTTGAATGAATATTGAGCATTTTCTTTTAATTTGATTCGCATACCTCGCAAGCGGATAGAAATCGCACTTCCTCGCAGCGCAAGACACGTGTCAGTGCATTTCGACTTGGACAATCCCGCCCGGAAAGGTGAGACTGCGCAGAGCCGCACTGGTCCCTCGCCCCATGGCTGATCCACTGGTTGTGTTCTTTTCTAAGGAAAAAACAAAAGAGCGAGAACAAGATAAGCGAATAGACTTGCCAAGAGCTTAAGATCGAAATTAATCATGGAAGCAAACCAATTATAATGTCCAAATATACGAAGTCACAGAGAGAAAGACTTCTGGCCCCCAGCCCCATTGGCCCCGCTCAGCCCCAAGATCATATGACCCGTTTGTATGCATTGTATATTAGACCCTCAGATCTCACCTGTGTTTGTTCCTCGTTCCTTTTTGCCTTTGGTAACACTTCCCAATGTACTCCCTTCAACGCTTATTCTACGGGTTCCCCGAGCCGGCCCCACACAAACGGACCAAGCCCATGGAGGTTCTTTGTTTGGGCCTACCACGCACCGGAACTGAGTCACTGACTGTCGCCTTGCGAACTTTGGACTTGTCGGCATATCATGGGTGGGACTTGGTTTTTGAACCTGATGGCAGCAAATTGCAACTTTGCCATGAACTAGTGCGACGAAAGTACCACGGCGCCCACGACGGCGACGTGCAGATCACCCGCGCAGAGTTTGACAACCTCATCGGGGATAGCCAGGCTGTGATTGATACCTTGTGCATTTTCTTCGCTCCCGAGCTACTTGCCGCCTATCCGGAGGCCAAAGTGATTCTCAACCTGCGTCCCGATATGGACGCCTGGTACCGTAGCCTGGAAAAGACCCTTGTGACGATCGATGAATCGTGGCTTATATGGGGGATGCACTGGTTCTCCGCGGAATTTCATTGGCTATGCAGCCTTTTTCTCAGATACGGATACCCCAGCGTATTTCATGGTGACTCTACTAGAGATGGTGTTCGGCGCAACGCTAAGTGGGTCTATCGCGATCACTGCAATATGGTTCGGGGTATGGTGCCCAAGGATAATCTGCTTGAATGGTCTGTTGAAGATGGGTGGGAACCACTTTGCAAGGTATGTCTTAGAATTCGAATTTTATGTCGAAACCATGGCTGACGACAGAACTAGTTTCTCGGCAAGCCTGTTCCGGACGAACCCTTCCCCAGAACTAATAATCCGGGGAGTTTCGCTGAGCGCTCAGATGACCTGATTCGCCAGCGTACCTTCAAATGTTTACGCAACTTGACTCTCGTCACTACGACTCTCGGCGGAATCAGCACCGTCCTTGTAATGTGGTGGCAGGGGCGGATCCCAGCGGCCACAAGTCTCGGTGATCTCCTAAAGGGTTTCACCAAGACGGCTTAAAATGAAAACGAAGAGCGAGACTTCGCACAAAATTTTGGAATATCTAATCTTTGTCCACACTCTTTTTACCTACCGTCCAGACCAGTGATTGCAGTTGACACACGATTAGAGAAAGCATATCGGATTTCATCAGAGTTCATCATGCGGAGGATAACGATCTGGTCGCTGTACAAAGTTTCGAACCCGATGTGCAGCTCCAATTGCGGTCACGAAAGTTGGATCAATCTGATCTCTTATGATTCCTTGCCATTTCTGTGGGACGATCTGTCGAAGAGATCGACCCAGGGTCTCCATAGAGTCTGCACAGCCTTCACCACTCACAATGATGGCCTGCAAGTCTGTTTCCTCTTCAGTGGATAAGAACTCAGTTATAAACTGGTCAACAGCCCGATGTATTTGCTTTGCCTAAATTCGGGTAGATATGTCAGTACGTGATGGTTACGTCCTCTCCGTCACTTTCGATAATAAAGAATATACTTCAACAGAGAAAACAAACCTTTGACTCATCATCATCTCCATGGGATGCTGCTAGATCAGGCCGTCGAAGAGAGAATGGTCCCCTTTCAAGTAAGGCACTCGTGGTCTCAGAAATAGTTGCGACCCAGAAATCCAAGGAATAGGCGTTGAAATCCACATATAGCACATGAAATTCCTCTTCATCGAAGGGAACTTTTGGCCCTGGGCCCTCAGCACTATCCAAGTCATAGGCTGATCTAGTGGCATCAATAAAGCCGATTTGCCGTATGAACTCAGGGACAGGACGAATCGAATCGCTATTGTGTAAGGTCTCATACAAATGATGTTTCGCGACATGGTCCATACCCTCTGGGACATTGACGAGGGCAATCTGAGGTGGATCCCCTAGCTTATGAGAAAGCTCTGTTGAAAGATCCCTTAAAGCCTGGTTGATAGTCTCTTGGTCTTTCATCTTGTAAACACGATACCCGAGAGGCGCCGGGACTAGTTCACCAAACTGATCACGAACATAAACCTCGCCAAACTTATACCTTTATTCAAAAGTCATTAGTGAGTGACTAGGAGCAGTGAGACACCAAGAGGTCACTCACACTCGTTCTCCAGACTGAGATGCAAGTTTCCTCATATGAGATTGATATTCTCCCGAACCCTCGAACTTTAAGAGCAGCTCCGGTTTATCCTCATCGGTGAAGCGAGCCGCTGTTCTGGCATTGAATTCCCATTAGCCAACAACTTTCGAAGACAAGTACAAGTACAAATTATGAGTTTGGATTTCAACTCACATGAATCTGTATCCAAGATTTACCCCGATAGCTTTGTATATTTTTAGCAGCGAATATCAATTTCTTCGGAGGGCCTTTTCTTTCTTACGATAAGTCTCTAAGCACAACACGCTTATAGAAAAGCATAGAAACCAAAAAATCAACCTCATAGCCAGTACTATGCGGGGCGGATGAAACAGATGTCGGGAAAATCTTTAGAGACGAGCCGATCCGACCTCAATTAATACCTAGTGAGATTATGTTCGTACTCCTGAAGTCCATTCAAGTATGTTGACAAGCAGCCAAAAAGGATACCCACCTGACACTCTTCAGAAACAGATTGGACTGAGTTTTGAGGAGTTCTTTGAGTCGTGTCATATTCACAAGCACTCCTAATTTCATATCTATTTTTACATATAATTATTACTTAAGTATGGCCCCGGGGGTCGAGGGGCCACTGACCTAGTGGGTATGTAAGCACCAATCAAATCAAGGAGAGATCTGCAGATTATCACCCATTTAGGAAGTTGAACTGGGACGGTCGGATCGTGAGATCTTGGTGTTTGCACGGAAGAAAACTATTTTCAAGGCGAGATCCAAACAAAGGCTACTCGTATGTATACATCTGTTGATCAGTGTGGGTTGAAACAGCCGGAGAAGAAAACGCGGTCTTACATGCACAACCAAAAAATTTCTTGAGGAAAAGATCCTAAATAGCTCGCGTTCAGAATTTCGCTTAGTGCAGTATGCATGGGAGAAATGCTTATGATCCATCAACTCTTCCCTATCGCATCAGGAAATCACATTGATTTGTCTCCATATATTCCTGTGAGTTGTCCAAATGAGCACATACGACCACAGGGTGTGGAGAACAGGGCTTCCCGTCCGCTCAGCCGTACTTAAGCCACACGCCGGTGAGTTAGTAGTTGGGTGGGTGACCACCAGCGAATCCTCACTGTTGTATGTTTTTGTCTTTTTATCTCTTGAGACATCTGGTTGATCAGTAAATTGTCATTTCCTCTTTCTTGAAGAATCAAAGTATCTAATCTAGCACTGTGTTCTCGGGAAAACAGGTAGTGGATGTGCTGTGCAAACTTGCTTTTTCACTAAAGTATATGATGATTAACTAAAAAACCAAAATTGACCTAAGTCACAAACAAGAGCAAAGATTGTATTTTAAGGAGAGTACTACACATGCAATTTAATACGATGAGAGTACACGGCTCCTCGACATTACAGCTGTAATCATGCTCCCATAATAAACCCTCATCATTTCCTTGCCAGCTCTGCTATCGATATAACTCGTTTAAAACCCAATACATTCATGGAAAGATCACGAACGCTGCCCGGAGCCATGTCACAAATTCAGGTAGCACCGCGTTCTGAATTAAATGCACTTCTTCCGGCTACCACAGACGTGGCAGTTGGAATAGGTCAAGCAGGTAGCGTGGTTGAAGCAACGAGGATGGCTGCATTTATTACTCGCGTTGAGGGAGTTTAGCTCTCTCTTTGTGACATCAGTCACATCATCATCTTCATCATCTTCAACGGAGGATTCGGCGTTGGCCCAAGAACCATCTAGTTCACCACATAGGTCATCAGAAGCGATAGCAACGACTGCTTCGTGCAGGTCTTTCATGTAGTAGCCTCCATTCTCAGAGTGAAGAAAGCCATCCGGGTTGGACTTCACAAACTCGTTGAGAGCTTGTCTGTCCTGAAGAACCGCGACCTCGGCTGGGGGTGAAACCTGGTATCGGTTGAGACTTCCAGCCATGACGCCCGTCAGGCAGAGCATTGAGACCAGAGAGGTGAAAGAGAACTTCATTTTGATGTCGCGAGCGGTAAAGAATCTGGAAAGTGCTGTATATATCTTTGTCAGTTATCTGCAGGCCCAGCCTAGTGGGGCGTGCTTTTAAATCTTCACGCCCATGATATTTGTCAACATACCTTCAAGATAGGCTGATGAAGAGTTCGAAAAAAAAATGATTTCTCAAGTCTCGAGGTGCTTCAATATGTCTGTCGGTCGATGAGCATGGGGAAGTAGAACAGTTAAATCGAGGAAGAGTGGTTTACCTGCAATTTCTTGAGGGGAGCTCTGAGCAAAGTTCACTGTGCTATGAAAGAAAGCCGCAGATACAGGATGGGCAGGACATTCTTATAATACGACAGTTTGACCACGCCATCTGATGGGTTCCATCATAGACAGAAACGTATAGGCCCGTCTATCCCACTCTTGTTGTCAAACATACCACTATCCTATACCGGAAAATGGGGCTGCATGCTCGGCACTGGGCAATCAAAATCAGCCTCAGGAATTTTATTCTGGTCTGCATAGGTTGGAACGGTTAGGATCTACTTGAAACTACCAGGGTATGGTTCCCCGCAGTTTTTGGAGCCAGGAACCTTTTCACCAGCGGGCAATCCACCATCGATAGATATACCAGGTTAGCCCAGCAAATATTGAGTCATTGGCCAGACTTCAGTGAGTAACCTGAACAGTAGCAATACTTGAATCCACTCCGTAGTGGTAATTCTTCGAACAGTTGCGTCGAACATCGGCCGCAAATCTTCGCATATGCGATGTCATAGAGCATGCCAAGATACCGTTCAAAGGCTGTGTATGAGTAGCACCCCCCGGTTTTGCATGATTTAGGTGACTTGCATGATCTCAGCCGGTGAAGACCAAACATCAGCTTACATACATCGTGCCTATAGATGACATGAACTGCCTGGGTTCCGAGTATTCCGAATGTTTACTCCCTCGACGAGTCATTGCGACGCAATGACCCCAGCGTACAGCTGTGAGAATCTATAGTCAAAACAAGATTTAAAAAGCAGATAATTTCGACGATCAAAGCTCCTTCCAGACGATACATCTCGAAAGAGGGATACGTGGGCTGCAGCTTGAAAGAGATGTAAGTCAGCCCGCTTCCAAAGTTCGGACTATATTGAAATTACCAGGGAACTATTGTCATAAGATCAAAACCTGAATCAGTGCCTGGGGTCTGCTGCGCGGGCCTGGAGGTGCAACCAATCCTACTGGAAAGATATGGTCACGCTGAAGGTCGCCAAGAGTGATTGACAAACTTGATATACGTATCAATCAAGTAAATCTCAGTAAAAAGGCGACTCTGCATTATGTGGAAAGAAATTCCGGCTTCTACTGAGTGATCAGGTACCAGGGTCTGCTGCATGACGCTAGCAAGCTTCGTCACCTGTTTGGGGCTGATTTTCGTGTGACATGCATGACAAATAGCCACTTGCATCAATGATGTGGGATGGGGACCTTGGGAGCTTTCATCAAACAAGTGGAAAGGTGGATTCAAGATAGGATTCACCTAAAAATGCCATTGAACTATGCCGAGACAAATTTCAATCACAAACTACGAGGTGGTTCCAAAATCAGGAGGCTAATGTAGTATAGTCGAGGGGATGATACAAGAGCCTCAATTCCGGCCCCGTTTGAAATCATGTAGCATGGAACTTGGCCTAGTTAGGTAGTATAAAGCAGATCCGAAGCTCCATATCCATTCGTGTACTGTCATCACATGTGCTGGTTTAAGAAAGATACAGTAGCAGAATTATCTTCATCCAGCTAGCCTGCAGGGGGCCGTGAGCTCGCCATTCCGTCAGATCGTCAGGTTTGTGATATTTTCCAATCTTCGCCACCTATTTGTCGCTTCGTTGACGTTTCGGGCATTCAGAAATCAAAAGGCGAAGAGATACAGCATTCTCAGGAGTTAGATCGAATAGAAAGCATCGACGAAGTAATGAAAATGGCCACGCTGATCTCGCGTACAGACGGTTCAGTAATCAAGAGTGCGGACCGTCTTGGTCGAGTTAGGCCCTCAAGATGATCCAGATGGGGGATCGTTCTCTGTTGCATCCAGTGCATCGCCTTCGGCGGCATCCTCAGCATCAGCCGCAGCCGCAGCGCTGGCCCAAGGACCATCCAGCTCGTTGCACAAGCCATCTGAAGCAATAGCAACGATCGATTCTTCCATATCTTTCAGGTAGTATCCACCATTCTCAGCGTGAAGCAAACCATCCGGGTTGGCCTTCACGAAATCGTTTAGGGACTGTCTATCGTGAAGAATGACGACGTCAGTCGGAGGTGTTGTCTGATACCGGGTGAGATTTTCAGCCATGATGTTAATGAAGTAGATGAATGACACAAGAGATACAAAAGTCGATGGCATCAATAACTTCCCAGGTGGCGAGCGAGGAAAAGTAGAAAAGGATATAGGCAAACAGAACAAAGAAACTGGCCCACGCCAAGCCCCAGACCATGTGGATCGCCTAATCCGGCCTAGCGGGCTGCTGTGCCTTATCGGGAGTAGTCTAAGCTAAATCAGGGCTAGCTCATGCGCCACGCCGTGCATCGCTGCCCAAAATAACCATGGGCCTTGGCGGACAAGATCTACCCGACCCGCCCGTGGCTCCCATTCCCCGTTATTGTTGAACGATGGTATTGTGGCCTCAACCTCCCGTTCAGCTTCGTCGTCTCCTTCGTAAGCATGATCAGGATTGATCGTCTTCGGTTTCTCGTAATCGGCCCTCGCAGCTTGGAGTCCTTTCAGTACGTGTTCACTGAACTGCGCCCGGTCCTTGGGTGCTGGGATCCGTGGCCGGTTCGCACTTCGCACAGTTGGTGAACTTATGGTCGCCGTATGGGCCTGTGGTGGCGGGGGTTGCAAAACAGTGAAGATTAAGTGAGGAGTAAGTAAAAGTAAGAGTAAGAGTAAAGAGTGAATCACTTCCGAGTAAAAGTCGGAGTGCTGGTTAGGTTGAGGCATCTTCCGGAGGTCGCTGCATTCGTTCTCGCAGTGCTTCCTTACAAAAGTTCCGGTGAAGCTGTGTCCGGGTGCAGACCCGTGGTGACTAACTCTACTTTCTTACAGTGCTGAGATATCTCTTTGGGTTGGGATGTCTAGACTAAGCCCTTTTTTGTTGATGTGTTCGGTCCGCTTCTCTTCTTCTGCTCTCAGGCATCGAAAAGGGAGGAAGATGTTCTACTCCTACCATGAATGTATAAAACGACGTAAAAGTGACGACCGATACAGAAATACAGAGACAAGGTTTAACCCCATTGATTGGAACCTCCTATTCTACAATAACAGTTCGTTTAACAAGTCAACCAGATGTTGACCATGGCGCCTTGAATATGCTGCAGCTAAACTTTCCCCAAGGTTGCTCTCCGACTCCCCACACCCGTGTAATGAAATCTGGGAAATTCAGTACACGGATTGATGTCCTCACTTTGATTAGCCGCGCATCCTGCTTCGGAAATCACTCCTTGTTGAGCCCACAGGGCGACAGAGAAGAAGAAGCGGACAGAACCGATCGTATTGACTGCTCCAAAGAGAGAGAGAGAGAGAGAGAGAGAGAGAGAGAGAGAGAGAGAGGAAGAAGAAGAGAGAGACTCAGGGAAGAGGGCCTATCTATACAAACAGCAAACGAGGGTTGGGACGAACTTCCCACACAACACTCCTTCCTCCATATCATAACGTCTGGTGCAAAGATCAAGGGTTTGAGCTGTACCTCCCAGATTGGTCGAGCCGCCCCGATTGAGCTTTTGATCGGGTCCGTACTGCCATGGGAGAGGAATCGGCATCCGAAGGTGGTGTCGAGCGTGATGAGGGCGCGGCAATGAGCTCAAGAAGTGTGGGCCCGGCGAACACGGATCTTGATCCAAGGAGGAGGAACTGGGTGGTCTCCCACAATCAAGTTCAGGGGCCTTTCATTTAAGGGCTCAATGTCATAGTGGATTGTTACGTAGGCAAAGAGCAACTTCATGAGATGAGATGCAAACCAACGACCGGGACTACAGCACGTTAGTTTGCTTGACCGCTGATATCAATGAGATACGTATGAGGTATGAGATACGTACCATGAATGCCTGGCATGACCAAAAGGAAGGAATGTATCACTAGTTGTGACCAACATTGTTCGCTTGGTCGTCTCGGTCGGTATGAAGCGAAATGGCTTATAAACATCGGGGGTATCATAGTATCGGCTATCATGATGAATAGCTGGAACGGGGAATCCGAGCCATGCACCCTGTGAAATTTTCTGGCCGTTTGGTAGTGTCACCCCTTCTTTGGGCATGACCTCCCGAGATAGGCCACGAAAAATGATTGGATGGCGTCGAAGACTTTCCCGAATAGTGCTATCTAAAAGAGGCAGTTTCAACAACGAAGTCGACTTGGTCCAGTCATCTTCTGTTTGGAAAACCGCTTCTGCCTCCTCTCGAAGAAGTTTATAATAACCCTGATGCGGATCGGAACCAAGGAGATCCAGGAGAGTATTAGTAGATGTCACCACGGAAGTTGCGATTGCTCCCGCCACCTATGAAAGTGTATATTAGCTATCAATAGATCTCTCGATGGTAAACTTGGTATCACTTACTAGGACCGTAAATCTGGCCGCCAAGGGCTTTCCACTGGTAACTTCTTGGTTCTTCATATCAAATGCTGCGCGATACATCCAAGTAATTAGGTCTTCCGGTGGGGAGTATTCGAATGTTGGGTCATTTCTCTGGCGTGACATATTTTCGTATCTCTCAGCAAAGAGGGGCCATAGATAATTTGCACACATAGACCGATAGTACGCCGTTGGTATAGCGCAACAGGAGCCAATCAAACGTCGAAATTGCCATGGAATCAGCTGTCCGATCAGAACTGTCCCCATGCCAAACCAAGTCGCAAATTTCAAGACATAATACATGAAGTGTTGATTGCGAGTCAAATCCTGACCGAAAAGAATACGACCGCTAGCTTTGAAGACAATTTCATTCAAAGTATCGTAAAGGTTCACTTCCTTCCATTCCGCATCGTCCATACCTAGCATCTGATCCACCGAATGACGCATTTCATCAAAAAGATCGCCTTGCACCTTGCCGAGGTTTCGGGTAAGATGAACTCGAATTGCTTCAATGATAGCCATATCCGAAGTGTAATCAAAGGCAGGTAGGAGATACTTCAGACCCAGCTTCTCTCCTTGGACTAGCCGATGCGACAAGACCTCCTCGGGTTGATCGATCAGCCATTTGATGAACTCAGGTGGCAGCATGACGTGAGGCTCAAACCCTGTCCCGGGTAGGATGAAGGGTTTCCCACTGAGGCCGAATTTCTTGTAACCCGAAATCATGGTTTTTAACCCTCCTGTGTATTGACGTGCACACGCTCTGATGTCGCCGAAGAGCTCGCGACGCCTTCCTGCCCAGTCTATCCCGGGAGGGACACGTTCAGGGCGAATCCAAGTACGAATAATAAGCGTTAGACATATACACAGGAGTGCAGTAGCGACACAAAGTGTCGGCAGATCCTGTAGTTTGCTCATCAAGGCAATATGCGGGATATGTAGATCAGACCAAAGAATTGAAGGATGATGTTGATGAGCTGGGCACGAGAGCCAGGCTCGATATTTCAGGGCAGCGCTCATCCAGACGTAAGGTCGATGCAGTAGTGGAATTAGGCCCAACCCGATAAGCGAGAGTATTACGTAGGTGGAAAGGACATCTATGGTGGAAATGCTTCCAAGTTAGTCCAGCGGAATCCTCGTAGTGGACCTCGGGATCAGATCGGGATTTCCTCGTACGTACTTAAACCCATATAGCTGGGGGTCCACACGGCTCATTATCTGGAGAGTCGAGATTATGTCGATGCAGGTTCCACATAGGGCAAAGAGTGCAGAATTTTTGCGATGAGCTTCACTTCAAAAGCCCCTGATCGGAATCAAAGAGACTGCGATTTTGCTGCTGGTAAATGTAGGCGTTTTCCACCGGGACCGGAAAATACTTCCTTGGGCGATTTTCTTTCAGGAAAATTTGAACCGTACGATAGGCTTATGCAGATCTCAGTGCGGAGCTCATCCACATGCTCCATAGTGCAGATCCTTTGCGGGACTCGGATTAGCACCGACGAACTCCTATGGCCCAAGTCTCACTTGACCCGAATCTCTGGGTACGCTATTCACACCGAGCGACACCTCCAGACCCCACATCCCGACTCGATTCAGGACGCCACTGAAACTTGATCGAGATCTTTCACCGATCCCCCCCAAGCTAGGCGATTCTCTGAGAGATCTCTCTGACTGATCATATCCACTATATCCACTCCAGGCCCCCCGAGATGCAGCTTATTGCCCGAACAAAGCCGAATGAGGAATGAAGACCTTGTATCTCTGGTCAAATTGATCTCCCAGAAAAATAGTGCTGCCCTAATCCAATTTGGGAGTCAGACACCCGGGGCCACAATCATGACATCTCACCATTTTGATCTTATCGTGCTTTAACATATGGGTTCCCGCACTAGATTTTCATTTCGCGGAAATAAAGAGAACAATCTCTTATCCCTGCACCCTACCCCGTACACAGAGACTTGGGTTTGTCTTCATTGAAACCAACCACCATCCCACATCTTCTTCGGGAACACCAAGTCTTTGTCAAGCTTCAGCAGGACATTAAAACCTCATGGCAGAATCTGATTTTGGCTCCTTGGCGACTGAGGCCAAGCAGGCACTTCATCGCGCTGCGAAATATTCACACCATCGCCAACATGACGATGGTCATTGGTGTGGAGAATTAAAGTCAAATGCGACAATCACCGCGGAATATGTCATGCTCCGTCAAGCCTTGGGCTTGGACATGGAATCAGATCGCAATGAACTGATTTCTTGGTTCCTGTCAGAACAGAATGGAGACGGATCATGGTCACTTGCGCCGGGTCTCTCAGGTGACATTTCGACCTCGGTGGAGGCGTACTTCGCATTGAAAATCATGGGTGTTCAACCAGACACAGCATCCATGCGCAAAGCGCGATCCTTCATTACCTCTATCGGCGGTATTGCCAAAGTACGCATTTTCACGCGTATTTATCTGGCAACTTTCGGTCTATTTCCATGGAGTGCAGTACCAGAACTTCCAGCGGAATTGATCATGATGCCGAACGCTGCTTTCATCAGTATCTATCGACTGGCGTCCTGGGCACGCAGCACTATTGTGCCCCTTCTCATCATTTCACACCATCGTCCGATATATTCATTGCCAAACGGAAGATCGGCAGCCAACGATTTTTTGGACGAACTATGGGATAATCCAGCAACGAAAAATGTACCCTATTCTCTACCTTTGTGGGAACTTTCCAAAAAGATTGATGTGATCGCGTCTACCTTCGTTGTGATTGATAAGATTCTTCATGCCTTGGGTGGTTTACGCAATTCTCCCACACGCTCCCGCGCCCGTGAACAATGTGTCAGCTGGATTTTACAACACCAAGAACCTGAAGGTGACTGGGCTGGTATTTTCCCACCTATGCATACTGGGATTTTAGCGTTATGCCTCGAAGGATACGCACTTGATGATCCTTCGGTTAAAAAAGGACTTCAAGCTATTGAAAGGTTTTCATGGTCCGACAAACGTGGCAAAAGAATACAAGCCTGTGTCTCCCCTGTCTGGGATACGATCCTGAGTACTATTGGACTTTGTGATGCCAATTTACCTTCTAGTGACACAGTGAACGCTATGAAATGGGTCAAACAGCGTCAGTTGTGTGGTCCGGAAGGCGATTGGCGAATTTACCAACCCAAGATTACCGCAGGCGGGTTCAGTTTTGAGTATTTCAATCGATGGTATCCGGATGTGGACGATACTGCAGCTGCGATCTTGGGCATGGTCAAGGAAGACGCAAAACTGACCAATTCTCACGATTCTATTGTCCGGGCAGTGCAATGGATCCTCGGTATGCAGAATAATGATGGTGGTTGGGGTGCTTTCGATATTCACAATGATCGGTTATTCTTAAACAAAATTCCTTTCAGCGATATGGAAGCTCTGTGTGATCCATCTACTGCAGATGTTACAGGCCGGATTCTTGAGGCATTTGGTCTTCTTTTCCAAAGCCCAAATCAGTTCCCTGTCGATTTGATCTACGACATGAAACTCGCCTGCGACCGTGCAATTCGATACCTGCTCACCACGCAAGAGCTGAACGGCTCTTGGTATGGTCGGTGGGGGACAAACTATATCTACGGCACCAGCAATGTGATCTGCGGACTGGCCTTCTTTTCGGATTGGGAAAATGACAAGCAAAGCGTTATGGATTCTACCGAACGTGCCACTACCTGGCTGACAAACGTCCAAAACCCAGATGGTGGATGGGGAGAGACTTTATTATCTTACAGAAAGCCCGAGCTAGGGGGCCATGGATCCTCTACTGCTTCGCAAACCGTGTGGGCGCTAATGGCAATCCTAACGCGCAGTCGGTCCCACAAAGAGTCTATTAAGAGAGGAGTGGCGTATCTGCTGCGCACGCAGACACTATCTGACCGTTCCGACGAAGCTTCGTGGCCAGAAACCCAGTACACAGGCACTGGATTCCCAAATCATTTCTATCTTGGGTACAGTCTTTACTCTCACTACTTTCCCATGATGGCTTTGGGAAGATATGTACGGTTATCTTCAGCCGATCAGTGACACTCATCTATGAGCCCGCGACTCCCAAGGGCCGACGGTGTAGATATAGGCTTCGTCCTTCCATTTTCTCTCTTTCCCCCGCGCAGAGGTCAATCAAATTGAGTCTCATTCTCCTCTCCATTTTTTAGGCTGCTTAAAACCATGAGGTTGTTCAAAACTAAAATACTTGAAACCTCCTTTTATGAATCTGTGCGAACAAGACCGTTACCCGACCGACGGGTCAAGCTACCGCGCCTTTTCAACCGGACATTCCTTCTTTCAGACTTCATTAAGGTAAATTTCAATCCCCCGCTGTCCCGCATTGCTCAAATTTATGTCTGTCCCCTTCAGACGGCCCTTTGTCTACCAATTGTACTCGGTCGACTCACTTGAGTTTTCTTTGTTCGAAGTATTCGGGATAGGTCGTTTGAAAACCAAGCACCCACGTTCCGATGAAGGCGCCGCCAACAGTGAATGCTCTGCTGGCCAGGCGGGAGAGCCAGTTCCAGGGCATACGCACGGCAACAGGGGTATCGGCGTCATTTAGGATGACCAGAAGCTGAAACACATTGGGCACCCTGTTTGTGTTGCGGCAGTCATCAAGGTAGCCGAAGAAGTTGCGGAAGAATCGCTCCTCGCCCTCATATGTTCCTGGGGCAAGATGAATGTCCACAACCAGGTCTTCGGTCTGACTAGCATTCTCAAATCGGTGGAATTGCCCGGCCTTCACCGAGGCCGTCTTTTGCGAACCTTCGGTGCCTGACAGAATCGCGAATGGGGTTTTGTCAAATCCGCGGTAGAAGTTTCCAATACCCGACTGCACATGAAAATATTCGTTTTGATAGACATGGTAATGATGAGGCGGTGCCACGATAGAAACACCATGCGTAGCTGTCGTTGGCGCAATGCGATGGGTCATGATATATTCATTATCGGGTCCTCGAAACGTAACCGACGAGCGGCCCTGGTCGTAGATGATCGGATTGTTTGCAGCATTATTGGTCCGGGGGGGACCCTGGGCTCGAAGGAATGAAAACATAATATTAGGTGTATGTACCGACAATTGTACAGTCTAGTAAAGGGGACTTGATAATTGACAGACAGCGATTGAGAGAGTAAACGTTTATTTAGGCAAGACTGTCACCAAATTCTGGAAGCCGGGCTGTATCGACACCCTCTTGCCGTTTTGGTTCGGAAATCCGAACCCAAGTTCGCAAGTCCCGTAACTAGGCCTGTCTTGGTCCTTAGGTCGAGAACCGCGGACCGGACCGCACGGTCTTGCGGTCTCGAATTCGGAGGTTGACCGCACCATAGTGAACCGCAATTGCGTAACTCTTTCAATAGAAGCTACAATAAAGAGTCAATTCCGTAAAAAGCCTTTGGTTTCTTTATTGGAGACCCTATACACACAGATTAAAATCACAATAAATCTGACCACCTGCCCACCCTACCTAATATGTTCCAATAGAACCAGTTGACACCGTCGGGTTTATCGTTCAAGGAATAGCTTCAACAAAAGCAAAAACATACAACAGTGAGGATTCGCTGGTGGTCACCCACCCAACTACTAACTCACCGGCGTGTGGCTTAAGTACGGCTGAGCGGACGGGAAGCCCTGTTCTCCACACCCTGTGGTCGTATGTGTTTATTCAGGGATTGGAATGGCTTATACATAAACGATCTTTGAGAATACAGAGCTGCTTGAGAGCCACACGACAGGAGCTTCCAGCCTCCACTCTACATAGCAAATTTCGTCCGAAATATACCAACAGCACTGTTTAAGGTGCCTTTTGTTTTTTTGTTTTGGTTTCCCGCTCAAGAAAATTACAAATATAGTTCTTCTAGTAATAGAGAATTAAAATTAATTCAGACATGATTTGTTGATCATGCCAATTGCCCAAGATTGTTTGGGGGCTATCCTGGTCAGGCCTAGTAGTGGCAATGTCTCGCTTAGATCGGCCGCCTAGCCTTCCCCCAGGACTGTACCCCGAACAGAATACGGCATAAATATCCAGCAACCTGCAGCGCTTTGTGTGGGCACCCTTTTCCGACCTCCAGACCCTCCGATCAAAAAATGGCGTCTCTTCTCTCGACGCCTACGGAGATTCTTTGCATTATCTTTGCGTTCCTCTCGCACAGCGATCTTGCCGCGATATGCCTCACGCATAAAGACTTACGATCTCCTGCTGAGCCGTTTCTTTACGACCACATTCAATGGACGTGGTCGGACTCTGAGCACCCTCCGTTTGCTGAATTCTTGCGAACCATCGTTCAGAGGCCCGAACTCGCAACCTATGTCCACAATGTGGTCCTCAACGGTAACAGTTTCGACGAGGGCGTAGATGACTCAGGGAACGAAAGTCCTAGAATCCCAGTCGCAGAACCTCTCGTGAATGAGCTGGTGGAACTGGTTACAAGAATCAATGTTCCTTATGCTGAAGAATGGATCCAAAAGCTACGCGCCGGATCGATGGACGCGTTTACCACTCTTTTGATATCCCAGCTCCCCAATGTGAAACGTCTCTACCTTGACAAAAACTACAATCGAGAGACCCGCCTCCGAGGCATGATGCTACGATCGGCACTTTGCGAAGAGTCCACGAATAGCCATCTCAGTTCTTTCAAATACCTCCAAGATGTGTCTGCAGACTCTGCCTGCCTTCGCTACAATATTCGACGCCAAACGCAAGATAGAAACACACAGGACGTCCTCCCTGTATTCTACCTGCCATCTGTCAAACGAGTCAGGGCTTTGGTCGATAACCCTGCCACTTTCGCATGGACTGGAAAGAATCCACCAAATCCACAGTGTCTCACAACACTGGACTTGACTTCGTTGCGTGAGAAATATCTTGGCCAACTATTATCGGTAACGCCAAGGCTGCAGAAGCTCGAGTGGGATTGGAATTACCGTTGGGATCTGACTGATGATGCTGTTACCGATGTCATCGATTTGGACCGAATCGCGGCGGCACTATCTCACGTTAAAGAGACGTTGACAGACTTTACTATTACAGCCGGGGCGGAACGCTACAAAGCCGAACTAGAGGACCCAAAGGTCCAATTCAGTGGATCTTTCAGGGTCTTTAGTGGACTTGACAACTTGAAAACTCTGCAGGTCCCGATTCCGTTTCTGCTGGGATTTTCTTCCTCGGAGTCCAAAGAACATAATTTGCCCGTTGCGCTTCCTCCGTCTCTTGAATGGCTGACCTTAACCGACTGCTTGAGTTTAGACCCACAGTGGATGTGGCAACTGGAGTCTGACTACCTTTTGGAGGCCATTCGATCATGGCTTCAAAATTGGAAGAGACACACACCTAATCTTCGGGGTTTTCGTCTTTTGGGAAGTGTGATAAAGGAACGAGATTGGAAACCTGCCATGATACAGGGCTTAAGAGATTTGGGAGCACAGACCGGAATCCAAGTTCAGATAACTGATGTTGAACCCAGATGGTCAGGTCATATGTTGCGAGATCCCCAATTATGATACGATGGCAACGATTCAACAGCCAATTCTCCAAAAGATCAATACGTAGAGTCCACCTATGGGCACCTATTCCTTCTTCCAAAATTCTCTAACTTTGCCGCAAAGCTGAATTTAGCAGTTCCATTTCCCCTCCGACTGCATCTGATACTGAAAAGTGTGGTTGTGACATTATGTGTGGAGGGACATGTTATCTACATTTCCATGCGTTATGAAAGCTGCAGAAGACAAAAACAAAAAACATACAACAGTGAGGATTCGCTGGTGGTCACCCACCCAGCTACTAACTCACCGGCGTGTGGCTTAAGTACGGCTGAGCGGACGGGAAGCCCTGTTTTCCACACCCTGTGGTCGTATGTGTCATATCAGATGATTCCCAGATATACATTGAGCAAAGCATCCATGCTCAAGGCAATATGCTTCAAGACTTCACACGCTTACATGAGAGAGTCGAATATGTTGAGCCAAGCTTTTGCTCGGGATGTCAATTCAGTTCTGAACATGGATACTGGATCACAATGAATTCCAAGGTTTGATTGGATTGAATGAATAATGATCATGTGTAAGCTGAGAGGATAAATAAAAGACCAGGAGAGCGCCGAGAAAATGCTAAGAAATGACTATGCCGGGGCTAAAGCCAGCGAGCTGCAGCCTCACACCGCCGGCAGCAGGAAATCGATGTACGACATCGGTAAGGACATGACGCAAAAATGGGATCTGGTTGAGAGGAAGTTGAGATGTTGTCAATAACAATGACCGAGCTTTGTTGATTCGACGAATGTGAATATCGCCGATGTGAATCTCGCCGTTGAGGATTTGGCTCTTTGGAATTGAATACATCCTTCAGCTCGTTGTAAGCGCGAATACAATCCTTCACGGCGACACAAAGTTCTGCAAATGATACAGAGATGTCGGTGAGCAGATGGAGTATCTCAAGAAACGTGCTCCAAAAGCCACTCTCAGTTGTTTGAGGAGAAGTCGTTTTGTCATGGTAGAAAACTTTGGTAAGTGAGAAAGGCGGTAGTGTCCTGGTCATAGGTGGGTTGGCGAGGAGTACGAGCATGTCGGAACGGTGAATTGTGGACATGATGGTCGTCTGCGGCTGGTGGGGTAGAGAGCCCGCTAGCGGCCGACGCGTCATTTTTGAGGTGCAGGCAGTTCCCGGGAAGGTGATAGCCGCCAACGCGGCGTTTTCGGAGTGATGGCCGGGTAGGTGTTTTCCAGCAAGATAATAGGAATCAGATGCGGTTTTGTGGAGACTGGGGCATTTGTGTTGGAAGCAGTCCGGGCAAAAGAAAAGGAAGAGGAATGAAATCAGTTGACGATGTAGAGTCTTGAAGACGGTGGCAGAATTATCCACAATCGAAAGCTCGGTAGGTCAGGTGTCACCGTCTGCTCTGTATGTAGATAGACCCAGCTCTCTGCCTCTCTCTTCTTTCTTTTCCCTCCTGTCCGTCAGATAGCCAAATACACTATGTGATTTTGCTCCTCTTCTTCTTGCTGCTGTCAGATACTGAGCCGTCTTTTTTTTTGCGTTTTCCTGAGCGATCAACACACATTTGACCTCTCGTGGGGCTCTGGGTGTACGCGCTTGGGCCCCCTGGGGGCCCCGCCGCTTCTTGAGCCGCACCCCGAAGTGAGCCCCGAGCTACACCCCACATTCCACATCCGCCGTTCCGTATATTGTCGAACCGTATCTAATCAACATATACCGGAGTGAGAAGGAGACACCATTGCTCGAATGCCCTCTTCCTGACTATTGTGGGCATATCAACCTCAACTCCACGTCAACTCTTCTTCATTTCTCGAACGTTACAAAACAAAGCTCAACGAGTCAGTCCTACAGTCAGTGCTAGTTGCGGGAGCCAGTGTGAAGCCAGTTCCATGTGTCAGGGCTCATGCGGAGTAACAGAGCCAGTTTGCGAGATTCCCGTGTCAGAGTTGATGCCTTTGCCAGTTACAATATTCCCGAGTTAATCGCCCGTGTCGACGCCCGTACTGTACTTGAGCTGACTTCAAAGCTCGACCATTTTGCCGACCAATGGTATAATTCAGTGTCGACCATCTTCCCATGCTTTTCGGTCAGAATCTGTTGCCAAAACATCTGACGTATTTATGTCGAATCGTCTGTGCCAATGTCCGAGTTATTAAGACCATTCGTCGACGTTATCAATCATTATATCGTCAACGTTAGTGTCAACAAGTCTTGATACTCATACCTCTTTACCCAAAGTTGAATCGTGACCGAAGACCTTCGCGTACCCCATTCGATCTACTTCACGTCAACACGGAAGGGGAGAAAACAATACCAACATCAAATGCCAATTCTACCTAGACAGCAGGCACCAATCAGTTATGGAGCAGCAACTTGTGGAGGGACAACTGTGAACCAACAAATCCATCTGTCATCAGTATCACGTGACTAGCAGCCTCAGCAATCAGGGTGAGCAGCCAAGTTAGGCGCCAGTTTCGGCACCTCTTTTACCGAAGCACCTGTAGACCAAGATTACACCACACAACGATGGAGAGCTTTGCTGTGGAGCAACCGGTTATGATGTCACTGTCATGCACAGTCATCGACGCCGTTTATAACCTGATAATAATGAATGTACCGGTGAACACCGTTCCACTGCGGTCTAGTGTTTCGAATTAGCAGCCTATCGCAGGCCAAGCAGGAATGTACAATCTTTGCCTTAATTCTCATGATGACTAGCGTATGACTGTACAGCCGGTCTGACATCGAAGGAGCGACGTGTCTAGGTATAAGAGCGTCAAGATTCATGGTATTGTTTCATTAAGGTCAATCAGACTCTGAGCAAGTGGTAAGTTTCCTTGGCATTATGCCTTATCGTCACATTTGCCACCACCGTCCCTAGCATCAAATATTTAATGGTTGCCCCATCTCCCCGTTGCATCTACTCTTGTACCTGTCTTCATATTTGATTCATTCAAGTTTCGTCTCTCACACAAAATGCAAAGGCAGATCGCTGGAACACTCGACGTCCGCTTTGTTGATCGTATCCAACAAGATATCCTCGAGCATCGCAACGACACAGAATACGACATCTTGTACTTGACCCCAGTACCTGACTCAACTCACGATTTTCGTGTGCGTATCGAGGATTTCCAGAGTCTCGATCTCGACAACTACGATCAGTGGTCTCAACGTTTCAGAACCGCTTACGCCCACATCGACCAGCGTCACCCTCTTGGAGTGCCGTTTATCGTCAGTCAAGTCTGCAAACCAGGATGTACTCGGAATCATTCCTGAATCTAGCCGTCGGCTTCTTCCTAAGTGCCGCCCTGGTGCAAGGAGCGTCTATTCCAAACGTCGACCAGCGCAACAACACTACTACCTTGGATACTCGAGCTGGAAACGATTACCGTATCGCAGTGTATCAGAATGGTCAATGTACCGGCGAGGCTATCCCCTACTCTGGTGATGACGAAGATTGCCACAATGGTCTCGGCGACGGCGGTGCCGGACTCCAGCTTTTGGCTCTAGATGCTGACGGCATGCTTGTTTTCTATGGTGCGGCTGATTGCCCCGCCGGCCAAGAGGTCGACACCTTGAATCCAAATGATGACCAGACCGGAACGGACTGCAAGCCTCTGAACGGAAACCCTGTTTCGTTCCAGTTTATCAAGGTTTGAAGCATTTACGATCCGTTGGTGTCCCAATTGGTCTTGAACTACGAGCCAAGACAAATTTATGTACTCAGAAATTTTTTGCAAGTTATTGAATTAGTTCCGTTCCTACATCCAGCCGTGTCAGCTTTTCAAGACTTGGGTGCAGTAGTGACAGGCTTTCTATCATATCACGAATAGCAAGTAGCGTTAGGTAGAAATGAAAATGCCGTATACCGCAGAGAAGCTAAATGCCTCTTAGATATTGATAATGAGAAGGCTGGAGGACGCTGAGGTGGCAGTTTATAGAAGGATTCTTATAAAGCATAAAAAGTTACAGCTAAAGCGGTCGTTCCAAAATTGACATAGTTCTGTCTATACAGTAGATAAGAATTATTCACGGTGAATCTCAATACTTAAGTATGAAGTAGCGTCTTTTCGATTATGGACCAATTACGGACTGTGAGGGTCTGAAGAGTCCATTGTGTTCTTATATATCACGTTATTCTACGAGGAGTCAGGGTAAACAACGTCATCCATCCATTGCGTATTTTTCTGGGGGCCAGAAACGCCTCGGCCGAGGCACGACCAATTCAAGGATCCTCGGGGAAGACAATTACCAAGGAAAAACATTTAGGTCTAAGACAGGGGGCTAGCGGCCTTGTGTGAGGTGGGGATTGGCCAGTTGGCAGGCCCGGATATGGGTTACATCGCGTGCGGCTGAGAATTGGGCTTTTTGGTTGGTCAAACGGTGCCTTTCTATTTTCACTCTTACTCTCAACTTTCAGAACTGAACCCGAGATTTTCTACCTGCTATGTATGGGCCCAATTCCGCAAAGCACAATCCGAGCGCGATAGTTATTCAAACATTTATCTGACAAATTGGCAGGGTTGTAGTTGTTCATTGGTAGTTTCGAACTATTAATCGCGCTGGGCATTACTCGTAACTACAATTGGGAACCCGCATTATGGGGCCAGATGCTGGAGAGTAACATGACTAATCTCATATTAAATGTAACATTGTATTTCGTCTATGCTCTAGAATCAAGACACAGTGATACAGTAAATATTTATGAGTCAAGTTCTTGGTCAAATTGGGATTTACGGTTTTAGCCTTCGAATAATGAAAAGCTGCGGCCGTAAGGGCGATTGATAAAAAAAAACACGTCGCACTTGCACGGGCGTAATTGCCCGCCCCCAGGATCACGCACATGAAACATGGGGGCTAGTCTATAATTGGTTAACTAAGATATTGACCCCTCATCAGTACCTGGTTTGTGACGTCGTGTCACACCAGATTGGTCAGATCTTGGATTTTCCATCGTAGGGCCACTGGTGGATGGGGTACTATCACTCGTGCGGATTGGTCCACAGGATGATATGTAGTCCATGCCTACGCGGGTAAAAAAGGTACCGGATACCGATGCTTCCTTTGGGTTGGCTTCGTACACCGAGGCTCCGACCCATAACTCCTTGGAAAGATGTCATCGCGTCGAGTGGAGGTAACGGTTCTTGTTAATGAAGCGGGTGTCAGATGCTCTAATGGCACTACGCCCGGAGAGTCTAGCAAGGGGGCCACAGCAGCAAGGCCCTCGGCTGTTAGGAAACACTGGTAAAATCCTTCTAAAAACAGGTTTCGCCTGCCTTAAGCTCAGGAAAGTGCTAACCAATGTTTTTTCTCGTCATTGCTCGGCCATCCGCGCCGGATAGCAAATAATTCGTTCCGGTCATATTCGAACAAAAGAAGCCACCCCTGGAGTGATAATGGCGATGCCCTCGTCCAAATTCCTTGATCTTTCGGGGTCTCGACGCCCTCAAATCCCGATCCCTTCAGCGAGGCAGGTCCTTGTTCAAATGTCCAAGGAGGACCAGCGACGGGAACGCAATCGAGAGGCACAGCGTAAACATCGTCAGTTCACCTGTTATTTTTCCTCTGGGCTCAAGTTCGCCTTATGAGCAAAGCTCATCTGGGATCTACAGGTGAAAATATCAAGCAGCAATTGGGAAAGTATGATCGGCTGCGACAAAATCTTCAAGACCTAGGGAATGACACCAATCCCTCAACACCTTTGGCAGACCTACCGTTAGGCCAACAACAATTTTTCCCGTCGCCATCAGCCGGTGTAAGCCCTTCTATGCACTCTCAATCGATGTTACCAAGCCTTTTTCCAGAAATTGAAGTCGATCAATCGATAGACCCACAGTCCACGGAACCTGATGATCCTCACTCTCCCCTATTCCTTCGCTCGGCAGGATTTGCCAAGGGAGTATACAGTTCCCCGTCAACAGCGCACGATGGAAACTCTTCAACAGTGAGCTCCCGAGTCGAGGACCACTATTCAATGGTAATTACCCTCCATTTCTCTCTCTCTCTCTCTCTTCCTTCTGCTGAGTTAAATTTTTTTAAAAAAAAGAAGAAAAAAAAAAAAACTAACCTGTGAATAAAGACCGTCCCTCCTCCAGACATGTGTTTTACGCTTGACCCGAACATCCTATCCCCATCATTGGAGTTTGAACCGAACGATAGAGCATGCGATAGGCAGGCTTTCGGCCGAACTTTGTTGCACCAGGCTGTGATTCTAAATAGCGAAGAAATAGTTTCGGTATTGCTGGCACATGTTGCAGACGTAAAAGCTCGGGATAACGACGGACGCACGCCTCTTCACGTGGCTGCCGCTCTGGGTCACGCGAGGGTAGGACGCTTGTTGCTTATGCATGGTGCGGCGGTGACGGTGTCCATGGCGGATGGACATGGGCTGACTGCCATGCACCTTGCAGTTCAAAACGGGCACGCTTCGACGGTCGAGGCGTTGGTCGAATGCGGTGCTGATGTCAATTTGCGATTTTAGTTAGACCGGTGGTTCTTCACTTGGGAAATTTCGAGTTCAAGGTTCGAAACGGTCGAAGTTACATTGCCTTTTAGCGTTGAGCGACAACCGGATTGCTTTTCATTCCAGTTGCTCTGTCCTTGTCTGATTGTAAAACAAACTGTGTACTACACTCAAATACATACAGTTTATTAGCACCCGGCGGCTTGGCCGAAAGGGCAATCATCTCTGATCTACTATACATGTCAAAACATATTTTGCGTTGATACCTTTCCACTAAAGCGAACTTAGGCTGCCGCTCACAATAAACTCTACAAGCTCCACCTATGATTTATGTATGTCTACTATCTGCTGGGCATCGAAAAGAAAAGAAAAAGGAATTTCGTTCAACGTTGCTCCTACTTAAGTAATATCGATTTGCACAATTTCGTTGAATACAACTAGAAAAAGCAATGCAAAACACATTCTACGTGGGAATTGTTGAGAGAGCACGGCGAAAGGAAGGAAGAGGAACCGATTGAATTGACTGATTAGGGAGAGAGAGAGGGAAAGGAGAGAAAGCCTATGGAAGGAGGGTTTGTCTACAGCAAACGAGGGTTGGGACGAACTTCCATCTCAACAGGAATGACTGTCACAAAATAATCCTGTTAGCTTCCTTCGCTCAATAAATCCGTGCTGACCTCATGTTTGAAGGAGTATGGGCGTGGAACCACGGGTTCAGATCATCGTGTGTTGTAGCTCCATCTCATTTCAAATCGATAAGATATCTTAGGTATATGCTCCTAAATTCAATGCCAGGCCTAAGTACTGGTCTAGATTTTAAGCCCAGATCGAGTATGATCTGGATTGAGTCTAGGTCTGGTTGGGCTTTAAAGAAGTCTATACCATACCCTCTAGCCGTTCCAGGTTGGGCGTTAGCATCTATAGATGAGGTCAGGGTCTATTGCCAGTCTCAATAAAATTGTACTTATCCATGATGTCTGAGAACCATATCATTGAGTTTTCTCGACGTTACCAATTTCTACGGGCGAAATAAGACGCACTAATATAGCTTAACCACAGAGCAGAAATGGATGAAGGCCAAACATGTAATGAGCAGGCTAGTCCCAATCGGGGAACAGAGGTCAGTTCAAGATCTAGGCGGATTCGGGCAGGGAGCTCTTACTGCTGCGGAGTTCTCGGAGTGCAGTCAAGCTGATGGGATCACCGCGGGGTATTTGCTATGTGTGCAGGATCGACCGGGTCGGTCATACAGTTTGCTGAAGGGGAGAATTCCGCTCTCGTGTATATATAGAGGATGCTTCTGCCGGGGATCTAGTTCTTCATACTACTTCTTCTCGTCGATTAGGACTCAATTCATCATTGATCTTGCCTGTACATCACAAAACAGAGTGGGCGAGAACAGGATCCACAGCAACAACTGATGTTGATGATATGCACAAAGACGGAGAAAAGAAAAGGATAGAGAGAGAGAGAGAGAGCCCCAAGGCACCAGCCGACAGTGAGGTGAGCAGGGAATGAACCCCATATAAAGCACTGAGCTCTCGCACAAGATCATCAGAAGCTGGATAAATTGGGAAAAGACGATAGCAGGTCTCTTCGTTCTAGTTTAAAGGGCGAGTGGCAGTAAAGGTTTTGAATGGCGGACAGGACAGAAAGTACTCCCAGTCCACAACCGGCAAATTGAGGTCCGTAAACGGTGTCCAACGAAGATTTTGCATTCCTGCCAATTTTCCGCATTTTTCGTAAAGTTCTTGAGGAAGATAGTATGTGCTGAAAGAGAAGGGACTCTTTGTGTGAAGAGTAGTTTGAACTTTGAGACCCCCTCCCTCGATGAATTCAAGTACATCTTGGCTTTGTCCAAATCGAGGGCCTTTTGGGTAAGCCCCGCTCTGAACAAAGTCCAGGTTGGGAGCGATGCCTATCACTCGTCCACCAGGCTTGAGACAGTTGAATATGTTCTTCCACATGTCCAAGAGTACTTTCTCATCTGGTGCATAGTTGAGTAGCCAGGGAGCTAGAACAACGTCATATTGTCCCAGACTCAACGATTCGCCGCAATCCGCAACGTGAAACTCAAGTCGATCGTCTCCTTTCGCTTTAAGGCGTGCGGTATCTACCATCGTCTGGGAGATATCAACGCCAACAGCTTTGGAGGCACCCCATTCAACGGTTTTCCTGGCATAGCGACCAGTGCCGCAGGCTAGTTCAAGGACACTGAGACCATCGATTTTCCCAATGAGCGTCTGCATCGCAACTGTTTGTAGTTTTCCAGTCTCGAGATTCGTGATATCATCGTAACGATCCCCAATACTATCATACTGGGCAACAGTCATATTGAAATTTGAAAAATATGAAAAAAGGTGCTATCGGACAAAGTACTTATGATATTGGAACTCAAGGTACTGCCCAAGTGTACAGAGATATCCATATAGCGGTCATAACACCTCACACCATTGGTGCCGTTCTGACCGCTATTTAAACAGGCCCTGCATAGCCAAGAAGGTGCTCAAATCGAGGTAAGAAGCCATCAGCTGGTCGCTTTAGACGAAGGAGGTGAGAATAGAAGCCGCACACGGAATGACAATCACGAACTCACAGTTGTGCTGAAGAGTTGGGCTTCTTGTGAAAGAGTCCAATACTCTTTTGGGAGTTGGAATGCTTCACGTGGTCGAAGAATGTGCTTTCAATAATTTCAAATTCCGTCTCGGAAGAGTCGTATTACGTACATGTCGGAAAATGGCGACCGTGGCTGGAGTCATGACTATACAGTGCATATGTAGGATTGAGAAGACGGAACAATTTTGCGTACTAGATTGTCACGGACTGTGACGATTAATAGGCCGTGGAAAGGTAAGGAGGATCTCCTTATGCATGTATGCGCACCATCCTTGCTGCTCGAGTGTGTAAACGCCCAACTCGGTTTTTTATCTCTGCAAAATAGACAGACACCCAAAGTCGGAGCACCGTCGAACACAGTCAAGACAGAACTGCAAGCACTAAGCTTCTCTGTCAATGCTTTCCCGCGAAGCTCCGAAAGCCAGATTTCATACAACTCACTTGGCAAAAACTGGAATTAGCTTACCTGAAGTCGAGAGATTCCTCCCATGCATCAATGAATAGCACGATTATTTACAGAAGCGGATATATGAATTACTAACTAGCCAGAATGTACAATGGGAGAACAGAGTTCTACACCACACCTTGACTGGTCCCATTATATTGCAGTTGATATTAGACAACAATTGTGCTATCACTTTTCTCGGGATCTATGTAAGGACCCTAGTACTGAGAAGCGAGCCCAGCAAGCTATACGAGCTTGTGGGCATGCTCAAGTGCGACCGCGCATACCCTTCGGTTATGCGATCGTGATCATGCATGGCTTCGCTTAGCGTGCACATGACCACACAATTGTATTCAAGCATCCAGAAGCTGGGGTCTTGGACCCCAGGGATTAGTTAAGCAGTACACCGGACTGTACTACTCCGTCTACTACCCGAATCCCCCCTCAACACCTGGGCACGAAGCACCCTGCGAAGTGGTGATTTACGATCTAGAGCTAGAATGGATGCGATTGTAAAGCACCGGCAAGGGGTGGGGCAGCAAAGTGACGAGTACAGTATAATTGGGACGGAGAGTAACTTTAGAAGAGTTACCCACCACCTGAGCACCCCACTGACCTGTAGACTCTCCCAGCTGAGCGGCAGTTGACAATCATTGGATCGTAGTGTTCTTTCAGCAACCAATACAAATTCATTGCAAACTATGCGTGGCTTGGAAGAATTTGTATCATCCTAGAGGAAATGCTAATGACTGTAATTTTGTTTATATATATACATGAATGGGATGGAGAGAGAGAATGAACGATAATTAAATATGAGTTAAAGAGCTGTTAAAGGAACAATAGATGTAGGAAGATGAAAATCGAAATTGAGTCGGTGTGTGCGTCTTGTTCAATGCAACTTGCCATAAACTTAATCACGTACTGTGCGTGAGGCAGCAGTCACCTTACGAGGTGTCTTGTATTCAGTGTCCTCGCATCTCATGATTCCGTCGGTGGCTGTGTCTGCGGTAGTGAGACGAGGTTGTGGTAGGAGACGGGGTTGAGCTAGAAGACGGCAATTTCGATTTCGACGGGGAAGATGTATTGGTGGTGGTAGGCTTTGACGAGGTGCCTGATGTAGTTAAAGGAGTCGATGTATGTTTGGTCGAGGAAGTAGAAGCTTTTCTGGTTGAACTTGGCTGCTTTTTGTCACCACCTAACCTTACGGAACCGACCGGACCAAAATTGACACAAGACGGTGACATTGGCGCTTTAAGTTCCTGTACAGAAGAAGTCAATGGCGGTCTCGGGGAGTCATTCGCACGTTCAATTGACATACTGCAATAGTTTTCTCCACTATGGGGTCATCAGGTGTATCGGCTTGCGCAATATCCACATTGAGGCTGACTCCAGCCTTCGGGGTGATGCAAGCCTTGGAGCCTATGTAATCTCGTCAGGAAACACTCAAACTGATTATTGAGAATTTACTTACCACCAGCCGAGACATGAGCTCCAACATCGGATCCGAGATTGACATCGACTCCCAAACCCTTGTCTGGATAATATTAGTACATTGGATTCCAATTTGAGAACTCGACTTACCAGTAGACACAGCTACATCGGCGCCGAGATAGGGCTTCATATTGACACCGGCTTCATAGCCCAGGTCTAAGATGATGTTAGTTTGTTGAAAACATATTGGCAAGGTTATACATACCAAAGACTGATGCAGCAAATTGAATTTCAGCTTTGGCGTACACCTCAGCCCCAGCCTCGATCTTAGCGTCGATCTTCACTGGCTCCGTGTCAATTTGAGGAGTCCATCCGCCAGCGGATACGTCCGGAGAAAGAAGATCAATCTCGAGCTCTGCAGAGTTCTCTAGACTGATAGTGACTCCGGCTGTAATTCCCGCGGTGCCTTTGATAGGACCAATCTGATATCCAAAACTCAAGACAATTTCCGGGCCAAGGTCAAGAACACCCCCTGGAATTGAGATACCATCGACAGGGATCGTGACGAGCTCGTGCTCGTTGGAGATGTCACCGGTCATGTTCCCACTCAGTCCTAGGCGTGGTGTAAAGGTTGCGGAGACGTCGTTGGGCGAGAGCGTCAACGAGGCGGACTGGGGGATGCCAGCGTTTGTCTTGATGTGGACACCAAAATCGAACGATCCTTTTGTTTCACATCCTTCACATGAAATCTCCACAGAGACATCCTTTCCGGGGATAGGGATCGACTTGCTGAGCGGTATCTTATGGTTGAAACTTAGGGAAGCTTCCTTATCGAAGTCGTCCCAGCCTCGCCTGGTTGTCGATGATTCTGGAACATTGCCCACCGTGACCTCGTAATTACGGAATATTTGTTTCCATTCCGATGGCACGCCGCTCAACCTCGCCTTCAGGGATGGCTTGTCAAACGAAATCGATGAGACGACGAATGGCATTCTGTGAGGGTTCCAACCACAGTGTTTGCTGCCCATGACAAGGATCAATTTACGGTCATCGTCATCATTGACCCACTGCCATCCACGCTGGAGGTATCCGAACGCAGGTGTATCTTCCAACTCCAGGACGATGCCATTAGCGGTGCAGTTAACGGATGTCAACAAGTGTCGGAACTTCTCCATGGAGACAATATTTGCTTCTTCGTCACCGACGTCGACTGTGAGGTTCGCCAGCGTCTTGTGGCCATTTTGGGAACCTTTTGGGCAATGTTATTCATCTTGCAATCGCTGGAGGACCATGCTCTATCCACGGGAATCATACCACTCCAATAGTAAGAGTCTTTGCCCAGTCGATCAAAAACCGAAAAGCTAGCATCTTCAGTCGATTGATCTCTGCTTTCGAGAAGGGGGCTGACGGCATCAGGGGCGACTGTATCTTCAAAAACCATAGACAGGCCTTGCTGAGCGAGAAGGGACAATACCAGACTGGAAGAGAGCCAGAATCGCCGGATATTCACCATCTTGAGTGCGAAAACTAAGTCTGCCTCCTGGTAAAACGGCTTTTAAGGCCCAGTCAAGAACGATCTGTTTTTCTTCCGTAAACCCATTTTGCGGCTCCTAGGGATTTATATTGTAGAGGTGCCAATCTCGTATTTCTGCCCATGAACGATCGTCGTCTTCAAACGGCTGAGGATATTCCTCCAGTGGGCACGGCAAGCCACTCTCGGCGAGATCTAATCGCAAATTTTGTAGCCAATGATAGGGCTCAATACCTCAAATCTTGGCAGGGGCAGACGGCAAGACGCGGCAACGTTCGTGTTCTTATGCAGGCTGTCTCCGGATCCACATTTTAGGCTTGCTCGTTCAGCGGACCTGTCCATTTGAACATAACGAGCCATTTTTTGTTATCGCTCATCACAATCTTATACTTCGTATTGAGCCGCATCAGATCTAACTAAAAGAAGTTGGTTCTTGCGAGGCTATAATTAGTTGACGATGTTCGCTTCTAAATTCAACATCAGGGTCATTCATCGTACATGTTTTGTAATTTATTCCAAGGTTCTCCTCCAACAGTGTTGGATGTCTTCCGAGGTCAGAATGAACCGATTCGACAAGGCTGGCCGGTCATGTATCGGTATTTCCGGTATCTCGGAAACCAGGCATTAAGGCATTAACCAGGCCAAAATCAGGCCAAAATCAGGCACCATCCCCTTAGCAGGGGGCCAAAACACGGACCCTTGGACTCAGCCTCATTCGTTTGCGTCATGATCTTGACTTTATCTGTGCGGTATTAAGATCCAGCAACAATGGAATAATGGCAGGGTCGCCGGAATCGTGCTGGCACGAAAAAGTCGCGGACAGGCAGTCGAACGTGTCGGTGAGTACATGTGATGATTTAAAGATATAGAATCTGAACCCCAGGTAGCGTGCCACACAAAAAATGCGACGAAGCCCTAGGATCATACAAAAGCTGTACAAGCACCGGTCGATCCTGTGAATATGACCTCTAGCGACTGCCCTGCTCAGGTCGAGTCAGCACAGACGAAAGCGGAGAGCTCGTACTGCGTAGAATCCCAGATGGGATGCGCTGGGCAGTGACTACCGATGAGCGACGATGTTACTCGTATTCAAATCCGATACCATCTCCACACTCACTGGATTATTCGACTCTCCGCTCTGGAAGCCCAAGGCCGTAGGCCGGACTCGTCCACAACGATGTGCCGATGGACAACCCTTTCTCTGGGTGTGTTAACCGCCACCGCTGTACGAAGGCGAAATGGTCGTGAAGCTTCTATCCCACCTCTTCTGAATCAACAATGGTTTCGATGCCATGCTTCTCGATCTCATTGTGCGGCCCGATCCCAGAGAGCACGAGGAGTTGGGAAGTGCGATATGTCCCTGCCGAAACGATGACTTCCTTTTCTGCATGGAATATCTCTCCGCCAACTAGCTGTACACCATTACCAACTTTCCTTCCTTCTTTGTCTTCAACGAGAACCTTGTGGATCATCCTTTCGGATAAAACCGTCATATTTGACTGACCCATGACCCCGAACATCTCACTCGCAATTTATCGCTTTGCGGCAACTCTCAACCAACTCGCCCAACCTCAACGGGGAACCAACATTCAAATCCGAGATACCCTTCACACCAATGTTCTCCCACGCCTTCCTCACAGGCTCGCCGAGCGGATACTTCCTCAGAACTCCCCGAAACAGTCACATTGTGAATGACTCCGTCGAGCCCATGCTCCGCATTATTTTTGGCCTGAGTTCCATGCAAAGATCCGGCAAGCCACTTCTCTGTCTGTCGGAAATAAGGCAGCAACCCCTTATAGCTCCAGCATTCGTCCCGGACAACTTCAGCCCACCGATCATGATCCTCCGCATCATCACGCGTCCATGTGCCATAGCTGATCGTAAACCCACCACCAAGAGCCCTCGCGGCCGCATCATAGCATTCCCTGTTGTTGAGGTGGGCCTGGGGAGTAGTCGTGTATACCCAATCGAGTGGCGAATTGTGGGCACCGAAACAGGCTAGCGGGGAAGATGTCAGAGGGTGCGTGGCAACGTTGGTACCGGCTTCAATAACGAGGATCTTGGATTCCATGTCTCTGTTGGAGAGTAGGGAGGCCAGCGTGCAGCCTGCCAGGCCGCCGGCGGCTATGGTATGGAATCAACGATCTGGTCCTATTTATGTTGAAATCCAATGCGCTTACTCTCCAAAGACCGCTTGCTCCTGAAGTCCGGGGTCTTAGTTGGCTCAACGTGGGAAGTCAAGTTCTCAAACACGCATGGATCCGTCTACGGAGTGAGTACACTAACACCGATACAGCATAGATGCGAAGGCGAGGTCTCGGATTCCCGCAGCCAAACACGCGCTGACCAATGACCGAGAAGTTTGCACATGTTGCCAAGGCGGCAAAAGGAAAACAAATAGGAATTGAAGCAAACAGAAAAATCAAAAACATACAACAGTGAGGATTCGCTGGTGGTCACCCACCCAACTACTAACTCACCGGCGTGTGGCTTAAGTACGGCTGAGCGGACGGGAAGCCCTGTTCTCCACACCCTGTGGTCGTATGTGGTGAATGTACGGGTAATTGACCTTATATTGACTCTGTATTTTGCGTGTACATAGACCAGACATTGGAATGTCAATGTGCAGAACTCACCTATGTCTGCCTATCATTTTGTTCATGCCAAAATTTATTCTGCCATGAGACTACTTCCAAAGGTTTTCCATTAGCCATGGGATTAAGCCATGGAACTCTTCAGGCACACAAGATCATGCCAGACTTCTTGTGCTCGTTCGTGACAAAATCTCAATCATGATGTTCATGTCAAATTACATTTTGCAACGATCTACTCCTGATACAGGATACACAGATGTCCATGGATACTTTCTGATCAGCAATCATTTTGTTTCAACGTTAGAAGGGTTCCTAGCCTTGAGTTCACAGATGTCCTGTCACGAGGGTACTGCTTTCTTTGCCTAGTAGGCTCAATGGGTTGCAAGCGCCTCCTGAAATTGAAGTTACTTACATTGAGAGAAGGCGATTTTGGAATTCTTAATTGCTACACAAAAGATAGCGAATGCATACATAAAACGCAATGTATCAGAATAAACACAAAAGCGCCCATACTTCGACTGGCTACCGCTTATACTCACTGAAATCCAGGGAAATAGAAAATCCCAGCAATCTCAGGAATACCATCTTCCTTCTTGGCATGCTCCTTGACTAGTTCTTCTCTCAGCTCCAGGGCCTCACTCATGTCCATTTGTGATACAGTCTCAATGCCGTCGCCTTTCAGCCACCCGGTTTGCTGAGGGAGAACGTTGCGTGTAGAGCAAATCCGGTAGCTCGGGTCAACAAGAGACAAAGTGAGAAAGCGACATTGGCCGGGTTTGGTCTTATCCTCAAGCTGCAATGGGCCCATTTTGTGCTGGAAAGCGTTCGGGAAGGAGATCAGGCGGCCTGAAGGCATTTTCACTTCCCCAAGCTCCTGCAAAGCTGGACTATTTTGCAATTTTTCGCGCCCCAGAAGCATTCCTATGTACTTGAGGTCCCAGTGGGAATTCTTGGTCATATTCACAGGATCATCGAAGTCGCTGTCATCCTCTTCGTCAGTATCCCAACCGCCAATCAGGTCGTAGACCCACGGACCACCTTGTCTGCACCGCTGCCGGAAGCTGATTTGTGGCACGGATATGTTTTCTGAATCGAGAACTTAGATAGAGTTAGCGACTATACGCTCGTTCGCATTTCCTTCGGTGTGCCACTCCTCGCCGGCGAAGGTTGGGGTCTTAGGATCTAGCTCAATGCCATGAATGCGGACGACAACTTGAAGGCCCTGCTGCTGAAATTCATCCTGCAATGCGACTTCATAGAACTCGTGATCGGTATCCCCCTCTTCCTTTGGCATATACATCCAGGAAAGGTGGCTTAACCAAGGGTTTGCCTCCATAAATCGACCCCGCTCGTAATCCAGACTGCAAATAGCATCGTGGTGCGGTGGGCCAACAATTGCTTCCTGGGTCCTCCCGGCTTTCCAGTCCGCATAAGAGTATGCCGTTCCTGGGTCCGAGTGTTCAAAAACAAAAGTGCAAGCATACTTATTCAAAGCGGTCTTGAGTAGACCCCAACGGACTTTCCAATCCTCTGCGATGGGCTTTGTTTTCAAGCAAGGCCAGCAGACTTCGTCTTTGGAGTCAGGCTGTTGTAGGGACGCCTCCACCTGAGCACACATCGATTCGTATTCTTCCGCAGAGAGTTTGCTCTCATCTTCCTTGCGGGGTAACTTCTTCGCCCATTTAGGAAACTCGGTTTTCCACTCGACTCCGTAAGTGCGTATCCGTACCGGCTCACGCGGATGGGATTCATGGTAGACGGTGGGCGTGTTCGTTAACCGATTACGGACCAGAACCTCATTCCATTGTTTGATGCTCGCAGAAATCACGGCCTCGACCGCAGAGTACATCTTCTTGTTCGTTGGATGGATATTATTGATGTAAGAGGAGATGTGAACATCCGTGACATCGGTGGATCCCGAAGGACCAGTAACTTCCACTTCACATGGAAGCCACTGAAATTTCGAGGACCATATGTGCCTGGATTTGCCTCCTGGTAGTCTCATGGCACCCGTGTCCACCTTCGGGGTTTCCGAAAGCACTGGACCATCTTTATTGCATGACGACCAGGATTGTTCGTGCATTCCGCAAGATTGGCCACTAGGCATAACTTTCGTTTTTCCATAGACAAGAGGAAATAGAGAGGGGTCGACGAAATTCTTCACAGCTGGGTCTGAGGTCTCTCGCACCGCTTGTTCGGAAAGCAGGTCCACAGAATTCAAGAGCTGGGATTTTAGACGGGAAGAAATTGCAGTATCGGATTTGCAGACTCCACTGTGCGTGTTGAAGACGACGGTGTGACCACCACGATCAAATTTTCGAGCCATGTCTTGCAGCTCTTTCAAGCACCAGTCCCATGTTTTATCATTGATCAACGACGAGAACGCAGCGGCGTCCTCTCGCCATTGAGTGATAACACGTTGGTCAAAGATATCGCGGTGCCAGTTCGGTCGGTCGGTTAAATTGTTGATTAACCCTAGCATGGCCAGTTCCTTGGCGGTTAGAACTCCAGCGGACCATGCGTTTGTGCCCGTGGCGAATTCATCATGGGCCAGTTCCACATTGACCGGAAGATCATGAAAGCCAGGGACTTCGAGAGTGGATTGGTTATCCAGGGTAGCTTGGGTAAGTCTTCCCATTTTTTCATTCGATGAATTGAGTGAAAAAGATCGAAGAAGTGAAAAAGGTGGAAGAGCTGCGAGTGAGGGGGACAACAAGATACCTGTAGTCCGTCAGGTGGGGCGTGTCTCATACGAAAAGTACCAGAATTACCAGAGTTACCAGAATTACCAAACAGAAATATTTCAAATATTTCATCGACTACACTAGCATCTAACAATATGCCGATGCTCACTTTAACTATCCGTAATCTAAGGTCAAAGTTGAGGTTTCAATCATAGGACTGCTTGTTAAGAAAAATTGACAAGGGCACTATTTTGGGACAATCCCACCAGACAAGCTCATCCGCTGGAAATGTTGAGCTAAGGACACTTTTCCTTCAGCTGTTTGATCGACTCTTTCATCTCCCGCATGATGCCCTGGTGAATCGCAAAATGTCTTCCGTCTTCCCCTTTCATGTCGCTTTTTTAGTTTTGCGCAGCGTCTCCGCCGCTGTGTGGATTTTGTTGCCCAGATCCTCGACACCCGTGTTCTTTTCCGCTGTTTTAGCCTCGTTGTACATTGTATATTTCTTCCCATCACTTGTTGATCCCTGTAGACAGATGCAAGGCTTGATAGGGATAAGATGTCATATATCTGCGGAAGTAAAATGTATATATTGTCATCGTGACGTTTTAATCTTATGTTGATGGACATTGCTATTACCTTTCGTCGTTTCCATGAATTCCAGCAATCTTGACCGGTTCAAGCATTTGATAGTGCTTCAAAGCACCATCACACGCCGTAGTAACCTTCAGCAGATGCTCTTCATTCCACCGGCGACCGACGAGTTGTACACCGACAGGAGCTCCTCTGAAGGCGGCAGGAGAAACTTTTGAACGTAAGCTGATGTTTAAACAGTGACCTTGAATCCGAGTGGCACCTACAGTCATTCCAAACCTCAGTCTCAGTTGCATTGCGGCCTTCGTAATCATACTTCGCATCTTCGTCTTGAGAGACAGATGTTACTGGAATGGTTGACGCGCAGTAATCAAGCACATTCCACAAACTGGTGTAGTTGTCGTATATAAACCCATACCTGAGGTGGTCAAAAGGAGTTATCAAGAACAATGAAGCAATACTCACTTCTGACAGGCTGGCCACACGGTACATGGTGTCAGTAGGGCATCCATCTCTCTCCCAGTATTTGTTCTTGTTTTGGTAGCCACCCATGACTGCAGTATTTGTTTGGCGTACTCCGCGGTCTTGACTTGCGCCCCCCAGAGATCGGAGACTGTGGGACGACTGCCGACGCAGCCAGGTGCTTCCTTTGATTCTATCATCTTTTGAAGTATTTCCATACCACGAGGCCATGGCTCCCATGTCCTTGCAAGAACCTTGTGCAAGGCATCCGCTGCACCAGAACGGTACAAGGCAAATTTGAGGTTTTCTGTGTACAAAGGATCATCGCTGGGAATAGTGAGTGGACCTTTCGGTGTACAAAGATCGTTTCACTCACATCTTGAATTCAATCACAGTGTGTCCGGCTGCCTCCAAGGCCTGTTTCGTGATTTCGAGGGCACGGGCGACGGGTGGTAGCGGTTTGACAACCCCATCATCAGGCAAAAAGCCTATCAAGTCAGCATACATCAAGGCCTGAACAGAAAGAAAGACCAACCAAAACAAAGTTTGTCTGGGATCTCTATATCGCGGTACGGGATTGGGAAGCAATCAGGGTCAGCCTTCATCCACGGTTTCATCTCCGACACTGCCTTGCTCCAAAGCTCAAGTCCAGCGATAGACCTGGAGATTGGGCCAACTGTGTTCGGTACTGCCTTTTGACCCTCCATGACATCCCTCAACCCTGATGTGGGAAAGCGGCCTGATGATGGTTTCAGAGAGTATAACCCACAAAACGATGCCGGTATCCGGATCGAACCCCCGACATCTGTACCAACGCCCATTGGAGACCCGCCCAGAGCCAGCAACGCGCTTTCGCCCCCTGATGAGCCACCACTGGAGAGATCACGATTGTGGGGATTGGTGGTATATCCATAGATTGCATTGTAGGTCTCCTCCATGTCAGCTCTTGAGCTAGTTCACTGTTCATCTTCACTCCTCACCTCACCGGCCATCATGGCTGTTGGAACGTTTGTCTTGCAGAACAAGATCGCTCCGCTTTCTCGCATGATTTTTGTGATTTCCGTCTCTTCGACTATCGTCGTCATTTGATTTGCATAGGCGGTGCATCCTATGGTCGCGTCTGTGCCCTCTACTTTGAAGCAATCTTTGAGTGAGACGGGAAGACCGTGGAGCAAACCGCGTGGTAGATTGCTCGCTTCGTATTCGGCATCGAGTTCTTGTGCAGCCTCGAGCGCCTGGTCGAAGAATATCTCGCTGAGACAATTCACAAGCTGCTGGGCAATAGCTGCGCGTTTGCAAAATGCAAGTGTGACCTACGGAGTAGAAACATGGTTAGTAAAACATTCGACACATCACATCGCTTTGTGATCTACTCACCGCATGAGAAGTGTATTCTCGACTGATGAGTTTTTCAACCAACACATCTGCATCTGTGTCGGTTATTTGAAGCTCGGTTTCGGTCAATATACCACATTCCCTCGGCACATCCATCACATTCAGCTGGTCGTCTGGGACACAGCCTGGTCGGAGTCGCCATTCTTTTGGGATGGCGTTGTCGCGAGCAACGCGTTTAAAATGGGCAATCTTTTGCCATGGGGAAAACAAGCTGTCAGACATCGTGATGAAATGCTGGATTAATCCAAGGAGAGTGAAAACGCGCCGATTTCTAATGCAAGAGGACCGTGAAGCCTGAGAATGCAGTGATGAGTCAATCACGAAGGTCCAAAAACAACAGAGTCTGGAAGAAACGATCTTCACAGCGGCACACCTAACCTGAGGCTTTACGAAACACCAGTCTCTGAACACATTTCGTTATCAGACTACCCCCCGCAGGGACCACGCACCCCCGCAAATTGAGCCGGGGCCCGGGGCCCACACCAGGGACCACGCGCGCCCAAATGCCCCAAAAAGGCAAAAAAAAAAAAAAAAAACTTAAGCTGCCCGGCGTTCCTATCGGCGCCCCGATCGGCTATCGGAAAACCCGATAATTTACACTAAGGTCATGACACTTCGAAAGAGGAGAATGGTGAATCGATGCCTTATTTTACAACGCCTCTCACCACTTCAGCAGTCATCAAGGGACGTTATATCCTCTTTGTATTCGTGGATATTGTTCAGAAATATATACTGCTGTCGAAATGTCCACAAACGAACAACTATCGGCTAGGAATTCCTCTGAGAGTGATCGTGATCATCAGGAGGAGCATAGCCCAGAGAAGCAGGATGAGTCGAGGGGCGTGGTGGGGGAGGCCGCTCCAGTCGACCATCGAGTCATTTTTGAGCGGAAGGCCGCACTCTTGAATGCTGAGATCGATAAATTTGGCTTTGGCAAATATCAATGGTGCATTTGGATGTTGTGTGGCTTGGGCTATTTTGTTGATTTGGCCTGGGCACAGGGTGTGGGTTTGATGGCCACCGCAGTGTTGTATGTGTCTGTGGTTGACTTCTTTTTTCACCCCGGCTGATTGCTTATAGCCAGGAGATGGGTGTTCCGGCAGATAAGCAGGGCCTGATCTATACTTGCTCGAATGCTGGTCTTGCGTGAGTATTGCTTACCAAAGCCTAGAGGTTTCCCGAGGTCTACTAATCACTATGCAGAATTGGTGCCTTTGGATTTGGTGTACTCACCGATATCATCGGACGAAAATGGGCGTTTCAAATTACATGTCTGATAGCATCAGTATTTGGCATGTTACTGGTAAGTCTTCTCCATGTCCGAGGCTTGTGCTACGACTCTCAGCTGACAGAAATAGGCCGCATGTAAAGATAACTATGGTGCGATCTGTGGGATTTACTTCCTTTCTTCGATCGGTTTGGGAGGGAATGTTCCAATCGATGCAACTATTGCCCTCGAGTTCCTGCCACAGAACCGTCGCTACCTGGTAGCCCTGCTGGGAATGTGGCAGCCAATTGGTGTGGTAGTTGCCTCAGCTATTGCATATGCTACGGCTGCTCGTTATCGATGCGATGTCAAGCTGCCTTCTTGCTCGGCCGTTAACTCTGGTACCGCTTGCTGTACCGTGTCAAGCAATATGGGCTGGAGATACATGGTGATAATTATCGGCACTATGACCCTTACCATCTTTTTTGCCCGATATCTCATTTTCAGATTTCACGAATCCCCAAAGTTTCTCGTCAGCAAGGGACGTGAGCAAGACGCTATCGATGTTTTGCACAAAATCGCGAAGTTTAACGGTGCCGAGCCACCCACATTGACTATGGAAGACTTCCAGCAGATTGATCGCGCAGCTTGCGTTAACCACAGACAGCCAATCGGCGAAAGAAATACTAAAACTGTCATTGTTGGTATTTTTAAAAGTCTTGGTTTCCTCCATGGTCTCTTCGCGGATAAGCTTCAATGCTTTAGCTTTGTGCTCCTTGGCATTGCATACATGGTAAGCCATTAACTGGATTTGAGCGTCTCATGAGAACTGATCTTTCTAGGGCAACTACTGGTCATTCAATTTAGCTGGCTACTTCCTACCAATCGTCCTTCTCAACAACAATGTGGACAGCGGTGCAAACAATGTCACTGAGACATACCGGGAATACGTGTACATTTATCTCCCGGGTATCATCGGCGCCGTTTTTGCCCTCATCTCCATTCAAATGCCCCTATTCGGTAGGAAATGGTCTCTCGTCATCTCAGCCACCTTGCAGGGTGTTTCCATGGCCATGTATACCCAAGTTGAAAACACTGCTGGATATGTCGGGCTCAATGCTCTTGAGTATATTATGCAGAGTGTAAGTGAAAAATCTCCTCGCTGTTTTGATACTACTGACGCTGATATTCTGTAGTACTTTAATGCTGTTCTCTATTCCGCTTCTCCGGAGATGTTTGACACCAGTTATCGGGCCAGCGCTAGTGGCATGTTATCTTGCCTTGGCCGGATTGCCGGTATTGTTGCCCCATTTGCAGGTCAGAAATACATTGCTACCGGTAGAGCGGGTGTACTCTGGCTGGGCGCAGGTGGGATTTGGGTTTCAGCTCTTCTCATGTGCTTCCTTCCGATTGAGATGAGGAACAAACAGATGTATTGAGCTTACCTTCATCACCTTTGAACATCGCTCAGGCAGTACTTAAGTATGTCGCTGATTTGGTGATGAGCGTTGCTGTGTCATAGCTTATGTTGAGATAATGTTACTATGTCGTATTGTGTTCAATGTGAATTTCGCTCCTATATGATGTTTTGCTGCTTCCTGGAGTCCAATCTTGATTGAGTTTACTTGAGTATTTTTTCGAGCGAGTATTGTAAGATTCTCGAGCTCTCAGTAGCCTTGTAAAATGCCTTGAGCTCTCTGAAAGCATGAATTTAGATCTTCACGTAGACCAAACTGTCACTGGCCCCGGTGACATGATCTTCCCAACCCTAGGAGTCTTGTATATTTTCATTGTGCTCCCAAAAATTTCAGCTGCTAAGCTTGACGGGTGTTGACTGGGGATATGAGCGACATTTCCCCAATTGAATTCATCTCGTGTGATGGCACGGACCATATCGTATCGACACCCACTTGCACTCCACAATTTTACCCCAAGGAGCCCATGAGCCGACACTGGATATCGGCAAAACGCTTTGACCGTCGGGAATACCGATAGCCTGCGAAACTCTCATCGGGGGTCGTTTACTCCTCTCGTGATGCTGACAACAATTTTTTGCTTGATAGGCTATGGATTGATCAGGCCGGATGTAACCATGCATTGATCGGGATACCCGAAAATTCATCGGACTCATGATCGCGGACAGGTGGGCCGGCAACTCTATACTCAGATCACCAGGACCCGCTGCGGGGGATATCTCATCGAATTTCATGTTGATAAAGCTGAGCTTGCTCGGTTAGAAATGTCACAATCACACAGCTTGTCCACCACGACGATATCTTTCTCTCAAAGCTAGGATGTCTCCCTCCGCAAACCATGCTGACAGTTTGTCGGTCATCGATACACCTCTAAAAAATGGGGTTCACTTCACCGAACCCAAATACCCCGAAAGCACTACCGCTGCGCTGCAAGTTGAGCGACACGATTATGCCGACGTGGCACCAACAGCCCGCAAGCGCGCCCATTCAATGGAAGGATTCGAGGATGTCTATACCGATATTGTTGACTACATTGTGCGCTGCACCCACCGCATCTGGGATGAACGCGACATTGGCTTGATCTACACTCACTACACCCACAACTGCATCCTATATGGCACCATGGGTACCATTTACGACCGCGAGACTATCGTCCGGGATACTATCCAGCGTCTCGTGTCTCTTCCCGAACGCCGCGGTATGGCCACTCAGGTCTTGTGGAATGGAAACGACAAGAAAGGATTTTATACCTCTCACTTGGTGACTGGTGCCGGTCGTCACACCCAGAATGGTCACTGGGGCCCTGCAACTGGCAAAACCTTTGTCTCGCGTACCATTGCCGACTGCATGGTATATCATAACAAAATATACAGGGAGTGGGTGGTTGCCGATACCATGGCAATTTTGAAGCAGCTCGGTGTCGATCCTAACCCCTTCGCCTATGATGCGGCCAAGTCTCTTTTCGACAAAGGCATGGAGTCCATTGACATTGGTGAAAATCGCCGTATCGTCGGCCAGAGGCTCCCCGAGTGGAAAGCCGACACTTCAATCGCCAACAACGAAATCGAGGCACAGACTTTGGACTGGCTGCACGAAATGTGGAACTGTCGCATGTTTGGTCAGGTTGAGAAACACTACGCACCAAATGCACAGTACCACGGACCTAAGATGACGGAGCTCTATGGCCCGGCTGCGGTGCTGCACCAGCATCTCGCCCTTCTCGGCTCGATTCCCGATCTTGCGTACATGCCACAGCACATTCTTTCCACTCCCTGCGAAGAGGGCGGTGTTAAGGTTGCTGTGCGCTGGGTGATGGAGGGTCATCACCTTGGTTTCGGTATTCTTTCTGAACTTGGAAAGCCGACTGGTTTCCGTCTTCAGGTCATGGGTGCTACGCATTACCACTACAAGAATGATCGCATCGTCGATGAGTGGAATGTTTATGATGAATTATCTTTGCTCACTCAAATTAAGCTCGGTCAGATGGTGGAGGCGGCAAAGAAATAGGGAATTGTTCCGAGGTTCGACGCGGACATTTGAACGGACGATGTATATGTTAAAGAAATTCACCCAGGGAGCATTCCACGGCCCTGAAGGGTTGTGCTTGTTTACCCGATTTTTCACCAGCGTGACAGATTTCTATTTAAGTAGAGATGAGATTTGATTTTTGTTGATCCAGTACTCCGCGTATCCTGAATGTTATTTGTGTGTGATTGGAGTGATTTTTGATTTTTGATTCCAATTTATAGCCCCTGCCAGGGGCTTCTTCGGGCAAAGCAGCAGGTACCCGTCGCAGCCCATAGGGGGGAAATACATTTTCCCAAATTTTCAACATCATCTTCGAATTTGAAATTACCATGCAAACTTCCACCTGAAGAACCGAAATTAATGTACGATACAAGTTCACAGGAAAGTGGGAAAACTTCCAAGAAGACAGTGAGTTTCCAAGGTGGTTTGCTGTTTGTTACCAGGGCTTAGGGGCGGGAGTGCTGCGACGCGGTACGCGGGTGTCAGGGGTTTCCAACATTTCCTCTTTCTCCCTTTCTGCATCCGCAGTACTTCGTACGGAGGACAAACAATCTAAATGATCTGCAACTTTTGTGTGCTTTTGACAATGTTTACTGCAATTAATTCAAATCAATCCACATTTTGGCGGATCAAGCGCTCCCGAACATCTCATCCAACAGACTAGGCCACACCATGGGCTCTAATCCCGCGTCCTGCCACATCTCCCACAAGTCATCGCCCAGATTGTTTTGAATCTGGGCTGGGTCTATATCGTCTGCCTGCCTAACGCTGACACCTACATCACCGCTTCCGTCTCGTCCTTGCGCATTCCCAGCCAATATCAAGTCTGTCATTCCTCGGAGGAGTGGCACATAGCGACGCGCTAGATGTCCTATCGGTGGACTGGCTGCGTCCAGGGTGCGTGCCGAAAGGTCGACTAATCGAAATAGCAAGGTTTGGGAGGCCTCTCCGCTGAGACTTTGGCCCAAGTGCTGCAAGTGGGGGCGGAGGTTCACTATCACAATGTCAATTAAGGGATACTTCGGTCGCTGGAATGGGGATTCAAGTACCATCCATGAGATTGCTCAGCCAACTTTTCACCAGGAAGAAAGCGGCGTAGGCAATGACGACGTGATAATGGTCGATAGCGAAGGATATCATTTGCACCACGCTTGGATCTGGCTCGAGTCGGGCGGGGACCCCGTGGTTGTTCACCTCGGAGGGAGTTGACCTTGCAAGATGTGTCAAAATCTGACTTGACCATTCAATCGCCCACGTTAACACTTGGCCCCTCCGCTGCGTCTGATCCGTGACGTTTAGAAACACGCATGCATATGATAATCGATACCATTTTAACGAAATGATAGGGAAATGCTGACTTAATTCATCTGCTGGTTGTTTGCCAAGGCTTCGATGAAAGTCGCGCTCGATTAATTGAACGTCTTTGTCGAATGCCTCAACGCTTTCGATTGTTGTTGGTCGGCAGCCCGTGAAATTCGCAGTGTATGCCACACGGAACAAGGATGCAAGTCGGATGTCTGAGTTCTGAACATACTTGCATCGAGTAAAGTGACCGAGGACTTCATACAACGGCTCAGGGTTGAGTGACGAAGGGCGTCGGGCAGATAGGGCAAGACTGAGTTGTGGTAAGTGGATATTCTGGAAGTCTTCCAGATAATGTAGGACGGTGGTCTTACTAATGGTCACTTTCCACAAGGTATAGCATTGTCCGAAACCGCCGTACGTCGTCCCTCGTCACTGCCTCGGGGTTATGGAAGCTCAAATGACAAGTTCGGTCAAGCCCAATGTATGTGGCCCATCGGATAGCTAGGCCCAGGCATTGCCAAGCACCGCCTTCTGAGAACCTAGACCGGAATTTTTCTCTGTGGTTTGCAGGATCGAACGGCATCCAATGTGTGCAAAGCAGGAGTGCTTGGACTGTTTCCAACTTCTGGTCATCATGTCTAGGGCGGAGTGTGACTCGCATGAGCTCTGCATCTAGCAGACGGATGATCTCGGAGTATCGGGTATGCAGCCAGCAAGTGCTTCTGGGAGGTGTCAGGTTCAAGTATACTCAGACGATCAAATGGCCTACCTCGATGAGGTACCCCAAAAGCGAGCTCCGACAGAGATGATGGAGAGGAACAATAGAATACTGCTAGATCGAATCTGATCAAGATCGCTATCGTGCTCCTTGTCCAGGAACGGCGCATTTGGATGACCATTGGTGAAATATCTACCTTGATCAGCTTTATTTTACAGAGAAGATGTCAGTACTTGCAGTCGAAATAACACATGAGCTTCCCCTTCACTGATTATTGACCGTGTGATGGGGTCGTTTCTTTCAAAATCCAACGAATTCTCTCCCCGAAAGCTGTTTAGAGCTTTCAGTGGACCCTCGGCGATATGAGGACTGGTCAAACTGTGAGGACTGGAATTGGAGAGAGAGCTGAGGCTGGATGGTATGTTAGTGCCGATAGCTCAAGATTGCGGCAAGACTGCAAAGACAAACGATGTAACAAGTGGTGATTGACAGCTTCGATCCGACGGTGCTGGTCCAAAAGATTGAACGAATCCCCCTCCCTCGGATCGTGGAGCTAACATATACTCGTTGTGATCACTTGAAGAATCAACAACCCGGCGTTCTAGGTCCGCAATTCTACCCATATGGTGAGCAAAAATTGGTCTGCCTCTTTCCAGGGGATGAGCACGAACCTTGATTTCAGGGAATTAAGCTGTTTCGGTAATTCTTCACCTACTGGTGTCCCATTCAGTTCCCCGCTTGAGAATTCCGGCAGCGGCGGATTTAGTTCTCCACCCTGAAATTCTGTCACAATCGACGGAAAGGCCACAGAGTAAGACGAAAGTGATGTATTTTCTGTGAGTCCTTTCCCTCCTCTGATGGGGGATGGTCTAGAATGCCTGACTTGGATGTATGGATTGTACCGCAGATCTTTAACCTCATCTTGGAAGCTGCATCTCACCTTGCGGGCCGTGCAGGGGCGGCACTTTATTCCGTCAGTAAAGCCTCCGCATCTCTGCTTTCTGGTCCAGTTATCAGCAGGTGAAAACCATGGGGTAAGGTCCATATCATGGATCAAGCGGACATCGTTTCATGTTGCCGTCGATACGCGGGTTGACACAGAGTCCACGGCACGCACCTATGTCTGCATTGCATGCATGCATGTCCAGTCCGACCGGCTGGTAGTGTGCTTGAGCTGGGGTGTGGGAGGGGCATCGTGCTTCCAACAATCACAAATCAGGCACTGCGGAAGATGATGCCGGTCTGTCAAACTGATACGTAATAAGCTTTGAGATGTAATCCGAGGCCTCAGCCTACAGCGCTATGTGAGTGCAATCTTGGGTCGAGGCATCTGCATGTCAAGTGGATTTGGACTGGTAAATCGGCGTATTGTGAGACGCCCATCTTTATTTTCACATCCGGCCCCAAAGACAACAAATCGCTAAACCACATGCGGGGGAATACCGGAAAGACAAAAGTAACGAAATTAAGGGTTCACATTTGGGTGGCACATGCGGGGTACAGGGCGTGGGAGTCGTGGTTGTGGGGCTCCACGCGCAGGGGCACCTCATTTCCGGGGAACGGCGGTTGATCGGTACCTCCCGACGTTTTGGCCTTTTTGTTGATAGCACAAGTGGACCGTTTACAGAATGCGGCACAGTGAAGGGTGGTGACTGGAAGATGTTAACGAGATAGAGCACCCCGAGGACGCACTTGCGGAATGGAATAGTGTGTCCAGGATGGAAGTCATAGTGGAGGACTGGCAGGATCCAATGGCTTTAGTCCCAATAACGCTGAGAGATATACGCCTCAAATCTATTATGTTTCCGGCATCTGTGTCGATTAGTAGAAAAATTCCATAGATGTTCTGTCGTCCCTTCAAGGGGCTTGGAGAATGCCGCAGCTCTCATCGCGCACAAGGATGAAAATTCGAGGAAAACAAAGCTCCAAATAAAGCTTTTGAGGCCAATATTATCTCTCATCTATTTAACACCTCTTCAGCAGTGCCATTTCAATTGTCAGGCCGGGACCAAAGGAGGCGGCAGCGATATGCGCCTTTTGACTCTCTGACCGGAGTCGATCCAAGACAATCAAAACCGAAGCACTAGACGAATTTCCACGCGTGCGGTATATCTCCCGACTTGCGCGCAGTTGATCCTCAGATAAATGCAACACTTCCGCCGCGCCATCTATAATCGCCCTTCCGCCGGGATGCAAGGCCCAATCGAAATCGAGGATTTCTAGCGGTTGGGCTAATTGCCCTCGCTCTTTCGACCGACACTTAATCTTTTCCTCATATAACGGAAGTAATCTGTCAAACATTGGTCCGACCGCATCTTTTGTATATTTGGGAATATCTCGATGGAGGGTAGCTCGGTAACCTGTATGCATATAGCCGAAGGTCGGTGCAGTGATCAGTCAAGGTTTCTTCAATGGGCAAACAACGATCGACAAACCATCAATATCTGAATAAAACGTCATATGCTCAGCAGTACCCGCAACCAAATCACAGCCCCATTCAAGAAGCTCAAATTGAGCAGTGACTTGCTTGTCCTGAGCCATGGCATACTCATTACACAGAACAAAAGCAGCCGCAGCATCCGAAAACAAAGCCGCAGCGATATTCACTTGATCCGAGTTGGTGCCAAGCTCCGCCATGGATAAATAATGTCGCACGTTAGGCGTACACAGCTCGCAAGCAAACGCCAAAATGCGGGCCGGTTTCCGCCGCAGACTTGCCCCGCCGGCTATCTGCGCGGCGGCCCGCATTATTGACAGCCCGCCCGCGCATCCAACGCCGTGGAGAAGGGTGCGGTCGACATTGAGTGGAAGGTTCAATTGGCGGGCTACGTGAAAATCATAACCTGGGTTACCTTGGTTGGTACAGGTCACGCCGACCGTGTGGGTGATCTGTTCGGGTGCGATATTTGCGTCCTTGAGGGCCTTTTGGCATGCTTGTACGGCTAGGTCCACTCCAGCTTGACGGAAAAAATGGTCAATGTCACTGATTGAGGGTGGGTCTTTTTGCGTTGCAAATCCTGCCTCGTACGGTTGGATTGCAGATCTGGTTTCAATGCCCGTTGAGCGGTTGACTTGGAGTAACTTTTTGATTCTAGATAACAATTAGACAGTCCTACCTGGATTCAAAAGGAGCGGCTTACCCTGGACGACTGAGATCACAAAAGCGCGCTGCCAATTTGTCAAGGTCCTTCGGTCCTAGTAAATAAGGTGGATATTGCGATCCCAGGCCGGTGATGTACAAGGCCGGGGCCAGGGATTTGGGCTGCATATCCAGCAGAATTTGCATGTCAAGTGGGGGAAGCGGATATGAAGAATCTCATCGCCAAAAGAAAACAGTTAGCTCCATCCTTGGCTTTTTCGCCTGTGAGGGCTTAGCGTCCAATCATCGGCCTCGTTGCATATCGGAAATACAGTGAATCAATTGCTGCGAATGATGGTGAAATTACCATCGTTTTTGAGTCGCTTGTTTGCTCGAGTTGATTCTCAGGACGAAGGCTTAGGCGGTTGCGCAAAGCTCTCGCGCCAACTCTCTATGCTAGATTCATGTGAGAGGGAAGAAGAGAACAGTGGCTACTATGCCTACTAGGCAGGAAATAAAACATTTTTCTCAAATGAGTGATTGATTTCTGCTTTTGTCTCCTCATTTTGGCCCATATGCTGATCCCTCCGAGGTCCATGTTACCAAAGATACTTAAGTAGAGAGGCAATATCACACCGGTCTTCTGAAAAGGATATCGTCGGTTGATGTCTGCTCGTCCGACATACAGAATTTCCCCCCGCCCCCATTTATTCGGTGACCACATATTCCGTACATTCATCTGGGAGTCAACCTGCTCAACACATATCCTTTGAACATCTGATCATTCACCTCTCAGTGTCTCCAGGTCCGTAAAGCCTCTGAAGCTCTGCCGCCCGACGCACTTCCCTATCGAGATCAAGATGCCTCTGCCTATTAAGGTTATCCAGAGTCTCATCTGTCACAGCCAAGCCTAACTCGCTTGAGACGAGCGGTTGACGGTTGTATGCCCGTACAAACGAACAGAGTTCCCCGTGTCCATCCCAGTGGCAATTGGCACATTGTATAAATCCTTCAAATCCAGGAACTCGATCGACCACAACGCAGTCCTCGAACGGACCCCAGCCGAGCTTGCACGCAGTGCAGGAGTCATCGAAACTCAACAGACGCCCGTTAAGCTGCATGACCCTAGCCTCCGTCTTGGCAATGGAAGATTCGGATTCCCGCAGAAATGCTGGGTCGTCTGGCACGACACGAGTTGGGATGTCAGCAGGGTTGTAGGGAGGCTGTCCAGGTTCGACAGTTCCACCCATAGCACCGGAAACAGCAGGGCCGCCGTGGGTGTTGACGTGGACCCCATTGGTCGGCGGGTCTAGGGCCCGACGGCGGCGAAAGTTGATGGGGTTGAATGGGTCATTGCGACCGGCGCCCATCAAGTGCAATGGAGCTGCAAAACCTGGGCCATAATTCACGCGCCTTTCTGTTTGTGGACCGAAACGAACCGGGCCGGCAGACGCACCGTAGTGTGGGCCAGTAGGGTCAACGGTGAAAGGAATCTCGATGACCGCGGTAGGCCGAACGACTCTGTCGATGGGCTGGTTTGCTTGAACGTCGGTCTCCACTTCGAAGAAAATGTCGGGGACTTGGGCACTGCGCTCGCTTCTGCGAGGGGGGCCGTTGCCATTGGTAGCTGCGGTGTGATTGAAAAAGCGTATGGTAGCGATGCTGTAGTTTCAATTCAGGGTTAGCTCATGGTCCCAATGCTGTGGCTGTAAGTGTCAGAATGGGGTTATCACCGTCGAGGTCCGGCGTGGTTTCCGTTAGTGGTCTCCCCGCTGACTGCACACTGATCAGCATCGAGGCGTCCGTCAACCTTATTACAGCACACCAGGTCATACCTCGTTCATTCTGATTCTCCTGGATGGCAGCAGCCTGGTCTCCTGGGTCTTCGCCCTCTGGTTGGTCGGGTGCGGAGGAGTCTATGGAACGGGGTGATGTCAGGTTTTGATGACGCATTCATCAATTATTGTGAGTGCCCATACCCATGGTACCTGGTGAGCGCGAATCCTCCCCTTAATCAAGGACTGAAGTTGTGGGTGATGCAAGAAGAGGTGTGAGGAGAGGGTGAAGAGAGAAAGTGAAGAGGAGGGAAAGAGGAAGAGGGAAGGAAGGAAGGAAGCCAAAATAAGACACGCCTCAAGCTCTCATGTTGTGACCTCGACCCCGACCTTACTTTGCTTCCTCCTCTCTTTTCTGTTTTCTTTTCCAACTTCCTCAATTCCCACCGGAACATTCCATCCACGGTCTATTTGCCATGAACTCGAAATGCGTCCTTGATGGAACCGCTCTGTTTTGCAAAACTAGCTGGTGTCAGTCGACTTGCAGGTACTAGACTGGCTGTCAGAAATGGCGGGTTTTCCATTTCTAACTATACGTGCGAGAGCGTGATAGTAAAGGTCGGACATGATCCCTATAGTTGACTGCCATTCAGTATCAAAAAGGTCTATATTCACATTCCTACTTACGTATCATGCTCTAAGACAGTAAAGCCACGTAATCAATAGGTTTAATGGTGATAATCTGCGATTCAAGATACTATACGCAGTCGTACTTAAGTATGAAGTCGAGATTGTCAAAGCTCACGTGGAAGGAACCATGGAACCTTGAAGACCCGACTCGGTTAGCCGCTACCCGAACTCGGACTTCTCTCCGATCCCCAATTATCGGCTTCCCGAACTTCACCTTTTAAGGTTACTATGGCGCCATTCGGCTTCGGCATTTCTTCTAGGGCCTTGAATTTGAGAGCCCAGAATTACCGTTCTTCTTGAATCGCTCATGGCGTTCTTAAGGACCTCGGGATGCCCCAATGCCCCATAGTAAGCTCCATACGAAATGAGATCCATCGTGTGTCTCCACCATTGTCGGATCAAATGCCGACCGTAGGGTTCAAATTTTCACATCGGTATTTTGAATTCCTATCGTTGAAACGACACAAGCTGGCCTTGAATATCTGTTGTTTTCTTCATCTAAAAGATGGCGGGCGACTCAATACACAGAAAAGAGTCCTGTCAGGCTCGGGAGGTTGACCCCAAGCGGGAATTCTTACATCCGTTCAATTTTTCACTGGTATGGTCATGTTTCACACTAAGATCGAGATCAATCTCTAATGCAATATACTAGTCTCGCAAACTGCATGTCGTTGTTGCTGGTGTTTATTTTGTTTTCAATAGCTCACTGGGATCATCAATTGCTTCTGGCGCCCACGATGAGATTTCCGAGCATTTCAACATTCCAGGCGAAAGCATTAAAATGGTCCTTCCGACCTCATTATACATGGCCGGCTTTGCCATAGGTATTTATGATCCCTCATTTTCTCAAGATAGGCACTTACCCAAAGTCTGGTGTAGGCCCCATCCTTTTTGGCCCTTTGAGTGAGCATTTTGGGAGAAAGCCGGTGCTTTCAATTACTTACTCCATCTACCTCATCTTCACCATGGCATGCGCATTAGCACCCAACTTCCCAGCACTGCTGATCTTCCGATTCTTCTGCGGCTTTGGAGGCTCAGCACCGAACGCGGTCTTGGGCGGTCTCTTCTCTGACATTTACGAAGATCCCCACCAGCGTGGACTAGCAATGTCCTGGTTCATGTTTGCAACCACGTTCCCACCTCTTCTTGGTCCCATCATCTCTGGATTCATTTCGACGATCACCTGGAGGTGGTCATTCTGGGCGGGTCTTCTCATCGCCGCTCCTGGTTTCCCGCTTCTGATCACCATGCCGGAGACATACGTACCGATCTTGCGCGCAAAGCGCCGAAAGTCAACCGACGAAAAGGGTGCCAGAGATACGGATGACTTGAGTGAACCTCCAAAGGGCTCTTTCTTCGCTCAGATGAGTGTTGTTCTCAGTCGCCCTTTCCTGATGTTCATCCACGAGCCGATTGTCTTTTGCTGTTCGATGTACCTCGCACTTGTATACGCGATCTTGTACCTCTATTTCCAGGCCTACCCCATCGTCTTCCAAAGTACGTCTTGCAATTCCTCCAAAATACCCAACTTACTAATGTGTCCAGACTTATATGGCCTTTCCGCTGGCATCTCCGGACTCGGATTCCTTCCAAGTGAGCACCACCTCCCTGTCAACAGAACATTTCTAACAGCATTTAGTCCTACCCGGTTCCGTCTTGGCATTCCTGGTCTTCTTCCTCTACAGCTCCCACCACAGCAAAGCCCTGAAAGCCGGACTGGCCTGGGCCCAGTCAGAAGAGTACCGCCGTCTCCCCCTAGCCTGCATCGGAGCCCCAACAATCCCGATAGCCCTCTTCTGGCTAGGCTGGTCCTCCAAGCTTTCCATCCACCCAGTGATGCCCATGATGTCAGGAGTCTTCTTCGGTTTCGGATATCTGTTGATCTTCATCGCTCTCATCAACTATCTCACGGATGCGTATAAACAATTTTCCGCCTCGGCTGCTGCTGCCGCGAGTACGTCGCGGTCTATATTCGCTGTGTTTTTGCCCATGGCTACCGAATCCATGTATGGCACGCTGGGTATCAACTGGGCGAGTTCGTTGCTGGGCTTCTTCTCGATAGCGATGGCTGTCATTCCTTTTGTGTTTATCAAGAAGGGTGCTTGGATTCGTGCCAACAGCAGGTTTGCGCAAATGGCGCAATAGAGACTGTTTCTCTCCTTGTGTCCTACCCCCAGGTTTTCGCTGGGTAAAAGTGAATTTAGTGATGGCTCCTGTCGAGCTAAACGTTCAAGCGTGTGATATAGAGAATATGCCAAGATTTGTGATTATACCAAGTTTCATGATTATGTGACACGTGACACGCCCTGTTTCCAGTAGACGATACTACCTGGGGACCAAACAACACAGCTTATACAGGCTACAACTACGAAGGCACAAGAGTAGGGAGATTTAAAATGTAATTTTCATTATCTGCCTCTCAGGTGGTATCATGGCATTAAATCATTGGCGTGATATGGAGGTGGGATCCGTGATCGAGAACTTAGTTCTTAGCGGCTTCTGTGGTATGGTTAGTATGACCCTGGATGGACATAGGACTTTGTAGCTTACCCTTGTGGACATCAGCCTTGACGTCGTGGGACTTCTCGTCCTTCTTGTCGACAACGGCATCCTTGGCAGCGGTGGCGCGGCTGGTGAGGCTTGCATCGCTGTCCTTTGCAACGCCCTTGTTGGCTTCCTTGGAGGCTTCGGCTCCGGTGCCCTGGACGGACTCAGCGACGTAGTTGGCGGCGTTCTATGCAAGAGATATGTTAGTTTCTGATAAAAGATTCGGTGTGCATCTCGCCACGAACCTTGACGGTCTCCATTATGATGGTTGGTAGATTGAAGCTTGGAAAGTGGTTGTGAAGTAAGATGGTTATGAGTGATGTGTTGAGAAGTGGAAGTTGAGGAGTGTTGAGGAGTCTTATATAGAGAAAGAAGCAGTAGTCATGACATCACGAGGCAAACGATTAATTAAGCAAACTGCCAAAGCAGGTCAGAATTCATCTAGGATCCGGATTAGCTGGAATCATAGACCTTGCACTGCGTACTTTGTACTACGATCTGACCCTTTGATGGGTCTCCACTTTATCCCGCATATTCCAGGTTTTTGTCTGGGGAACTGACCAATGGGAGGCTGCATTTAGTATCCACTATGACGGTAAAGCAGATCATCGTTTTTAACATTTCCGCAAGCCTGGAACCCTATCTTCCATGGCGTTGGATTCCAGGAACTAAACAATTATCTTGTGATAAGAGGGAATCCCTGATTTCAACGTCATTGCCAACTTCACTTTCGCCTTACACCAAGTATTACCCACTCATATCATGATCTGTTACCAAACTGACCAATCAGACAAGCCTTGAGCGTCATTTTCGTGTCATCGCATACAATGCACATCAATCAAGCACCAAACAAAACCAGCCTGATTCCCTTTTGCGCTTAGGTTGATCTAAATGGGATCCAGGAGTCACGCAGCTCCACGAAATGACGAACCACACGATAATGAATCACGTATCAAAGAAACGGGAACGCACATCACCAAGCCCACAACGGGCTCAACACCTCGAACGAAATCGCACCGCAGCAAACAAATACCGCCAGAAGAAGAAGAAAGAGCAAGATGAGATTGATCATAGACTCCACGACGAAACGGAAAAGCGAGAAATGCTCTTATCACAGGTCCACAGCCTGCAGAAAGAGGTCTGGGATCTCAAAAACATGATCTTCCAACATGCTGGATGCGAACACAGTCAACATGCCATGTCCTCTGCAAACACTGGCCGAACTCATTCGAGTAATTTGAGCCTCTCGAGCCTGCCAAGCCAATCCAGCTATCAAACAGAATCGTCTTCGACTCGGTGAAATCGATGTCACTGATATATACTGGAGCGGCACAATCAATAATTCGAGTCAGATCCCTATCTGCACTTACACGATGCCTCCCGGCATGACCAGCCAATACCATGCTCCAGGGCTTCGGCTCACTGGTTGCTTTGTCACAAGAAACAACCTGAAACCGCCTATCTTGACATTTAGCGTTGTTCATACCGTTATTGCGCCGGTGGAGATCTTTGTATAATATGGAATTGGAGTTTGGAATCTTTTGGGGGATCAGCTTATGTACCAGCACTGACGCTGAGTGGCATGGGTGCACACTTCGACACTGATTCAATCTTTCATATTCTGAAAGAAATCACTGTCACTGCAAGCAGCATGAACCATCTTTCTGTTCATTCAGAAGCCCCCTCATGCCTTGAGAAGAATAAATGTGTCACCAATCACACCTAACCTCGTACTCTGTTTATGTAGCATTATTTTTCGACAATCTTCAACAGCCTTTCGCCGGGCTAGCTCAATCGGTAGAGCGTAAGACTCTTAATCTTAAGGCTGCGGGTTCGACCCCCGCGTTCGGCTCTTCCTAAAACACCAACATGGTCTTTAAGATTTCTTTTTTGTCGCTTGATGAAAATTCTGCTTTTGTGCGCTGTTCTTCATCTGAGTGGCTGGTTTGGAAAAGTGCCACTAATGTGATGAATTGATTGGTCGGAACGTCCGTTTTTGCTCCACTATGATATCATAGAGAACCCACCCGCCACGGCTACCTGCATGTGAACTTTAGAATAATGCTGGAATCAAAGAAGATGCAAAGTTGAAAATTAGAATGACAATCTTGGAATTTCAACTTGTGTCAGTGGCTATAAAAGGATACAAAATTTAAATCATGGGACTTCTAAAGTTGCTGGTCGATACTTATTCAAGGATACTTGGAAATTTCAAAATGTCCCAAACTTTTAGAAATATATATCACTCCTTGGGCGTGGAGAACGACCTCATTGAAATCATATACTTCAGTACTTAAGTATGAGAATTGACCCCAGATGTAGTATGCTCCCCAGGGCTAACGAACCCCTAGCACTTTAGATATTTCACAGCAGCCCCGACAATGTGTTCTAGGTCTTGGAGGTTGTTACAAGCACCATATACAAACCTGTCAGGCCGGACAAGTGCAAATCGATTCCCTTTCAACATCCGTCGGAGGTCAAGAGAGTCATAGTACCGAGGCTCTGGTCTTCCTCGACACAGGGCCGATTTGGCAAACTCATCTCCTGTCGCAAGATAATAAACAGAGCCCACACGGGCTTTGTGCGCCCCCATTGTATCAACTTGCTCAACAATGAAAGTCGCCTCATCCGGGTGAAACTCTCCCTGGGAGAATTTATCGATTTGTGAAACCGTATCCCAGGCCTCCTCAAACCCACTCATACTCGGTAGATAAACGAGTAATTGAAACATGCCCTTTTTGTACCTGTCGAAAATCACATCATCCGAGAACAATATTCTCCCATGGTCTTGTGCACTTTTGCAATATACCTGAGGAAGACAGATTCCTCCCCCACGATTTGGATCAAAGGGTAGCCCAGGTGAATACTCATATTGAACCAACCCCTCCTTCCGACGACCAAGTCTGAGCTCGCGTCTCCAAGCTGGAACGAATTGCATGAAGTAAAGTGACCAATCGCGCAGGAAGATCTTGATCGGGTTGCGCTCGTTCACAAAATTACCGTTTTCAATCGTTGTGGCGAGAGAGCTCTCAAGTTGTTGTTTTCGCTCGATATACCACCCAGCAAGAACTTCTTCGTGGTTACTTTTGGCTGAAGCTTGGCGCCGACAGAGGAATGCGAGACGCCAGGCTAGTGACACAGCGTCACGGAATCCGGAGGCTATGCCTTGGCCGCCGACTGTGTTGCGCATTAGTTTTCGCATCGCAGAACAACTGGAGCCTCACCTACACGGAGGAAAAACGTGTGCAGAGTCACCACAGAGAGCCACTCGGCCATGAGACCATTTGTTGCAGCTTCTGGCGGAAAAGCGGAACGGTCGTGACCGAAGAACCCGAATACAGTCTTCTGGGAATTGCACGGCGGATGGAAGTCTGTTAGAGTCAGAAAGCCTGATTGTGTTGGCGGAAAAGATAATCATCTTACCCATATCTACTGCCTTGGTGCGTGATATATGGGTAAACCACCCTGCGTATGTTCTCCGGCTTGGACATTTGCTCTCCGTCTTCCCCGGCCTGGACCACGAATTCAAATCGCCAGAGCCTATCCGAAGGGAGTCCAAATCGGCCACAAACGGCAGGCCGGTCAGGATTACAGATGAAGCTGAACCATGGCGGGAAGAAGGCCTCATATACTTGGTCAGGTGTATACCCCAACTTCCACAATGGAAAGTCAGGATGGGTCGATTCGTTTGGTAGGCTGATCTCCCAATTCAATGCCACCCATGTCTCATCGTAGAAAGATCTTGCCTCAAGGTTAGCATGTTTGGAAGTCAGTTTGAAATCTGGCTGTTGGTCGTGACTGACTCGTGCGCTTGCTCCATCCGAACACCAAGTGGTTCCAGATAGTTCTTTCTTGTGAAACCGGTCTTTCCGTCTGCACCAACCAGAAATCGGGATTGAATGGTGTGTTCCCCACTTGCATTACGATACCGACAGAAAACATGATCGCCTTCCTCACGAATATCGCAAATACTACTGTTCGGTCTGAATTGGCAAAACTTGGATGATGTCATAGCAGATCTCAAATGCTTCTCGAGAACAGGCTGTTTGTGACAAATGTATCCAATATGTCCTGTGCCACCTTCCGTCTATCAAATGTTAGCACAGAGTGTAGATTTTTCTGTTACTCAGGTTTGAACACACCGTTCCATAACTCATCTCTAGGAAAGGCTTCTTGTCAAGTATTTCTTCGGTTCCACCAATGAATTTGAAATCTTGCATACCTACAAGATAAAATTGTGAGCAAAGGCAACATAGCACCGCTTGGCACACGCTCACATGTTCCAATTTCAGAAAAGATAGCATCATAAATACCAAGACCTTGAAGCATTCTGATGCCATCTTCATCTAACGCAATGCCCCGTGGATCAGTCGTGATTTCAGGCTCCTTCTCCACCACGATGTGAGGAATGGACATCCGCCCTAAGTACGCAGCGAGCATGGCCCCGGTCGGGCCACAGCCACATATGACCACATCTGTTTCTTCGAAATTTTCAGTTGCCATTATCAATTCATTGGCAAATAATCGGTTGAATGATGCAGTCGCGTTCGAGAACGAGCGACCGCTCCGTTAAAAAGGTTGTCGGACATGTCCATTATTACCACCGGGCCCTAGACACCGCTCGTTGAGTCCTGGTAGCTGCTAGATCCCGCGTGCGGGACTATCCCACGTACATTCTGCACCCCTTGCCTGATTGTACGCATCAATACATCCGTATTTCCCGTGTAAATCCGAAACCGGGGCCCCGCATCGTCATGTGTGGAGCGTGGGGTTTGCGGGACCTTCGCGGGGCTCAAGCCTGCCTGATAAGCATCAAGATTGTACGGAGTATGTGAACGCGATTTCAGTCACATACCAACTCTAGTTTTTGCGCGAGACAACTTGAGTCTATCAAAATGGTAAGAGTGCTCATACCGTGTGTCGAATTTCGAATAACGCCGTCATCAGACAACCAAGCCAAACCACGGTACCTCTGTTGCCGATATTATCGCGATCGGACCCGAATCTGAGAGTATTCAGGCATGGCGCGATAGGGTCGGCGTTGAAACAAGTTCGCAAATCCGTTTGGTCAAGTTGGCACACATGCGATACCAGCATCCTGATCTACAGGAGATCACAACATTTCTTCAGGGTATGCATCGATTCAGCTCCTTCGACGAGGAAGTCCGCTGACATTTTCATAGACTTCGGAATGTCTGTGGTCAAGCAGACAGACGATGAGGTTTGGTATAGAGGGTACGGTGTAGACCAATATGTCTACTATGCCAAGAAAGGAGCAAAGAAATTCCTAGGTGGAGCGTTTGAGGTTGAATCTTACCAAGATCTTGAAAGGTGAGTTGTTTGTGATGTTTGCAAGTAACACTCAGTTGACAATATTGAAGAGCGACTCAACTTCCCACTGCTGGGAAAACCGAGGAAATTGCGAGTGCTCCTGGCGGAGGTTACATGGTGACCTTGACCGACCCCGAGGGTTTTCCGATGAACTTGATCTTCGGGCAAACACCGGCCTCTGCTGGCCCTTATCCCGATATTCTTGAAGTCAACTATGAGATTGAGAAGCCACGCGTCCGACGATTCCAGAGGTTTGAACCGGGACCAGCTGCAGTACATAAGGTTTGTCACTTGATTTTTCATGCCCTACTTGATTCTATAATCTCCAGCTCTGCCGTCCGTGATAAACTAACCTCTAACTAGCTCGGTCATTACGGTGTATGCACCACAGACTTTGAGTCCCTGGTCAAATTTTACACAACGAATTTCAACATCGTCCCAACAGACTTCCTCTACGTCGAGGTGGAAGGGAAGAAAAAAAACGTTGCTCTGTTTGCCCATATCGACAGAGGCAGCGACCACGTTGACCATCATTCTTTCTTCATGAGCTCGAATCCAACGAGTCACGTCCACCACTGCTCCTTCGAGGTCCACGACTTCGACACACAGAAACTCGGCCATCAGTGGCTCGCCAAGAAGGACTACAAGTCTGTCTGGGGAGTTGGTAGGCACATTCTTGGGTCGCAAATCTTTGATTATTGGTGGGATACAACCGGAAACATGATTGAGCATTACGCAGACGGGGATTTGGTGAATGATCAGACTCCCATTGGATATGGACCAGCGGGCCATGAATCTTTGGCGGTCTGGGGTCCTGAGGTCCCATCGTGGTTCTTGCAGTGAGACTTTGCGTCTTGCACTCCTACAATTATTCATCTTTCGTATCTGTTGAAACACAATATATTCTCTCCTTCTAAGTTTTCTACTGTACGGAAGCTGGGCTCATTGAGAAGCTCTGGTGTAAAATCTTCCATCCGTTTGGATCAAGTCCCGCTTCATCGCCTTGCGTTTTGCAAGTCATTTGAATAACCGATAGCCAGAACCTTCCAAGTTTTCCAGTGAAGTCATTACATGGAGATCGTGAGCGACGATGAAGTGAAAGGGGCCGAATGCTCCATTTGAAGGTGCCAAGGAGAGAGAAGAGCAGGGTAATAGTCAAGGAGAGAGAAGAGCAGGGTAATAGTCAAGCAGAGCCCGGTATCCTGGAGATCTCCGAGCGTTCCCTCGCGACATTTTCTCCCTGTTTAGTTTGGTTCCACGGTCAAATTGGATTTTATATTGGTAATTATGATGATTCTTCGAACGTCTAGCGTGTCATTTAAGCAACATAAAGCTACACAACAATATTGAGCCCTCACAAAGCGGACTGACTTCGAGCAACCTCGGAAGATCAACGAGCCTCGTATCGGACTTTATTGACAAGAGTTCCAATTTGGTCAATCTTGACAGAAATTTCATCGCCATCCCTGAGAACCACCCTAGGTTGACGGAAATACCCAATTCCGGCAGGCGTTCCAGTGAGGAAGATAGTCCCCGCTTCCAGAGTTGTACCCTGTGAGAGATACGAGATCTGCTTTCGGATGTTGAAAATCATATCTCTAGTATGGCCGTCTTGAACAATAGCGCCGTTGTAAATGGCCTGGATAGAGAGCTGTTGGGGATCCTCGATAACCGACGGGGCGACGAGTACGGGTCCTAAATGGGGAGAACCGGTTAAAGGTCATTCAAATCAAGAGCAAAGGGCATTTCTCTCACCAATCGGACAGCTTCCATCAAGACCCTTGGAAAACGACCATTGTCCAGTGAGCATCTGCATGGTCCGCGCCGAAACATCGTTGGAGGCTGTGTACCCCAAGACATAGTCCAAGGCCTCCTCTTCAGGAATATCGCGACCACTCTTTCCGATGACAAGACAGAGTTCAGCTTCGTAATCGCTTGTCTCATCTTGAGCACACTTCGGAATGTTGATGGTCGCAGGGTAGGGGCCAGCGAGCGCAGTGCGAGGTTTGGTGAATAGGACCGGGGCCTTGGGAAGTTCCAAATTCGCCTCTTTGGCATGGTCCATGTAGTTGAGACCTAGGCATCGAATGAAGCTGCATTGATCCTGTGTGACAGGGGCAAGGAGCTATGTTGTGGATTGTCAGCCGGGAAATACCCGAGATCGAAATATAGATCCTTTCATCGGCGGAAATGCTCACCTGCTTCACATGCATGATCTCATCAGTGATTCGCCCACCAAAGATGGTCCCTTCGATAATTTCTGCGGCTATCGCAATTCCATCGACACTGTCACGTCCGACATCGCGGCTCGTATCGACCAGTTGGCCGAGATGGACTTGGCTGTCCTCAACAGCAATGAACCGAATCAGGTGTGTCCAGGATGGCATTTCGGACTTTGGAGTTGATCAGGGTAAAACAGAATTGAGAACTCTTTTTAGTTTGTGCACAAGATTTAGCATTAAAAACAGTTCTAGTCTTGGACTCAAACTCGATACCCCGGGAATAGGAAATGTGGGACGCGGGGATGCGGGACTAAGGATGTGGGACATTCACTTGAGGACATCCACAATGTCCCACACTACTTTTTGGGTGCGGGGGGCTCAATTGAAACTACGGTTTAGCTCGGATATACACAACTGTAAGGTTGCTAGGAAACACACCATCAAGTGGGAGTTTTGTTTCATCGGGTACGACAAGATAGCCCACCCAGCCTTGCCGAATACGTTGCATGTAGACCGCCCGCAAGTGACAACATAAAGGCTCTACGCATAAGGTGTTGATGCAATTTGCTGTGATTCATTTCTAAAGTAAAATTACGTCGCATCATCTCCATCTGGATCAGTCGAAATTAAGCTAAATCGGCATCTTTGACCGATTTAAACACGAAACCCAATCGGTCAAAGGACTAAGATACCCCTTTTTCAGATCCATTTATACCAGAGTTATCGATTTCCATGAAGAATTGGGGAATATGTCTTCCAGTGATGTCCTGAGATACAACTCGAACTTCGGGTCTTCTTGTTGGCCAAAAAGCTGAAAAGAAAGAGGGTCGATGCAAAAATGGCCGATGCGCTTGTACATGTGCTCTTCTTGGTCCCCGTTTTCTGCCCTCTGTATCACAAGGCCTTCCATCTCGGTATCACATAACAAAGCCCTAATGATCAAGCCAGCTAGGATGCAAGGGGAACGGTTTTCCGAATCAACCTCAGGATCATCAATATACATTTGAAATTCCATGCCTGTCTCCTCAGATTTGAAGACAGGATTGCCATCCACAAGTGGAATTAGGAATGTCTCAATCGTCAGAGCCAAGGTTGTGGTTGATGTTTGCAATTGTTGGTCATTCCCGTTGACTCTCACCACCCTTCGATCTATCACTTTGGCCAATGTGTTTCTGTCTCTCGGCAATATGTCATCTCGGTGGGCTTCGTTTTTTAGCCCATCATTATCAAAAAATATCAGTGGGCCGTCAATAGAGGCCCAACTCCAGGTCGGTGCAATCATTGTCTCATCGTCATCGTATGACATTGACGTCTGGATCCGATGTCGCGGTACCCTTGGCTTTTGAAGCACTGAGTAATCGCTGCGAATCTTCCAATTCAAACTAATCGGCAGAGACTTCCAAAAATGACCCGCCACGTAGGTATCCCCCATTGCAACTTGCCACGAGCTTGCAATTGCAGAGATAGCTATGAGCTTGTCTTGTGCGGGGAATGATAGAGCGCGATCGGTATATTCGTCGACTATTTCAGCCCATGCTTTTTGGTTTTCCTCTAAAGAAGCCTCGTCTGGAAGGGGTTTTCTTTGTAAATCGGCCTTTTGGAAGACTTTGCCCAATGCATCTGGACCCAGTGGAAAGGATTCGCATACGTTTTGTTTCCGTTTGCAATCCCAGAAGAGTTCGCCAAGACCTAAACTCAGCACGCGTGGAGATAGAAGTCGCTCTTGCAGAGGCCACCCACGACTGCTGAGCGGTTGATCATAAAGTGCATCATGAAAATAATGTTTGGAAATTATCACACATTTCTGCGGGCTGTCCAGAGAGGGATAGGCTTCAGCTTCGAACGGTGGTGTTGAGTCCGGGGTGAATCCGCGAAGACAAGACTGGTTTGGGTGTTCAGCATTGGCGATGGCGAGGCATATGTCGCAGTTTTGATAGACATCCTTCATTCGGACACATTCTCTGGCCCAGTCTTCCTTTGAGTCTTGTATAATGCAGTACGCATCGATCCACAGATATCTGATTGGAGAGCCCTGAAAAGACAGGGATTTGAGAATGCTGATGATTTCCTGGAAGACGATAGGTAGATTATCCAAGGGAATTCCTTGCTGAAATTCTTCCATCGTGAACGCATTCTTTTTGCCGGAAATCTTCAAGCATTTGAAAGGTTTTCTCCCCCAGCAATAACTCAGGGCAGCGTAACAGGAAGCGAAACCGGATTTTTCGGGTGTTATGAGTCGTACAGAGGTTTCATGAATTTCTAACAGCCGGGTAGGGTACTCCTTAGGTGTAGTACCCTTCAGGCAATCGTTGTGGTTCATGAGACAATCGTCTATCCATTTCTGGGCGGTTCTCGCGTACTTCGCCTGTGGGATCTGCCCAAGTCTGTTCCGCACATCCAAGTTGTAGGGTGTGTCTGTCGAAAACGATGGGTGTTCAAGAGGCAGCACATTATACCATGAATCCAGAAATACCTTAGGATTTTCGTCATCTTGGATGACATATAATATGACAAGGAGAAAAATCCCGCGATCTGTGACCCCGCGTAAAGAGTTGTATTTAGACATGATGCGTATCTGACCGCGTTTGTTGACAAGACGCCACAGAGGCTCACAGATGTAGCAGCCACGCTCGGCAGCCTGGCGCAGGCTTTGACCTGATTCGTGGTGAGGGAATTCTTTTTCTGACAAAGCATCTTTGAGGGTTTTGAATGATTTGATCTCCTTTGCATGAGGATCAACCTTTCGCTCCCAAGATGGTGGCTGGAGCATTTGTTGACATTGGTCACAAAGCGTTGATGCAAGAACAGCAGAGGGAACTTCAGGATCTACCGCTTTCGTGTTCCCGCGAGATGACATCTCAGCAATCGATCGCGTATGCGAGACAGAAGTAAGAACAAGGTGTTCACACGACGGGGCCCTGTATGGGGGAGAATAAGAAATGACTCGAGCCCAATGGACGGATCATTTCTAAGGTCTCTCATAGACTCAAGCGGGGTACTTGGGTGCCCCGCGAGTACGTTTTCCTGTCTGGCTATTGGCCTAATTGTTTGCTTTTTAGCGTATGCGTGGGCGCTGTTTATTGGATCACCTAGACCCAGTACTGTACTCCAGAATACATGTCTTTTTAGAGAATAGCCGACTCATACACTTCGAAAATCGCTGTAGGAAACAATGAGACTACATCAAGATTTCAAGTAGAACATGGACAATATTTTCATTTCTCATAACCATAAATCAAGGCCACCCCTCCAAAGGCAACGGAACTCCCTCCCACTCCGTCCCCGAGTTCGCCATCTGCGGTTCCTGCTCCTCAAAGAACTCATCAGAGCCCCAGCCCATAGACTCAAGTTCCCTAACAAAGAAATCACGCTCCTCCTCCATCAGCGAAGCCTTCTCATTCCCGCCCATAACATCCTTATACTGTCTCAAATGCCACCAGTGCGTCAGGCCCCGCAAAGCCTGTTCCAGAGGCAACGCCTCTTCGACCTCGGCGTCGACATCTGAGCCGGCGAGCCAGTCGTCGCGCAGTTCCGGACGGCAGTAGAGGTAGATGGCTGTTATGACGCGCATGTTGCTCTGGCGCCATTTGCGGCCGCAGTAGGGGACTTGGGATTTGAAGAGCTTGAGTGTGTAGAAGCGGAGGTCTGGGTCTGGGATCTTCAGGCCTTTGCGGAGGATGTTGCTTGATTTATATTGGACGAGGAGGAGGCAGCGGTGGGCTTTGTCCCGGGTGATTTTCTGCATCACGTGGAGATAGTTGATTGCAGAGAAGAAGTTGCGGAAGGAGAATGTTTTGATCGGTTCTTTGGGGAGTGGTGCGGTGGGATATCCCAATTCGTCAACTTCTGGGCGTACGGAGCCGTGCATGATGTCTGCTAGATGTTCTTCTTCAGAGAGGCCTAGAGCACTGCCATTTGCTGTTGGGTCGGGTCGGTGACGCGAGATTGGCGGTGGCATGGCTTCGTCTTCGCTTTCTGTATCGCCATCTGAGTGGCTACCGGTGTTGAGTGGGTGATCTGTGTTACTATTGCAGAAGTGGAAGAAACCGAGGTCTTCGCGGTCATTCTTCTGTGCCACTGCCTGGTCGACATCCTGGTGTGCGAACATCTTCAGGATCAACGGCAGGTAGTTGGAATCGAGTAGAAGTTGTGTCATATACTCGAATTTCAGGATATCTTGAATCTTTCAGTGAGAAAACCTTGCGGAAAACATAGACAGAACTTACGCGATCGCTTGAACCACTTGAGAAGGAGCAACAAAGTGCCAGATACTGCCTTGCCGGTAATTTCACGGAGGCGAATGTTGTCTAACTCATCAATGCATTCGTCGGACAAAAGATATGAACTATTCATCCCATTGCTGAGAAATGTTAGCAAGAAAAATGTATACTTCACGATACAACAAAATTTACCTCATGCACTGGCTGTTCTGGCTGCCGGACTGGCTCACCACAGAGCTGACGTTCGTCAAAATGATCTTCAAGAACACAATTGTGATCGACTGAAGATGCGATAAAGTTTTTGTCTGTAGCCGGATTAGCTCGGCCCCAAGTTAGGAAATCAAAGTTTGTCCTCACATAGAAAGAATCGACTGCATCTAATCGGCGCTGGACGTCAGGGTCATCAGTCTCCTTCTCTACAGGCTTCGGCTTCGGCTCGGGCTTCTCCTCATCACCCGACAAGTCCAAGTGCTCGAAATCGTCAGGCAAATCATCGGAAACATTATCGGGGAAGTGTGCAGCTTCCTCCGAGTTCCATCCACGGTCGTATCTCATGAAATGTTCTCGCTCCTGCCAAAGCTGTTTCATAGCGCGTGTCATCTTGACATGAGTGGAGAAGAGCCTGCCAGCCTCAACAATTGAAGCTGGTACATCACCACCCTCCCAGCGCTTGCCAACCAATGTGTCCTGGCGTTCGGTGGTGCCTTTCCCTCCAATGCGGTTGCTGGAGTCATCCAAGGGTGGATACATGAATGGGAAGTTTTGGTTGGTTTGGTAATTTTGCTTCTTTCCGACCTTGCCTCCTGGGCCAACGGGGGAGGGTGGGGGTGATGGTGCGGGGGTTGCGATATGTACGGCTTGTTGGAGGATGGAGCCATTTCCACCAGAAACGGATGGGCCAGCGCCGCAGAAGATGCCGCTGGACGAGTTCATTTTGACTGCGTTGTGCGGGAGCGGAGGGAGGATAGAGTTGTTCTCTAGTTCAAGGGGAACAATTAGGGGCGGGGGGTTGTAGGCTGGGTATTTGGATGTGATTTCCTGGCGGAAGAGGTGGTAGTCCAGGGGTGAGGCGTGCAGGAATGGGGTCCGGCGATTGGAATCATCTTTCTCGGCTGAAAGAGCCGGTTCAAGGACCTCCTTCGCGCGCTTCAAGTTGTTGGTCCCGCCGAAGACCAAGAGTAAAGATTTCCAAAGCAAAAGTAAGATCCGCGTAAGGGGGATATTAGCTGACTCGTCCCATCGGAGCCGTGCGATAATCTCAACGATGGCGACCAATAGGCAGGGTTTTGAACCAGTTAGTGTATCGCGAACCGGGGTGTGCTGAGGGTTCTGTGCCTCCTGTCTGCGACCAACTTCAACGGCGAAATAGAGAATCGTGAGAACCAAGTTCGCTTCCCTTTCTGGTGCCGCAATATCTCCAGGGCTAAGTCTTTCGTATTCAGCGCCGTTAGATTCGGATCCCAATGCCGAACGAGTCTTGTCGAAAAGTTGGCACATGTACTCAATCAGGGTTGCAAGGCCTGAGCATTCCTGCATGAGTGAGATGCTCTTCTCAATATATTGAATTTGCATTGATTGCAAAGGAGGTGTCTCAACCGATGGTTCCCCTCCATCCGACTGATAATCAGCTGCCACCCTGCCACCAGTGAGACCCCATACACCGGTGACAATGTAACAAATGCACTCGAGAGCCTCAAGTCTCAGCGCAGGCTCTGTGAGCTGCAAGTCAGCGAGGAGCTTGGCGACAAACTCGCGACGCACATCTTCAGACACATCGATCCAAGATACTTCGGGGGTACCTGGTAGTCGTTGAGCACAGAAAGTGAGCCATTGCTGATTAAAAGTGGATTTTGTGCCCATCAGCATAACGCGATCAAAGTCATTGTACTGGAACCACTCCTCCAGCTCATCGGGGAATGGCTGCGCATCAGCATATTCAAAGGCATATGCCGGCTGCTCGGTCTTGGGCAGCTCGCCTACCAGCTTCCGCAGCTGAGCTAAGCTGAGCGAGTCTGACGACCGACCACTCTCCACAGGCGCTGGAGGCGGCGGTTGCATTGGTGGTGGAGGCGCAGAGCTCTCACGTCGCAGCTCTGGACGCTTCATGGGGGTTTCGGCTATCTCAGGGGCGGCTGCGGTCTGGGCTTGTTCCTGGCGAAGCCCCTCCGCGACCTCCTCCATCAGTTGGTCGTCTGAAACAGGGGAGATGTCCGTCCCAGTTTGGTCGATCTCATCTGCTTTGACTATGTGCTGGTCTTCCATTGTGGAATCGGGTGTCTCTGCCGGAACCTCCATGTTGGAAGTCCTTAGAATTGTGTTCCTGGCAAAAAGTGGATCACCAGGGTCGCAATGATCCAGACATCAGGTAAACGAGCGAATGAAGAGAACGTAGCACAACACAAATTCACTTGACTGAAACGAAAATTGGAACACAATCTGCGAGCTCAATTGCCGCGAGGGATGAGAGGTTGGAATTGCGGTGTTGGCGGGAGTCACGTGCGCCTACAGGTACGCCGTATGGAGTACACGCGGTGAGAATACGAGAGAAATGGGAATATCAGATCAATTGGGCCAAAAGGCTAGGCTAAAATATACAGTTGTCTTGCTCTCTATTCTGGTATACGCGAAAATGGCGATTCGTGCGCAGATGGCGATTACGCCGCCTTCTTCCCCTTCTTACTATCGCGGAGTTTCAATCTCTGGGTCTCCCAACGTTGCCAGCCGGCCTCGGCCAGGTCCTCACTTACCACCAGGTCGCGAACTCTCATCAAGCGAGAAATAGTCAGCTCGAGACCCCATTCAATCCAGCCAGTGCGACGGAGCAGGCTGGTGACGATGAACCAGGCGCATGCACAGGTGAACCCGGCGCCACAGCCGGCAAGCACCTGTTTCGGGGTGTGGTAGTTGAGGTAAACGCGGCTGGCGGCAACACCGGCAGCTCCCAGACACAGGGCCAGCATCACCAGGAATCGCAGGAGGACGGCAGCGTTGGGGTAAGAGCTGGCGGAAGCTTTGCTGTGGCGGAAAAGGAGGAACAAGGTGAGGTAGACGGAGAAGAAGGTCATAAATTGGGCGTGGGAAGAGGGCATTCCATAACCCTTACCAAACATCTCTGTTACACGTGTCAGTTGCTTTTCCAAAGGTCCGACCGATGTGACACCTACCCTTCGGTCGCTCTTCCTTGATGAGTCGTTTAAGGACAAAGTTCAGACCCTCACAGCCCATCTGTCCAACAAACATTAGGATGACTTCCACTTCGCGGGTAGACCAGATCAAGGTCGCGTAAGAGACACATAGTGCCTGTGGAATCAGAGCCACCCAAGCTGAAGCCAACGACAGCTGGTCCTCGGGGTTCTGTTGTTTTTATTAGCTTCCATTAGAAAGGCTAGATTGTATATGACTCACGTAGTGGACATGAGTCAAAGACAACGAGGCCAATGGAGTGTCACCCATGGTTAAATGAGAGTCAAGAGATGTAGAAGAAAAGAAACGAGTCAGGGTCAAAAGCCAAGATCGAGCACGGGGGCACGGAGCACACGACACTCACGAGATGATAAGAGAGATAAGCCCGGCGGGGGAGTCGGGCACAACATTTCATCCCAATTCTCTCTCTCTTCTTCTCTTCTTTTTTTTCCCGATTCTGTTGATTCTCTGCATCTTGGCTGCTGTTGGCTTGTTTTTTTGTCGGCGTATACTCGAACCATGACGCACTTGTTCTCTCTATTTACCCCCGACTCTCTACTGCATCATCTTTTAGACCCCTCCCGGCTATCCCCCGAACATTGGCCTCGCCCGGAAACACCCTGATCACCAAGTGATCTGCACGTCGTATTTGAAACGACACCATTTGACTGAAACCCAGATTTCGAGGCTTCACCCCGGTCGCTCTCTGTTTATTACTTTGAAAGGCAATGAACGACTACTAAATCGCATTGTGGGGGACTCTCGTCTCTCAACCTGTCAATATACAAAGTTCATTGGCAAACCCCACTTGCGCCTTCGGAGAAATTATTATAACATTTATCCCGATTTGTTCCACAACGTCCCAAATCCCATACCGCCATGGATGAACTCGACCTTGAAGATGATGACCGCTCGGTGGAATTGTCCTCTATTGTCGCCATCTTCCCGGAAACCCAAATCGATCCAAAATCCCCATTCAAGGCCGTCCTGGATCTGCCAGTTGCGCCATCAGCGCCAACCCCAGTCTGTTTTCAAACGCCTATCGATCCTACACCTGCCGCTACTCTTACCCCGCCAACCTCCGTGGATGAAGCGAAGGGGGAGCTGGATGAACCTGCCAGGGATGTCCACGTACTTTCGCATTTGCCACCGTTAAAACTCGAGATTGAATTGCCCGAAGGCTACCCCTCCGAAAAACCGCCGATTGTTCATCTAAGCTCTGCTCCCACGTGGTTGCCAAGATCGGCCACGGATCAATTGTTAAGCGACTGCCGCCGACTGTGGGAAGAATGTGGCCATGATTTGGTTGTTTTCACATACATCGATCATCTTCAACAGCTTGCCGAAACCGTTTTCAATATCCAAAACTCGTCAGGAGAAGTCTGCCTTTCGCGAGATCTCAAGATCGCATTGCTGGACTATAATATCAAAGCGGAACGTGAGAAATTCGAACAGGGAACCTTTGAATGCGGGGTGTGTCTTGAACCTAAGAAGGGCACAGCCTGTTATCGATTGCTCCGCTGCTCTCACGTATTCTGCGTCCAATGTTTGCAAGACTTCTACAATTCCTGCATCTCCGAGGGCGATGTGGACAGTGTGAAGTGCGTGGCGCCAGATTGTGAAACCAACAAGAGACCACAGGATGCACAAGGCAATGGCGACATTAACACTCCGCCTCGGAAGAAGCGTGATCGCACGCTCGGTCCAAGCGAGCTCCTCCAAATCCCTCTGGCTCCCGACGTGGTTCAAAGATACGCATTCCTGAAACGAAAGAAGAAGATCGAAGCCGACAAAACAACTGTTTACTGTCCACGACAGTGGTGTCAAGGGGCAGCTCGATCCAAGAAGCACCCCAAACCAGAAGACCTGATGGTGGACGACCCTGATGTTTCTGATGACGAAGATTCCCCTGAAACCCCAGCCCCAGACGAGGATGATGGGGAGTTACCTCCGATGGCCGAACGTGTTGCAATTTGCGAGGACTGCAACTACGCCTTCTGTTCCGTCTGCAAAAAGGGATGGCACGGCGAATTACTCCGCTGCTATCCACGCCGCCAGGGCGAGCCGACAGCCGAGGAAAAGGCCACCGAAGAATATCTCCGGCTATATACTACCCCCTGTCCAACATGCAATGTACCTTGCCAAAAGCAAATGGGATGCAACCACATGCGCTGCTTCCAGTGTGACACCCACTTCTGTTACCTGTGTTCTGCCTGGCTTTCAGCAGACAATCCCTATAAACATTTCAACGACCCATCCGGCCAATGCTTCAACCGCCTCTGGGATCTCGAAGGCGGCGATGGCCTAAATCCCGACGGTGCCGAAGCCCTCCACCGCATTCCAGAAGCACTCCTCAATTTCGACGACGAACCACCTGCCGTGATGATACCCGCAGATGACGATGATGAAGATCTTGCCTTTGAATTCGACAACGATCAAGACATTCTCCACCTCCCCCCGCCCCCGGCGCCAATCCCACCACCCATCAACGCCCGTCGCCCCGACCATGCCGCCGCCCGAGCAGCGGCCGCCGAGCGCCGCGCCCAGGCTAGAGCCATGAATGAAGTTCGACGTCGGGATGCAGCCCAAGCCGACGACGCTGGCGATCAGCGACCGGAACCCCGCCGTCCGGTGCGGCGCGTTCCTGTTCGAGCAGAGCCCCTGCATGAACAAGAAAGACAGGACTGGGGCCATGGCAGATGGCCCGGTCTTGAGCGATTTGTCCAGCTTGCCGCAGACGATCGGGAAGATGAGTGGGATAGTGATGAGCTTGAGGATTTCTAAATCATCCATACGAAACAACTTGTTTTTGACGTCTTAATGACTTTATGCATACAACGAATCTACGACTCTCAATATACATGACAGCTTTTTTCCTCTCCCTAGTTTGCAATCAAAATACTATCTTAGAGTTCCATCTGACGCTGAGTAACTTGAAGCTTTGGCTTATGTTCATAGGGGGCCCCATTTTCTATATTATTCAAGCAATGCATATGTACTATATGGCCTCAGGTCGCAACTGCTTTCCATCAACTATGATCCCTCGATGATATCCGCTGCTATCTTTTCTGCAAGCATATCTATAGAAGTGGTGAGTATCAAACAAAGTGAAATGGGAGTAACAAGAAACTGACAAACCACCGACTGTGGATGGCCAGGTGGAAGAAATGGAAACGCGCTGGCATCAACCACACGCAATCCCTGCACTCCAAAAACTCGAGCCCGAGAATCAACTACCGCCATCGGATCATCTACTGTCCCCATTTTGCAAGTGCAAGCAGCATGCCATAGCGTCATGACATTATTTTGGATCCAATCGAGAATCTGAGCATCCGATTGAATCTGAAGACCAGGATTGTACTCTTCACCAATCAAAATCGGTGCCATAGCTTCGCTTTGGAAGGCTTCGCGGGTTCTTTTGAATATAGCAACGGCGAGATCTTGGTCTGCAGGATCATCAAGCCAATTGGGATTTATTAGCGGTAGATCTGTGATGTCTGCGGATTTCAGGGTGATGTTCCCTCTGGATGAAGGCGTAATGAGAACTCCGAGTATTGAGCCATACTCATATCCGTCTTTTGGTTGGTCTCGAAAAGGATCAGAGAGATTACCAATGTATGCGGGTGCCGAGATGTACTAAAATCTTGGTTTAGTATCTATTCGAGGTTCAAGGTTCTGTGTTTGGTGGCAGTTTCTACCTCTGCTTCAGGCCAATCACTTGGGAATAAAGCCAAGCTGTCTTTTGTGCTCTGTGGGAAAAGTGCACGAAGAGACACTGGGATCTTTTCCCAACCTAGAAAGTCCGCAATAGGATTTGTCACTGTGCCTGTTTTGGTGAGGACTGCGTTGATGAGTTGTATAGTTGTGTATAGAAAAATGTTCGCGAGCTTGGTGAAGGTAGTCAGCTGCACTCGGTATGAAGGAGCGAAGAATGGATGATCCCACATATTCTGCCCAACTCCAGGTCGATCGGCTATGACTTCGATATTATGCTCTTTCAGTGTATCCGAAGGCCCAATACCGGATAACATAAGGAGTTGCGGTGACTGAAAGGCACCGGCCGAGATGATAACCTCCCTCTGAGCGGAAAGGGTAACGGCATTACCAAGTATACCCCTGACTCGGACCCCTGTTGCCCTTTTATGTTTATCAAACATTATCTTCTCGGCGAGGGTACCGGTATAGATTGTGATAGATGAGAGGGGTGGTATGCTTTGAATGAAAGCCGTCTCGGAGCTACTACGTAGCTCAGTAGATGGATCAATAGTAGATGCGCAGTACTGGGCTCCGATTAAAGAGCCCGTGTTGAAGTCTTGCGTTTCACTGATGCCAATAGCTTGCATTCCGAGTTTCATCCATGACGAAAATGGATTCGCAAAGTTGGAATAGGAAACCTGTAATGGACCGCCGTCACCAGATGTATATGCACTAGCATCGTATCCCGCCGTAGCGTTCGAAGCCCTGAGTTGGACGTTCGGTGGTGTGAAATCAACGCTTTTTTTGTAGAATGAAAGAACGCTGTCAAACTCATAGCTACTGTCCTTCACGATAGTAGCCCACTGATTCATAGATTCACGCGTAGGGCTATAGATTAGTGTTCAGTTGACTGTAAGACGAGAGCATATTCCATGTGGCCGTACCGTTGATATATCATGAAATTCAACGCCGATCTATCGAAATTCCTGGATGTGAGTGCTGACTTTTCTCACATTGCTAAACGGAACCTTGGGAGCTCACTTACGACCCCCCAAGACATTTCCCACGAGCGTAATGAATATGTCGACCATTGGCACCTGATTGGCTTGTTGTCACGAAGCCCCAATCAATGAATGACTTTGTCTTGGGGTCAGACCCCACGGGGAGTACATCGGCTGCGGGGACTGCCGCCAAAGACTCGAGCTCGTAATGTTCTCCGGCTTCAACCAGTGCGACCCTGAAGCGATTGTTTTGCGCTAGTCTCGTTGCAATTGCACTTCCACCCGTACCAGCGCCAACAACCACATAGTCATATGTTTCATCAACAAGGGGGATTGCTTGATGCTTGAACGCGTTGGCTGCCCCCACACTAAAATAAATTGCGAGGGATGTAATACTTTGTAATAGCATCACGGCAGTAGCCTATCACCTGGCAAAGTGTAAAATGGGAAAGAGAAACGAGGACAGAGTGAGACAGAAGATAGCTAGTGGGCTGAAGTTTTATTTTCGCCAGGGTATGACTTCAGGGGTATGTATCAGATCTCAATCAACTTTAGAAAGAGAGGTATCTGAGATCCACAGCAAGGTACTCATACTGGCTGAAGTACCTGCATCAGGTGCCCAATTATTGATTCTTCGGGGAAGCTGCGTTGTCGGGGTATATTCGGTAGGAATGTCCCCTCCAGGGGGTAAGGGGTGGTTGCTCAGTAATGTATCTCGCACATAAATAACTGGCGAGAATACGGAGTACACAATAAAGTCTAGCTAAGTATCACTTCCATGATCTCTAATAATCAGGGGATTTCCCTCGTTCGCAAGTATCCGTTCCAAATCAAATCCGATCGCTAAACCGTTACCCTGCTCCTCCGCCTCGCGAAATCCTGGCGCATAATCATCTATCAGATCGACTTCACTCCCTTTATAGATTTCCACTAGCGGCCGTCGCATATCGACCCTAAACACCAATCAATATAAACAATTTTTTAATAAAGAATGAATAGACTCACGGTTCATCTTCCAATATGTCTCTTGGATCAGCATCTTCATCGCGATCTTGGTAAACTTCCATTGACTCAATATAATCGAGCGCCTGATCGAGTGGGACCCGATTTCCCGGCCCGATTTCCCGATAAAAGTGGGCGAATTCCTCCATCATAATTTGACCCCGACGGGCTTTCTCGTAGATACCGTTCGTTGCGAACTCAGCCCAAAGACCAAGTCCGGTCTCAAGGGTCCGGTCATCGATAATGAGCTTGGGGGAGTTGTCTCTGAAAAGAACAGTTCCATCGAGCGCCATGTGCATATCGAGGAAGTTGGGCCGGGCGACACTTTGATGGAGTTTGAATGTCTCGAGAATATCCCCTTGATTGTCTTCCGGGGGAACAAACATTATCATTTCGTCCGCTAGAAAGTACCAGCCGTCTTCCCATGGGAATAATCCCAGGATACACTTGGTGAGCAGGGCTTCTTTTTCGGGGGTTAATTGGGTGGGGCACAAGTAGACCATGCAGGAGCTTTGAACGTCATTTGCTCCGAAAGTTTTATCCTATAGCTGAATTAGAACGAGTCAGGTAGTTGAATGTACTTAAATATTTCATACTGCAAGTTCGGGACCTTCAAAGAAACTAGGCTCGTTCTCTGGTGCCCGGGATTGATAGCTCTGTCTTGGCGTCAGTGGAAAAATATGAGTTCTCCCAAAAAACATACATCACGAAATTGTTGGTCTGCTGTTGCCCAGCGCTCGATCAACGCTCGTTTCAGTTGATCCGCGCCGTCGCCGCCGACCCACTGCTCACGAACAAAATGCCTCCATGCACGAGAGGCAGCGTCAAAATTCTCCCGGGCCACGGGTTCTTCGTGTCGGCGAATGAAAGAAGGGATGCCTCCAGGCCACTGGCTATGTGATCTTGTTAGGGACATGAATGAACGGCGGTAGTTCCGGGGGGTGAAAAGAACTTTGGAGAGGAACGTGAGGGGCGGGAGTGTATTTAGCGGAGTTTGATACATGCCCGCCCTCAGTTTGCACTAAGGCATCAAATCTATATTTCCCGTACATACTCTTCTCAAACACTAAACCTGTATTAAGCGACCTTCAATCTAGCTAAAGTTACGACTAAGCTTTGATAGGGAAGATTAAGTGGTTTCGAGCTCGGGTATACTACTCGTACACCCCTGGAGTGGGTCTTTGGCTTAAAGGGTTTTCGTTGAAGTGGATCGATCACAAACTTGGTGTGCACTTAAGTAGCGTCGTTTCCGGCCTAGCCGCTTGCTTTTAAATTCCAGGTTGTAATGTTGTGCTAAAATGATTGAAATTCAAGGGAAAGTTTGATATTTATAAATTTCAGGTTTCCATGCACTACCATCTGACAATTCAACACCCAGCCGGCAAATCCCAGTTCTATATTCCAGCAAACTAAAGCTTCAAAGTAAAAGACAATCTGCCATATATAAACATTTGACGTGCCTTGAAGGCCACAGCCGAATTCTTTCCGAAATTGAACTTTTAAGGCATCGAGTGTCCCACCCCCAACCAAGATCAACCACACGAGCCATACTTAGCATTACAATTGGAGCTGGAACAATAATCCGACGAACTACCACAATAGCCGTAGTTACTACAGCAGTCACCAAATTGAGATCCCAAGCAAGCCCAGTATGAATTAGACGGGCCACAGAGACCATTTTCCGAGATCGTACTCGTTGGTGTCGCAACTGTGGTAGAGGTCGCAGTAGTGACCGTAGAAGATGCGTGGGGAGTAGCTGTTTGGCTAGAAGTAAATACCGTAGAGCTTCCCACACTTGGATCATCTGTCAGCGTGATGCTGAAGTTGAACCCAGCGGTCGGGAAGGAACCGTTAAGAGGAGGATAGCAGACGCGGTTGTATTCACTCAGCCAGACTTCATCGTGGTACATCTCGTCTGTGAGATCGCCGTCGGTGATATTGTAGGCTGAATTGACCTGGTCGCAGAGCGTGTAGGTCGCGAGAGATGCGAGGTATGCGGAATCTGGGGTCCAGGTTGAGGTCGTGGTCAGGTCGGAAGGGAATGACCAGAACAGATTTGTGGTGCTATGGTTTGCTGTTCGGGTCGCGTTGGGATTCATGGTACTAGCGAGTGATGTGCGAGTCCTGGTGGTGTTGGATATGTAGCTGATGTAGGTGTTGATGTTACCCACTGCTTGCACGCACTGTGGAGTGGATGAGTTAGCCTGAAAAGAACGATATGTCTTCTTGATTTTCTCATGTATAGGGACGTACGTAGCTGTTCCCTTTCCAGAGACTGCCACAGCTTGAGGTTGTATTCAATGCAGCCTGGGGATTCAAGAAATTGAAATTATACTGAGTGATGCTGAACTTGTCGCAGACGAATTCACAGGTATCACCATCTTGGATCTGATACCAGTGACCACATTTGGTGTTGGAGCTAGTAACCGCGTCGGTGGGAACAGAGCTGCATATATGTTTAGCATTTTCAGATTCCGAACACACCAACGAAAAAGAGAAAGCAGACAACGTACACAGCGGTGCTTGCGGGCCTCAGAGCCAGGGTAGGAGCGTGAGAGTACCCGGAGGACTGACGCAGATGTACTTCCCCGAAACAGCAGTCAGATTCTGCGAGCTTGACGCTGAGTTGAGATTGGCATTCCACGCAACAAACTGAGGCACGGAGACTTGACGCGATAGGTTCGCAACGATTTTGTCGATGGTATCTGTCTCCTTAACGCGATAGATTTCACAAATATCGGGAAGGCAAATCTCTGCCCCAGCAACTATATGTGTACACCCTGTATCAAGGCTGTTCAAGTTGATCAAGGCTGAGGTGGAGACATTTTGAGCTGCTGAGATCGAAAGACAGGTATCTCCGGACTCAACCTTGTAAACAGTTTGATCGGGGTCAGTCGTGTTGCAGCGACTAGCAGCAACGGTGGCCGAGGCAGAGACAGTGGAAGAGGCAGTTGATGTTGGTGTATAAGTTACAGAGTATCCGCTGGTCGAGCAAGAAGATACTTGACTCTTCAAGGCCGACGGACTGAGCAAAGTATCCTGACCCCATTTGGAATTCACTATGGTTGACATATAGTCCAGATAGCATGCGCTGCATTTGATATTCGTTGTGCCGTTTGCAATTGCAGTCTGGAATAGGGTGTTGCAATAGGTGCCCGAAGTGGAATCAGTCAAGCAGGTTGCATCATAACGCCATTGCATTTCCTTTCCTCTATCCGAGGCAGTTTGGGAGATACCGGAGATGTTGTACTGAGTACTTGTGCCGCAGGCTTCATCCACGGAGGAGACATAGCTGGACAAAGCGGAAGAGCAACCAGTGGTGCAAATTTCTGACAGTGCAGTGGCTGACCATGATGTCGTCTGGGTGACTGCCTGGCTCAAGCCGGCATAGCATGAGACATTGCTGGACATGGCATTCACGCATGCTTCTGAGGCTGATATATCAGCCAGAGTGTCAGAGTTGTAAATGTAGAGAGTATCTGCATTTCCCCAAGCAGCGGCATATTGAGCCCGTAGCGTTAGAACTACTGCCAATGCAGCAATTGCCTTCGAGTATACCATAGCTCTATGACCGAAAGGGAATTCAGAGAGCGAATTTGTTTTCCTTGAACTTGTGGGATGTGCAATCTAGAGAAGGGGGAATCATAGCCACCCGAACTACTTGTTCGGCAGGCAAACTTCCGTGTTTCGTATTTACGCCTTCATACCAGCCAATTTACCACCTTATCAAAAGGAACTAGAGGTGCGGAGGGTCATTGGAAGTTCAAAGTACCAAACTAAATGTGAGACATCCGTCGAAATCCACTAGGCGAGGTGCAGAAAAAATTGGTTCGGCTTGAGCACTAGATAGTCCATTCAAGTGGAAAAGTGGGCGAAGCTTTACGCTACATGAAGTACCGACGCCAGTCCCACTTAGCGGCTAGGGGCCGAGATCCCCTGAACGTGTTAAAGCGCCCCATGCTGGGGGCCAAGGGGGCCAAAATTTCCACATGGGGCCGCCAAGAATAATGGACCCAGACGAGAGAAAAAAAAAAGAGTTAACTAGAGACAAACAGATCTCTTGCCAAAGCTTACATTCTTGGCTATATCTTGGCTTCCTAGGATGCAGATGCGGCTCTCATGCCAAGTAATACTACTTAGAATGTAGGAATCAACGCCTTTGACATGATTTGCATCTTGTAGAAATTGCACAAACCATTGAATGCAGAGTTCGTTCTAAGCGAGCTGCACAGCTGAAACTTCCGGGCCTTGCCCCGCCCAAGAAGATTTTTGAAGTGATTGCTTACTCGTACTCGTACAAGATTTGAAGCTACGAAGTAGTGTGACAAGAGGCTTGGAACCCGGGGGCCAACTTAAAGCGCCACCAGGTGGTCCGGATGTATTCGGCACCCAGGGGCCTTACTAGTACAGTACACCGGCGGAGTTATGCAGGGTATACTTTGATGATTCCAAACTCTGAGGGAATTCGGACTCCTAAAAGATACGATTAGCCTGATGAAAATTGCGAGTCTAGTCCAGAAATAGTATTGTGTGCGCTGAGGGATTAAATTAATAGATACGCGTGTGGGACTTCAAGTTGAGCTGTACTCGTATTGGCGTCGGATACTCGAGTCTGATGGACTGCTGAAAGCTTAGGTCTTCTCGGCTGTTCAACTTGGACCCCGTCCTTTATCTTCATGGTTCTCGTTTCACTTTCTTTTCTCTCTCGATCTCTCCTTTTTACTTGAATCAATCCGGGCAAGCCGTTACTGACTTGCTCGGTATTTCGGACGAAGGAGTCGCACCATGAGGGTATACAGTCGCCCGGCGGAGTCCTCGTCCTACCATTCTGTCTTTCTACTATCTTTTATTATACTTTCACTCTTTATAAATTTGACTTCGGCTCAGTTCTATGTCTGCAACTCGACAAGTCCATGTGTCAACGGAGCATGCTGTGATGTCAACGATGGTGAAACTAATGGCGTAAGTAAAGCCTGTCTATCTTATCCATCAAGCCTCGCTGACCTAAGATGAACAGCTTTGTGGCTATGATCCCGACAAATCGTGTGGCTCTACCTGTGTGAGCAACTGCAATGCAACTGCAGAGTGTGGCAAATGGGCTGCCACTGCTGGCACAACCTGCCCATTGAATGTTTGCTGTTCCGAGTTCGGTTTCTGCGGTACAACGTCCGAATTTTGTAACGCTGGTACAGACGGCGGGAAATGCCAAAGCAATTGTTACCAGCCAACGCAGCCTTCCTGCAAATCGAATGACGTTCTCAAAAAGGTCATTGGCTATTACGAGAGCTGGTCTGCCGAACGGAAATGTGATTCTTGGTCTCCAAGCAATCTCCCCGTGCAGAGCCTAACACACATCTATTGGGCGTTTGCTCTTTTCCAACCCTGGAATGGTGGCTGGAGTGTTTACTTGATGGATGAGGACAAAATCTCGAACTTGAATGACATGGTGGCTGATTTCATTGCTTTGAAAGATGACAACCCGTCCTTGAAGTGCTTCTTGTCTGTTGGCGGCTGGTCATTCAATGACGGGGATTCGGCACACTATTGGTCCGACATGTCATCTACTGAATCTGGTCGAAAGTCATTTGCCAAAGACTTATTGCGGACGCTGCAGCAATACGGCTTTGATGGTGTTGACTTGGACTGGGAGTATCCCGTCGCTTCGGATCGTGGTGGCAGCAAGCATGACATGGAAAACTACGGCAAGTTGATCAAGCAGGTTCGCTCAACCTTTGATGACAGTGGTTCGAACCTTGGAATCTCATTCACCATTCCATCAAGCTACTGGTATCTCCGCCACTTTGACGTACCCGCATATTTGCAAGAAGACGGAGCCGACTGGGCGAACATGATGACATACGATCTTCACGGTGTCTGGGATGGCACAGACCCATACATCGGGAATATCACTGGAGCGCACACAAACTTGACAGAGATCCAACAGGCTATGGATCTTCTTTGGCGAAATGATGTTGATCCATCCAAGATCGTTCTGGGCGTCGGTTTCTACGGTCGATCTTTCACACTCAAGGACTCCTCATGCACCGGCGTCGGATGCCCCTTCACTGGAGGAGGGCAGCCTGGTAGATGTACAGACACTTCCGGAATTCTCTCATACAATGAGATCATGGAGATCGTCGAGAATGTTGATGTCCAGGGTCCCATCTGGGAGGAAACTGCAGCAGTTATGTACGCCACCTGGGACGACACCCAGTGGGTGTCGTACGACAACAATGTCACAATGAAGCAGAAGGTTGATTGGGCCAATGATCACTGCCTAGGCGGAGTCATGATCTGGGCCTTGGATCAGGATACATACGATTGGCAAGCCTTGACTGCACTGCTGAACAAAGATGTCAGCTCCGCTTCCCTGCTGGAAGGAGGGTCTGAGAACTCACTGAGTGCCAAGGCAACAGCACATGCATACAATCAATATACAGGCACAGATTGCTATGTCACTGGATGCGTGGATTATAACTCTGGATCATGCAAAGCGGGTTACAGTGTCTTGGATTACGTTCACAGAGCATCTTACGGAACCATCACTGACCCCGATGACCACCTTTGCAAGACCGGTGATACGACTGAATATGAGGATTCGGACTCAGAATACCGTCTGATCTGTTGCCCAACAGATGCAATGCCAACATGCCAATGGACAGGCGGCTCATCCGATGGCATGTGTGCTGGCGGAAAGGAGAAAACATGTGGTTCAAATGAATTTGAGATTGTCAAGGACTCTTACTCTGACCGAACAGGATCTACCCCGTGCATGGTCAACAGTCGATCACTTTGCTGCGCCACCGACCCCAATCTTGACACTATAGTGAACTCCTGTTTCTGGACCGCCTGCAACGGAGAATGCATGAAGACTGATATTGAGTACCCGGAATATGCCCTCAAGCCCGGCACTAGTAAGCCACTTCACGCCTCACCACCACGCCCTCTCACCTCCCCAAACCCACGTCGAAGAAAAATGTGAAGGTCTGACATGATATTAGATCTCAACGAAGACTCTGAGTATTGCAATGGAGGTGATGTTTCGACATTTTGCTGTCCATTTGACAGTAAGTTATGTCACCTCATTCGCAGCAACTCCGCTAATGGGACCTCGTGAACGAAGATGGTTACGAGAATTGTGAATGGACTACTTGTACCGAGTCTTGCGCTAGTGACAAAGTTCTCCTGACCCAACGATCAGCTTTACTGAACGGCAGTCTCCCTCAATATTGCCATGAGGGGGGCATGTACAAGTTCTGCTGTGACGCACCTACTCCAACTGTGAACCCTCCCGTTGACCCTTCAGCCATATTTGAGTACCCAGATGAGAAAAACTACAGTTATTACCTCAAGCATGAAGACACCGACAACAACGAATCATCCGAGTTCGAGCAGGAGAACCCTTACGCATTTGTGATGGTGGATGGTGACACGGATGCATATGACGAGTCCCTTGTGGATCAATGGACATTTTTGGAAGATGGAGGTCTCAACTCCAAGAGAGATGGCGGTCCGCGCAAGAAGCGAGACATCTTTACATTCCGTGAGGACACATTTGACAACGTTGTTGAGACTTACCTCATTCGCTGTGCGAGCCTCGATGACAACACCGGGTGTAAAACAATTTTCTCCGGTGGTGCATCGAACACCATTGTCAAGATGCCTTCTTACCACGGATCTGGACCCTACGCTCGTGTCATCAGTTTGGTTCCACAGCACTCTACAGAGAAGCGAAGTAATATCCTCCCGCGGGACACAAACCAGGCGTATGAGCTTACTGTGGATTATGACCTGGCTTCTGCTTCCGAAGAGGAGAAGGGAGACGTCAACTTTCGGGTCGACTATACGAATTTGCTTGACTACTGGTAAGCTATGACTGATGACTCCCTGCAGAAAACAAATTGGTCGCGACTAACATTGCTCATCGTCATTAGGGAGGACATCACGGAGGATCCACCCCAGAAGAGGAAGAGATGGTTTGGCGCCTTCAAGCAGTGGCTGAAGAAAGTTACCACAATTGTCAAAAACAGCTCTGGGTACCTTCCCCTCAACTACTACGACACAATCAAGTTATTCCATTGGGATGAGAAGTGCAGTGGGAAGCAAATGTCACTGGACATCGATTCTACTCTCGACATAGGTCTCAATGCGCAATACGCGTATTACTTTGAAGGCGCAATTTTACCCACACCAAAGTTGATTTCTTCTTATGCATACTTTTCAGTTGCTCCTGCAGCAGAGATCCTTCTGACCATGCGAGGAGAAGCAGCCTTCCAGACCAGCAGTGACAAGATCGATATTATCTCCGGTGTGACATTTCCTGGACTGTCCATCAAGGGACTTATCAGCATCGGCCCAGAGCTCGCCCTTTCCGGCAAAATGGATGCCTCGATGGTGGTTTCAGGTGAACTCAATGCCGGTGTTGTTGTGGAATTCCCTAAGGCCGAAGTGTTCTTCCCCCAGGACTCGGATGGCGAGGATGCCAGTGTTCCCCCGTCTTCTCTCAAGAACGAGGACGGCAAGGATGCCCCAAATCTATTCTCCGTCACCCCTCAGTTCGAGGCTTCAGCGTCGGCATCGGGCAACTTGGCTTTGACTCTCACCCCTGAGGTGAAGTTTGGTATTTCCGTTCTCAATGGGAAACTAATGGAAGGCTATGTTACCGCGGGAGTGGAGAACACTGTCAGTTTGGGTGTCAGTGCCTCGGCATCGACAGGTTTATCGAGCGGGTCTTCTGCAGAATTCTGCTACTGGGCAGACTACGATTATTCCGTGTTTCTGCAAGCAGACGCCTCGTAAGTTGTATCTGCTTCAAGGTTTGCGGCTATCACGCTCAGTGCTAACTGATGAATCTTCAGATTCCTTGGCGACGTGGCATACTGGGGTGATCGATATGATATCGCCTCTCCAGAAGATCCCATCGCACTTGTTGACAAGAAATGTCTAGCTTACTCGAGTGATGTGGATGAAAAGAGAAAGCGTGATTCAACAAGCTCGGCTCTGGTCAAAAACACAACTGGCTCACCTTTCTTTGGAGGATGGTGTCAATGCGCCAACAAGGATACTCAACTTGCCAACGAAACCTTGAGTTGCTTGGATACAGAAGACACCTCGTCGACTGCTAAGCGCCAAAACACCGCACCAACATGCTACCTCCCACCGGCGTTGTTTTACAATTGTGACTGGTTCCAAACCACGAGAATCAACAATCTCAACACCGACACGAATGGACAAACTCCTCACGTCGACCTCAGGGGCATTTGCGAAAATGTCAAGAGATACCTGGATCGGAACTCGGGCAGGAAATATATCTGGCCCAATTGGATGCGCTTGACCTATCAGCCAGATCCAGCAAATTCTAACCGGGCCGACGCATGTGCCCAGAAAAAGAAGGAATGTAAGGAGTTAAAGGAGTCGCTTTGGCCCAAGGATGGAAAAGATCCCCGAGCGCTGACTATGTCCTGTGATGAGTTTCCCTGTAAGTCAACATTGCACTCTGGGTCCAATTAGTTGAAAGGTATATACTGACACGCCACCCGTTTAGTCAACTCAGCAGCAGAGGGAGGCACTGGTGCTGTAAGCCTATCCCAGCTTCTCTGAAACATAGTGCGCGAGAACTAATCTCATGTCCTTTAGGAGGTCGCATGTGTTCCCGACGGCCAGCAGAAGTATCAAGCCAAGATTAATGGCCAGCTTCCCTACATCAAGTACACTGTGAGTCAACTCTGCTTCCACTGTACGCATCTTTCACTTATTTACACACTGATTAGCCAACGGGCCAAACCACATCGCAATACTGGAAGGATGAGCAGTGGCAGGGGCCGACAAGATACTACACCATAAACCTCTTTAGCTACACGAACAACCAGAACAACATCGGGACCACTGGTGGCTTACTTTCCTCGAGTGCCTTGAACAACCCCTCCATAAACCCAGGGACCGGACTCCTCCATGTTTTGGGTGGTGTCAACCTCCAGGGAAACCCAGAACTTTCACTGACCAACAACGGCATCTGCCTTGTGTACCCTTACAAGCAGAAGCCCCCTGGCGCAAATAAAATTGATATGCTGCAGAACAAGCCCTGCAAGATCCAGTTCGAACCCCCGGCTACTATCGCGGCCAGAGGCTTGGACCCTAATGACCCTGACAACTGGGTGGTTACAAGTATGTTGATCAGATCCGATTTCTTGATAAGACGCGACTAACAAAATGTGTCTTCCACACAGATGTCACACTTAGCGATGAACCGTTCGAAGAGGATAGTCCGTTCAAGGAGATGGCCGATCATCTCGAGGAGATCGGCTTGGCGCATGATGATGAAGATATAGACCCTGCATTCGTCCCTGCGAAGCGGAGCCACAGCCATCACCATGGCTCACATAGACATCACATATAGATTAGAACTTTTCCAATATCAAAATTCACCAAACTTGGCTTGTTCATATCCTTTGATCGATTCTTGATATGAGACAAATGTGGACCTTGATAGGAATTGGAGTAAAGACCAAATGTTCAGCTTGAGCCAACTCGGTGGATCCTTTATTCCTTCCGACAGCGTCTACGTGACCACATTGGAAGATCCCTGAGAGATTTTGATTCAAAATGTTTCAATTGAGTCTAGCCCTGGAGCCCTGCCCTCCGCGTCCGCTGAGTCAGCGGATATGAAGCTCTGAAGGGTTTCCGAGCCCGGGATCTTCAGGGATCACCGGCGGCATGAAACTGGGTAATAATGCACCGGTAGTCTACCACTCAGTCTGATCCCGAGATTCGATGTGTGCTTTCGTCCGGCATGTTCGCCCGTATGGTAGATAAAAGAAGGGATTCCGTTAGTTTCCATGCGGAACGATCTCCAGCAGCGATCCAACAAACGCATAACGCGATTAGTCAATCGCCAAACAAGTCTTCAGCTTTAATTAACCGTGTCGGGCATCAATTGATTCTGAGAGTCAAACAAATCAATGGAGCTACACGATGACACTGGAATCTCCATCCTTGTGGTCGGAGGTGGCATTGCAGGCCTGACCTTTGCTATTGAGGCTCATCGTAAGGGTCATAACGTGCGAGTCATTGAACGGCGACCCAAAGGAGAGACATTTGGTGAGCATTGCAACATCCGTGAATGAGTACCGCGCGTTGCGATTCATATGAAAAGTCTCAAGTCGACAACTCACCAAACCTTTGCATTCATTAGTTGTGACTGACGGATTCCCGGTATAGGCGAAGTGATTGTTATTACCACACCCGCCCTCCACACCCCAAAGAAATGGCCGAATTTCATGGAGCGAGCCCGGGAAAAGTCTGCCGCTCCAGTGGTCAACATGAAGAAGTTCGACGGGACTTTGATCGGGACCTTCCCCATTGGTGATCCAAACGACCCATCTCTGGCCATCTACCGATCGAAGCTTCATGTGGTGCTGTATGACTATGCCTCCGAGCTAGGAATTCCGATCGAGTTCTGTGCGGAAGCTTCGGAATTCTTCGAGACAGAGGAACATGCCGGTGTCGTATTGTCTGACGGGCGCGCCCTCACTGCCGACGTAGTGGTTGCAGCTGACGGAGTCGGCTCCAAATCATGGGCCCTAGTTGTGGGGAGCAAAGAGCCCCCTATCAGCTCGGGGTTTGTTATGTATCGAGTCACCTTTCCCGTGGCCCCTGTGCTTGAAAACCCAATCATCGCGGCTGAGCTGCAAGGGTACAAGAATCGCGCCTTTTTACACGCCGGACCAGGCGCTCATGTGGTTACTTCCATGTCTGGAAGCGATATATGTTGGCTGCTCACCCGCAGGGTATGGTCTCATTTCCCATGTGAACCACAAAGGTTCTGGAAGAAGACATGATAGGCTAATGCATCTCAAATAGGAGGACAGCGAGGCCATTGAAGAAGACTGGTCCAAGACAACGTCAATCGACAAGGCTCTCAAAGCTGTCGAAGGTTGGGAACCATTTGTGACCGAGCTGATAAAGGCTACTCCTTACCGTACAGTCCTTGACTGGAAGCTGATGTGGCGCAACCCCCAGTCGCAGTGGGCGTCTCCCGGTGGTCGTGTGATTCAGATCGGCGACGCTGCACACCCATTTTTGCCCACCTCAGCAAGTGGTGGCACCATGGCAATGGAAGATGCTTATTCTCTGGCCGCTTGTCTGAGCATTGCTGGAAAGGAAAACTTAAGCCTCGCGACGAAAGTCCACAATCATTTGCGGTAAGTGGCCTTCACATTATCGGTAGCCAGTATATTCCTCGGGCTGCCGTAAAGCGAATTGTTCATCAGCGATGCAATTACTGATTAATTCGCTCTAAAAACAGGTTTGAACGAGTCTCCTGCGCACAGAAGATGGGCTTCAAGAATCGCGAGTTATACCACAACACAGATTGGGACGCGGTCGCTAAGAATCCAGAAACAATGGGCAAAATGGTGGGAGATTGGCTGGTTCATCATGATCCAGAGCAGTATGCTTATGACAATTACGAGAAATGCGCAGAACATCTCGTCAACGGCACAGCATTCAAAAACACGAATTCGGTACCCGGCTATGAGTATAAGCCGTGGACTGTTAAGGAACTTCTGGATGCTTCGGAGAGAGGCGCGCCTGTTCAGGATGAAGGTGACTGGTCTTAATCACTATCCTCGGTAACGAAGGATAAGTGCTCGTGGAGAACATTGTTTCTAACCAGGCCTTTGGGATTGACCTACCAGAATGGGTGCACCCCTGCGCAGGCGAATCTTCACATCCGTTGATATATTTCCCGTAGACTGTGTTGAATTTCCCGACTAGACAAAAAGCCTAACAAGTCAGGAGTCTAGGAATCTTTATGAATATTCAACAGACTGACAAATCAAATAATCTTCACTCTTTGACATCTTGGCAATGCCTTGGAGAGCTCTGGAGGGCTTATGATAGGAGACAAAGATGGAGAGGCCTCTGCAACTACTGAGCTCTATGTTCTCGTAAATTTGGAACGCATGTCGTCTATCGACCAGCAATTCAAAGCTAAACAGAGCTTTTGTCCTTGAATCCCGGTTTGCACTGACATTTACGTTGACATTTACGTTGGGCCTCACGCAGTCGGTCCACGGTTCGTTGCAGTACAGCCACTTGCTCCCGTAAACCGGCAATTTCTTGCATTACTTCAGGATGATGAGCCTCTTCGATTCGTATACTGGGAGATGCTATCGCATCATGGTTGGATTCTATTCGATCATGTTGTGTCATAACTGTTTCCTGATTTTCTGCCACTTCGCCTGGTGGTGTTTCTTCAACACTAGATGACTGTAACACCTCGGTAGGCGGTGAAGGACTCGGTTCAGTATCTGATGGCCGTGATTCCGCTGTATGAACATCGGGTGTGACAGGCTGGGTTGGATTTGAAAGAATGGGGGCTTTATGTTGACAGTTGGACGTATGCCGACATCCGGGAGCTCGATGTAGTCGAAGACCGTTTGGGAGCCTTTTCTCGAACCGATATGCCCACTTTCTGCTCACTTTGTGAGATGATCCGTCGCGTTTGAGCGCGTCATTTGCCCAGTCCATCACCATGTCAGGGGTAACCGGCATGAAACTACTTCGCATTTCCATAATGAATTCAATCAAGGCTTGCTCTTGGGAGGGTTTGAGAGCTCGAAGTGCCAGTTTGGGCACGTTCGCCGGTCCATGACCGTTTCTAAGGCGATTTCGGAGAGTATGGTAGGGAATGCCAAAATCGCGGGCAATAGCTGTGAAATTGGGCTTTTCTTGCTGCTTGGCAAATTCGCAGGCTTCAATAACACGTGTTTCTGGGGGTTTTTTGCGCTTCTCCATCGCCGGCGGTGTGTTGGAAGCAAAACGACAAGGAACAGAAAATCTGACGGGGTTCTGAATCTGACCGCGTTGTGTGGCGGTGGAAAAACAAATGACTAAGCCTGTTCTGCCAATATAAATGTCCCGAGGTCATCCACATGTTGGAGGTCACCAGTGAGCTCGCCTTGACAGATAAATTGATGTCAATAGAATCGAGAGATGTGTACTGTCATTTGGGCCCACAGGAAGAAAACTGGTTGGATTACCAAAAAGACAGAGCTCAGTGCATTTTCGTGGTTGGCAGTACTCTGTCAATAACTTATGGCTTGGCCCAATTCGGGATTTTATGGGAAGGGTTAAAAAGGAAGAATGGCTCTCGAGTGAAGTGGAAGTGAGTGGACAAAAGGAAAAACCAGAAAACTGAAAGATAAATTTGTAAAATGGGCATCTATTGGGCAGGACTCAGTGGTCGCTGTGTTGTTCTCATACATAGCAGTGGTATCGTCTCTTCATCTTAAGAGATTCCCCTCCACCAAGACCTAGGTTGTACACGTGCCCAGTGTTGTGCCGTTCCACCTCTGCAGTCCCACCAATCCATCCCGGCAGCTCATCAAGATCCCTCACCTCGTCCGGGTTATGTGCCAACCGCAGTGGAAAGCGTCCGGGCGCCGCAGAGCCAATGCGCATCATTGCAAACGAGTCGAGCTGGTTGGTCCATCGCGGTGTCCATGCGACGTACAGAGAAAGTCCCAGTATACAAAAGAGATATACACCGAGCAAGGTCGATATCAGTATCATACCGGCATTAGATATGTCCGGCACTTGCTGGTCCACGCCCAGATCCCAATTCAATGTTCCCTCGGTTGGCCCCAGCCAGCCCGTGATAGCCTCTTGTATCCACAAATCGGTCGCTATGAAAGCGGCAGCATTGAATGCATCTTGTATCCGCTTTGCCGACGGTGAGGTACCAGCGGCAGCCCCAAGGTGTCGCCCTTCGCCGGTGAAAAGATAAATATAGCTCATCACCGTTTTCACTGCCTCCATACTCCTGGTAAGAAAGCCTGAGACGCAAGGGTCTAAGTCCCCAGAGATAGTTTCGTCACCTTCTCCATGGAGAAGCTTTATCAAGGGAGGGATGTCAACACAGCCCCAGCCTACTTCATCTCGCGCCCAGGATTGATATGCCCCGGGGACGGTATGTCGTATATCGAGGTAAGATCCTTGGGTGAAAAGGGCCAAAGTGATGCTTAGAAGGGGGCCCTTGCTCACTAAATTTGATAGCTTGTCCACAATATCTCCGACTGCTTTCTCTGTTTCCTTACTAGAGGTCTCTTCAAGAGATCGCTTTCGATCAAAATCTAAAGATCTCAATGTTTGATACTCGCATTGAGCGCCGCAGCCTTTCTCTAGATATTTTCCGGGGTCATCTAGAAGTGGTCCAGGTCGCTGGTTGTTGTGGTAGTTCGGAAGCTCGAAGTAGCCTGCCGTCGTATTGAGTGTAATCTTGAAGGAATAATTGCCGGGAGTCCATGGTGGAGGGCTCTGCTTATCGATGGGTTCAAAATCCCAATCCAGAGTTGCTTTGACGTACAACTCCTCGACGAAGTCCTGACGTTCACGGGTGGCCTTCCATGGCGACTTAGTTTGATTCCCTGGCATGCAGATATCCACGAGGTAACCGCCAATCTCGGTCATATTTGCGTAATGCATGTAAAGTGCATCGGGTATATTTTGACAGTCTGTTGGGAAATCTTGCGGCGATATCTTCTCGTGTAGAGTTGTGAAGTTGATACGGGGAGCAACCTGCTTCCAAAGTCCCGTCTGGAACCCGACTGGTGGTTGCGCCCAAAACGATTCAGTGGTGTTGTACATGCTTGCAAAGGTGGACTGTCCATACTTGGCGCAGGCCTTATCATTCCCGTTGCTGGAATTGTTGCACCCTGCATCCCTTGTCCAAAGTCGAAACTGAGGATCAGAAGTTCCGGTTGACATAAGTCTGGATCTGAGCTGTGTCGTGGATCTAAATACATCAACCCCGCGTTTTTCTGCAGAATATGCCACCCATTTCCAAATGTCAACCAAATCCATGGAGCTCATCCCATTCGGGACTTTGACGGATTTGTTTGTGATGAAGATCCCTTGGAGTGGGGAGATGGAGGCGCCTTTTGATATATCAGCAGGCGGTAATAGGACAAATTATAGTGTGATTACTGACCAATGAGATTGAGTATCAGAGCGAAGATGAGGAAGATAGAGCCATATCGCTTCCATCCCCCAGAAACGAGCTTTGTGATAGTCACTGGGTCGGTCCAACCTTTGTCGGCCAATGTCATGGATTGTCTGAGCGTTAGGCTCCGCCAACCCTGCTTGGTCCGTTTTTGGAGAAAGCCGACCATCGCGCATGAGCAAACCATCGAAGTCAACGGGATGGTAAGCACCGAAGCCAACGACTGACAGAACCGAGCAGCACGGAAAATACGCTCATCTTCGTCGAAATTCTTTTTGTCGCTTTTGAAATACGCATTCAAGCCATCTATGGAGTGAAAGTCAATGTTATAACTTTTCCCCCAAATAGGTCGCCGGGATAGTGTACAAAGAGTCGCCCAAGAAAAGAGCGCAATTATCGCATATAGCAAGGCCAATATTATGATGTATGGGGCACGGCGGAGGGTATCAGACGTGACTTGGTTCTTTTTGGCGTTCTCCTCACTGGATGCTCCTTCTCTGCCCCCAATCAACGATTCAGCGCAGTGGGAATCATCTCTTGGGATCAGTATTTCTGGCATGGCTGTTTCGGTTTGTTTCCAACGATGTTGAAGATGGGAACAAAATGAGCCGACAGATACAATTCAAGATCTCAGTTTTCATGAGGCTGAAATGCGGGGGCCAATTCTCCGCAGGGTCATTTGCTTTGGCCCCCGGTTTTAAGGGGCGAAGGGTCAGATCTTCATGCACCCACTACCCATTTGGACCTTGGCAGACGATCACTTGGTCGCGCCCGGGTTTCCTGGAGTCACACATTGCGCGTATTTTTCGAATCTGAAATCGGAGAAAAAATCAAATTCTCTGGCAGCGAATGTGAAAAGCGATAAGAGCGTCGCTGAGTGAATCTATGGATGAGGGCCGAGGTCACCCAAGCCCTAGCCCTAAATGCAGATGGGTCACTACATACATCTCTTTTCTAAGGTTCCCATCTTCTCTTGCACGCTCTCAATCAATCAATCTGTTCCCCTCGCTTTTTCACTCGCAGAGTTGAGATGTTATCAAATACGAATATCAGCTAAGAGAGTTCCAGGAGCTTCCGACAACGTCGAGATAGTAGCAACAAGCCTCTCAGCAAGCCGAGTCGCCGAAGCCAAATCCATCACTGCAGACGAAGTCACAACCTGTATCTCCAGCCTCTCCCGACCAGCATTACACTCAAACAGCACCTGCCGCGCCATGTCGTTCTCAACCGTTTTCTCAATTGACAAGCAAGTCACCCCTTCAAGGGTCAGTGGGGGTGGACCAGTCTTAGGTCGCGTGTGATTCAGCATGCAACCCATTTGCGTGTTCGCAGGCCAATCAGTACAGTGTGCCACGATGTCTGACAAGTCCCATGTTGCCGCATAACGCGCCACATGCATCGTTTGCTCACTGAGCGAGTGGCAGAGATCGAGGAAAGTCGTCGTCTCACGCGCGTCGAGTCTCACTCGTAGTGGGTTGATGTTTAAGCATGGTCCGAGGGTGGTTTCGATTCCTGGGAAGGCACCTGCCCCACGCGTGTCCATTACGTTGCCAAATACGAGGTCGTCTATACCCAATACGTCGGCTAGAAGAAGACTGCAAGCTGTGTTGATGAGTGTTGGCAGGGTTATATTGTCGACAACTCTGGGAAGCGGCATGCCGATGGCTTCAGTGACGACGGGGGTAATTGGTTCGCTGTTTATGTTTATTGAGCTGAGTAAAGTGAACGTCGTCATGTGCGCACCCTGAAGGTTCTTTCGCCAGAACTTGATGGTAGGGTCGTCAGGTGAGTTCTGTCTCTCTTTGCGGGCGTACAGGTAGTGCTGAAACGGGGCTGCTGCAGGGAGAAGGCTTGTCCCGTCGCCGTTGTCATCACTGCAGACATTATACGCCGATGATATGTCTCGGAAAATAATCGGCGAGGTATTACCATCATACTGGGCATGACAGACGCGAACTAGCAAGGCGTGCTCGGTATCCGATTTGGACAAGAGTATAAACCGTACCAGCGGTCGTCCGGCAGTCGGAGACATCTCGGTGATCAGCTCCGCTGCTAAAGGTGGGCAAACATCGTTCAAGTTCTCGTTGGCAATTTCACGGCGTTCTAGTGTGGGGTCAGCGGTCTTCAAAGCTACCTGCACAAATTCATCATCGGAGATCTGAATGAAGACCGTTCGCAGAATGCTATGCCGACGGACAACAGCTGTGCATGCAGCCTGTAGTCGGCTGGAATCAATGGACCCTTTCAACTCACAGCGATAACAACTGAGTGACCACTGAGTCAAGAAGAAGTTCTGCGCTGCTGTCGTGGGGAGAATATCAAGGATACCATTCCTGACGTCAAGATGCGCAAGCTTGTTTTGGACAGTGTTGACAGTACTTGTGCTGCATAGAGTGAAAGGTTCTGGATCCATGGGGATCTGTGATATCCTAGCCCGAGAAGTGACAATACTGATCAGGTCATTCAGAGTGTTCCTCTCAAGCAGATCCGCTACTGATAAGTCAAGCCCATTGGATCGGGCTTGAACTGCTATTTGAATTGCCATGACCGAGTCACCCCCTAAGTTCAGGAAGTTGTCCTTCCTTTGAATAGAGGATTCATCAATGCCCAGGACAAGAGACCATAGCTGCAAAATCACAGAGGCGACAGAACCCTCTAGCTCATGATTGTAACCGTTGCTGCGTTGACCAGAGTGACGAGAACTCTGTATCAAGTCTTCAATGGTATGCGTTGCACCGAGCTGACGTAGTTGCTGACGATGTATCTTGCCGGTCGCCGTGGTTGGTATGACTTGAACAGGCAGGTAAAACCTCGGAATCATGTAAGACGGAAGATTCTCAGACAGACCGACATCCAAATCATGAGATAGACGCTCTATGGTCTCTTGCAGATCATCATTATCTGTCCAGCCGTTGTCGGGGGCGCAAAATGCCACCAACACACCAGTATCGCGCCCCTTCGGCACAATGAGATCGGCAACAATTATGACCTCGGTGTCATATGGTAACGATCGGTGAATCCAATGTTCGATCTCGCCAACATCCACGCGCTGACCATTTATCTTGATCTGTCCGTCTTTACGCCCCGAAAATATAACGGTGCCATCTGCAGCATACTGCGCGAGGTCGCCTGTCTTGTATAAATGGCCACCTGCAAATCCAGCACGAAACTCTGAGATCCACTCCGTCTCAGAAAGGAAAGCAGCCGCGGTTTTTGAAGGGCGGTTAAGATAACCACGGCCCACGCTAGGACTCTCGATCAACAACTCTCCCACCGCGCCAATTGGAGCCAAACGATTGTGATCATCTGGATCGACAATCCAGAGAACACTGCCCGATCCTTTGCCAATGTTCATTGGGTTGGCTGACTGAGTGACGATGGTCATGGAGCTAATCGTAGTAGCTTCTGATGGACCATATGAATTGATCAAGTGCACACGGTCTGCCCATTTCGCTACCAGCCCAGTGCTCATGGATTCACCGCAAGAAATCATCGTCCGGATAGTTGAAACCTCATTTGGATCTAGGATTCTGCCAGCAGATGGTGTTATGCTAACCCAATTGACTCGCTGCTGATTGATGAATGCCGTGAGGTCATTCGATCGCTGCGACTCAGATGGAATACAGATACAGCCTCCATACAGAAGTGTATATAGAATATCGCGATTTGCGGCGTCAAACGCGAAGTTCGCGAACTGGAGAACCCGACTCTCGTCTGACAAATGCAGAGCTGGCCCGTTCGCCATGGCTCGTTGGAAAAAGCCCCCATGGTCGATCACCACGCCCTTCGGTCTACCTGTTGATCCGGAGGTAAATACTGCATAGACAGGATCGCTCACTGCGACTAGATCATCTTTTGGCCCGGCCTTTATGCTTATAGCAGTATCCATGGCAACCACCGACACCGCAATCGCGCGATGAACCAGTTGGCTCGCCGTTGATAGACATGTTTCAGAACAAATTATCAAGTCCGCTTCGACATTGTCACAGACGCTCCTCATGCGTGCATGTGGCGAGTTTGAGTCGAGAAATACGTATGCGGCACCCGCGCGCAGAACGGCCAAGACCGCTACGATAGCCCATTTGGATTTTTCGAGGCAAAGGGGTATGATGGTTCCTGGTGGTAGATTGAGTGAGCACAGATACTGTGCCACGCGAGACGATAGTTCATTCAGCTGACCATACGAAAGGTCTCCGTCCCAGGCGTTGACTGCCGGTTTGTGTGGGCTTTTCAAATAATTCTTCAGGATGGCTGTGTGGACGCAAGATGTAGGCTGATTAGGGATAGGTGTATTCCAGCCACTCAGTAGTATCTTCTCTTCGTCTGAAATGAATTTTAATTGCTGAAGTTCCAGTCCCGGTCGGTCGAGTATTTGACCAAGAATATGTCGGAAGGTTCGAACGATGTTTCGAATTCGATCCTCGTCGGAAAACAAAGGTGTTTTTGTGTTTACGGAAACGCTCATACTCATAGTTTCCAGATTGAAATCAATGATGTCCCTTGAGCACTGGGCTCTATCAACATCCTGACTACTCGTCGGTGGATGAGTCGACTTACCGGGTTGTCAATGCTAGTGGGGGATTGTTGGACTGCTATAAAGCTGTCCAGGGTTTCTGTCCCCTCTGCGGGGGTGCTTCTTGCATCTCGAATAATATCGCATAATGGCATGTTCCTGTTCAGTTGAACGGTGCAGATAAGTCCTTCGCTTGGGATCGAGGTATTCCTCAACCCAAACTGCACGCAGTCCGAAGCCGAAAAGACACCCAACACGACCCCCCACGTTATTTGGAAGGCTTCTTGTGCCGTCCACTGGCTACGAGTCCAGCTTTTGAGTCTTGTTTCCAGCGAACATTCTTGATCCAGTCCTGTTTTCGAAATCGTCGGCATCATGGCGTCTTTGGAGGTTTTCCTTTCAAAACGTCGCCAGATAATCTTGAAAAAAAGTTTTGCTGCCCAGAAATTGTTCCGTGTAACTGCATGTCTGCAAAATCAATATTAATTTTGGAACGCACATGCACAAAAACGGGGCTGATTTCGATTCATACATCACAGGACCCAAGGGTATTGCTGTTATACTGGGATGATGACCCCTTTGGGGTGATACTATCGTTGCTATACTGTCACAATGTGCCTGTTTATTCCAAATTCAAGGGAAGAGAAATCCATTCTTCGGCTTGACTGCTAATTTTCAGTGCTTTGACCCCCTTACCCCTCGTGGATTCGTCTGCATGCGTTGTTTCTGCGGTTTACATCATTTAGTTATTGCTCTACCGAGGGGCCTGGGGCAATCTCTACAATATGATCACTAAGGAAAAGAGTCATGTTAAGTCAGCGCAGCCCAATGCTAGAAACAGTACGAAGATGGCACAGTCCAAACCGATCAATATCTACAATCGCTGTCTATGAGCTTTAACAATTTTTGCTTCATCCCACTTATTCATGCTTGCTGTCTTTTTCTTCCTTCTCTCCCTCTTTTTTTTTCTCAAACCCAATTGTTGAGGATAGAGGGCAAAAAACAGATGCGGACTGAACTGATTATATTGACTGCACAGAGACAGAGATAGAGAGGGAGAAGGGAGAAGGGGGGAGCGTATCAATATACAAATAAGGGTTGGGGCGAACTCTCTACCTAACACGGATTTCTTGGCTGAGGCTGCTTTCAAACTGCAACTATGGAAATGAAACCAGTCTCGCTTGGAACTGGAAGGCCTCGAGACCTAAGCTTGCTAGCCCTTTTTAGTCTTTTCTTTGAAGACAAACTCTCCCATTGTTCATACAAAGGCAAGTCCGAGCATGAAATCCTCGTTATGTGGCCCTGATTAGTAGAATCTTGGAGTACTTCGGTATTTGGCGTATCTCCGGGCAACGAAGAAACGCGCCTCCAGTCACCAACCTCAGTAGGCGCTCGAGGAATCGTCCAAAGTCTACCATCCCTGTCAATAGAGAGGCCTTCGGGGACAGGCTCAGGCTCCGGAACAGGCTCAGGCTCCGGAACAGGCTCAGGCTCCGGAAAAGACTCAGGCTCTTCGGAGACAGACTCAGGCTCCGGAACAGGCTCAGGCTCCGGAACAGGCTCAGGCTCTTCGGGGACAGACTCAGGCTCCGGAACAGGCCCAGGCTCTTCGGGGACAGGCTCAGGCCCCGGAACAGGCTCAGGCTCCGGAACAGACTCAGGCTCTTCGGAGACAGGCTCAGGCTCCGGAACAGACTCAGGCTCTTTGGAGACAGACTCAGGCTCCGGAACAGGCCCAGGCTCTTCGGGGACAGGCTCAGGCTCCGGAACAGGCTCAGGCTCCGGAACAGACTCAGGCTCTTCGGAGACAGGCTCAGGCTCTTCGGAGACAGGCTCAGGCTCCGGAACAGGCGCAGGCTCTTCGTTCGGTGTTTTCACTATTAATGCAACAAGAAGAGTGGTTCAGCATGATACCCTTATACTTAATCTGTTGAAGATGAATTACCGTGCTGATCTTTCATAGAATATATGCGAAGAGATAGTATCTCAAGAACCATTTTCATCACCGCATTGTCAAACTCATGGTCTTGACCAATAATATCGTAAAATTCACGCAAACCAAGTCCTGGATCATTCGGCTTAAGTAAATGCTGCAAATTTCCTCGAATGTAATCTGGAAGCCAGGCTTCATCAGGGGGGAGGCTTGAGAACACCCCCCTCACAACCCGCAAGATTTCAAGAATGGGAAGTTCCTCGTCCAAGATCTGCATCTTTTCTTGAGCAAGAACTTCTAGATTAGTAAGACCCCAAATCCTTGACGCATGGTAGACTAGAACGCTCCTCTTGTACTCTCTAGCAAGATCTGATATGCCTTCGCCAAGAGGCGAACCGACTGTCTCGTAGCCACCTGTGTATAGGAAATGCACCACTGTATGCCCGATGTCTTCGTCAACATCAGACATGATAAAAGTTGATAAACCAAGAAATACAGGGGCAAATTTTTGGTGGCTCTGGAGGAACTGAGCCGGAATGCCATATCGCTTGCTCCCAATGATGAGGGTAACTAGAGGGGATTCATAGCACCAGTGAATAGGTTAGATAACGTCACTTGAATACTATCAAAGCACTCACGATGATAAAGGCCGATGGTAGTCAATTTTGGGAGATATATCTGGGGCGAAGGGTTGTCCAGGCGGCTCGTTGGCCTTGCGTTGTTTCGCTTTCTTCTTTGCCATTTCTTGGCCTTGCCGTAACTTTGTTGGTTATGAAGTGACCCTTTAGGATATCACAAGAGTTTTATGAAATATGAACAAGAGAGGAGGCATGGCTGCACCTGATATACTTAAGTAGCCAGGAATGCAAAGAAGCAGGGAAACGCAAGTATGAGCTGTCCTGCAAAGCAGCCCGAACACGTCATCTGTGCAGTAACTGGCAATTTAGTGCCAGTCATTGAAATGCAATGAGTCAGTAGATGAAATACGAAAAGTGACTACTTTCCCTTCAATTCTTGGTGTCCATCATGGAGATAGCTTATCTGACGAGCTTATGTGTGGTGCTGATGATCGCCCGGGCCGTGAACGGAACCGGGCCGACGCGAGACTGTTACTCGTTACTCCGACACAGGGGAAAAGAGCAGTGGAACTGAGAACGAGCGGGTAAATGAGCTATATGTTTTCTAGTTGAACAGAGGGTGGGGGAGTCTTATTCGACCAATTGGCCTCGATGATAAGCCTCCATTGGGATTTGTCTTGGTCATGCCTCTAGACTACAATTCAAAGTACAAGGGTGGAGGTAGTGATGAGAAGGCGCTAATTTAAACAGCGTCCTCTCTGGAGGTAGGAGTGATAGTATAGCATTGGTTTAACAAAAACACACTTTCCACCGGGACCATAGGTCCGTGCGTTTCCTATTAGTCTCGCACCCCCCAGCTCTCTGGCAGGAACTTTTCCTAACTTGCTTGCAAGGACAGCGCTCCGCGCCATTTCGAGCCCTGGGGCCAGAACGGACAAAAAGGACAACAGACCTCCCTTCGCCGATTCTATTGTCTGGTTCTTGTGGACAACGAGGTATGTAAGATGGTAGAAAATTGGTAAAAATGGCAGAAGTCTTTCAATAGTTTCATGGATCCAAATTACACTCCCAATACCTACCAATACATTTAATACTACCACTTGAGCACAGAAGTTTCAATACTACCAGACTTTCTGGCATTCGTATTAGCATTCTCTGTGTATTGATGAAGTTTACGGTCTTACATGTAGAAAGGTCCTCATACGTATTGAGTCAGATAACTCAATTATAACGGTAACAATTCAATAGACATTTACATACTATACTATCAGTCATCATACACGTGACCGTCCTAAGTTGATCACTGACTCTTAGCTCGTGCTGATATCTCCGAGAGCCTGAGCCTGAGCACCGGTACGTATAGAGGCATATATAAGGAGGCTTCGCCTGTCATCCTCCACACGTCCCCCTCTCCATCTATTCCTTAAATAGCATGTCACCTTGTAAAGGCATCACGTCTCAAACCTTTTATAGAGGGACAACTTCGGATGAAAAACCGCTGCCGAAAGATAGTGCGCGGATATCGGAGCATTCTGAGCGTAAGCGATAACCCAACACCTGCAGATCATGCGCTGATGTTGGCAAGGTTATGATGAATACTCTGAGCGACAATCGACGTTAAGTGAGGAACTGAATGTATGCTACCATTTTACCAAATGAGATAAATTTTGGAATTTGACATTTTTTCATGTAGGGCGACATTCGTTTTCCTCAATGCATCATGTGTGTGAATTACCCATGCTTTTTGACGGCGTAACTCATCCCCTCAGATTCGCATCTACAGACGCAGTCAACGATTGGGTGACTCAAGGACATGAGGAATTTTTTCCTGCTGAGTTTCGGCTCATCATGGAAAGGAACTTGAACGGTTCATTTGGCTGTGAATATTACAGAGATGAAAACGGCAATGTTGTGGCGTGCGGTAAGTTATCCTGTTCATCTTTGGTAAACGACTAACACGCCAAAGATTCATGGTGCTTCTTCAAGTTGAAACGGATATGGAAAACCACAGGCTCTCTCAAGATATATGACGAGTGGCTTCAACTTGCCATTTTCGTGAGAAAGGATTGGAAAACCTCTAAACAATTGACGGTGTTTTTGGATTGTCCCGAATACGTGATTAACCAAATTCAAGCATGCTTGCCTAAAGTCCACAGAAGTGATCCCTATGCATGGCATTCTCTATTCGTCAGCGAGATGCGGAAGATATACGACCAGGCCATTTGGGATCTCCGAGGCGTCGTATGGGAGGTCGAAGCGGTAATCCAGCATGTTCAACTCGAAAATGAAGTTGCTAACGAGATAAACCGCAGTACCAAAAAGATCTAGAAGCATTCCAGCCCCAGTTCATCCTCCTCCATGACCTTTCGAGACACATCAGTCACTCGAAAGAAATACTCGACGTGGCTCTGGAAACCGTGGACAGCTTAACGCACCAATTAGCCCTATTGGACGAACACCATCCCGCTCCAGATACAAGGATTCGATGGCAAACCCGGGATATTGAAAGACAACTCTACTTCGCGATGAAAAGCCTCCGCTCAACTAAACTTAGGTGCATCTCACTCAGTGAGCGGTTGCAAAATGAGATCAACTTGGTAGAACTAGCCACTGCCCATATCTGGCTACAGCTAATGGTGGATAGGCATTTAACATTGTGGCCCAGAGAGATAATGAAGTATCGCTTCAAATGGCAAAGCACTCTCTCATGGATAATACCATGATGAAGACAGTGGCTATTGTCAGTTTGGTATACCTTCCAGGAACTTTTGTATCGGTGAGTCATTCCTCTTGTGTTGAAGATTCCGCTAATGTAGGAAGGGGATTTTTGGCATGAACTTCTTTGACTTCGATGGTCCGAATGGGAAAGAGAGAATGAGCGTCTCGAAAGACTTTTGGGTCTATTGGCTCATTACGATTGGTTTGACTCTTACAACTATGTTCATCTGGCTGCTTTGGTTCAATGGCAAGGTGATTAAGCGCGTGTTTGTTAAAAGGGGCCGTCGAGAACAGGCTGGAAAGGAAATTTTGTAGGGTTGTGAATGCCTCATGTATGTGCACTGAAGCGCATAAGAACATAGAACGTTATCATGAACGAACACGCCTCAATGAAATTTGAAAACACTTACCCTGGAGATGAGGCTATTACGACTCGTAACTTTAGTGAAGAAATGAATTTGCGTTACTGGCTCAGCTCATATTCAAGAATGGCTACAAAAAGGGGCCACACATGGGCACATTTGGTAAATGAGACAATTGCCTTTTCACTCAATGTCTGGATGGAAGCGCATTAATTCTTCCAGGTGTGCCAGAACTCATAACTCATAACGGAGTGGTTACAGAAAAGGAGCATCAGCCGGTAATGACGACTCGGGTGCCAGCCATGCCAGTTCTCGCGGGGCTGATAGATATCAGAAGCATGGGCATGGAGTTCGGGAAGTGTGAGTATGGGATCATCATCCACTTCTGATTGCCGGTTGGAGGGGTGGAATTCGGGAGAGTCCGAGTCATTCTGGCCAGCAGATGGCTCGGGGATGTCGGTGTTTGGGTTGGAGTTTTGTTGAGAGCCCTTATCGGATGTTGACATATCAGAAGCTTCGTATTTCTCGTGGCTGGCTGCGTTCGAGTAGCTGTGTGGAGAGCTGTCATCGGATGTTGAGATATCACCAGATTCGGATTCCTCTCTCTTGGGGCTAGATGTGTTGGAGTTGAACCCGCGGAAAGAGTCTGGCTCGGACGGAATATCGGAAGATTCGTCTTGGTCGGGGTTCAGTAGACGGTAGTCGAACTCCAACCACTCTTTTGGGTTGACATCGCAAGGGATGCATGGGATGTCAGGCAGTTGCTCGTACCCTGGCATTGGGCTCACAGCCATCCCCATAAGAGGCACTCTTGGGTGGCTCAGGTCCATTCCCTGCGAGTTGAATGGGACGATCCAGTCGATACGGAAAGAATGGCCAATCTCAGCCTGCCAGGTAAGTGTTATGACAGCGACCCGGCCTTTCTGGGATGCGGCAAGGATGAGGCCCAGCTCAGGGACGTACTTGACCATGTTCATGCGATCGCAGAAATCGTGGATACGCATGTTTCGAGGTGGCGTCTGAGTAAGAGGGGATCGAGCGATGATCTGGAGGTTGGAGTCACACGGGTAAGAGATCAGACTGATGTCGTGCTCGGAGAAGTGAACGACCGGGAAGAATTCGGGATTGTGGGCTAAACCTCGGGTTAGCGTTGAACAATTGTAATTCTTCATTCTTTTGGGGCCTTCTTACGATGGAAAGGATAATTTTGTTGCAGCTCCAATGGCCTTTCTTTTCGTAGCTCTTCAACTTCAAATGAACCAGATGCACACCGGTGTTGGTGCTCATTTGCGTCCTCTATCAGATCCGGAATACCTCTTCTCGCTCTAAGTGACGGAGGCCCGGGAGTCTCGCTTTTGGGAAAGATTTCACAGTCACTCTCATGGTCATTCTCAGGGCTTGGAGCCATGTGGGCATTGAGTTTATGATCAGAATCAGTCGATGGCATTTCTCCATCAGATGACGACTCAGACCCGGGGCCGGACAATCCCATTGCAGAGCTTGACCCATCGATACAATCCGGGTAGAAAACATCATCAGGCAAATAATGACGGGTTGGTAAAGGTTCGCGATATGATGGGCTGAGTACCGTGGACCAGTCGCTGATATGGTGAATCATGTCAGAGGTGATAAAAGCTATCTGGTTATGGAACAGCTTCTCTTTTGGCATGCATCCACAAGCGTCGGTCTTCAAATAGTGTTTTTGGACTCTGCGTGGATCGATGGGTAAAACAAACCATCCTCTTTGCGGGGGTGTTTGGGATGGAGAGCCATAAGCAGAGCCTTTGACGGGACCCAGTGCCTCCCAGATTTTCCAAATCAAGACTCTGTTGAAAATATCGGTGCTGATCATCCAGGTTCCATTGGGATCCAGGTCGAAATTGGCAAATGACACACACGGAATGTTCTCAAAGTGGCCGGTGTAGTTGAGCCGCAGGTTGCGGGCCCGATGATGGGGCAATTTCCTGCTTAGTTCGTCCAATTGGTCCTCATCATCGATTATGAGCCACGTTTGTCCTAGTTCACCGGACTGTTGGTGGTCTTGAGCCGTCTCATAGGGATCATAGGGAGAAAAGAGGGTGGATGATTCCTCCACCAAGGCGAATGCAAACACAGTGATAACCCCAGTGTTTGCACTAACGGCAATGAGACGGGCAAATTTGTGAGTTGCTAAGCCCCATGCACTCCTCCCAACAAATTCGACGAAGAATGCTTTCACATCGTCTCCAGCAAACGGTTTTTCATGCATGAATTGATCACATCGGCCGATTGCCGAGAAGATGACCTCCACATTGTAGCCGGTTACATTGCCAGAGTCAGTTGCAATCAACAATACTTCATCCCTCCCGAGATCATCCACAATGATATTGTTAATCGTATGAGGCCTAGCAGGGTCGATGTAGCCAGGAGCATGGGGTTGATTCATAACCGGATGAATGATCATCTCAGGTTGAGCGCCAAGCAACTGATTGGACCCCCTCGGTATCCAGACATAAATATCCGAGCCTTGGGCTGTGAAAAGCAAATTTCGGCGCTGCGAGAATGCCGCCTATTGTAGATGTCAGACTCAAGAGCACACTTTTTTTTCAGGCCATATCAACCAGCTCGGGGACTTTTCAAACTCACCAAGTTGCTTCGCCATGTAGATATTTCCGGTCTGGCGTGATCGTAATTCCTTCAAGTAAGTCAGCACCCACAGCTATGTACAGCAGATGCACAGTTGCTCACCGAGGAAACTGATATCAATTAGTGGAAATCTCGCACGTGGGGTGATAGAAAACATACCCGTTGATGTTCTGTCTCAACATTTAAGACCTGGATCTGAGGACGGTACTTTTGCAGTCTTTTTGTAAAGTCTGCAGCAGAATTCGAAGGACCAGCCTCCTCGGTGGGGGAGGAAGACATGGTGAAAGAAAGACTATGAGTGTCGGATTACAGAGCTCTTCCTGAGATCTGAGCAGTCGAGATAAGCATTCAATGGAGGTGAAGCTGTCATTTCCGGTGAGTCAGTGAAGTGAAGAGTGAGAAGAGAGAGAAGAGAAAGAAGAGAAGAGTCTGGTAAACACTCCATGGTCGAGCTATAGCCCAGCAGTGGGGGGGACATATGATGAAATGAGGCTCACCGCCCTGAGCAAATAGGCTAAACTCCGCATTTGGACTTCTCTTCACAACTACGCACGACAGGATGGATTTGGTCTCGAGTGTACGCAAAGAGGGCAGCCGGTATTTCTTGATTCTCTTTCCTTTCTTAATTCAAACTTGACTTACCGATTTCTAGAGGCGGCCGAAATGAGTTCAAATGGTCCGACGTCAAGGACTCGGCCCACAGGGAGAACTACCTGGGTCACTCGGTGATGGCCCCCGTCGGCAGATGGCAGCAAAATCGAGACCTCAATTGGTACGCGAAGGGGGACGAAGACGAGGAAGAACGACTGCGCAAGGAGCGGGAAGAGCTACAGCGCGTCAAAGAAGCCGAGGAAGAAGCTATGGCTGTTGCCCTCGGTCTCCCCATACCACCCAAAGCATCTGAAAACGCCAATATGGTCCCACTCGGCGATGGCGGAATCAACCAAGCGCCGAAAGAAGAAGAAATTCCCGATGCCGGGAAAGAAAAAGACCACCGTTCGAGTCGCAGACACCGTCATCGCAGCCGAAGCCCTCGTCGAGAACACAGACGCGACCGCAGCCATGATCGCCGCGACAAGGATCGCAGACACCACAGACACCATGATGATCGTGAACGCCGGCATCGCCACAGATCCCGCTCCCGATCGCGCGGCCGAGACCACCACAGACGACGTTCCGACTCGCGCTCTCGTAGTCGACCGAGTCGCAAAGACGAGGAGCATCAGAGACGTCGGCGCATTGAGCGCAGCTACTCGCCCGCGCTGAGCCGGCGACACCCCGAACGCAGGAGAGATCGTGATGATCGCGATCGGCGGCATTAGGTTTGGCGGATCCGATTTGTATACATTTAGCGTGGAGTTCTAGGGGTTGATGTAATAACAATTGAATGCATCCAACTATCACAATGACACTATGTAATCTACGTCGTCTATTTTCACAGCCAGATCATCTGGCTTACAACTCATCGTGGGTGGTTGGTGGTGCGGTCAACTGGGGCATCGACATCATGTTCACCACCATACTGGTCCAGCCCGTGAAGTGTTGAGTACGCTGGCCGTTGCCCGAATCGGGGTTGTATTGCTCCCAGGCGAATCCAGTCTTCTTCCACTCCCGGAAGACATTCTCAACCAGGTTCTTCCGCAGAGTGTTATACAGCTCACGCGCCTGTTCCTGGTGAGGACCAGAGACAGTGGCAGTGTCCTGAAAGAAATGTCAGAATTGAAGATGATATGTCGGGGAAATAACTTACGTATAGGTTCTTCAACACCAAGTAGTTGATGTTGATCCAGACTGGACTTCTCCAGTAGTTCTCATCGGTATCGTAGAACTTATCCTTCTTGCTCAGACTGCGGATACCGTAGTCACTCCACAACTCCTCGGGGTCACCGATAAGGTCCAGCACGGCCTTGAGACGCGGGCTGTCAGGGCCCAGCATGCCGGTCAGGAAGGGGAAGATAGTAATGTAGCCCTTGTGGCAGACATGGACACTCTCTTCATACTCATCAATGGTAGCATCGCAGAATGTCTGCTCCTTCTCGTCCCAGTGCAGATCGTCAATGTTGCGGGTGATGGCGGTCTCGTAGTAGGCAAACTCCTCGACATCATCCTCCTCGCCAAGGTTCTGGGCAATCCGGCGCATAGTACGGGTCATCATTCCCATCCAACTGATGAGATCGACGTGCAGCTCACCAGGGTGTGGCGGCTGGGCTCGGGGGTAGTCATCGATGCCGGAAGTCAGGATGTGCTGGACAGAACGTCCGCGCCAGCGGTAGCCTTCCTTGGTGGAGAAAGCTTCACGGTCATACGAGGAAATTTCACCACGCTGGGTCGTTCTGTACCAGTTGTAGTGCTTCTTTAGAAGCGGGTAGAAGGAACGGAGGTATGCTTGGGAGAGCTCTGGGTGTCGGACGGTGGCAGAACGCAAGCTTGCGGTTGCGTCTTGCTGGTCCAGTTTTCCAGACTCGGCGCTCTTGTTAACATTGCTGTTGACCTTGTCCATGAATGCCTCGAGTGCCATGAACAGGGTAGGCGGGTTCGCGTAATGAGGGTACTGGATGGTGAACTCGGCGGGAACCTTGCTTCGTGCCTCATGTCCCAGAATCTGTTCACGGGCAATCCATCCATCTTCGTCCATCAGATGGAACCAGCTCTTGATGATTTCGAGCCTATTAAGTTGGTTTTTTAGTCAAGTTCCACATTTGGCGGCTGTGGTGAACTTACGCAAGATCGGTATCATATTCAATGACGGGCATCAAGTGGAATCCTTCATCCCAGAGGAAGCCTCTAGGGAAGAAGGGTCGAGAGGGCACACAGGTAAAGAGATCCTTGGGTCCCTCGAAAACGGGCTGAACGGCAGCTCTAGCCTGGGCAGTCTCCTCCCAGAATCCCTCATTCTCTTCCTCGTAAGCGGGGTTGGCCGAGCGATCCACGATGTCATCGCCGTGGAAGAAGCCGATTCCACCGATAAGGTTCGAAAGCATCGCCTTGGAGAACTTGGAGTACTTGGGTTCATCAAATGGTGCCTGAGGGGGCAGAAGTTGGTCAAAGGTTTCAGAGAAAGCTTCGGATGCATCTTTGATCTCCTTGGTAAGGTCATCCGAGGTGAATGGCTTGGGAGCAGAGCCAGAAGAGAACAAGACATCAAATTGGAATTCACCAGAAAAGACTTTCTGGACAAAATGAGCGTTGCCCTGGCCGGGCTTGTGCGGGACAGTGAAGAGTTGCGGTGGAGGCGAGATATTTTCCTTTCCATACTCCTCCAAGGCCTCATCCACTGAAGCCTTCATCTGCGTGAAGAAGATACCCTTTGCTTGCCAAAGTTGTTCCTCTGGGAAGGACACACTGCTCACGATGCTGCGCTCCAAAGGCTTGTCCTTGGAGCTCTGGTGTTCAAAGCGAGGGTGGGCATTGTTACTTGGTCCATTGGTGACCTCGATGGTGAAATCGCCAAGTTCCATAGAGGAACCTTCAAGCTTCACATCACCTTCAATTCCATTTCCGGTGGACTCACTCTCAACGCCCAACTGACCGAATCCCTCCAGGGTGGAGTAGAAGACCATCGACGTGGGTTGGTGAGGATCGCCATCACTCGGTGTACCCTTAACTCGGAAACCCCAGCTACCTCCATGCTGACCACCAGGGACCTTGATAAAGTCAATGGTCAGGTCCAGGTTGTTCTCAGTGTCGTGGATAGTCTCTCGACCACCTTTCCGAATGTCGTACTCGTCCCAACCGTAGCCGGCCATTCCTTCATTCTGCTCGCAGGTGTGTCTAAAGTCTTGAGCATGTTAGCTTCAAGCCTCACGCAATGAAACTGGTAACATACTTTGCTGGGCACCGGCATAGTTATCCACCTTGCCCCAAATCAATCCTGCAGACAAACTCTTCGGGATACGAGGGCGCACGCCGAAGTACAGATTGGACTTGTAAGGGCCCCATAGCAGGGAATCGTTGCTGGCGCGTCCCGCCTCTCTAATCAAGGCAGAGACGTCATTTAGATCTTCGCTGGCGACAATGCCTGTCGCTGAAAGTAGCGATGTGAGCAAAAGTGAGGGTTTGAGGCGCATTTTGCGATTGGCCTCAGTGAAGTGGTGAAGACTTGGAGTATAACGGAGCTTGTCTGTCCTCTCCGCGATGTGGCCCGAGCGCCCATTACGTACCTGAGTTTGGACTCGTCGATCTCGGGTTATTTACTCCGTGCCTTTTGTATATTTGAAGTACACAATTACTTGTTTAAAAGTTTTCAATGCTACATTACACATATGATCAATGTGCAGGGGCTTTTTCCAAACTTGAATTTTCAAGGATATCAATTTTCAATGGGTATCTACTGTAGTAACCTGGGGGCTATCCAGAGCCAACAATCAGGTACATGTCCTTCAAAGCTGTCGGAAATGTTGAGCCGACGATGCAATCCATTTAATCATTTTCATGCTGGACAAACCAATTCTCTCGAACATCGAATAGACTTCCCATGTCTTGGTTGTTGCGGAAGCAACGGAGTTCTTTCCATGCATTCGATGTACGCCCGTTTGGCTTGCGGCCATCGATTTGCAAGATCTTTTGAACGAGAGCCTGCGGCGTAGCAATGTTGGATATTATGACTTCGCCCTCCTCGTTGGTTGGGAAATCAGGGGTAGCCTGGGATGAGGTTGGAGTTTCACTTGCTTGCGTCTCCGCGGCGGCAGGTGGGATGGACACATCGTGCTCATCTTCGATCACTACCTTGGTGGGATCGTGGCATAAGGCATGATCAACTTTGATGATTTCCTCGGTGGGAATGATGGGTGGATAATCGTCACTTTGGGTTGGCGCCGGGACAGGAGCCTCGGAGACTGAAGGGTCATCATTGCCTTTAGGTGTCCCCACAGTTACATTCTTAACAGGACTGCTGGCAAACTCATCCGGGTCCTTCAGGGATTCAGGAGGTGTGGAGAGAGGAGAGGACAGCGGCGAAGTTCCATCCTGGCTAGCACACTTTGGTTGCGAGGGATCAATGGCTAGCTGAGCATTGTTCTCTGTCTCCCGGGTCAGATTGAGCTGCATGGTCACCGGAGATGCTAGTCCGGGCTGCTCGTCGTTGGATGACCCCGACCTCTCGTCACTCCCTGACACAAGCACGGAACCAGGATCCTGGCTGTTGTTACGTGGTCGCCCTCTCAGGCGCTTCGCTGATGGCTGGGGTTCAGGAACGGAGATCGTCCGCTTAGGTGTTCGTACTTTCGCTGGGCTGACAATGACAACGCTGAAGTCGGGTACATCCTCTGGCTTTTGTTCATTGGAATTGGGTGTAAGCACTGGGTGGGAGTCTGCTGGTTTTCCCTTCGGGGACTCGTCACTATTGGAAGACACGGTAACCACAGGTGATTTCTTTTTTTCAACTGGCGCGGTATCGTGGCTCGAGGATGCGGTGACTGGGGTTGACTCTGTCTGAGTGTCGATTTTTATGTCTTCCTTTTTTGGTGTGCTTTGTTTCCGGTCTCCATCGAACTTGGAGTGAAGAAAGGCTTTTTGGCCCGGTGGGACCGCAAATGTTAGCTTGGCTCTGTCGATTGCATCAATCTATAGTTGTCAGTAAGTGGTGGTTTTTTGAAAGTTGACACAAAGTAGACCTCAGAGCACATACCCTGGTCTCTTTGTCGATGACAAGTCTGTCTGCTCCCTTTCCATAAACGAAGTAGAATTTCCAAACGTCGCCCAGCTGGATGACGCCTTCTTTGATCAGAGTTCCTAGTTTAACACGCGCACTTTCACCGGCAGATGCTTTCCAGGCAGCCCTCTGCTTCTGTCCCCAGAACTGCTCATATTCACGCTCTTTGAAAGCGTCATAGGCACCCTCTGCACGTCGCTCTCTGGCCTCCTGGGCTTGCCGCAGCCATTTGGGGTCATAGCGGCCGTTCTGGAGATCAAGCTGGAACTGTCGCACACCATCGCGCCAGTTGTTTGAGTAGCGGACAAAGCTGTCAGGTATTGGGGGTATCTTTGCATCAGAATCTTCAGTGACAATCTGTGCTTCTGGGTGAACATCTGGGGGTAGTAGAGCGAGAATCTCCCGCTTTTCTGTCTCTTCCAGGCAATTCCATGCTCCAGGGTGTGCCAGGAGTTTCTGAAGGCAAATCAATTAGCACTCGTTTCTCTCAAAGAAAATCCAACATACCACCAAGTCCATATCTATGAGGGCGGACTTATCGCTGGCCAGTAGCTGATCTTCGCTCCATTTCCCTCTGGAGCTGGCGCTCTTTCTGGGAGTCTTTGCTCGTGAGCCCGCTTCAGTGGGGTCCGACATAGCCAAACCCAACTTCTTTTCTACATTGGCAGTACAGGTAACAGCAGAGCTATGGGATGGTGTCAGTCGAAAGGAAGTAGATGCGGAGTTTGGACTCACCGCAATGTACTGCCCCGCGCCACCGCCCTTTTCCTTTTGGGTGCCATTCTGGCCAGGTCTCCGGCCAAAACAAACGTAAACTTGTTCACAAAGATTCCCCAAGATGGTCAGGTCAACACAAATCGCCAGGCTGGATGGTAAGACCTCCTGTGAGGAAGCTTTATGTAACGAAGTGCTGACGTGGATCTGAATAGGCCTTATGCTTGCTGCCTCGGTCGATGACGAACAGGTGAGCAGCTTCGAAGAGATGAGTGATGGTCGCAAAGCTGACCTCTCTGGCAGGCCGAGTCAGAGCTCTCCGAAATTAAAGGACAGGCTAAGATGATCTTCCGACGACTGAATCGCAACTCTGCGCCCCAGGCCAGCATTGAGTCTGGTCAATACAATCTGCAGTAAGCCGGCGCATCAATAGGAATAGGGGATCATTGACTGACGTTTGAATAGCTACATGATCCAGGAAGATATTTGCTTCTTGTGTATTGCCGACAAATCTTACCCCCGCAAGCTCGCCTTTACCTATCTTGCTGATCTGTCCTCCGAATTTACAACCACCTACCAGCCTTCACAATACCTCTCACCTACTCTCCGCCCGTACGCCTTTGTGGAATTTGACACTTTCATTCAGCGGACCAGAAAACTCTATCAAGACAGCCGTGCCTCCCAGAATCTCGATAAGCTGAACGATGACCTCCGTGATGTCACAAAGGTTATGACAAAGAATATTGAAGATTTGTTGTATCGTGGTGACAGCTTGGAGCGCATGGGCGAGCTATCCGGACGCCTACGTGAAGACAGCAAGAAGTACCGGAAGGCCGCCGTTCGTATCAATTGGGAATTATTGCTGAAACAGGTACGACTGAACTCCAACGTCCACAAAAATGAAGAAACTAATCCCTTGTGCAGTATGGGCCCTTTGCTGGTGTCGGGCTGATTATCTTCATATTCCTCTTCTGGCGATTCCTTTAATTCTTTGCGATCTGCGCTTTGGCCATACCCATGGGCCCCCCCCTGTATGAATGTATGCATAGTTAATACCTCCCGGTGATTGCAGGATACAATCTACCGAATCTGAAATGCAGAGATTTGAGCGAACCTGGATTGTAGCTGTATATTATCTAAATTTCATCCTCCTCTTCATCGAAATCATCCTCTTCGCCCATATCGTAAAGAATCCGACCACCCTCGCCAGGGCCATCTCCACTCTGGGCATCAAAGTACGGCAAGACCACACCTTCTCTGTCACGTCTTTGCTTGTCGGTGAGGCCGAGTTCGAAAGTAGAAGTCGGCTCTTCATTTTCAGCACCCGGATCTCGCTCCATGGGAGGATTGTAGAGAATGTTATCATCGAGAAGAGTCACAATCTCTTTCAGATGCTGTGGCGAATACCGCGAGGCGGGTGGGAGAAGGTACCACTCCAAAACACCACGACCACTCTTGCGTCTGTGTTCCAATTCGATAACAATTCCCTCGGCTGCACCAGTGCCGCTCAGTTTGTCCAATCGACCTAGCAGAACACCCTCCTGTTCTTCTTCGAGACCGAAGACTGGAGGAGCTAGACTGCGATCGCGGGCAGCCTTCTGCGCTAGGATATGCGAGAAAGAGTGCAATGTGATGATGCTTGTTGCAAGATATGTCAACTCTGAAAGAGGTGATGATGCATAGGGGCTCTGCTGAGGCGGCTCGGGAACATCTTGATGATACGTCACCACGAGGGACGTATCGACCTTCGCTGTAGGCGAAGTAGGAGCAAGGAATGAGCTCAGGAAAGAGGGCAAATGGAATCCCGGATCATCTCGTTTAGAGTTGAGTAGAGGATTGATTGAGTCAATGAGAATCAATCGTCCTGTCGAGCTAGTAAGTATGGGCTCGCAAACGAGGGTGGCGCACAAGCCCTGAAAACTTACTGCGTGAGGGGTTGGAGTTTGCAACATGCTGGTAAACTGCACTCACTTCCTTCGTAATGTCGGCAGGGCTCTTGCGCCGAGTTGTTACAAAGGCGTCTACTCCCTCTGGCTGTTTCAGGGTTTCAAAGGCAATGAGTGTGACATGGACTTTGGACAGCTATTAGGTGGGTCAGTCTGTCTGCTTCCAATCTCACAACATACCAGGCGGAGGCCATTGACGGTACATTACCAACTTACCTTTGCGCGTCTTATGTATTCTTTAAGAAGTGGGGTGGCCGGTTGCTCCAGCGAGTCCAAGACCAGTGTGAGGGGCGATGCGGTGTCTCGCAGACTCAACAGCTTCGAGATCAACAGCAAATTATGTGTTCGTCGATGCGACAAGTTGACAGGAGCCATTTTTCATAGATAGTTGCGTTATAGCCGACCAATAACTCATGGGAGGGGCAGAACTGGCGGACGCACACGAAGTGGGGTTGCTGCAAAAATTTCGCGGTGGCATTTAAAGTTGAGGCTCGACGGGTCGGCCCGCTGCAGTTTTGGAATTTGCGCCTTCGCGAGCATTCGTGGTCTCTGTGGAAATCTGAGGATACACTTGAATTACTCGTAGTGGTGTTAGAATACGGGGGCTTGATCTTATTTTCTCAGGTTCTACAGTTACTGCCATTCGAATTGGTCTATTTGATGGTGGGCGGATTAATGAGTCAATAGTGGCAGACCACCATCCCGGTAGGTGCACGCGTTAAAAGGCTGTAGGTAGGTATGAGGCTGTGGCCTGGAGCTGACCTTAAATTGTTCCTCGGTGATATTATGCATTTGTCAAGGATGGGGGTAGAAATGGCCCTGTTAGGGTTCACTTGTGGATTCATGGATGAGTCGCGGTAACAATCAATACCTACCAGAAGGGTGGGGATACATGCAGGTAGATATTTCTGCGAGGGAAATAAATCCAATGCTATGCAAGTGTTTCAACATCCCTGCACCAGTTCATTCGAAGGTTTGGGTTCAAATGGGCTCTCAAGGCTGATACAGCGTTAATCTTATTCCAGGGTTGACTCACAGCTTGTAGTGGTCAATGGATATTGTTCAAACCCTGGGGGTTTCTTTCAACGTCGATTTGAATAAGCAGGTGTAAATCTAGAGCCCTTGACATCAAAGAAGAAAAAAATCCAGTTTTTGTGTTTGGAATTTCGTTGCAAAATGTGGACGAAACAGCTCATAGCAGAGATATATTTAGAACAAAACGATATTCCAAGTCTAGAAGCTTGGACTTCTGATTTGGTTGAAGGCGCGGGTATGAGGAAACAACTATAGACCTTAGCTACGTGACTAGCCTGATTTTTAGAGACGAATACTGCTAGAATTTATTAGATCTGCAACTCTGGTGATCAGGGACCGATCAGGCCCAAAGAGACCTGCACTACTGGTCTCTACCCGCACCCGGAATAAACTTCTCTTGGGACCCGAGAGATTCAGAACCAACTCACCATTGCGACAATTTGATACCCTTTCACCAAAGTTTCTACCATCTCACGACACTGCCACTCATTAAAGTCCTTGACCCACCCGCACGTTCTGTTTTCTAGGGAGACACCCTCGTCCAACCTTAGAGCTACGCCCCACGCCGTACGGGGCAACGCCCAGACCAGACCGCACTTCTTGTACAATGGCGGAACCACTCCCCAAGCGTGCCCGCCGAGGCGATAGCTCAGCTATGTGGGATTCAAACGAGCCCCGACCCCGTGCCTCAGACCAAGAGTCAGACCGAGATCGCAGGCGTTCACCCGCTCCCCGAGACGACCGACGTGAAACCCGGCATCGCTCACACTCACGAGAACGGAACGACAGAAGGCGAGAACGGAGCTGGTCTCGAGATCGCCGCGACCGACGAGATGGGGACAGGGATCGGAAGAGGAGCGTCAGCCGAGAGCGCAATTATGAACGACGAGGTGAGATAAAAACTTCGATCTGCAATGTGGGATTCGAAAATCGCTAATTCTTTTCCTTAGTACCGGGTCCGAAAAATGTTAAGTTCCGCGATCAGACACGATCGCGTTCCCCGGGTCGGAATGGTACGCGGGCTCGATCACCTCCGCGGGGCCCCAGGGGTGATCGCAGAGATCCTCGATCGCGGGATGATGGGCGGAAGGCCAATGGTGCACACTCTGCAGACAACTATGAGGATGAGATGGATTTGGACTATGACTCGAATGCGGACGAAGATGATATTGAAGCACAAATGCGCAAGGCGTTGGGTTTCACCCGGTTCCGAACTACCAAGAACACCAAAGTTCCTGGAAACGACATCTACGGTGTGCGCAAGGAGAAGAAGATCGAGTACCGACAGTACATGAACCGCCAAGGTGGATTCAACCGACCTCTCAGTCCTTCGCGGTGATCTTATGACTCTCCTTTCGACCTGGAAAGATCCCTTCTTTTCTGTGTATTCAAACCTGGACATTTTATTTTTAAATCTGCTTTTGATAGTTGCATTTGCGGAGCATGGTTTTCGTCGGCATGTTTTAACCTTCCATTTAATGTTCGTGGCACAAGCTGTGATGAAAACACCACAAATTCCATTCTAAATTTCAGAGATAAAATCTTGAACTTGCATGATTTCTCCCGGGAGAACTGCAGAAAACCGGACAGTTCTGGTGGATTTATAAGTATCACTGCGACATATGACTGGGCCCATGGCACCAGTGACGTAGTCTTCAAATGCTATATAAAATCCATACTGCCGAGTCCTTCTCACCTTCCACATTCCCCCAAAGTGGCTTCTTTACGTACTTTAGTATCAAAGGCATCAAGACAAAAGATGTCGACTCCAGCGGACCGACGCGAAATTGTCATTGTTGGTAAGAACCCGTGTGCGACTCAGATACCCCGCTTGACGCAGATTGTTGACTGAAATACCCATAGGCGGTGGAATCATTGGATGCTGCTCTGCGTACTATCTCACCAGACACCCATCATATGATCCTGCCCGCCATAAAATCACGCTCATTGAGGCCTCTGAAATCGCAGGCGGGGCATCTGGAAAAGCGGGTGGCATGCTCGCACAATGGGCCTACCCGAGCAACATCGTCGGTCTCAGCTACAGACTGCATGCAGAACTAGCCAAGGAGCATGATGGAATCAACCGATGGGGTTACAGAGAGGTTAACTGCGGTCAATTGGTCGTGAGGGGCCGAGCCCTGACTGAGAAAAGCGCAGGCAAAGCCGAGGGAGGAAACTCGGAATCTCTTCAAAAGCGAAGTGCGGCCGCGATCTCAAAACTCAAGTCTTCCAAGACTCCCCAGGACTTGGACTGGATTGAGCCGGAGCTTTTGCAAGCATATGAGAGTATGAGTGGTCCGGGCGAAACTGCACAGGTGCACCCTTATCAATTTACCACGTCGATTGCGAAGCTTGCTCAAGAGAAGGGGGTGAATATTGTTCTTGGACAAGTCACGGACATTGCCCGCACAAAGGATTCTGTTGAATCCGTGACGTACACTGATAAATCGTCTGGGGAGCCACAAACCATCGCGGCTACAGATGTGCTTGTTGCTGCTGGCCCTTGGACGAAGACGATTCTTCCGGAAGTCCCGATCTCAGCAATGCGGGCCCACAGTGTTGTCATCCAGCCCAAGGAGCCTGTCAGTGCATACTGCCTATTCACGGAGATTGAGATCCCAGCAAACTTCAACCCAGAGAAGAAATCACGACCCACTGTGGCTGCTCCGGAGATTTACGCCCGCCCAGATGCCACGGTTTATGCATGTGGTGACGGTGACAGGACAGTCCCATTGCCCAAGACTTCTGCGGATGTCGAGGTTGATCAGCAGCGTTGCCAGGATATCATCGACCAGGTCGGAAGCATCTCTGATGAGCTGCGTGATGGCGAGGTTCGTGCTCGTCAGGCTTGTTATCTTCCAAACTGTGATTCTGGCGGTGGCCCACTTGTTGGTTTAACTGGTGTCAAGGGCCTCTACCTTGCAGCTGGACACACCTGCTGGGGCATCCAAAATGCTCCTGGTACAGGCAAGCTCATGAGCGAGTTCGTCTTTGATGGTAAGGCGAAGAGTGCGAAGATTGGATCGTTGGACCCTCGGGACTTTATGTGAATAGCATCCGATACCACTGTATATAAATGTAAGGCATACAAATTGAATGCTTCGGTCCCAAATATGAGCGGATGAAAGCTCACTATTACTTCACATTCTTTTTCACTTCAAGTTTCCAACCTCAATTCCTCACTTCGAGCTTTCCCACAGCCTTATTTCTCCGTTCCTTCACTTTCCCTCTCCCTTGCACCTCCCTATCATAGTACACACATCAGCGATGGCGCTTACCTGGTATAAGTATTGATTCTATCATTCAAACCATCCTTGACATCCCATCTTCTCAAAACACCACTCGCCTCATTTGCATCCCCCTATCTTTACTCTTCATACAAACCATCACTTCACTTGCTCCCTACTCTTTACCAAAAGGCAGCAACATGCGCCATCCTGGGGATCGTCCAGGTAGCAACTCTCGCGATACAGGCCTATGTCCCATGTGCCTGAGATACATCGATATATGTGGCTAAACGCTGAACACATATAGTTCATTCCCCAACCACTGTATCCGGATCGTCCGAAAGCGTTCCCGCGAACCAACGTTCCTTTCCGATGGGATGGAAGAAACCGACTTAAGGAGGCTACTAGCTCAGCCGGTTCAGTACATGCTTGACATTAAGCTGAAGTACGGCTGGATATCAACCTACAGCAATACCGTTTTCTGACGCCAGATCACGGTGGGAGACTTCTGGGTAATTGAGTACTCTCCGGTCATAGATGCTACCACCCACTACACCCAATCGAACACCCCCAAAAAACCTTTACCAGAACTATGCTGACCTTGTTCGTCAAACAGTTGTTCTCCGTTGTTTTCAACCGACAACAAGTACCCGCTTTTTCAAACCTTTTTTTTATGTGAGTTCATCCATTCATTCATGCACCTCAACCCATCCATCCCATCTTACCTCATCCCATCCTACCTTGCCCTAACCTACCTCATCCAATCCACTTCATACTTGATCTTTTTGATTATTTATCGTTAAAGCATTTGGCTGACTTCTATTTGCAGCTTGTTCGTATTTCCCCAACGACAAGATGACCAACAGTGACTTCTCTTTCTCTCGTGAGTATCCAACCAAACCGATCTTGTCATTCGGAAGCTAAGCATTTATCCAGGACTCCCGATGGAGGATACCGACCCCATCACCGTCGAAAGCCAGGGACCCCCGCAAGGGACTTCCCCCCTGGAGGGCCCCGTCACAGCCCAATCTCCCGTCGGACTGGATTCGTTCCGCGACCTAAACATCGACCCTCTGCGAGGCTTAAAAGATCATGCTAGCAGCATTTAATCATTGCGCAGCACTATTTCATCTGGCCACGGGTATAGCGGAACACGCTACATTCCGACTAGCAGAAGAAACATTGTCGGCTGAGCACTCGACGAGATCTTCAGCCTGATCACGGCTGTCATGAACGGCCTACGACCAGTCGCATCCAATTCGAATGTGTGGAAACGACGGTCTATGAACTCCGGGGAGTGGGCTCCCTTTCTGACAGGCGATCCTCAAAGCCCACATGCGTCTCGGAACGATTGAAAAGGATTACCATGCCAAAGCCAAGAGTGTACCCATTAGGGTCGGCAGACAAGAAACTGGTGGACGAGACGTTCGACGCTCTTCATGAAGAAGGCAAGATGTCTTGGGCTACTAACCACACTCCGACCGGATATCCGGTGTTCGTCGTTTACCGCAAAGCTCGTGTCCAATGCATCCAGGATTCAGATACCGGCCGCAAGTGCCAGCTGTGTTGGGCCAATGATCCGATCTGTACCATGGTGAATATTTTTGATCCATCCAGTCTGATACAACGTGGAAATCGCAAACTGACTGTTTTTACAGATCCCAAGTTTGAAGAGGTCAAAGGGAGAATGATCAACAGAGTTATTGGGAGCTCGTGAGAGCAAGGGCCCTCCTAAGTTTCACAAGAGACCGGGGTGCTACGCTTTCGCGTGCAGGTGCACGAAGTCTTCGCAACATAAAATCGAGACTTGTTCATGTACCTCATATCAGAACCGATGCCACTCCGATGGTCCAATCCCAAAGATTGAGCCCAACGATTTTATGGTCAACTCGGTGGCTGTGCACGATCGCGATCCTGATCCTGTATCTGACTTTCGGTCCAATGAACGGCCACAACATCTGGCATGGAATGAGAGACCAATGTGACATTTGCAATTTGGCGGAAGACTATAACGAGCAGTGGATCCCAGAGATTGTCAGACGTCGTTTCTCTACACATAGCCAACGAACAATTGGCCATTGGCGATGAAAACGGTCTACAAGGCCGGTTAGAAGCTTTCAATTGCTCGACATTCCTAGATCTATGGGCAAACGGAGATTGCAAACTAATTAATTGTACAACGTCTAATAGATCAATCATCTGAGACATGATAACGTCCACTTCCCCGAATTATGATGTATTAAGTAGATAGTTACGCTAATATCCTCCATGCATTTCAGACATGGGAGGCATGGGATCCGAGTCCGCAACTACATCAACAGCAAAGCTAGCTTGAATGAAATCCTCGAGCTCCTCGCTGACTGTTTTGAGCTTTTCCTTCACACTAGCCACACCCTCCTGCCCAACAATATGGCGAGAAGGGGGATTTTCATGCCCACCTATCGACGTGATGGCATAGACTGTTTCCTCCACCAGCACCTCAAGATGCGCGGAGCTCAAGGGTGGATGCATGGAGACGACCTCGGGCGCAGAGAACGGGCCATTCTCGATGGAGCTGACTCGACTATTTTCATCATGCGCTCGACTGGGTGTGGCTGGACTACCAGATGCAGCAGCGTCGGGAAGTTGTGGGACTAGATGGTTGAGGATCCCGCGGAAGAGGGGAGCTTGATTGTTGGCGGGTGAGTAGGCGGGGAAGATTGGAGGGACGCTGGTGACCAGGTTTGTAAGAATGCCAATCTCGATGCTGCATTGCAGGATTGTGAGCTTGATGTTGAATGGGGCTATTTCATATGCCAGGCTCTATATATGTGGTCAGCGTGTCATTGGGCTTTATCTCGATTTCCAAGGACTGACATCACAGAACCCTTCGAGGGCCCAACCTGCTGCGCAATACATCCCTAGTCCAGGCGTGCCGATATGCGCCGCTATCATTGTCAGACGGAGTTTGGAAGATAGGTGGAGCAGATCTTACTGATTCCTGATATGATCATCACATGGCCTGATCGCTCTCTCCGCATGTGTGGAAGTGCGGCCTTGATGATATTCAGAGGACCAAAATAGTTCACCTCGAATTGGTCGCGCACAAGATTTTGGGTCTGGGTGGAAGCTGCAAGTTCTTCCACTGTGCCGATAAGAGCTTGATTCGAGGTCAGCAGCCTTCGGGACAACGCTATAGATTGAAACGTACTCTGACTTGTGCAGCAAAGAAGTATATCGACCTTTCCAAACGTTGCGACTGCATCTGCCACCACTGCTTGGCATTCACCCATCATTCTGGAGACAAGGAGCAGTTAGTAAGTGAGAATAGTTCAATGATCCGTCGAGACGTACCGGATATCGAGTGGGACGGTTTTGATGCGCTGCGCCCACCCATCAGCGTGATGTTGCGCAACTTCTGCTAGGAAAGCATCGAATTCCTCGCGACGACGCTCATCTCGTTCCAGAGCTGTGTGTGCCAGTCCAAGAAAGGCATAATCTCCATGCGCGAGGACCTGCCGCGCAACTGAGAGACCGATCGGCGAATCTCCCGCGGTGATCAACCATACTCGGGGCTCATAATGCGACGGAAATTGCGCGCGAGCATCAGTAGAGGGGTTGTCCATAGGAGTCAATCCAACGCGACATCGCGTACCGAATTGAGAAGAGGAAGTCGAGTCTCCCCGCGGATAAGTGCGGAGAATGCCAAGACTCCAATCTCATTGCGAGCTAAGGCGTCTTTGCAACCCGCTGGCCTCTTCTTTCTTCTTCTTTTTCTCATTCACGTCCAAGATGTCGGAATCGAGAGCTCGCAGACAAGAGGAATCCAACGTGAGTCAAATTCATGCGCTTTATACTTCTGCATATTCCAATGTGCATGCTGACCCCTCTTAGTCCGGATTCAAGGGTGCCCTCCAGGGCCTTGGAATCTTCCTTTTGGTCCAATTCGGTATCAACCAGTATATGGGCAAGAATAGTGCCTCTACTCCCGTTGAAAATGCAGGTGGTATCCCCGCCTTTGCCGATCGCCCCCATCCCAGCGAATACACCGAGCAGAGCGCCCTCCCGGATCTCATCGCCCCAATCTGGCCCGCCGACAGCGCTGTTGATCTGAGCATCTATGTGACTCCCTCGATCGTTGTTCCCAAGTTCACTTCCTCCGATAGCATTCTTGTGCTGCAGGAGAAGAACTTCACCATTGGAAACTATAGCGACACCCGCGAAATCGACACCACCACCCCAACTTCACCGTGTCCCTGATCCCAGACTCTGGAACCACGAAGTTGGGCCAGCTGAACCCCGCAGCCCGCCAGTATGTCCAGCTGGAGCGCACTGGTGCTCGCGACAGCACCGGAAACCACGGATGGTACTACCCGATCGCTTTTGTCAACACTTTCTGGCAATTGAAGACCCATATGACCGAGCTTAACTCCACCGTCAAGACTGTGCCCATGCACATCACTATCAACAACATGGCAAATTGGAAGTTCAGCATTATCAGCAGCGTTGACGAGGGCTCCAAGCAAAGCTCTCGCCAAGCTGCCTATGGTGGTTCTGCTCCTGGTGGCGGTGATGGAACCGAGTGGGAGATGGTCAAGGAGATTCTCCTGGATACTAACATCTGGCTCCTCGGCACCACTGGTATTGTTACCATTCTGCACATGCTGTTTGAGACCTTGGCTTTCAAGAATGATATTGTAGGTTATCTATCACTGTTTTGGGGTCCGAACTTACTAACATTGATACTTGCTAGGCCCACTGGCGCAAGAAGAAGGATGTCGTTGGTACTTCCGTCCGCACTATCTTGGCAAACGTCTTTATGCAAGCCGTCATTTTCCTCTACCTTGTGGACAACAGCGACAACACCTCTTGGATGATTCTAGCTAGCCAAGGATTTGGTATCCTGCTCGAATTCTGGAAGATCACCAAGACCGTTGACGTCCGCCTGCGCCCACCTCCCGCTAGCTCCTTGTTCTCCTTCCTGCCGTATGTTATTGTCTTTGAGGACAAGCACAAGCTCAGCGAGACCGAAGAGAAGACCAAGGAATACGATGAGATTGCCTTCCGCTATCTTTACATTCTGGCCGTGCCTCTCCTGCTCGCATACGCCGCCTACAGCTTGGTCTACAACACCCACAAGTCTTGGTACTCATACATCATTGAGACTCTTGTAGGCAGTGTTTACGCCTACGGCTTCCTGATGATGGTGCCCAGTCTCTACATCAACTACCGCTTGAAGTCTGTCGCGCACATGCCCGGCAAGGCCTTGACCTACAAGTTCCTGAACACCTTCATCGATGACCTCTTCGCTTTCACCGTCAAGATGCCTTGGCTTCACCGCCTTGCCACTCTCCGTGACGACGTCATCTTCTTCGTCTGGCTCTACCAAGGCTGGAAGTACAAGGTTGATTACAAGCGTGTCAACGAGTTTGGACAGGGTGGCGACAGCGACGAGGAAGAGGAGGCTACTCCTGTCATTGAAGACAAGAAGGAGGAGGTGGCTGCCAAGTCATCCTCCAAGGCTACTCCCAAGTCGGATACCCGCAAGAGAAAGTAGACTTTCAGACGCAGGCTTTGGCCATCAATGCGTTGACCTGCCCTCTGTTGGCAGTAAATTTATAGTGTTTTGGCAGTATTGCATTAAGCTCTAAATCTATTTGAATGCCGAAAACGTTCATCTAATCACAGTCATACTGGAGTTTTGAGCTCCACTCCCATGTAGATTTAATCGAGCATATAATTCAGTATCTAATGCACTTTGGAAATAATCCAGTAATAGTCACATATTCCGTACAATCCTGAAGAGTTGACGAAGTAGAATGTTGTTGATAGCCCGATTAGGTTTAGTGCCATTTTCGCGCGCCCACGTTGGTTCTTCTATGCTGTCGGCCGTGATAGTTTCGCAAGTTCGTTGCTTTCTTACTTGCTTTCTTCGGTCGTATTCAATGAGATCGAAATCAATACGCCTGCAATATTGAATGCGAAACTAGGAAGTACATGAATGCTTGGGTACGCGTGAGACTACGAGCCAATACCATCATCGCCCCAAACGGTTCAATCGCGGGTTTCGAATTTGATTCTGCTACAATGGATATTGAGACGGGTAAGTCTATCTCATCAGATCAATTGAATACGAGCTGACAATACTATAGATGGCGGAGCCAAGAGCAGCCTGCTTGAAGCAGTAAAACACTTGGAAACCGGTATGTTTAAATCCTCTGATGACAGGACAATATCTTACCTGAGATAGTTGCATTCGTCCCACCAAAGCAGAGATACACAGATGCTGGTGATTTGGCCAAAACCATCGCATCAGACGCGTATGAAAATGGCATTCCGCCAGCGGTGCTTACCCGCCTCCTGAAGATTTTGACTACGAAAAACAATCTGGACCAGGGCACTGTCACGACTCTGATCAACAACCTGTACCCACAGGAGCGAATTTTATCCAAAAATGTCACTTCAGTGGTCTGCTGCCTGGGCCCTAGCAAGAACAAGCCCACTCCTGCGACGCAAGCTCTATTATTGCGCTGGCTGATTCTTTCATACGATATGCTCAGAGAAAGGGCGCATCTTGCGAAGCTTTACGCGGTGCTTTTCAATCACCTGGACATGATCAGCTTGCGCAAACCATTGTGTCATCTTCTCTCGCTCATCACGAGGCGCAAGCATGTTAAGCCCTTCCGGATCCAGGCTTTGATGGAGCTGATTCAGATTTCTGGTGGGGATGAAAAGGAGCTCATTACTTTACTGAAGATGTTCAAGAATTATTATCCCGAGATTATCCTTGGGGAGCTCGGAAGAGGGAGAAATGCTCTTTTCTTCAAGCATCCTGATCCAGAGTGGTCGGGTCATGCGAAACTCCTGCAAGATCAAAGCATAGAAAGAGCAAAAGCAATTTCGGCATCCACCTTTCAGGTTGTTCATCGAGGAGCCGTCAAAAGAACCAGGATTGAAGTGGTCATTCCCCCTCTACAGACTTCGCGGGTATCAGACAGGCATACATCACTGGAAGAACTTCGTGATGTCGGCCATCTAGTTGAAAGGCTCGACAAAATCGAATTACCAAATCAGATTATCTCAACCCTGGGCGATGCAATGGCACAGAAGTATCTTCACCTGGTTCACTCTGAGCTTGCAGACCATCGCTTGGACGAGTGGCTGAGGAGTTTCCTGGAGGATAAGTTGGAGATTTTACGAGAGGATGAAGACGACGAGCCTGAGACATTGGCAATTTTCCTTGATTTCGTCGTGGGATACGTATCGTACATTAAGGTGAGTGATGGAGTCTCCAATTTGGCCAAACACATACTGAACAGAATAGGATTTACCAAACGCGATTCGTTCGTTCCTGAAGTCATATATTCAAATATGGAATGGCAAAGACAACCGCGAGAATATCTTCCGACTTTTACAATACATTCCAATCGAGCCGCTTGACTCTTTACGGACTGAATTGTTCTCACCATTGGAGTCGGCAGTGTTGGACGAAAGCCTTAGTTCCAGAACCGCGTTACTGGATTTCTACTCGGGATTGATCAGTCAATGGGGCGTGAAACTTCGCTCACAGCCAGTCACGCCCGAGGAATCCCTTCCTCTGAGCCAGATCATCTTACACGCTGAGCTTTTGGCGTCCTCCATACTTGAACACCCCGCAGAAGAAGATCCGCAATTATCCAAACCAGGCTCAATATCGGTGCTTGATTTCTACAAAATCCTCTCAGACCTCTTTTCCCATGCGCCCCAAGATGCTCGATTCCGACTTACCCTCCCCAACGCCCAAACAGTCTACACCCTGGCATTCATACCAAACGCGGCTGTTATTTCACCTCTCAATTCGATTTTGGCGGTGTATAAATCCGCGTTCGAGGCCTCTTTGAGTTCACAGGCATTACAAGCACAAAACTCTCCCGCCTACGGGACAGATCTTGTTGGTCGATTCAACGGGTATGTTATGGATATGTGCAACGTGTTGTGGAGAAATCGCGCACTTAACACAGAAGATCCAAATGCGCTGGGATGTCTTGTTCCAGAGCCGACGGTGGCGGCTCTGACAACTTACATCAAAGACTTGTCAGAGGCAGCCAGACACTACGACCGCGAAAGTGCCTTTAATTTCACTGTCGCTTCGGTTTTCTCTCTTAGCCACCATGCTGCCTTCTGCAATCTCTCTGCCGCATGCTTTGCCGAGCTTGAAGAAGACCAGCAGATTGGAGATGACCGTCCAAGGCTGAAGAAGCCGGTGACTCAGAAAGTGCTGCTCGCCCTCGAGAAGGATGGTGGAGCCAAGACTACTTGGCAAGAGTACCGCGTCCACATGCTAGATTGGTTAGATGGGATAGGCTGTCGGGGTACGGGCATTTTGATGAGGAGCACGATGAAGGCTCTTCGTAAAGAGTGATACTCTTCATACCATTTAATATAATCCACAACTCCATTGAATGCTTGGTATCTATCGCTATACACATGTTGTATTGTACAATGCCCTTTGGGACTCTGGGACAGCCGTGTGCGCCTCTGACAACATACCGAAGGTTCGACATCAGAACTGTTCAGTCGAGTTCAGGTATATGTCTTGCACACTGGGCTCTTCCCGTAGAGCAGTCAGAAGATCTTCCAATGCCTTGGTATGTTCTTCGTCTTGCACCTCAACCAAGGAATCTGTATTTGGATCCCAAATCATTTCCAATTCTTCGATCACAAGACCAGAAAGTTTAGCGAACGTCTCTCCAACAGTCTTTGTCTCCGAGGGATCGGTCAAAAGCACAAGACGGCCTTTATCATCGGTAGTAATGTCCGCTGCACCAGCTTCAATCGCCTGATCCAGGAAGTCATCTGGATCCGTCTCGTCCTTCTTCTCCATTACCACTTTCCCTTTCCGCTCGAAGAGGAAGGTAGTCGGGGTGACGATTCCACCATTATCCTTGATGAGATAGCGCACGTCTTGTAGCACGCGCCCCTTCTGATCTGTCTGACACTCCACCACTGCGGCTACATTGCCCGGCAGCATAGCTTCGATGGTCAGGGATTCCAGTGCCTGACCTGAGACACTGAGGCCTTGTCCTCGTGCAATTGCGGCATCGATGACGATCTTAGGAATGGAGGCTCGTTTTGCGTTTGAGAGGGCTAGGGCTAGACGGGGGTTGTATTTTGTATCGGCACCCCACACTGAAGGATGTTAATGCTTGATATTTGTGCGCATTCAATGAAGATACACACTCTGTGTAGCACTGGCAATCTCTTTGCCCATCATTGCCCGTTCTTTGCTTTTGGCCTTATCATTGCGGGCCTTGTCGTGCTTGATTGAGGACCATTTGTTGTGCCCAGAGCCATTGAATCCAGTGCAACTGAAGGGCCGAACACTGGGTATTGTGCAATTCCATTGGCGACGAGGCACCAGCCTGCCGAGTCTGAGAGCCATGATGTTGCGCAACAAGAAAGTGTTGGTGATGTACATTTCCCCGCGGATAAATTGCGGGCCGATATGGCCACCAGATAAGGCGATGGGGGTGAAGCTACTCCGTACTCCGTACTCCATACTCCAGACACATCTTACCTTCTTTTTCTCTGCTGGTCTAATGGGGCTAGACTCGCCTTGAATCTACACCTCATGTCTTCCGAAGCGGCACCTCCTCCGCAAAATGTATACGAACTGGACATCCCCAAGTTGCATGCGCTCCCCTCTGAACAACAGGAGCTGTACATGCTCACATTCACCTCCGATCTAGTACAGTACATATCAGGATTGGAATCAGCACAGGTGTCATCGCAGCAGAAGGATCTCAAAAAGGAATTGTTCAAAATCCTAAACCTCCCCTCACCGACGATTACTCGAGTCCTCCGCAACAACCTCGGACGATGCTTTGGCGCAATACTCAGCAAAGGAGATCGTGGGATTCTCTTCGAAACAATCACCGACCTCCTTGCGATCTTGAATGCCGGCAAGAGCGAAGCTGAAATCAAGGCCAAATTCGCCGCGGCGCATTGCCTCGGGGAGGTCTTTGCGACAGCTGGCGAGAGCGCGTTCATGCAATCGAATATCGCCACCTCAACAACACTCAAGCTCCTGAAATCAGCAAGCAACCACACTGGATTCCGTGGTGTAATCTTCGCAGTGCTGCGCAAGATCGTCATCGGAATCGGGGTCCCAATCGACGAGGCAACTGCTCGTGACATCTGGAAGCAGGCCCGCAGTGCGGCCACGAGTGACAAATCTACTTTCGTCCAGGTCAATGCCTGTCGCTGCCTGGAGCAGTTGATTGCGACAACCCCGTTCTTCGATAATACAAATGACTTTGAATATCTCAAAACATTGGTGTGGAAGGTTATCGACAGCCCCGCTGCGCCGGTGCGACATGCTGCAGCTGCGGTCCTGGGTCGAGCATTGGTCAAATTGCATGCTACAGATGCGCATATTACTGCCGCCCCGAAGCCGAAGTCGAAGAAGACGAAACGCATGTCGAAGAAACCTGGAGCGGGGCTTGCAGATGAGGAGGAGGCAGAAATGTCAGAGTCGCCTGCGCCCAAGAAGGCCGAGTCGCGCCTGTACTTCCTCCTTCCGGATTTGCTGAGGCAATTATCCGCTCAATATCTGAAGAGTACGACCTCAAATCGCGCACGTGCTGGAATTTGTATATGCTACAAGTATGTGCTGCGAAACCTTGGCGACAAGATCGTGGAAGAGCGTTATGGACAAATCGCAAACAATTTGCTGGTCGACCTTCTGAATCACCCGACGATCACCTATAATCGGTTCCGTCTGCTTATGACCCGGAAGTTCGTTAAGAGCATTCTTGAAGATACCATTGGCCAGGAATTGTTGCGCGAGAACAGCCAAATCAATGCTGCTAAGTGGTTGATCAATGACATTCTCAAAGACTATCCCCAGGTTATCCAAGAACGCCGTGAGCCAAGCAAGTACACACTGACGAGTGCGGTCAGCGCTCTTTCATCATTGATTTCATCACTTGGCTCCGCCTTCAGTGCCCTAGCCGACAGCTGCAGAGATGCTTTGCTTCAAGTACTTCCCCACCCAAGCTACACGGTTCAAGTGCATGTGGCGCATTGTCTGCGAAACTTCGTTCTAGCCTCCCCTCACCAACTAATTTCATGTGTCACCATTTGCATGAACAGCCTGAACAGAGAGATTGGCCAGCTTGGAACACCACGCCAGTCACCTCGTCGTTGTGTTGGCTATGCAAACGGACTATCGGCAATGCTTAGCACATCTCGCCTACAGCCATTGTATGGTGCGGTCGATGTGTTTGCCCGTGTTTTCACTCAAGCAACCGATCTCCTTAAGAACAGCAGTACTTCCGAGCTTCGCGTTGCCAGTATTCAAATCCAAGTGGCTTGGATTCTGATTGGAGGCTTGATGCCCCTCGGACCCAGCTTTGTCAAGATCCATCTCTCGCAGCTGATGCTTCTCTGGAAGAACGCACTCCCCAAACACCTTGGAAAAAACAATGCTGCTCAACCGGGCACACTCGAGATCAGTTTCTTGACTCATGTTCGTGAATGTGCCCTCAGCTCGCTGCTTGTATTCATGGAATTCAACAGCAAATTGATCACGTCTGATGGCGCAAAGAGGATTGCTGCTATGTTGCAAAACACCGTTGAATTTTTGGATGATTTGCCCAAGCCTAAGGCCATGGAAGACCTCTCACAGCGACTACACCCTTCCCTTCAACTGCAAGATTACACGACTATGGTACGCCGACGTGTTTTGCAGTGCTTCTCCAAGCTTGTACAGGTGCATCCTCTTAGTCACGGGGATATTATCTCCCAGTCCAGTCTTCTCAGCTTGGCTATCACATCCTTTGCAGACCCTGACGCACAGTACAAGCACCTGGAAAGCTCGATATCTGGTTCTGCTGGGCAATTTGATGGTCTATGGGATCTTTGTGATAACTATGGATTCGGAGTCACCGGACTCTCTCGGGAGTATATTCGTGCTACTCTTTCCGGAACACAGAAAGATGACAGGGGACCTTCTTGGTCGGCCATCGACTCTGTGGACCAAGTCGTTGACGAAGCTCTGACTTTCCCCATCTGCCAAGCCAGCGAACATGACGCACTCCTTTTGTACAACTTGCGAGATGGCGACAAACTCGCCGTTGATCCTCCGACTACCGGAGTTGTCAACTCGGCGATTGATTTGTTCTCCGTGGCCCTCTCGCTTCATTCTCCCAAAATCCAGGAAAGCAGTGTGGAGCAAATTGCAACTTTCCTCACATCGCCTAGTTTGCAAAGAAACCCTGGCAGAAAAGCAGCGTTGGTGATCAACATTTCAGTTGCTCTTTTGCAGACGCTGAAAGTGGCCGTCAAGGAGACGAGCTTCGTTGCTGGCAAGCTGAATCCATCCACTGACAAGATCCTGCAAGAGATTTTGCAGAAATTTGTTATTGATGCTGATCCGATTGTACGCACCATCGGTGTTGAGGCGTTGGGGCGACTCTGCGACAGTGCCGGAAACTCATGCACCAACACCCAGGTCAACTGGCTGGTTGATACTATTGTCGAGAACAGAGAGCCCAACGCCAGAGCTGGATGCGCCGCTGCGTTGGGTTGTATCCATGCCCAAATTGGTGGAATGGCCGCCGGTCTGCACTTGAAAACTATTGTTGGTGTGTTGATGTCTCTATGCAATGATCCGCACCCCGTTGTCCATTTCTGGGCCCTTGGTGGCCTGGAGAGAGTTGCCAATTCAGCTGGTTTGACATTCTCGCCGTTTGTCTCTGGCTCTTTGGGGATGCTTTCCCAGCTATACAACGCTGATACACACAATGAAGAAGCTTCTGCATTGGCAACTTCCAACATTGAGATGTCTTTCCTGACACCTGTTGTGATCAGTCGATGTGTGGACTCTTTGATCAACGTTTTGGGTCCAGATCTGCAGGATATCGCAAAGACCCGAAATCTTGTTTTGACACTGCTCCGCCAGTTCCAGTTGGAGGACAACCCGGCATTGGTGACAGAGAGTTCCAAGTGCCTCGACCATTTCTCACTTTATGCATCCAGCTTTGTGGATTACTCGGGTTACGTGAAACGTCTACAGAGAGAGCTTCGAGCAAACAATTTCTTGATGCGGGATGTTGCTGTTCGGGGCCTTAACAATCTCATGAAGCGCGATGCGCCCTCTGTGATGCAAACCGCAGGCCAGACATTAGAAGATGACATTTGGCTTGCTTTTGATGAAGCGCCAGACAACGTCTCACTCAAGTCAATGATTCAGGACTGGCTGCAGCAGACAGCACTAACAGAGACCGAGGTCTGGATCCAGCGGTGTCAGAACATCATGACCAAGACCCGGCACAAGGTGGAGCCTCCACCCACCACAGCGGTCCAGGCTGCCGCGGCTGATATTCCCGACGACGAAGTCGCTGGATTTGCCGCTGCCGAGGGCCAAGGTGACATTGCAAACGAAAGCGTGTCTGGCCAAGAGCTACTGAAGTGGCAGACCCGCCATTTCGCGATCAGCTGTCTCTCCGAGCTGCTTGCGACTGTGCAAGAGGCGATCCTACCAGACTCTGCCATCCCTGCAGAGCTGGCCCTTCAGAAGAATGTGGGAGATATTGTGAGAATGGCCTTCTCCGCCTCCACTGCCAATGTCATTGAGCTGCGCGTGTGGGGCTTGAAAATTATCGACCAGGTCCTTACTATGTTCGGCAAGACACCCGATCCAGATTTCGCGGAAGCCTCGCTGCTCGAGCAATACCAAGCTCAGATCAGTTCTGCTTTGACTCCTGCTTTTGCGGCTGACTCTTCTGCCGAGCTGGCTTCGGAGGCTATCAATGTGTCTGCTACATTTATTGCGACAGGAATCGTCACCAACGTCGACCGCATGGGGCGAATTCTGAAGCTCCTGGTACTGGGTCTCGAGAATTTCGCCAAGAACCCGGAGACAACGGAAATTGGTGACCTTAAGGGTCTTAATTCCAATGCTCGTGTAATGGTAAAACTCGCATTGTTCTCCGCCTGGGCTCGACTTCAGATTGCCAGCATCGATCATGAGTATTTGACACAGGTGGTTCAGCCCTACATTGCAAGACTCACGCCTTTGTGGCTGTCATCTCTGCAAGAATATGCGCGCTTGCGATTTGAGCCGGATATCTCTGGTAGCTTGGGGACAAGCTCCAGTGGTGATTTGGACGAGGTGTATGCTGCGTTGAACCGTGAGACTTTGCTCAAGGTAGGTCATTTTAACAACGCAGGAATATTGATTCAAGCTAACATGATACCTAGTTCTACCAAGACACATGGCTGTATTTGGTCGATGCAATTGCTGGTCTTGTTGAGAAGGACATCGACTTCGTTTTCGATGCTCTGGATGGCAAGCTGCAATTGCCCGAGACCAGCGAGGAAGGCGAGGAGAACAAGGAATCCAAGGATACCCCTAAGATCGCGGAGCCCGAAGGCAAGGGACATGACATCAATTACCGTGAAGAGCCCGTGGCATTCTTCTTCGTGCTGTTTGGACTGGCATTTGAATCTTTGGTGGACCAGGGAACTTCGGCATCACAGCGACTGGAGATTCTTCAGGCCTTGAAAAGGATCTTGAGACCAGTGATCTCCGGAAATGCCATTTACCAAGATGCAATCTTCACCGAGACCATGGATTCCTTCGATCGACTCGTCTTGACAGAGGCTACTCCTATTCAGACCGTCATCGTCGAAATCGCTCAAAATCTCTCGTTGGATCATCCAGCAGCGAAGGGTGATCAGGAACGCAGTGATCACTTGTCGGACGATATTGAGCAGCTCTTTGAGCTGACAAGAAGCATCATCCTTGTCCTCGCCGGAATGCTTCCCAACCTCCGCGAGTCGACGCCTCTGGCACGGTTCAACATCACCTCTGAGGAGTCCTTGACCCTGATTCGTCTGGCGCTTCGGTCCTTGGTCGACGTTGCATCGGTGTTCCCATCGATCATTCGCAATGATCTTCATGCTTGCATCCTCCACATCTTCACAACGATCCTCGCCACAGGACTTTGCCAAGCAGGGGTTGTTCCTCAAGCCCTCCCCATTTTCCGACAATTCATCCACGGCATCACCCACACGACGGAATCACCCGATGACCTTGCCGTTGTATCATTCCAACTGCGTGGGTGTCTCACGCGCTTCCTCACCATTCTCACCATCGCCCAGCGACGGGAGTCCGATATCTCCGTCCCCTGTGCCAAGAACACGCTACTCGCCATCACCTTCCTTCTCACTGCCGGCGGACATGTCATCCCCCCTCAGGACCCCATCCTCATTCGAGTCCTGAACGAACTCCTGGACTGCCTGCAGGATGTCGGCCTCGCCACAGTAGCAGCCAGTTGCCTCCGCTCCATCCTCGTCAAGCCAGGTCCCCGCTCCCCAACCGACGAAGTCATCAGCCGATACCTCACCCCGCGTCTGATCGCTTTCTTCGTCGCCTGTCCTCTGGACAACGGCGATCTCCCCAGCGACCCAGAAAACTCCCGCTCAGTGGTTGCCCGCACACTCGTCTCAACCATCACCAACGGAACATTCGCAACCACCGAGCTCCCTGCCGCCATCTCCCTCGTCATGTCTGCTTTGTTAGCCCGCGCCAAGCGGGAAGGCCAGTCCGTGCACCAGGAGTCTGCAGGCCATCTCCTTGAACTTGCCAAAACCGATCAACTCACGTTCCGGACTTTGGTGTCTACGATGAACGCAGAGCAGAAGTCGCTTTTGGAGGAGGTTTTGCGTAGTGCTGGTGCTGGTGCTGTTGCTTCGAAGACTGAAGCTGCGGATAATACCCCTCAGGCTGCGCCGAGTATTGCGTTGCGCATGGATTTCTGAGCTGTTCAAGATATACGATATAGACTATGATACAAATATGAATGCAATCAGTTTCTTTCAATGTCTACGGGTAGTCTTTGGAGAGGATGCATGTATCCAGGTTAAGCATAATTTCGTGACTTAGGGACCAGGGTGCAGCTGAGGGCCTCGCGCCACCTTTTTTCCTCTTTGTGATTCTTAGCTTACATTTGTAATATACTTAAGTAGTTCAATTGGAAAATACTTAAATCCATTTAAACAGTGCTGATCCCTTTCCCCACTTTCCTTACTTTAGAACTCAACTTATTCGAAGCTAACATTCAGTCTATGATTCTGTCATTAGTCCGATCTGGCCTTTTGATTCTATCACTTTTTGCTGTCACTATTATTCTTCTGCACTCCGGTTTTCCTTGTCGTCTCAGAGTCTCTTCAGGTACTTGCCACCGCGAGGCAACATTTTCTCACCCATCTCAGAACAGAATGGCAGCAAAGACCGCTTTCATTGTAGGTGCTAAGCAAGGTATCGGCCTCGAGTTGGGGAAGAAGTTTAAAGATCGTGGATATGAGGTCTATGGCACCATTCGTTCTTTCGCCAAGGACGAAGGTCAGCTCGGCCCAGTGAGTTCGGGAATATGTTTTGAAGTTATGTTAGACTTCTGGATACGCAGGGCTAATATCTCGAAAGCTGAATGAGATTGCGACCAAGGTTTTTGAAATCGATGTCGAGGATGAGGAAATGATAGAGGCAGCAGCGAAAGCCTGGGGTGATAAACCACTGGATATTCTCGTGAACTCTGCCGGCAAGTCTCGTCTTCTTTTGGCAGATAACGCCCGTGCCGATTATTCAAGGTCTTGGTCCAAAGCCTTTTGACTGGAAGGATCATACGGCCGAGGATTTGCAGGACAAATTTCGAGTCAACGTCGTGGTATGCCTAAGCCCTGATCTATTGAAAAGTCTTCCATCTGACGAACGCGAAGGGTCCATTTTTAACCATAAAGCACTTCTACCCTGCACTAGAACGGAGTAAACAAGGGAAGGTTATCAACATCTCTTCGAACATGGCATCCATGTCCTCCCTTGTTGGTATGTTTGGAGCTTACCCTGTTTGCAAACTTGACTAACAGTGGTCTAGAAAACCGTCGGGGAAGGTCACTTGGCTATCGGCTGTCCAAGACGGCTATCAATCAGCTTACTATTTCTCTTGGGAGAGAGTTCCGCTCTCATGACAGCAATATCACTGTGAATTCGATCCACCCTGGCTGGATACCCACCGCCGTGTCCAGCTTTACGGGGCCCGATAACATGGATGTGCAGACTGGATTGATGATCGATACAATTGAGAATATGGGACCTGAAGACACAGGGAAATTTGTGAATGCGAAGGGGGAGGATATGCCATGGTAAATGAGAGACAAAGTCGATTGCTACATTCAAGGTTGATCTCCATTCCCTGGTAGGATGTGAGTCATAGCCAGAGAACAATACCAGTCCATGAGGCTCCTGCGGACTCAACGAGTACCAGACCTGATTCGATGAATGCTTGCAAGAACTCTCCCACAAAGTCAGGCATTACTGGTTACACATAGTGTGACGAGTTCTAAAGTTTCGTACTGTGCAGCTGGACTTTTACAGTACGCATAGCGAGAGCTGAAATTCAGCATCCCTTTGGCTACCACCTTAGAAATTGCACCACTTGAAAAGCAATACAGCTCATAATCCTAGGTCTTTGGTTGAGATTACGAGCAGAATGGAGCTGAAACTTGAGGCGTCACTCAATTTATAGTTATAGTTAGTTTCCCCACAACGGTTACCCGTGAACTAATTTGTATCCGACGCGTACGGTAAGATTCATCGGATTGTCACTTGTCATTCTCCAAGGGTAGACACAATGGCCCAACAATACGGCCTTAACAAGTAAGATATACCCCCAATTTGTAAGCGCCAGCGTTCTGCCCCTCGCCGATTGAAAAAGCTACAAGATGACAACAGTCACTTCTTCGCCAAAAAGATATTTCCCGAAGACCCCTATCAAGGTTTCAGTTCAAAGCAGATTTCTTTCCTCATCAAACGCGCCTCGAACATGGTCTTCAAAACGAGCAGAATGCATCCGTCGTTGATGGACATGACTCTGGACGATTTACATCACGGCTTAGAAGGTGACTTCTTTACATCGACCGATCTCGTTCAGGCATATCTCAAGCGCATCGAGGAAGTCAACGATACCGTGAGAGCGATAACTGAGCTAGATTCAACAGCCCTGGATCAAGCAAAGGCTCTTGATGCTGAGCGAGCGGCTGGTAACATCAGGGGGTCAAAAGCCATTTCCTCAACTGATCGTCTGAACGCAAGCTGAACTGATTTATCCCTAGACCCTTGCATGGGATACCTATCCTCCTGAAGAATCAAATTGCGACGCATAATATGAATAATACTTCTGGATCTATGGCTCTTGTTGGCGCCAAAACTGGTCGAGATGCCGCGGTGGTCAAGAAGCTGAGGGATGCCGGTGTTATTACTTTGGGCATCGCGAATCTCACCCAATGGGGCAACAACAGAAATCCACCACATGCCGGTAACGGCTGGAGCGCGGATGGTGGTCAATCGGTGGGCATCTTCTTCAAAAATCAGGACCCCTGGGGAAGCAGCACTGGCGCTGCCATAGGCACAGCTCTGGGTCTTGCATTTGCTAGACTGGGCACCGAGGTAGAAGGCAGCATCACATGTGTGGCTGAGAGAAGTAATTTGATTGGCCTCAAACCTACTGTCAGCCTTGTATCAAGAGACCTGGTGATACTTTCAAGACGACTGGGGTCCATAGGCCCTATCACGAGATGTGTCAAGGATGCAGCTGCGATTCTAACTGCCATCGCTGGGAAGTGTCCTAATGATCCTGCAACGGCTGCAATTCCCTTCGAGACAATCCCGGAATACACTAAATGTTGCACACTCGACGGACTACGAGGGGCCAGAATTGGGGTTCCCAGAAACGCACTGAAGGGAAATTCTCCTTGTGCAGAGCTCACTCCCGCTGTGTCACAGGCTTTCGAGGCCCATGTTGAACTACTTCGGGAACTCGGGGCAACTGTCGTAAGCGACTGCCGTTTTGAAGGGTACGACGAAGCCCTGACCAGCAAGTCTGTCGCGGTTGTGAAAGGCACCGACTTTAAGCTTGATTTAGCAGGCTATTTGGAGAAGCTGGAGTACAACCCCAATAATATCAGAAATCTTGAGGATGTGATTCGCTGGACTCAAACCGACCCTCGAGAAGAATACCCTTCTCGAGGGACTCAGGCCATGGAAAACGCCTTGGATGGCCTTGATAACAGGGAATGCGAAGATTTCAAGGCAGCGTTAGAATACATGGAATGGCTGGCCCATGAAGGTGGAGTACGGGGGGCCCTTCAAAAGGACAACTTGGATGCTCTCATCCTACCAACTTGTGTGTCACCGATTATCCCAGCTCTTGGTGGATACCCCATCATTACGGTACCTCTGGGATTTTACCCAAAGGACACCGAAATCAAAATGTGCCCCCGTGGAGACATGATAGAGCGAGGTCCAAACTTACCGTGAGTCGGAGTTTCCAACTGTAATGCTCCCTGGTGTGTCGTTTTGCTAACTCTCTTTTTAGTTTCGGACTTAGCTTCATTGGAGACCTATTCTCGGAAGACAAACTCATCAAGTACGCCTATGCATTTGAGCAGCATACTCAAATTAGAAAACAAGGCAGACCTATTCTCGCACCGAAAACTGAACTTTCTTGGGTATCTCATTCGTCGTCCTGTTTGTTGATTTAACTTTTCGCTATACATGTTTGCTTTGACTATAAAGGAAAGATAGATCTTAATGTAAGATCAATGTTTGTCTTCAATAAAGAGAAGGTTGTGATTCAATGAATGTAAATAGATGTGGCAAAATGTCTATACCGTCAACTGGCGAGAGCTTATCTTATCCTTATCTCTTTATCTTATCCTTATCCATATCAGGTGACACAATTCAACCCGGTGGTTTGTTCCTTTTGATTTCCTTTTGAGTTCATTTAGTTTCATTTTTATTTCTAGTTGATTAGAAGAGACACTCCTTGCGACATAACCTCGGCTACACTCGAGGAAATGCCACCAGATCGGGGTCGAGCCTCCCGCGCATGCACCTCATGTCGCAAACAAAAGACAAGATGCTACGAACCCGGCATCCCAGGACGAGCATGTCTCCGCTGTGATCGACTACGACAAAGCTGCTCACTCATGCGAATCGACATTTCAGACGAAGAATCCGTGGCCCCCGCACAAACGGGCACGGATGTACGGTACGGATGGCCTCTGCGAAAGCGCATCCTAATCGCTAACCATCCCATAGTTTGGAACGTCTGGAGAAAAGTGTAGCTACTCTTCTCGATCGACTGGGCGAAGGGCCCAGCATTGTTCGAGAAGCTAGTAGAGCTGCTACTGAGCAGGCGAGTCCGGCCTCGTATAAGGATACGGAAACCTCCGCTCCAATGATGGTCATCCGTGATCTGGCATCGGATCACGGCATTAAACCGGCGTCCGATGCTCGGTCACTGCCGGTCGTTTTGGATAACCTTATTTCCCCGGAACTTGGTCTGGAGCTGGTTACAATGTAGGTTTTTCTTTTTTGCGGACATGCATAGTCAATTCTAACGACGATGTTCAGTTTTTTGGAATATTATGGAAGATGGGTGCTCTTCGATCCGGAGTGTGAGCCAACTGAACTTCTCCGCCAAGTCAAGAAATCCACTCTGTTATTTTGCGCCTGCTGTCTGATCGCCGTGCGGCACACTTCCGAAGAATTGGCGGCGAATCTCGCCCCCCAGCTCTGCGAGTATGCGCGCTCGCTGGTGTCGACCACGCTTTTGGTTGCTCCGCAGCCAATTGAGTTTTTTCAAGCCACTTTGATATTGTCAATGTGGTCAACTACCGTCGGGCAGGTGCCGTTGAGTATTGACAGCTGGCTGTTGAGCGGGTTTGCATTACAGCATGCACAATCGAGTCCGTTGTTTACGACGGTTACGACTCAATCACCTCCTCCAAATAGAATTGATGGGGAGATGATGGATCATTGTTATCTGTGGAATCACCTTTGTCTTGCCCATATGCATTATTGCGTCGGCACTAGCCGACGGTCTATGCTACAGCAGTGGCAAATTGAAAGATGTCGGGCGATAATTGCCTCAGACCATGCAATCAACTTTGAAGTACGTATGGTCGCGGAAATCCATTTATACTGGACGGTCTATGAGTATTTGATTCATGAATCGGTCGATCTGCTCAAATCAGTTGCTGCTTTGCAGACTTGGCGGAGGAAGTGGGAATTTGTTCTCGGTATGACTTTGCTATCAAAAATCCATTCTCTACCCTCTAGCTCTCCTGTTCGAATTTGCTGACCCAATTTCAAACAGAGCAACCAAGATCCCAATTCCTCTCGATGGGCTTCCATTTCTCCCATCTGCTCCTTTACGAGCTGTCCCTGAAGTCGAAGTCTGCTCGATCCCGGGAATCCGTTGTCTCTGAAATGATTCGACATTCCACGTCAATCGTGCATCTGGCCATGGAAACAGTCGATGAACGCACACGCCATCTCACTGATCACATTTACCACATGATAACATTTGCTGCTATCGTCATCTGCCGCCTATTGAATGGCTACCGTGAGCAGGTAGCCTCGACTCACGACGTGGACCAATTAGATTCATTGATTCATGACCTTGTGCAATGGCTCTACTGTATCGGCCTACCTTGTCATGCAGCGCATACACTGGGAAACATCATTTCCAAAGTACACCAAAAATTGCGACCTCGCGTGGAGGCCACGCCACCAGCTACCCAGCCTGATGAAACACTCGGCGAATTCAACAATTACTACTTCCCCGAGTTTCTGGGACTAGGAATGTCTTCTGATGGGAATTGGGATCTTCTTTCGAATATGGGACTCTTTCCACCAAGTCCGTCCATTCCGAGGCCTGACTGAGGCTCACTAGCTACTGAAGAACTTGAGAATATTCATCAACAAAACAGTAACAATGACCTATTTTCCACCCACACGCTTCTCGGCCCATCGCAGCAAAGGGAAAGCAACACCGGAAAATGCAAACGTCAACTCGTGGCCTATGTTTGCACCCTTCGCGCCAATCAAGGCTGCAATAGGCCCCGAATACCACGCTGTCTTCATGCCGAGAGCAGCGCCCACAAAGCCAAATGCAAATGCACCAATTGCTGCCCATCCAAATGGCAATCCAGCTATGCTGTTCCATGCATCGAGATCATATCCATCCCATCCACGACGGAAGATAAAATGTTCTTCCATCACTACAGTGATGTGGATCACAGTCCAGTACCCGATCACACTCAACAAAGTTTGCAATGCATCAGCAAAATATTTCGCTGCGCAACAGCCAATAATTATAGCTGCAACGAATCCAAAAGTCACCATGATCACGCGGGGGATTCGCATAGCCCATGGCCCCAGGTTCTGTGCATGCAGAGCAAATGAATAATTATTGGGGATGTTGTTCTTCGCTTGAGTTAGCTCGCAATCACTAACATATCCCAGTTCAGACTCACAGGTATCGAACTCAATGCCGCAAGAACCATAAGGAACTTCCCAAAACCACCCGCTGGCTCAAGTGCCATCTTAAGCAACCCACCAATAGAAGACTCCATATAAGCATCTTTCCAAGCCGTGTTCGTAGCCGTGCCTGTATACAACGCCGCTCCCAGCGTCTGCACAAGAACAGTAGGAACGAAAATTCCAACATAAGTCGCGCTAAAGATATGCCACCGCGGTGTACCTTTGGGCATTCGTACGTTATAATCCGCAGCACAGTTGACCCACGAGACTGAGAACGAGAAAATAGATGCCATGTAGGTGAGCACGGCGGCAGCTTTATCAGAACCCTTTAATCCGATACGGTCTTCCCCAGTTAGCTGCGAGGCGCCCGTCCCAGCAGCAACGCACCAGACAACCAAAGGCGGGATCCAGATGAAGGTATCGAGTCGATGGATCCAGCTAATTCCTAAGACGCAAATTATCCAAACTGCCACGCATATCACGATGACACCCGCCCAGATAGGGAATTTGCCATCTGAGAGTGCGTGGAGAACTGCTGCGCCAGAAATGGAGTTAATGGCATTCCAGCCTGTTGTGGCGATCATGGAGAATATCACAACTAGCATGTTACCCCAGTAGCCGAACGAGTAGCGACTGGTTTCGTGTTAGTAGATTCGTGGAGGAATCTGGGTAATTGGGATCACGTACGAGAATGTGGTCATGCGTAGTCCTGTCAGACCGAATACTGCGGTCCATGCTGGCAGTAGATCGCTTGTTATGTTGACGGCGAGGATGATGATGAAACAATCCCAGAATGAAAGGCCGAGGGAGCCTCCTAGTGAGCCGATGTTGAGGGTGGCTACGGCCATGTTTGCGCTGAACCTATAGATACAGCCTCGTCAGCTGTTACTGCGGTTGAAAATACAGTCAAAAATAAACTAAAATTGAGTCTTTTGAGAAGGAATTACCAAAAAGTAGCAGCGTTCCAGAACTTGGTTGTATTCTGCAGACGTTCTTCGTCGGTGACTCGCTCAATGCCACCTTCTTCAATGGACAGTCTGCCCAGCCATTGTCGAGCAGGTTTTGAAGAAGCAGTGTCAGCTTCTGAGATAGATTTTGGGGCAGAAGTGGCATCGGTATAGTTCATTTTGTAATATGATGTTCAATATGAAATTGGCTCACAATTCCAAGGCTACCCCGGGACACCTGGGCACGCCCTTCTATATACCCAGTATATTTACTACTCATGATAATCTAGTAATCAACAGCGAGTTACGCATTGGATCGAATATTTGCATATCTCGAGCTTATCGCACGCAATGGCAATGATCTCTGAGCTCATAGTTATCACCGCGGTATACCGCGGCATGCCGGACCGGCATGCCCTAGAGCAACAGGACAAATCCACTTCCCCAATTTTGCCAGAGTTATAATCCCCCTCTACGCTCTTTTTCTTCTAATCAATTCACTCGAGTACTGTCTATTATTTTCTGTCTCGCAATGGATCAACACACTTTCCGCCGTCGAGGTCTCGGTCTCCGCGGTGTCGACGACCGTGTCTCCCCAGGCTACGTGCTATACGCACCCTTGACCTCCAACACAGCCCACCTGATCTCAACAACAGGAACAGAAGTCCATCGCTGGACCCTCCCTCACCGCGCAGGTCGTCATGCCCGCATCCTCCCAGACGGCAATCTAGCCTACAACGCCGCGCACCCAGACGCACCCGCCTTATTCCCAATGTGGGCCAAGTACCGGGGCGGCCTGATGATGCAAGTCAGTCCAGGAGGAGAGATATTGCGCCAATTCTCCGATCCCCTGGCCCACCATGACCAGAACCATCTCGACGACGGAACACTGCTATACACAACGCTCGAACCACTCAGTGCCGAAGAAGCAGCGCGAGTACAAGGCGGCATCCCAGGCAGTGAAGCAAACGGTGTCGTCTACGGCGACTGTATCAAGCTAGTCGAACCTTGGGCGTCTAGCAATATCTCTTCTTCGGCTGATTTCGAGGTCGAGGGGGGTGCTAAGCTGCTTTGGTCGTGGAGGGCAATTGATCATCTTGATCCGGCTGCTTTTGCTGCTCATCCTCATTATCCGCGTGAACATTGGCCGCTTATTAATAGTGTTTCTTTTGATTCTGATGGGAATGTTATTGCTTCGTCGCGGAATGCGTCGAGTGTTTTTGTTATCAGTCGTTTGACTGGGGAAGTGTTGTGGCATCTTTCTGCGCCGACGGTTAGCCAGCAGCATTGTGCGCATCAGATCAATGAGAGTGGTGATATGTTGATTTTCGATAATGGGGTTTTCCGTCCTGGTGTTTCTGTGCCGTTTTCGAGGGCGATCATTGTTTCAAAGGAGAAGGTCGTCAAGTGGGAGTATAAGGATCCGTCGACTGGTGGGCTGGGTTTCTTTACACCGTTTATGGGATCTGCGCAGAAGTTGCAAGGTGGGAATTTTTTGCTGTGTGAGGCTGCAGATGGACGGATCATTGAAGTCACCGAGGGTGGTGAGATTGTGTGGGAATTTGTGGTACCCCAGCTTGGAGACTATAAAGCTGTTTTGGGGAGCAAAGAGCTGGAGGAGATGGAGAGGATTGGCTTTGATTACTCGAGTAACGCTATTTTCAGGGCTTACAAGTACACGCCTGAGGAGGTGCCTTGGTTGAAGGAGGGTTGGTTGTCTAATTGGCTTTGAAATTGATCTGAAGTTCTGCTTTATATTCTTGTCGTGTCTTTTTGTGCTGTTGTATATTCCATGAGTTTTATCTATATGTGTTATAATACAATGGTTACATGAGCCACTTCGGGTATGTTGATATAGGTGGCTCAGACAAATGAAAGATGACAATGAGTGGATGTGCGGGTATCAGTGCGAGTATTGTGGAGTGGGTAGAAGTTGATGTATACCAGGGCAGATGATGCAGTTAATCAGCCGAGGGATTCACCAAGGTGTGCTCCATCACTGCCGTCTGTCGTTTGAAGACCAGTGTCATGAACCACTTGGGTCTTGGTCGTGATCTCTTTCACGACGGGCTTTTCTTCTTCCTTGGCCTTCTTAGGTTCGGGGACCTTGCGTGTGGATGCATATTTGAGGAAAACGATAATCATGACTGGGTTTGAGTTAGATGGGGTCGGTTGAAGGAACAAAATGTGGAAACTTACAGGCGCAGATAGCAATCGTCATAGCAGCGCGTCTTGTCAAGATCCACCTCAGACTCTCAATCTCGCTCTTTCCATCACTGTTCAGAGACACGGTAATCTTGTAGTTGAGCTCCTGGACCGAGGTATCGATGCTCCGTTGCTGCTCACGGGTGACCATTTTGTGATCATTGAACATGCCCTTAATGTCATCCTTGACACCCGAAATCTCTTGACTAACACGCTGCGAGATGATATCGGTTTCGTGCTGCAATTGAGTACGCGAGGAGCGCTGGAGCTGGATCTCCGAGTTTCGAGCTGTCTGCAGCGATGATTGAAGCTCCGAGCAAGCTGCTTTGAAAAGATATTCCTCATTCTCAACATCAGATTTCGATGTCAGGCTCTCCTTGGCTAAGTCGAGGTTGTTTTGCAAGATGGCTCGCACGGCCTTCATGATCGTGATAGAGTGCTGGTTGCTGAAACCACCATGTGTAAGGTCCTGGACCAATGAGTATGTGTCGAAATGGTGCACATAAGGCGCGGGCGACAAATGCGGGCGATCATCAGACGAAGAGGATTCCCCGGTTGGAGTGAGGAAGACGGACGGGGAGGGCATGTGGAGCACATCGTCGAATGGCGTTTGATTGCTGAACTTGGAGTGTTCAGACTTGTCCTCCTCTGAGCTTGCTGAGCTCTCAGAGGGGTTTGTCGAAGATGTAGAGGCCTCGTCAAGCTCAGGACTATCCACATCCTTCCCGGACTCTTCATGCGCCTCCCGGTCTGTCGGAGGGTTGTCTTTCTTGTCCTCCGATGCCTCCCGCTCGTCTAAAGCTGACTCGGAAGATTCACGGTCCATGGTCTCTGCAGGACTTGCGTCTGTATCCCGGAGCTGGTCCGAGTGCGACTCTTCCGGCGCATCACCCCCTTGCTCGGAGGCACTTGGCGCATCCTCCTCGGCGGGGCTCGCATCTGGCACTTGGTCCGGGGTTCCTTTATTGCTTTTGGATGGTGGGACACTCGGTTCGACGGCCGGCCCGTAGCGCCTTTGGTAGGCTTCGCGATCCCGCCGCCGGCTTGTATGAAAGCGGCGATTGGTCGGGTTGGGGTAGGAGAAGCGAAGAGAGCGGTATGTACTTGGTTCGCAGGCCCGTACGGCCCGCATCAAGTTCGGATACAGGAACGGTAGCCTTGGAGTTGCCATGGTGTGAGGCTTGTAGAAACACAGCCAAGTTTCCCGTCGGCGAAACAAATGACGATGATCCCCCACGGGAAATTACTAAGCCGTTTCCGCCTGCTGCCTCAGGCTGCCACGCATGTGAGGCTCCCCACAAATGTCTAGCACGTGACCTGATCGGGGAATTACTGCCCAAAAAGGCGGTGACGGGTCCATGGAAGCCCTAACTGCATCAATCCAACCGCGCATCTGGCCATGTCTCTTTCCAAAAGAATTTGCGTTTTTCAGCGTTTTTGAGCCCCACTTCGGGCTTATCTAAATACAACCACAACAAACGTTTTAAAACTGTTCTTTCTCAACAACCATGGCATCAATTGCTTCGGTTTTAAATGCAAATTGCAGGCCAAAAGCAGAAATTTTACCTGAGCAATGAAATACCATAATTCAAGCATTGGAAGCAGGTCAAAAAGCGCCCGAACTTGGCAAGTAATTCGACTACTCTATAATCCAGAACAATTTCAAACGGTTCCAACAATATTCAACCCTTGAATCCCTCCCTAAAAGTGATCAGCCCTTCATCTTTGAACCGGGCTACAAGCTCGATTTATCGTTCGGTCTGTATGAATCCTTAGTAGATCTATAAAAAGCTTTGTGTTAATTATACTTCTAGATCTTTTCGAAGTATTGGATTCTAAGGATTTTTTAAATATTTTTTGAAATTTAGATCTTTTTCTTACTATATAGTTTTTTCAAAAAATATTTAAAAAATCTTTAATATATAATACTTCAAAAGGATCTAAGAATATAGTTCCTACAAAGCTCTTTGTAGGTCTACTAAGGGTTTGTACGGACTAAGTGATAAATCGAATTTGTAATCCAGTTCAAAGATGAAGGGCTGATCACTTTTAGGGAGGGATTCAAGGGTTGAATATTGTTGGAACCGTTTGAAATTGTTCTGGATTATAGAGTAGTCGAATTACTTGCCAAGTTCGGGCGCTTTTTGACCTGCTCCTATATCTTCCCTCATCCTCTCCATATGTCTGCTCTCCTGTTCCTGACGCATTCAGAGATATTCCTATTGCTCCCCCCCCCCCTCTCTCTCTCTCCAAGTCTGTAGCAACTTGAGCCGGCACCACGGGAGCCCGATCCATTAGGGTGAGAATCTGGGGAACCGGAGGCGACGTTCGACGAACGTTTCCCTGAGGATACAGAGCGAAACAATGCAGCACGGATTCTGGGCGTCAGGTTCCGGCGCCTCGGGAGTTATGGGACGCCGTGTAATGAATATCTAGTCCTTTGGGAAGGCGAGACACAAGACCAAGCAGAATGGGTGAAAGAATGTGGTGCGATTGGAGAGGAAGAGAAAATCGCTGAAGTAGAGGCCAGATGAGCGACGGGGGTGAGTGCCAATTAAAACCCTGGAGCTCTGACTTTACTTTATCTTTGCAGGCAATGGTTGGAAGAGGTATGATTCACAACAAGATGCAGATTAATATGCTGGGCAGGAACTGCCGTTATATTGCTAATACAAGTAATGCATGGCCATGTGTCCATGGATATCTAATCACCTCACTGATCGGCCAAAAGACCGAAAAGTAGCTCCGTCTGTGTCCAATACTCGCCGGCAAGCTTCTTGATAGAAGTGGCGGCCTCGGCACTGGACAGGGCACTCTTCTGGGCTCGGTCAGCGACATCAGCCAGCTGATTTCGCTCACCTAGCATCTCCGACAGGTACAAAGAATCGAAGAAAACCTGGATTTTCCAATCACGTACGCCTTCGACTTGACTTGGTGAGTGGGTCTTAGCTTGTGTTTTCTCTGGCTTATCTTCCTCCGCTTTTTCGCCGTTCGTGGCAGGCTGGTCATCCTTAGCATCTGCCTTGTCATTTGTGTCATCGAGATCAGCCAATGCAGAGGTAATGGTAGCGTCAAGGTGCTGTTTCAACGCTTGTTTTAACACTTGCACCGTTGAGGGGTCCCAGAGGTCTGAGCCGCAGGTATCCATGGTGGAGGTGAGACGGCGTAGGAACTTGAAACTCGAAGTCGAAGGCTGAACTGGAATTGCAGGTTCACCTTCCCAGAGAGAGCGTCCGGGGACGGTCTTGAGTTTGCCGTTCTTAGGGTGAGACTTTGGCGACGGAACCAGATTCAAGGACCCCACCTTGGCGATGACCTCTACTGCAAGTAGTTTCTGCAGTTCAGGAAGAATGTCATCGGAAAGAATGAAATCATCAGGAATATATGCTGCGGGGATATCCCGACGCACAAGTCGAATGACTCTTAGCAGGAAAGTAGCTTTCTCGATCTTATGTACGGCGTTGAACGATTTGAAAGCACTGCTGAAAGAGGTTTGTAAATCTTTGAGGGAATCTTTGACGGCAGAGTGGAGAGCATCAGACAGGTATTGGGGGTCCTCCGAATTTAATCGAGGAGTGATGTCTATGTCTTCATCATCTTCGCCTCCAACAAGAACATCGGTCCACCGCATGCGTCGCAGAGAATCGATGGATTCGTCGATTTCCTGGATTGATGCCAACCATGCTTGGTACTTGGACAATACTTCGGAAACGTCATCGTCACGTCCTAGTAGCCTATCCGCTACGGTTTGTTTGAAGGCATGTGCACCATTTGAGTATTCTGCGGTGATCAGGTCGGCATCCCATAAAGACCCGACGGGGGCGTGTTCCGTGCTCTCCCAATCAGAGACAATGACCGAGACTTTGTTTCCAACCTCGGATAGAGATTGCGCATGCAGTTGAATAATTCTTGCCAGTTGGCCATTGAATATGGTGCGAAGTCTCTCGAGTACATCCAATGAGTCGTGAACGATAGTTGAGCCCCAAGATGAGAGCCAAAGTTCTATGGTTTCTGTCCGCAATGAGAGCAGCCCCGAAAAGTCGGTGCCTTGGGCCAAACTCTTTTCACAGCCCTCGGAGAACCTTTCGAAGGCCTGGAGAGACCATTCCTTGATCGAGTCAACGCCCTCGTTCCTGTTCAGCTCACTGAGTTTGATCCACGGGGTAAAGTTCTTGACCTCCGGGGCAACCCAGCGGCCGAAGAGTTCAACCTCAAGTCCGTCAACACTCTGAATGTCAGGATCCGCAAGAAGCGGCCGGGCCTTTAGCTTGGAGAGAACATCGGCGAACTGACGGGATCGCAGTACTTTGGATATTTGAAGAGACCGAACAAATAATTGAAGAGCTTTGGGAATGTTTTCGCTGGACAAGTCCAGCTGGTTGGCAATGACATCCAATCGGACTTGGTGGAAGTGGTGGATGCTGTCATCGGCTGAGGAGCTGGTCGCAAGGCAGTATGCAGCTAGCGATTCGATAGCAATCTCATCCGTTGCACTGGAAGATGCAAGGCGTTTGTCAATGCGTTTGAGAACTGTTCGCCGGGAGGACGCCAATTGGTTTCGGAGGTCATCCAAGAACGGGGGGACTGGTTCATGCTGCGATAAGGTCTTGTGCAATAACCGGGAAACCACCAGAATCTTTGCGATTAAAAGGGTAGAGGCGCGCCGTCGCAGAAGTCGATTGATAGTGGTCGTACAGCGGTGGAGGAGTGAAAGCTGAGCGGAGAAAGCATGCTTTCCCGAGTCTAGTCACATTATCAGCTGAAGCCCTCCGCAATATTGCCATGATAGTGTCTCACCCTTCTCCACATCACCGCTCTTTATCTGTCGAGCATGGACATGCTTCCTTTCCACCAACCGGGGATTGCATCGGCGTCCAACATCGGCCAAAAGGGTCTCCACTTCCTGGATATCTCGGTTCATAGCCACAATCGTTTCCGCAGTCCTAACCAGGTCACGATATCTCGTCCTAAAAAATAACAGCCTTGTCAGCTTTCATCAATCATGTTCTTGAGGACAATTGGGTTCCTACCCCACGACAGCTCGGAGCTTCTCCTTATTGCTGGATATATCCCGGCGCAGCTCCTGTTCCACGCGGCGGACCGTGGGAATGGGATACTGAAATGCATCGTGCCATGATTTCAGGCTCTTCGGATCAGGTGCCTCGGGGGCCATGCTGGCGGGATATGCAAAGGCGTTGAAACGATGCAGAGAACAAGTAGTCAATGCGACGCGGCCTGTGGCTGCCTCGGCGCCTGAATGGATTACTCATCGTCTTATCTTATCGGCGCAAAAAATGTCCCCACCGAGGGGAACAATTCGCCGTTCAGACGCATTTCATTCATATCAACATATTCAATATGCCGCTGATGGAGTCTGAGGCTGCGCCTGAAGCGCCTGCAAATGATCTGCCTGATAGTTTGCCTTTCCCGCCCACCACCTACTCGCATATCCTGCATTGTTCCTATCATGACTGGCATCGGAGGTATGCTTCCATGTATGACTCAAATTGAAATATATCTTAACGAAAGCTTCAGATATCGTTCGCTTGCTCCCAAGTCGCGTGTGATACCTTTGACTGCCCCATTCGTCGAGTACCTTCGCGCCGATGGTATTGTTCTTCCGCCAGAAGCCGCCGCTCCAACCGATGACGCCCACCTGGACGAGTTCTCCGACTCAGGCGAGGAGGAGGAAGACCCATCCACGGAATGGAAAGAGATCCATACCAAGATCAAGGACACCATCGCTGAATTGGGAGGTATCGTCACACCAAAATTGAACTGGAGTGCTCCCAAAGATGCCACATTCATGAATGCCACCAACGACTTGCAATGCCGTACTCCGAACGATATCTATCTCTTGTTCAAGAGCAGCGACTTCATCACACACGATCTGGACCACCCGTTCGACGACTGTGTCCCCGATAACACCGACGATTCTACACCTTCCACCGTTGACTCACCACTTCCGGAAGTGCCGTACTCCCTCGTGCTCCGCAAATACGTGAACTTCAACCCATCCCTCGAGTTCCGTTGTTTTGTGCGAAACCGTGTTCTGCTGTGCATTACCCAGCGCGACCAGAACCACTTTGACTTCCTCTTCCCTATGCGTGACATGCTTCGTTCTCGCATCCAGTCATTCTTTGACGATAAGCTCAAGGAGACTTTCCCCGAGTCGAATTTCGTTTTCGATGTTTATATCCCGCAGCCACACACGCGTGTATGGCTGGTTGATATCAACCCCTGGGCCCAGCGGACGGATCCGCTTCTCTATAGTTGGTTGGAAATTTTGCAGAAGAAGGACCCGATTGGAGTGCAGGAGGAAGACGATGGAGCGGAGGAGTTCGTTAGAATCTCTTTACATGATGGTAAGATCATGACTTCCGGCATGGCGGAAGAGCTTGACCGTGAAGACGATGCCTCAAGTTCTTCCGAGTCCGAGGCAGAGGATGGTGCCGAGGGAGATGATGACCAGGCCCCATTCCTCCCGGAATTCCGGTTGATCAAGAAGGATGATCCTGAGGCTTATGCATTCAGCTCCACGCAATACTCGGCTCATAAGGTGCCGAGGGAGTTGGTGGATGCCTCGCTCCAGGGACCTGGAGGCATGAGCGAGTTTATGGGTCAATGGAATGAAATTCTGAAGAAGCAGGAGCAGGAGGACAAGGATGCAGGCTCTGACTCTGGGTAAGACCTTGCTACAAAAACAGTGAGATAAAAGCATGTTTGGTTGCTGGCGTTTGGCTTGAGCTTGCGTTTATGGTTTGGGATTGCATCGTGGGTTGCGAAGAAAGCACCTTGCGCAGAATCAACTGAATAAAATATCGCTATGAAATACCGAGTTCTTTATGCTATCCCATACTTGGAGTGGACATCATTTCTTTTCACCACTTGAACATCTGGTCGAATGTGATGAACCTCTTCAATATACAGTCTGCAGGTACTCCTTACTATCCACTACTTAAGTATGTCAAAAGGAATAAATATAGTATATATGCGACAGGAACGATACATAAGTACATTCCAACAGCCACCTCAATACCACAGATTCACAAAGCTATGTACAAATATCCCCAGGGCCATCCCACCTAAAGTTTATGCTTCTTCTCACCAGACGCCAACTTCCTGAACTCTTCCTGAGGATACCCAGCAATGAACCGCTCCAGCCCAGCAAAAGCCTCAAGACCATTCTGACGATCCAAAATCTCCCTCTCAGGACGACGAACCAACTCCTTAATCCCCAACAAACTAGTCTGATTCAAATGCGTTCCCAACCGCTCATCAACCTCCTCAAGAACCTTCTTCAAGAACCCATCCGAGTCCTCCTTCTGCCCACTCGGCGCAGAAATAACCTTATTCACAAAACCAGTAGCAACAAGCTCATCACATGTAATCCGCTTGCTCATGATCAATGCCTCATTCGCCTTGGCAATACCAAGACGCTCAACGAACGCACGGCTTGCGCCACCTTCGGCTACGAGGCCCAGGGAGGAGAATGGAGTTAGAATGAATGTGTGGGGGGCTGCGTAGATGAAGTCTGCGTGGGCGATTAGGGCTGCGGACAGGCCTACGGCTGGGCCGTTTAGTGCAACGACTAGGATCTTGGAGTGGTTGTAGAATGTGCGGGTTACGTCGACGTTGTTTGCCACGAAGCCTTTCACTAGCTCGCGGCGGGCACCGGAACTGAGTTCGCCGCCTCCAGGTCGAGTGCTGGTTACGTCTGCGCCGCTGGGGACTGTTAGTTGGGTTATGCGGGTGGATCGTTGACTCTTACGCGGAGAAGAAGCGGCCTGTGCCTGTTAGGACTGTGATAAAGATGTCATTTCGCTGTTCGATCTCGCGGAGACGTTCTGCGAGGAGGTAGTATAGGTCCTGGTTTAGGGCGTTTAGCTTGTCGGGACGATTGAGGGTCACGATCGCTACGCGATCTTGATATGTGACTGTGACAAGTTGTTCGTTCGACATGATTGAGGGAATGCTTAATGAGAGGAAGAGGGAACCGGGGAATTGGATAGATTAATAAAGGAGCTAATGCACATAAAAAACGCCAGACATCGATCTGCGGGCTATGCGGGGAGCCGAGGCAGGACTGCCGCGGTGCCCGAGGTCATTGGCATTCATTAAATGTGTGCCTGATACATAAGGCCAAAGAGGTTTCTGCCTCAGGCAACATGTTTGTCCTGTTTGCTCGATATAATCAAGTCCGTGACTGGCTGTGGCACCACTCGGTGATTGAAGACCTGCAATTGATCGGCTTCTGCGTTGTGATCCCATAGATCCCGAGATTAGCATATAACAGCGCTTTATCGAAGCTGACTGTCCCCGCCATACCTGGTCTATCCACCACAGCAAAAGAAAAAAACACCAATCGCAAACCCTCATCATGTCGCAAATCCTCCGCAAGTTGGCCGGGCCCAATCTTGAAGTCTTCAAGGTGAGTAGCAGGCAATCCATATACAATCGGAGCGTTCGGATTTTCAGCCAGAGTCATTCCAGCTAACTCAACCCCCAGTTCGGCGTATACGTGATCTTCCCCATCGGCTGGATGTACTACTTCGGCACGAATCTCGATGACCGCTTCTCCACCAAGGGCTTCTGGCCCACAGCCGAACAGTCCCACAAGATCCCACTCGATAAAGACGAGATCGATAAAGAGCTGGCCCGTATGCGCATGGTAGACTCCGTCAAGCGGGAGCGGAGGCAGGCCGCGCAGGCTGCACAGGCTGCTGCGGATGCTCAGGCTGAAGCGCAAGCCCAGATGCAGGCAGTATCATCTGAGCAGTGATAAAGGCGGGACATTGTCTGAGAGCTGGCTGTGTCGCAGAGTGACACTCGTCTATGGTTATGGTCGAGGTTGCTGAGAAGTCATGAACGGGTCTGCGGGCTATGCAAAATTCGCCGGAGGTTGGCATCGCGGGAGTTACACATGTGAATCAAGGAGTTTGTACAACACCCTACTCTGGGCATCTATGGCGTTATTGTTATTGGGGAATGGGATTTCACATTTGAACCATTTACGTTGTATATTATCCAAATGGAAAGTCTGCAAATATCAACTTCAATCATGATCACGTTGCTATGATAAACAGTTGGTCTCGCACAAGGCCAATAAATACAGGATAGGCCATTGTATCGAGCCAAGAAAAAAGAAGACAAGAATTATTAATAATATGCTATCTGCCGCGCTGCGACAATGCAAAGGGACCCAAGTCCAGAACAGAACTCCGTAAAGCGCCAGCTGACAATGGTGAGAGCGAGGGTTCTGGAAATAATTCCAGGGGCATTAGAGATTCTCTCACCACTGGGAGAATGGAGTATGCGAATGCAACCAATTTCCACGTGCAATCTTGATTCACAGTTCAGCCATTCGCTCCATGCGCTGGGTCGTGGTGGCTGCTGCGTTCTTCGCGGTCTCGTACACCATGCCTCCGATGGCGGTGGCACTCTCGCCAAAGACAGAGCTGATTGACAAGCGCCCTGAGCTGAAGAGACGCTCACCGGCCCAGTAGTAGTAGAGGCGGCCGTAGATGGCGCGCAGGTGGTCAGGCAGGTAGATATAGATTCCGGCCGCAATCATGGTGATGAGAGTAATGAGGAATGTGTCTGTAAGAAAACGAGGTCAGTATCCTGTACAAAGCATGTTGATTGAGCAAGGCGCAACGTACTGAAGATGAGCTTCTCGATTGGCGTCAACATGTACAGGGCAAAGGTCACCTCGTACTGGTAGACCTTGAGACGCATCCAGCGGAACACGCTTGAGATAGCCCAGATAATGACATCCATTGTTGCGGGGTTGAGAATTGCAAGGCGTGGTTTGTTTCTCGAGGTTGCCGTTGCAACGTTAGGCAATTGTGTTCTGATCGGAAGGGCTGCGGCCTAGCGAGGGGCTGAGCAGAGGCTGACGAGGCAGAGAATTAGGAGGCTAAGGGAAGAGAGCAAGAGAGGCAGGTAAATCGAAGACTTGAAGATCGAACGGATAAGAAAAGCACCTGAAATCTCACTTTCCCCTTTCCGTGGTTCCCGTCTGTGTACTGGGTACTTCTCAGCACCCCACTTTCCAGTCTAATGTCAGGTACCCGATACCTGCCATACTTTTTTACATGCAATTCCTTCGTTTCACAATTGAAAGGCAATTAAGAAAAATTAAACAGACAGTAGATCTACCTAGTTGTGGTGTAAGCTACCAATTCCCCACGATACAACGCCAACTAGTGGAATATATGTTCCTGAGCGAAAGTACTGAGTTTCGTATGGGCCAAAATGTATCTCTAAATCATAGAGGCAGCCCAAGACGTTAGTAGTATGAAGCACGGATAACTGTTCTCACATGTAGCGATCATACCATATAGGTTAAATAATGCTTTGAGCCCATAGAAGCAACGTGAGAGTAAAAAGAAGTCCGGAGTAAAAAAGTGCTATGCTCCCAAAAGTCCTATCTTATCGACCTCCGCGGCCAAACCACCGCAACAACTACAGCAATGCTCCCACGACTCCAGCGAGTGGCGCACAGCCTCCCAAACTACGTCCGCCCCTTCAGCCAAACCCCAATAGTCCCCGCCAAACCCCTCCCCCCACGGATCAAGATCAACGATGCCGACATATCCATCTCCTACCTGAAAGGCACCGGGCCAGGCGGACAGAAGATTGTACGTTGACAGCGCAGCCAAAAAAACCGTTACCTATAAGTTGCAGATCAGCTAACACGGTCAGAATAAAACCAACTCCGCCGTCCAAATCATCCACAAGCCCACGGGGATAGTGATCAAATGCCAAGCGACGCGATCACAGTCGCATAATGCGAAGACTGCGCGGTCGCTGTTGGCGGATCGGGTGGAGGCGCTGGAGAAGGGGGATAAGAGTCGGATTTCGTTGAAGGCGGAGGCGGCGAAGAAGAAGAAGGCGAGTAAGCTGAAGAAGGCGAAGAGGAAGTATCGGGAGCTTGAGGCGAAGGGGAAGGAGGATATGGAGGAAGATGAGGTGGAGATTGTGTGGGATGATGAAGTGGAAAGTAAGACAGAGGCTGAAGGAAAGGAGGTTGATGAGGTGGAGGTGGCTTCGAAGGCTGGAGAGTCGAAGGGTGTGTAATATTTATGATACTCATTTTGCATGGAGTTGGATCTTTGTACGAGGTGAGAGAGCATCGAAAGGCGTTTCTACTGATATATTGGACATCGAAAGGAAGAATTTGAAACGTTTATTTCATTCAATGAGGAAGTCATCGCGACATGCACTTGGGGTGGGGAATTGGGTGGGAATGTTGGCCCCCGGAGGGACGGGGGCATGTATGTAGGGGATTTCTTTTTCGGTTTTTGTTGGCTGACTCGATCAGCGGGTGAATTGGGCTAGGTGAAGATCAAGAGATGTAGCTTCCCAAGACTGCCTTGGACTGATCGTCCAGGCGCTCCATAGCAAACTGCGACACACGGTTGTTTTGCTTCTTGTCAGCCTCCTTCAGGTAAGTGCCAACCCAAGCCTTGAGGTCAGCGCCAGTTTCGGGCCAGGGGTCCTTCTGGACAGCACGGATGGTGTTCAGAGGGGTGAAACCAACACCGAAGGACATGTCTTCGGTATCGGCATCAGCAATGACATCGTCGCGGCTGGCGGGCAAGGGAGGAAGCTCGAGGAGTTTCAGCAAAGCTGTGCAAGTAAAGCCCCATCCCTTCTGGGCATAGCGAGTGGCAAAGGCCTCAGAGTTGGCGAGGGTCTTGGTGAAGGACAGGATAGCTGTCTTGCGATCCAAAGGCCGGGCAAGCTTCTGGGTCTCAGGAAGGATGACGTTCAGGTAGATGGGAGTGAAGAGTCCTTCTTGCACCTTGTCGGTGACCTGAATGATGAAATCCGCGCTGTAACCCTTGTCGTCATGAGCCGAGAGGAAGTGGAAGAAGCGGACGAAACGGAGAGTCAAGTTCTCGGTCTTGGAGTTCTGGAGACGCTGCAGGATGATCTGCATGATCATCACAAAGTAGTTCTCCAGAGCAGTAGGGGGGAAGCTGGCAACACAGGTCTCCAAGAGGTCGAATGCGAAGCTCTCGTTGGCCTTGGTTGAGACGAGCTTCTGGAAGATACCGAGAATAGGCTCGATCTGGTTGTGCTCAATAATGTACTGCGATCCACGGGGGATGATGGAGGAAAGCAGGCGGACCAGAGCAGGGGTGTTTCCCTTGGAGTCCCACATGACAGGCATCAGCACAGGGCCGATAAGCTCCTGGTAGTAGGTCGGGAGAGTTGCAGCCTGGTTGGCCTCGAGCAAAGCAGCGAAAAGCTGGAAAACGTAGGGCATGAATTCTGAGATAATTAGCGAATGTCTCTGCGGGACTGGAGTCGGAACTGATTGAACATACCTTGCACATCGTTTTGGAGAATACCAGCAAAGGGTGCATACAGAGCCTGCTCGAGCTTATCAGGGTTGGCGGGGGCAGCAAATCTAGCAATCATTAGCTTTGTGTCAGTGCGAAGGGTGAGGGGAGTGCTAGATACCGAATGAATGCACCCATAGCCTCGAAGTGGAAGTAATAGAAGCGCGGGTTGCTGGGGTTGGCGCTGATAATGTTGGTGATGTTGATGAATCGTTGAAGGACGATATCAGTGATAGGGACAACACCCTCCTTGATCACAACCAAGACACGCATGACACAGCGCATCAAGAACTCGTTCTCTTGCACCTTCTCGGGGGCGGGGTTAGCCTGGATCAGCTGGAAAATGTGTTCCAAAAGGTCCTTGGCAAGGGGAGTGATTTCAGTAGGAGGGATCACAGGTTGTCCTTGAGCATCGGTAAGATAAAGCACACGCTCCAGCGCAATAGCAGCATAGGTGTAGACCACGAAGTTGGAGGAAGCCAAGTGCTTAACCAGCACGGGGAGAACCTGTTGCCATTGCTCCTTGGTGATGATACTGCGGAAGTTGTACAGATACTTGATGGCATCGACCTTGAGGATGGGGTGAATACCGTCATCGGAGATCAAATCCGCAGCCAGGTTCTGCTGGAAATAATCAGTGATGCTGACCAGCTGGTTGGTAGCGGTGACACCGTGCGAGGCAGTCGCAGTACCCTTGGCCGCGATTGCGGAGTACAGGTATGTTGCGGTATCCTTAGCCTTCCAGTTGGACGAATCCTTCGCGTACTCAGCCAGATAGTGCTCAGTGTACTTAAGGACAACTCGGGTCACCGGCTCCTCGAATTTCTCGGCCAACTTGCGAAGGAAATCGGTGGCTGCGCGGCGTCTGGTCTCACTGTCAGAGCCCTCCAAGTCCCGGCGAATGAACTCAATGGGCTCATCCTCAAACAGCTCCTCGTCCGACTCACGGAGGCTGACGTTGGGAAGAACAACCTTCTCGACAATTTGGCCCAGAGTCTCCTCAGCCTGGAAAGAGGCGGCGTGCTCAGGCATGCCTGCAACGGAGGTCAGGAAGTGCAGAGCACGACTGACCAGAATATCGTATTTGGTCTCTTGGCTGATTGTTGAGAGGAAGTTCCATGAGCTCCCAATGAACTGGCCAACGTGAGGCTGGAACACGTCCATGTACTTTTGCACATATAGAGTCAAGGCCTCGAAGATTCCAGCGCGAACATATTCTAACAGACCAGCCTCAGTCTCGTCATCGGTGTGTAGGAGAGGATTGTCGTAAGTGAGGTATTTGAGGAAAATGGTGGCGATTCCAGAGATGTTGTCTTCGAACATGGGAGGAAGATCGTGGGAGGAAAGATCGTAAAACAGCTTGACCATTAAGTTAAGCTGGCTGAAACCTTGAGTGAGATTCTCTTTGTTGGTCTTGTTTTGCTCAAGGTAGTTGTCCAGTGCCTGATTAGAGTTAGTGGATGGCGCATTGGGAGGACTGGGTATGAGGATTGAAATTACCTCGAAAAGTGACAGGAACGGAGTACCGAACTTGCCGAGAACGTGGTTAATCTCAGTGTAGAGCGCATCGGATTGGAATAAAGGTCTCCAGCGCTTGAAAATAGAATGCGCAACCTGCAGCACTCCAACGTTGACGGTGGGGTTGTCCGGTGATAGCTTCGACACAAGGTCCTAAGGATAGGTTAGTCACTGCCCACAAGTATTCTGCCCAATCAACTCACATCCACAAGTGTATCCCAGTTCTCCCAGAAATCACTGTCAGCAATGACACTGACGGCCTCACCCAGCTGGCTTTGAATGCCTGGAGGAACCGAAATCATCAGAGAGATCAACTCGCGCTTGAGAGTCTCAACCTCATCCTTCTGCAACTTATGTGTGCCATCTTCGTCGGTCCAGTTGCGCTTGATGAAGTTCTTAAAGCATAGTGCACTCGCCAGACGTGTGTTGTAAGGTGTAGCCTGCGATGCGGTAATGTGAAGAAGCTGTAGCGAGAAACCAGGCTTTTTCTCTTCCTGGCGAAGGGTTGTCTCGGCTAAAGAGGAACAAAGAAAGAGGATCAGTATTGCTTTGGAGACATTCATACTTCCAGAGTCAGTTACTTACCCGCCTTATTGTGTCTGGGGTCCAAGCTTGCCTCCAACAGAGCTCCAAGACCCTCGGCCATTTTGTACGTGGGGTATCAACACAAGTGAGGGGGAAGAGAAGAAGAGAAAATTGAAGAACGGAGGAAGTGGGGAGGAGCCAAGAATTAAGTATTGGAATGTCAAAGGAAGACGTTGACAATCACGGAGAGGGATAAAGATAAAATATCCAAAGCTCTTCCGAACAAAACAAATAAAGCGAGCCCTCACAATTGTACGGGCAGCCCGCCCACCGCCTCTAGGCCGAATCCGGTTAGAACGTCACATGCTTGAGCCTCTCTGCGATGATGCCTGAGGCAGCGATTCTCTTTTCGCGTGGTGCGCAGCCCTGAACTATGAAAGTCGTCATATTGAATAAATAGATGTCGTTTTAATTTTATGTAACTCTCTATGATCATGTGCTTTTCGTAAAATAAAAAATGATACAAACTCCTATGGAACCTTTTAAATGGGGATCCAATGCTTAGACAACAATGTTGCTAACACCGTTAGCCAACTCCTGTTCCTTCGCCTGGGAGAGATCCTTGACCTGGTTGAAGACACCGGCCGCGGCGGAGACGAAACCAAGGAAGGGCTTGCTGGGCGACAGAACGCGGGAGATGTACTCGGGGTGGAATTGCACACCCACGAACCAAGGGTGGTCCTTCAGTTCAACGATCTCCATACGCTCACCCTGGTCATCCTTACCAATGAAGTGGAGACCAGCCTCCTGCAGCTTTTCAATATATTCAGGGTTGACCTCGTAGCGGTGACGGTGACGCTCATCGACGGATGTGCGCTCGAGACCGTAGAGAGAGCGGAGCTTAGACCACTCGGAGTTCTCTTGGAAGAGAGTTGGGCGGGATCCCAGACGCATGGTACCACCGAGGTTGGCACGGTCAATCTCGGGCATGTACACCACGATGGGGTGGTTGGTACGCTCGTCAAGCTCGATAGAGTTGGCGCCCTCGAGTCCGAGAACGTTGCGAGCGTACTCGATGACAGCGATTTGCATACCCAGGCAGATACCAAGGTAAGGCTTGTTCTTAGTACGGGCGTGGTGAGCGGCCCGCATCATTCCCACGGTGCCACGGGTACCGAAGCCTCCGGGGACCAGGATACCGTGGGCAGTGTGAACATCATACCAGGCCTTGTGGTACTCCTTGGAGTTGGCGTCCTCCCACTCGGACTCGAGGTGAGAGGCATCAACCCAGATGATGTTGAGCTTGCGGCGGGAAGCCATGCATGCGTGCTCCAAAGACTTGATGACGGACAAGTAGGAGTCGTGCAGGCTGACGTACTTGCCAACAAGAGCGATGTTGACAGTCTCAAAGGTGTGCTCCTGGGCAGTGGTAAGAGTCTTCCACGATTTCCAAGTGGTCTGACCCTTGTTCAACTGAGCCTGGGAGATCTCGAGCTTTTTCATGGCGAGAAGATCTCCCAGAACACCAAGGAATCCTTGCTGCTCAAGCAGGAGAGGAACATGGTAAGTAGAGCTGACGTTGTGCACGCCAATGACTTGCTCAGGCTCGACCTGGCAGAACATGGCAATCTTATCAGTGGTGGCCTTGTCGAGGGGCTTCTCGCAACGGCAAGCAATGAGATCAGGGCTCATTCCAGCTGAGCGAGCATCCCGAATAGCCTGCTGAGTGGGCTTGGTCTTCAGTTCATCGTGAATGACCGGCACAAGGGAAACGTGAATCTGGACAAAGTTGTCTTTGCCAGCACGACGGCGAAGCTGACGGAGGGCCTCGACGAAAGGAGCACTCTCAATGTCACCGAGAGTACCACCGAGCTCGATAACACAAACATCCGGTTCCTCATTGGTGTCGTCTGCGGGGGTTCTAGCCACCCGCTCGATCCAATCTTGAATTGCATCGGTCAAGTGAGGGACAATCTGCACTGTGCGTCCGAGGTAGTCGCCGCGGCGCTCCTTCTCGATCACATGCTTGTAGACCTTTCCAGTCGTGATGTTGTTGTCCCGTCCAAGGGTAACGCCGAGGTAACTAACGATTCAACCCATCAGTCATTGCTCAATTTGTCACAAATTGATAGATTGACTCACCGCTCGTAGTTTCCGAGGTCGAGATCTGCCTCACCACCATCGTTCAAAACGAACACCTCTCCGTGCCTGAAAGAAAGATATTAATCCTCAATTCCATAGATCGTAGCCAAAGAATCACATACTCAGTGGGGGCCATAGTTCCCGCATCGACGTTCATGTAAGGGTCGATCTTGATGCAAGTGACTCGGGCACCCTGAGTCTTGAGCAGCAAACCGGTACTTGAGGCTGAAGTCGAGCGTTAGATCGAGTGGAGATTTCATTGAATTGGGGATCTGTACCAATTACGCCCTTCCCGATGCCGCTAATGACACCTACATGAACTGTTAGTTTATTCGTCCAATGGTGATTGAGTCATGAGATACATACCACCAGAGACCACGACGTACTTCATGGCGGCGATGAAAAATTAACGTCGAAAAATGTAAGATTTGGATATAAAAGAAAGAGTCTCGGCAACTGTATAAAATCAGATGAGAAGAATCAAATGTAGGGTGCCGATCCTGGCTTCAGCCAAGGGGGAAGAAAGGAAGGGAATCATTTTTTTCGAAAGCTTCACATCGGCTGCCTCTACCGCCCCCCACTTGGGGTCTTTTTTTTGCCCTTTTTTTCTTCGACTTTTTTGCCAATTTACCAGGGCGGTGAGGAGGAACATCATGTGACTGAAAAAGAACATGCGATGATGACATACTCTGCAGAGCTTAAAGCTGGAGAAGATTTTACTAGATGATCGCATAGATTGAGTCATTATATATTGCGAATGAGATGAAAAGCAGTATCAAATTAGGAAGAAAGACCACTCGAACTTCATTACCAATTATCTACCAATTCCACACGGAGTACTCCGTGATCCGTGTAGTCTGCAAAGCATTTTGATACACCCTCACCGCCCTTTAATGCCGGGCGGTCAGTGTATCAGGCGACTTGGGCTCGAAGACCTGCGCAATCCGAAAGGAAGTCCGATTTCCCCTCAGTCTCCATATCACTTGCTTGTGTCATCAACCCGGTGGGGTACTGGGTCCATTGATATTCATAATCTGACCTTTCCAAGACGGATTCCATCTCGCTGATCGAGTACATCGCTTCCTCGATCACCAGAGTACCCACATTGTAGCTCGCCAGACGTTGCCTCGGTCCCTACAGATCCGATTTGCTATACTCAGAGCTGCTCATGAGGCCAAATCACTTGGTTGGCTACTCATAACAGGTATGGCGCCCTCAAATGGTGGAAGGCGTATGAATATTCGTCTTTCCATATCGCTCGGATGATGCAATACCGGTATTGACTTGGTGATGGTACAGTTCAGACACCGCGTGAGCTCTGCGATTGGGCGGATGTCTTCCGACGATGCTTCCGTCTCTCAACACAAACCTTCCTCAACAAGTTTCGCAGATGTCTTCAAGAATTTAGCTGTCGGTCGACCGAAATCGCATTCCCCAGTCTCTCTCCAGGAAAGCAGCAGCGACTCCCCATCTCATCCCGATTACCGCGCAACCCACAGACTCATATACGGTCTCGACTCAATGCATCGCGGTAGTGTGGTCTCGAGCTCTTCGGACATTCCTAGTGCTCCGGACTTCGATACGTCTCTGCAAGCTTTGTCGCAAAGACAGAACTTGACTCAGGCCATCGAAGAGTCGGAACTTCTCGCCAAAACCCTTCAATGGTTTAGTTCCGAACAGTCCGTCGTACTCTGGGAAGCTGCCGAATATCTTCTGCATCATGAAAGTTCTCTGGACGCGCAGAAAGCCGGAGCCAGATTACTGGAGGCAATCGCAGCCCGCCAAGATCTCTCTCCGGCCGCAAGGCGCATGGTCTTCGAATCAATCGCTTCCCCTGCCGAACCTGATGTCGTTGCTTCGCGTGTGCAGTCACTGATTTCCCTGTCTGACCATGGCAGGAAATTAGATTTCACTGGCTCCTCCATCTTACATATCATCTCATCTTGGATTATCCCGCTTTACGACACAATTGCAAACGCACGGTCCAAATCCAAGAAAACGAAGCCAACAAAACACGGAATGACATATGACGAAGAAATGCTGGGGGATCTCTTCCAGTTTGCTGTTGACCTGATTACATTACAACGAAAGCAACCAAGCCAGTCGGAAATCGAGCTGCTTCTCACCGAGACATTCACCACTTGTCGAAGAACCAGCGTCGCAGCTGACATTAAAAACTCATTGGCAGTGTTTGACGCTGTAATTGTGTACGCGGATGTGCCCGATGCAAGCTTTGCTACTCTGCTGGAGGTTCTCTGCAGCATTCATGCATCTGTCAAATCTCTCTCGGGTCCAACCTCGCGGGCAGTCCGCAGTTTAGCCAAGTCCCGGAGACAGGAGGAGATGGTGAATACTCTCCATGAGTTCCTGAGAGACTCGTGCTCTGCTGAACAGACTCGCAATCTCAACGTACTCCGTGGCACCCTTTATGTGTTCTCAGACTTCCTTCGTGCATATGGGCAAGATGGCATGCCTCACCTTCCATTCGATCAACTGATAGAATCTTTGCATGCCATTGCCCAGAAGGATGACAGCCGAGTAGATGCTGACCTCTTGGATTTGTGTCTGAACATCCTGGAAGGAGATTATATCCATATTGCTTTGGAGCAAGATTGGAAGGGGTTTTCCGAGCTCCTCATGATCTGCTCTCGCAGAATTGGTGATGATTCGGTTGGATCTCCCATCCCATCCACCACTTCGCCGTTGAAAAGCGCCCACGACGAAACCAAATCTTACATTTTGGCAAATCTGATTCGCATTTCTACCGTCATTGAAACACATTGGGGACAACTCACCAATGAGCAAAAACAGTGCACGGTCCGATTCTTTTTGAAAATCCATCAACACGTCGAGCCTCCACAAGCCGAACTCATCATCAATTCCATACGGAAGGACAAGCTCTGTTATCCTTCTGAAAACCCGGCTTGGGCTCGGCATTGCCATGAGCTGATCGAGTCTTTTGTTCAGCCCCGGAAGCAGAGCTCGGATATTCGCATATTGGCGTTGGACACGTTGAAGGAAGCGTTGTCTGGTCATGAAGCATCACTGTTCGCCCCCGACCACGGCATTCTAAGTCTCTTGTTGAAAGATTTCTCTTCTGAACACGACCTCCTCTTTTTGGAATCGCTAGTTTCGTTATTGACGGAGCCAGCGACACAGCACGCTGATGACGATACTTTCCAATTGCTTGTCACCACGATTGCAGCCCCAATGGAGAAGGATACTGCCAAAGACGAACCACGGGAAGCTGCCTCGAGTCATTCATCATCGCGTCGAACATCAACCACAAGTGTTCTGGAGCTTAGTTTGACCAATGTCTGTTCCGTGGGTCTTGTGAAAATGATGCTGCGTGCATTGAGCTCTTCTTCGGCGAAAGCTCTCATGGCATTTGAAGTACTATTGCAAATAGCGCAATCTCCTAACCGACCAACAGACTCTCGTCTCACGGCTTTGAAATTGCTCTTCCGTCTACGCTGTGACTCAGCCGGAGCAGTCACGGTCGTTTCGACGTCAGAGAGTGACTTTTTGATGAATGTTTTGGGTCGGAACTTGGATGGTGGCTCTAAATTACAAGCCTCGAGCGATCCTACTTCCCGTGACCAACCCCAGCAGGAAAACACTGCGGTCTCGCCGACCACAAAGCTGCCGATGAGAGAGGCTACGCCTAGTGTTAACTCGAAAACAGCCCCGCGGGGCTCCGTCTCTGCTCGCGGGTCCAAGCTCACGGCCCCTGCATGGACGCATGCTTTGCCTCAAGTACTTCCTGAGCAGCCTCCTGGGGAATCCAGCCCTGTACTATTTGCCCATGCTCAGCCCGAGGCACCGAGTCCTTCTGAGGTGGCGGAAGACACTGAATCGACCGAGTCAACGCCGGTTGAAACAAAAGAAACGGGGCTCTTGAGGGTCAAGATGTGGCTTGAACTCGTGATCACTCTACTCCAGCGAGAGCCCGACTGGGATGTGTACAGTTATGTCCTGACTCACCTTGGACCTCAACTTGGCAACAAAGACTTCTTCAAAGATGCCATTCCTCAGGTCACATTGCTTCGCAGTATTCTGTGTGATCAGGTCAAGAACAGCACTTTCCATGAACCACCTGAGACCACTGGACTCAAAAAGAGCGACGTGGCTGCCTGCATATTCGATGCCCTCTGCATGCTCGTTAGCTACCACGACCATTTCGCAAAAAGCGAAGAGGACGACTTGGTTAGAGCGTTCATGCAGGGCATCATCGGTTCGTGGGGAGGTACCTCCCGCGGTTGTATTCAGGCCCTGTCGCTTTGCTGCCATGAAATCCCAATGTCCGTGACCAAGTCACTGACTAGCATTCTTGACCGAATGTCCAAAGTGATCACCATGTCAAATGTTGCCGTACACATTTTGGAATTCCTAGCCCTTCTTGCGCGTTTGCCTGATGTTTACGTCAACCTGCGCGAAGAGGAGATCAGGACTGTGTTTGGAATCTGCATTCGATTTTTGCAAACCTCTAGAGAGCAACGCTACAGGGCATCTGAGGCGGCGTTACGGGCGTCTCAGTCTGCTTCTCAATCAGCCCAGTCTCCTCAATCAAGACTCAGCGCTGGGTCGAAAGAGATTGCTGCGCATGCTGCTGAAGCTATGGAATCTTCCCAGGACGGCATGGCTAAGTACATTGCCAATCTCACTTACCATGTTATGATTTTCTGGTTCTTGTCCTTGAAGCTTCAAGACAGACCTAAGCATGTGAACTGGATCACGAGCAGGCTCATTTATCGTGATGAGCATGGTAAAGAGGTGGTCGAGGAGTCAAGTCAGGTTTTGATTGATCTGATGCAGCGAGTGGCGTATTCAGATCTTGGAGAGACCGTTCCATTTGATAAATTCCCTCCCTCGCCTGATGATGGCCCAGTGTCTAAGAAGTCCTGGGTAGTGGGCATGAGTATTGTCTCTGTTGAAAGTGCCGGGTGCTCCGGGTTGTCTCAGATCACGAAGCGCCAGGCATCTGGAACCACATACTCGGTCTATCAGCAAAGAACCGCCCCAGTTCTCCCGCATCAAGTTCCTCCGACGCCGGACTCTCACTTACACTCCGACTCCATGCCAACTGCCATCCTTCCGAGTCATATTATGCTTCAATTGAGCGCTACTGCTTTCCCCAGTCCAACAGTCATGCAACCCATCCCAGTTCCCGAGGATGATATCACACGTCGTGCTATTGCTAACTTTGATCGAACTGACATCGTCGATGGACATCGGATCGGCCTTGTTTACATTGGCAATGGCCAGACAAAGGAGGCGGACATCCTGGGCAACACGTGTGGCTCCCCCGACTATGAACACATGCTGTCTGGCTTGGGAACCGAGGTGTCTCTCCGAAACCCTCAGTTCAACCCACAGGGATTATATGCCGACACAGATGGAGAAACCACCTATGCTTGGCGCGATCGTGTCACAGAGATTGTCTATCACGTTGCAACCATGATGCCTACGGATCTTGAGCGTGATCCGGCTTGTGTCAACAAGAAGCGCAACATTGGAAACAACCATGTCACCATCGTGTTCAACCGCTCGAACCTCCCCTTCAACTTCGACACATTTCCATCCGAGTTCAACTCCATTAATATTGTCATCACTCCATCATCTCGGGTTGCGTACAACGAGAGCGGCGATGCGGATGGCGAAACTGATCCGAAAAAGCTATACTATAGCGTGCAGGTTATCAGTAAGCCTGGTTTCCCTGATGTATCACCTGCTGCGACCCCAAAGATCATTTCTGGCAAGAACCTGGCAGCCTTTGTTCGCATTCTCGCCTTGAATGCGTCCGTTTTCTCTCTTGTCTGGAGCAACAAGGGCGGTGAGCATACATCATCTTGGCGAACTCGCTTGCGAGAAATCAAGAAGGTTCGTGAGCGAGCACTCGCGGCACAGGCTCAATCCTTCGAGGCAGCCGAAGGCGCCTATCCTGGCCAGCGACGCAATACCAAGCCGAACATCTTCTCGGAGGAATTACCATCGCGCGCTCCCATCGAAATCGATTCCGCCTCAGACTGGAACGCAGCTGCCGACACGAACATCCTCCAAAATCTGGATTTCTCTCGCTGGTCGCGTTGAACACTTCCCAAGCACAGTCGACCCCGGCAATCTCGATTGCCTTCTTTCGCTACCCTTTCCTCTTCCACGATTCTCACTATATCACCTACCCCTCTCCTTTACCCACCTCCATTCTCTCCTTCTCATTTCCCGATAAAAAACAATACACGACAGAACCCTCTCCCATGACCTATGACCCCCAGAAACGACTTCATGTACATCATATTGTGGCTTTTTTCGTGATGCAGACTATTGTCGCATTTGTGAATACCCCTCTTCGCCCCAAAAGTTTTGTTTGTTTTCGCCAGCGTCTGTTGCGACTAGGATTAGGGTTAATCTATTCAATATCAATTCTGTGATCTTGTGAGACCATTTCAGTTTTTCCATCCTTTGATTGATGAAAACTTGAGATATACTTAAGTACCAGGTTGAAAGCCGATCGATAATTGGGATGCAGGCATTGTCTTGCAATACGAGGACATCTAGACGATCCCAGCCGCTGACCAGGGCAAGGTCGCCCTTACCCTAAAAGCTCACTTTACACATTATCACAAAACCAAGGACCCTCCCAAGACATCCATATCATCTCTACGCAGCATGACCATCACCTCGATCTCCTCATTCTCCGACCGTTTACGCGGCAGAATAAGCCCAACACCATCAGCCTCCATGTAAGGCAATCTGAAGAACTCAGGCTTTCCGAACTTCGCGCCAAAGTCCATCTCATAGAAACCCAAGTCTGCCCAGCTTGTGATGGTCAGATCGGTTGAGCCAAACAGGTCCCAGCCAACGAAGATCGACTTGTAGTCATCCACGCTGTCTGCGAGACGGTAGACTTCGGCGACATAGTGCGAGTTGATGCGGGTCGCTGATTGAGACTCTGCGATTGCTTGGCATACTTCGGCGAGGGATTTGATGGATTCTTGGTCGTTTGCTGAGCTCAGAAGCTCGGCTTGGATGGTTGATACGGAGTAGAGGACCATGTTGCCGAAGTAGGGATCGTTGGAGTCCGAGAATTCTGAAATGCGTCGGCGGCCATTGACTGCCATGGCCAGCTTGCTGGATTTTCCTGTAAGATCCTTGTTTCTTTGCATTCTGGCGCGGGTAATGGCGGACCAGGTAAGGGCGCTGAGAAGAGTGTTGGTGGTTGGAGGAGTGGAGGTAGCTCCGGAAAGACATTGTTTCAAGGCATCGATCTGGGAAATTGAAATGGAGAAGAGCTTGGAAGTGCACGATGGGAATTCACTTGGGAACGCAGGTGGTGCCGGAGAGTACTCTGGGTGTGAATCAAAGAGTGAGGCTGTTGATCCAGATACAGAGTTCAGAGGAAAGAGCGTTTGAAAGTCGATGGATCCTATCCGACTTGTTCAGGGAGACAGGCTCTACGCCTGCGACATTCTGAGCAAATAACTCCACAACCTTGGAGAAACCGGTGGCATCGACAACATTGTGGTGCATCGAGATGTAGAGTCCGAGTCCCTTGGAGTCGCCAAATCGGAAGAAGCTTGCTGCGAATACTAGTGCGCCCTTCTCCGCTAGGTTGTGCTCAGTCATGACTGATATCGGCAGCAGCTTTGGTGAAAATACTTCAGGCTGCATGTTCGAGGCAGCGAGCTCTGTGTAGGGTTGCTCGATAGAACCTCTGTCGATCAGGTCGGGTTTGGCGTCTGCGTTCCAGCACATTTTGAGGCCAGGTCGGTTCGCATCGGTAGTTGTTGAGAACACTCTGCCAGATACCCAAGGCAGTTGGGCTGCAAGCTTCTGCAGACCATTTTGGAGGGGTTGGGTGAGGGCTGGTGTTGATTCTTGAGTGGGAAAAGTCAAGAGCGCCGTGATGTAGACCTTGGGCATGAGCAGATCGAGCGGTGTCATCTGCTCAATGTTTTGATAAACTGCCATTTTGTCGTTAATATGATTCCAATGCTTTGTTTGCTATAAAAAAGGAAGAGAAACGGGATTGGTCGTCTTGATTTTATACTCCTGAACTCGCGTTGTTCTCATTTGCCCCGGGTCCACGGGCCCGCGGGACCGCGTCTCCGAGAAGGGGCTCCGCTGCCACCACGTTAAGTTGGAAGTTGATTATCGGAGTCAAATAAACCGCTGTAGCCTGTTGCTCCGGTGGATTCAGATGACGCGAGGGTGTCTTTGAAAGTTCTTGAGTTCTCGGACACGCGGCCCCGTCTTCCCAGTATGGTTATGCCTTAAAGGCAACAATTCAGCTGTCTTTAAATTGAACTTCCAAGTTTGCTTTTATTTTCATTTCTCGTTTTTTTGCTCAAGAAACTTGTACCAACACCATTCATCTGGGATCTTGAATTTTACTTGTATCCAAGCATCAAATCATTTGAGTAAATATGTCGGTAAGTAGGCTTTCTCGACTATATATCCCACCAAGTTCGGCTGGCTGATGTGCATCTAGCTTCCATCCGGGTATGTTTCAGAAAGCAAATGAAACCCAAAGCGAAAAATGATCATTTCGCAAGTGCTAATTGTGGTATAAAACAGAGTCACTATTGGAGACGACTGCATCACTGCTTTCAGTCAACTCCGATCCCAAAGACACAGCAATAAACCCAGGTTCATCATCTACAGGATCACAGAAGGCTACAATGATGTTGTAGTCGAAGACTCTTCCTCTGAGCAAGACTACGAGGTCTTCCGTCAGAAACTTGTCTCTGCTGTTGATGCCCAAGGGAAACCCGCTCCTCGGTATGCGGTCTACGATGTTGAATACGATCTTGGGACAGAAGGCAAAAGGTGAGTTTGACTCTTGATGGTCTTGTCAGATCTTTGGATTCCATGCCTGACTTCAATAGAACCAAAATTGTCTTCATCACTTGGGTACCCGGAGAAACCTCGGTCAAGGTTTGTTATTTGATCTACTATTCCGCAATTGCTCATCCGTTTTCCAGGAGCGCATGATTTATGCCAGCACCAAAGAGCAACTTCGCAGATTCCTTGACGTAAAAGCATCAATTCATGCAGACGAAGTGGGTGAACTTGAGTGGAAGACTGTTTTGAAAGAGGCTAGTGGTGGTAAGGCCTGAACTACATTTTTGATTTAGTACGGAGTAATTGCTATTCTCTTAGACTCGTGTATAGCAATCAAGTACAAAACTTTAAAGTACTTGGGAATGGTTTTCGACTGGTCTTTTGTTCAATCTTTATTTTCTTCCTTTTTGGTTCAGATCTTGTACTTTACCTACCTTAATTTGATGACAGTGCCTGGTTCAAGATCGCGACAGGCACCACTTCATTAGTATTTCTCGACGATAAATACCAAGATTATATCGATCATTCCCTCATCTCTCTCATCTCCAATGCCAAGACACACTAGTCGAGTGCAAACGAATCATTTCTGCTTTAAGCCGCATCAAGTCACCTGATGCTGCAACTAGGCAGTGCCCACTGCCTCGTTCAGCTGCGACTCAGGAAAAACACCCTCGGGAGGCCACAGACAAATGTCCAGCTGGTACCCTAATCATGGAGTCATCCCATTTTAATGGGACGAATCATGCAATTCAGATAGCTTACAACTACGGCCCGGTTTCGGCAGACATCCACGAATCCAAGCGGTGTAAGACCTCCCACCATGGCGGATTGCCTGCTCCAAGACACGAACAGTACACTATTGCCTGGATATGTGCGTTGCATATAGAGATGGCGGCAGCCCAGACCATGCTAGACGGTTTTCACGAGGCGTTGCCTACCTATGTGGACGACAGAAACGCCTACGTACTAGGCAACATCAAGGAACACAATGTCGTTATCGCGTGTTTGCCAACAGAGCAGTATGGAACCAACAACGCAGCGATCGTCATGACAAATTTGCAACGAACTTTCCCTGCGATTCGCGCCTGTTTGATGGTAGGCATTGGCGGCGGTGTACCAACCAAAGCTGATGTGCGTCTGGGTGACATCGTCGTCGGGACAAGAGTGATGCAGTGCGACCTTGGCAAAGTGCTTGCAGACGGACAGCTCCAGAGAACCGCAATACCCAGGATTCTGGACCACTCGCTTGGTGGGCTTGTGTCCACCGTTCGCTCTAAGCATGAGCTCAGCCCCAACCGAGTGCTGTCGATCTTAGAACAGAGGTTCAAAGAACAGCCCGCCTATGCTCGACCTGATTTACCCGACCGTCTGTTTGATGCCGCTTATGACCATGAGTCTTCGAGTGGGACCTGTGACGGATGCGACCCCTCAAAACTGGTACCACGAGGCACCCGAACCTCGGACGAAGTGGTAATCCATTATGGCGCAATTGCATCGGGAAACCAGGTCATGAGAGACGGCAGAACCAGGGACATCATTGCGCGACAGCTGGATATCATATGTTTTGAGATGGAAGCAGCAGGTTTGATGGACATTCTTCCATGTCTGGCGATTCGGGGAATTTGCGACTACTCGGACTCTCACAAAAACAAGGAGTGGCAGCGATATGCTGCTGCGACAGCCGCTGCGTACGCAAGGGAATTGCTTGAGGAGTTGCCTGTAACCAGATCTCATGCAGAAATTGCCTTCGCAGAGAATTCTGGTAAGTAAATCAGACTATCGGAAACAATTTTGACTCGTCTCAGCTAACACTCGGGGCTCTTAGATCAATCTTCGGTGTCCATACGCCGAAAGACCTTGCTGGATTCTTTGAAGTTTGAACAAATGGATGCTCGGAAAACGACTATCAAACAAGAACAAAAAAAGACATGTCGTTGGTTCCTCAACCATTCCAGTCACAAGGCATGGCTTGATCCTGCAGAACTGGCGCAACACCATGGCTTCTTGTGGATGAGTGGCAAGCCAGGTGCTGGCAAATCGACAATCATGAAATTCGCATACGGCAACATGAAGAGCAAAACCCGTCAAAAAGATGCGATGACCGCATCTTTCTTCTTCAATGCCCGAGGTGATACCTTGGAGAAAACAATCTCAGGGATGTATCGATCACTGCTGCTTCAACTACTTGAGGGGTACCCCGACCTCCAGGTTGTCTTGGATGATCCCGACCAGGTTCCTCGGACTCAAACCGGCTGCCCTTCCTTGAATGTTTTGAAGAATCTTTTCGCTAATGCAATTTCTGCCCTCGGCCAACGCTCCCTTGTCTGCTATGTCGATGCCCTCGACGAATGTGATGAGCAACAGGTGGTGGACATGGTTCAGTACTTTGAGGATCTGACCGAAGACTCCACGGCCAAAGGTGTCAGGTTCCGAATCTGCTTTTCAAGTCGACACTATCCCTACATATTCATTCGCCGGGGCCTACGACTGACACTTGAGGATCAGTCAGGTCACGCGGATGACTTGGAAACGTATGTCACAAGCCGTCTCTTAATCCAAGAGCCTGCGCTTGTCGAAAAGCTCCAGCCCAAACTCTTCGAGAAAGCCGCGGGTGTTTTCATGTGGGTGGTTCTGGTCGTTGACATTCTCAACACCGAATATAGACGAGGCAGAATGGCCCTAGAAAGGAGACTCGCGGAAATACCAAGTGACTTGAGTGCACTCTTCAAGGACATATTGAGACGCGATAATGAGGACATGGAAGCACTCAAGCTCTGCATCCTATGGATTCTGTTCGCGAGAACACCCTTGCGGTTACAGGAGTTCTATCATGCTCTGTGGTCTGGTCTATCTCTGGAGGGCTCCGCTGATGACCAAATTCCAGATGTCATTGTCTTAGGAACTGGTGGTGCGAGCGACATGTTCAAGAGATATGTGATCAGCTCCTCCAAAGGGCTCGCCGAGACCACAAAATCCAGTCAGCCCACAGTACAATTCATTCATGAATCTGTCCGAGACTTCCTCATCAAAGACAAGGGTCTTTACGAGCTATGGCCAGAGCTTGGACTTGACTGCGAGGGCCTCGGCCATGAAACGCTCAAACATTGTTGTGATCTCTACGCCAACCACATCACAGTTCGCACATCTGTTGATAAGCTTCCAGCTGAGCCTACATCTGACAACAAGAACGGAATCTTGTACAAGTACCCGTTTTTGGAGTATGCCACTCAAAATATCCTCCACCATGCGAACGCTGCGGCAAAAGCAGTTTCTCAAGATGAGTTTCTATCGTCCTTCCGTCTTTCCGACTGGATTAACCTCAGCAATCTTTTTGAAAAGTTCAAGAATAGAAGGTATACGCCTACTGCAAGTTTACTTTACGTACTAGCAGATGGGGGTTTCCCAGCGCTCATCCGCGTGGGGGTCAAAAATGATTCACGCGTCAATGTATTGGATGAAAGATACAAGTACCCGCTGTTTGCTGCGTTGGCCAATGGTCATAAAGACGCTGTTGCTGCTCTTTTGAATTCCCCATCGAGAATTTGCGATGGAGTCGATATCACAGAAGGTCTCAACCACAGGAAGGACTTAAAAGATTATATGAATCGAACACCACTCTCTTGGGCTTCCAAGAATGGTCGTGTGGGAATTGTCAAATTGCTGTTGCAAATTGGTGACGATTGTGATCAGCAGGATGGATTTCGCCAAACACCACTCTCACTTGCTTCTCTGAATGGCCATACAACAGTGGTAAGGCTTTTGATCGAGAAGGGAGTCGATCTCAATGCCATTGATGGCACTGGTGTGAAACCTCTGGAAGAAGCACTCTATAATAACCATGCCGCGACAGCTGAGCTCCTGCTCAACGAAGGAGCTCATTTCAATATCACTGCCACTGTCAGGAATGGTCAGACAGCACTCCAAAGAGCACTCAAAAATAATCATGCAGCATCAGCCAAGCTTCTGATTGACAAAGGAGCTTATTTAGATATCGATGCTATTGACGAGAATGGTCGGACACCGCTCCGCAGAGCACTCGAAAATAACCATGTGGCGGTAGCCAAGTTGCTGATTGACAAAGGGGCCCGTTTTGATTTCGATGCCATTGACAATGAAGGTCGAACACTGCTTCATTTGGCATTGTCTTGGGAATTAGTGCAGCTTCTGATTGATAATGGAGCTGATCCCAATGCCATTGACAAAGATGGTTGGACACCGCTTCATTTGACATCTTTGAGAGGTTATAAAGCAATTTCCGAGCTTCTGATTGACAGAGGAGCTGATCCCAATGCCATTGACAAAGAGGGTCGGACACCGCTTCATTTTGCATCGTCACATGGCCCTTGGGAAGTAGTGCAGCTTTTGATTCATCAAGGAGCTGATCCCAATGCCATTGACAAAAAGGGTCGAACACCGCTTCATTTGGCATCTTTAAAACCCTCCGAGGCAACTTCCGAGCTTCTGATTGACAAAGGAGCCGATATTGATGCCATTGACAATGAAGGTCGGACGCCGCTTCATTTGGCATTGTCACATCGCTATTGGGAAGTAGTGCAGCTTTTGATTCGTAAAGGAGCTGATCCCAATGCCATTGACAAAGATGGTTGGACACCGCTTCATTTGACATCTTTGAGAGGTTATAAAGCAATTTCCGAGCTTCTGATTGACAGAGGAGCTGATCCCAATGTCATTGACAAAGAGGGTCGAACACCGCTTCATTTGGCATCTTTGAGTGGCCATAAAGCAACTTCCGAGCTTCTGATTGACAAAGGAGCCGATATTGATGCCATTGACGGTAAAGGTCGGACACCGCTTCATTTCGCATTGTCAATGGGTCATGCGACAGTAGCGGAGCTTTTGATTGATAGAGGAGCCCGCTTCAGTAATGAAGCTTGTGATAAGGATGGTCAGACACACCTCCAAAGAGCCTCATTCAATGGCTACGATGCGGTAGTGAGACTTTTGATTACCACAGGGGCAGATATCAACGCTAGGGACAAGGATGGGTGGATTCCCCTCCAATGGGCCTCGTCGCATGATCACCGGGCAATGGTGAAGTGTCTCATTAAACATGGGGCCGATGTCAACGCCAGAGACAGTTACGGAAGCACAGCGCTTCAATGGGCTTCGGCAAATGGCCACACGGAAGTTGCGAGACTTCTCGTTGAGAACGGAGCCTACGTCAACGTCAAAGATGGATGGAACCCGCTCAAATGGGCCTCGTCGAAAGGCCACCAGGCGATAGTCGAACTTCTAATTGAACATGGAGCCGATGTCAACGCCAGAGGCAGTAACGGAAGCACAGCGCTTCAATGGGCTTCGGCAAATGGCCACGAGGCAATAGTGAAGCTTCTGATTGAGAAAGGCGCTCACGCAGAACGAGAAAACTGAAATCACCATTAGCATCAACCATTTTGTTGTCGTTTGCCGAGTCTGCTAACTCGCTTGTTCTCAAGACCTGTATCCCTGCATGGAATAGACAAGCTCTTCAGCTGAGCGCTCAATGTGATCAGCAACTTTAGAAATAGACTGACTCACGTAAAATCAAGCTTGATAGTCTGCAGTATCAGGGACCAAGTGCATCAAGTGCCCATTCCATTTCAGAAGGTCGTGTCTAGAGGAAAGTTCGACTTCGTCGGTCAGTAGTGGAGCGGACACGGTAATCTTTGGTTCGACATATTCTAGAGGAGTTGACTCCGTAGCCTGGTAAGGTTGATGTGTGGTCTGCTCGGCTGTGCTTGTGGCTGCGCGTCTGAGATCGAATGAAAGTGGATGCTCCTGTTGCATACGAGAGCTCCAAGTTTGTATGGCTTGGTTGGTGATTCACTAGAGTGTTATCAGGGAGGTATCAGAAGAGGACAGAATCTTGGAAGTGTAAAGTGGTGATGAATGATCATGAACATCAATGGCTTGTGGCTTGGTAACAGTTAATTTAAAATGCGGTCGTAGCACTCATACTGGGTGAGAAATGTGAGGGCTTTGGGGTAATAGGGAATATTATTTTGATTCACGTCTTCTGTCAGGTAAGAAAAGTAAAGTCCGGATTCTTATTCAATTCTTCAGCAAATCCAGGGCTGTCACAGTCAAATAAAGTGATGGGCGATACTGTGAGTCGACAATCTCATCAGACTGAAAATTTCCTCATCTGCGAGTTTGCATGGCTAGTGCGAAACACCACGTCAAAGAAATACCGGTAATGCTAAAAACGCTCGCCATCAAACCCCTGGTACCGCTAGCCCACCGAGATCTGTGTTGGCCTTCCAAGCGATTGCAAATATATATCACTGGCCCGGATAAACATAGAGCCTGCAGCAGGATCCACACAATTTTTTCGTCGAGAGAGTTTGTGTTCCACTCAAAGATGAATGCAAGAAGGAAAAGAAAAGGGATCCCGAAGAGTGCACCCAAAAGTGCACTGACGGTAAGCGAGCCTGCCAGCGTGCCATGCCAGTCTCTTGCCATATCTTCACTGGCAGATCGGTAAAGATAGGGCCCAAGGGTCCCGAACAGTTTGTTGAATTGCGATTCTGAACATTCTCGGAAGTGAGACCCTCGACCATACTCCCATTTATTTGCAGTCTCCATTGCGCTGTTCATGTCCACGTCATGCTTGTGGACCATGAGATGCAGCAGATACTGCCTGATATCTTTTGGGGTTGCATCTGAAGATGGATAGCGCATATTGGGCGGGAGAGAAATAGTCATTGTAGCAAATGAACAACTAGACGGGGAAAAGCACGAAGAATTCAACATGAGACTTTAGTCTCCGACGCTAAAGTCTCACGTCACGATGATCATTTTACATAAGGTGAGAGCAAACACCTGGCATGGACGTTATAATGAAAATAAAGATCATATTTTATTAACATTAACTCTGCTTCGTTCGTTCCTGACCAAGGACTAGTAAAGTTAGGGGAGTGGTGTTGCCACCCGATCTAAGCAAAAGAAGGGGTGGCAGCACCACTCCCCTATTATTTTGGTTCACATCTTCTGCCAGGTGAGAAAAGTAAAGTCTGAATCTTTATTCAATTCCTCAGCAAAGCCGGGGCTGTTTCAGTGGACTAGCAATTAGAATAAGCGATACCTTGAGTCAAAAATCTCAGCAGATTGGACATATACTCATCTAGAACGTCTCCCACCATCGTCTAGGACCAATGCGATGTATGCGAACATAGAAAAAAAGGCAATGATTCCCAAAAAGGCCGCCATAATATCCCAGTCTGTGCTGGCCCACTGAGATCTGTGACGGGTTTCCAGACGATTGCAAAGAAATATCATAGCCGGCGATATCCAGAAAATCCAGAAAAGGCACAGCAGGGTGTTTCGATCTAGCCTGGGGGCAGCGATCGTTTTGTATATGAGGAGTGGAAGAGGGAAGAGAAGAAAGACGATCCCGAAGAGTGCACCGACAGTAAGGAAACCTGCAAATGTATCATGCCAGGCTCTTGCCATGTCCTCACTGACACTTCTGTAGAGATAGGGCCCGAGTGTTCCGAAAAGATGTTTGAATTGTGCCTCTGAGTATTCTCTGAGATGGGACTCTCGGCCATATTCCCACCTACTTGCAATCTCAACTGCAGTATTTGTGTCGACGGCATGTTTCTGGAGCAGCAGATACTCCAAGTACTGTCTGATATCATAGGGGTTTGCGTCTGAAGATGGATAGTCCATGTTGCGTGGGAGAGAAGTCTTCATTGTAGCAGATGAAGAGAAATTAGACAGTTAAAGAAAGATATAAAGCCCTTGAGGTTTTCACAAATCGGCGGAGACTAAAGACTCACGTCACGATGATCATTCCACATGTGTATCTAGGGCAGACATCAACTATATACTGAAATTGAATAGTAAATTAGCTGTGGAATAGTAGTTGATAGTAAATGATGTATTTTACTTAGTCTGCTTATTAAATCTGCTTTGTGCCTTCCTAGTTCTTGATATCAACTTCGGAAGGGCAAGTGAGCATGTCACTGGTCACTTCCATGTCACTTCCATCTCACAGTCAAGAATCCGAGTCTATCCGTATGAAGCTTCGGAGCTCGACCAAAAGCACCGGGATCTATGCACAAAAGAGAAACATCCGTCGACATAACTACAACGGGAACTGGAACAAGCCCGGCAGTGACCGACGTAAGTGTTGCTGGGGACAGCGCTTTCCCCCCTCCACGAACACAAGACGAGCAAACAGTCAACGATTTCCTTGTTGTCTTGTTACAATCATTCACCCCCCCCCCCACTGGCCGGCACTAAGGTGCCAATGGAGATCGGCACGATCGCCCTTCGGGGTTACAACCTTCGGTCAGAACACGATGATTGCTCGAACGGACGGATACCTGGAAGCCGGAGGGCAAGTTTTCGGCATCGTCGAAGTGAAGTCGCGCAATCGATCAAGGATCCATGGCCCCGCTGTGTACTGGCAAAACACGGCGCAAATGCTGACCTTTATCCTCCATAGTGAGCGACAAAGTCTGACCTACCCACTCAGAAGGTGAGTAAAAGAGAGCAACCTCGGATATTTTGAAGGCTGGCTTTAGCATGCTGGGCCTGCTGGCCATCTGGAAACTCGCCTGCTTGCTGGAGGTATGGGCCGAAAAGGCCATAGAATGGTAAGTGTCCCTTGTAAGCATTCATTTTTGGGCTTGGATTAATCCTCATGCAAACAATAGGAGATATGACTTGAAGAGAGCGGAGCGCCGAAAAAAGGCGCATCCTAGCAGCTGAACATCAGCAGCAACAGCGAGGCTTCAGTACCCAGATGAGATGGGCCTTGTAGGACTTTGCTGGTTCCACCTTTCACAACTCCCATCGGGGAGATCCTTTCGTGCTCGCCAACTACCTCAGTCGAGTACAGGTCAGTCAACATATACGGGATATCGTGGACTTGAACTGATTTTCCCGTTAGCAATCAGCACTCATACCAAAGTCTCCAAGTTCCAGAGAAAAACAGAATGAGTGTGTTTGGGCCCATGGGGAACCTGGTGCTTCCTCTTCAGACTGGTTGCCCTTTACGGCTTTTACAGAGCCGTCAAAGTCCTTGAGAAATGGGCTGATAAAGCCATCGAATGGTAAATATTCCCCATAGGCATTCATCCTGGAAGCTTCAACTAATGCTCGAGCAAAGAATAGGTCTTTTAAGAATCGTTGCGAGATCTTTACTTTTGTGACGAATCCCGGAGTCCCGCCGATGCACGTCTTCGCGACATGTACCAACTGGATGCTCAACTGGCCAACAAGCGGCATTTAGAAGAGCAAGATGGTTCAGGGCGAGCAGAGAAGAAAATAAAAGACCAGAAAACGGAACACAACATCGACATTGCGGAAGGGATGGGATCAACAAACCAATGCCTGATGTATACAGACTGGGTGATAGGGCCAGATATCACTGCCAACGAGGTAGTGCAGTTATACGCCCCCCTATTTTCTCCTGTTTGAGTTGGGCAACTGCGTCAAAAACCTCCTATCGGAAAACTTTGATGAGTTTCTCATGATCCTGCAAGCTAAGGGAGAGAGGAAGAAGGGAGGAGAGAAGGAGAGAGCGGGCTAACTATTTACAAACGGGCAAACGGCAAACGGGGCCGGGGCAAACCACAAACTGCTCAACAATCATATACCCCGATGACATCCGCCCCCATCGTCGAAATGCAACTGTCAAGCCTCTACTCCAAGCCTCACGGGGAGTAAACCCCATGAGATCCCAACCGGCCGCTTGATTGTTGGAACAATTCTGGCTCTTGGACCATCAGGCATTGTTGGCATTGGACTCACAATGGTTTTCATCATCGGCTGCTATGAAGGCATCTGTCTCGTGGAGAGAAAAGCCAACAAGGCTATGGACTGGTCAGTACCTCCCACAAGCATTCATTTTGGGATCCGAGACTTCAAGGGCTTGAACTGATGCTCGCGCAAATAATAGCTTATTTGGTACTGAGAAAATCGAACGCGATGGAAAGGGCGGACAAGCTGAACCAGATCTGAGGATCCTCTTATACAACTGGCGAAGGAAGTGAAGCAGCAGCCATTCACCACCAACGAGAGCTTACTCAAAATGACCTTTACTGCATGCCTTCGGTCACTGCAAGCGGGAATGACTCGCTACCAACCCCCGCCAACAGGGGAGAATTCCCTGGAGCCACCATTATACGGCTCTTCATCACAGCTACGCTCTCTGTCCCAGGGAGACGCTTCTCTCTGGTCCCGTGTTTGTGGGCTTCAAAGCCCTATGGAAGGCCGTGTGTGGCCTTGAAAGATGGGACTCTGGCGGAAATTGAGTGGTAAATATCCCCACAGCTGGGGGACAGAGGGGGTATTCAGTGGGAAAATTGGGGGGGGGGGCGGGGAGAAGGTTGGTTTATCTGCGTATGCCAGACCAACTTCGACAATTTCTGTTTTCACCTTTCCCACACTCATCAAAAAACCGTTCGTTCCACCTTCTTCCACAATGAAGCTGGGACTTGTTCTGTCGTCGTTCTCTGTAAGTGACTTTTCATTTCTAGACAGACATACATGTGCGCGACACCGCAAGTTGCTTTCGCGACCACCCCCAGGACGACAATCACCCCCAGTCGCTTTGGGATTGGAACTGATGCCAATATGAACAATAGGAAATATGGCCCAGCCTCCAGAGACGCGAAGTGGCCGACAAATGCTGATGATGTGTTCATCCGGCGGACCTTTCCTGAATTCTTGAACGAGGGAGGAAATGGAAGGAAGAAGAAGTAGGGAAGGGGAAGGGAGTGGAGGAGGTTTGAAGCTATTATTATCTGGTGGGCCTTTCGTTACGTATATTCTTAATGGCAATGGCCAAGGACCATACTATTAGAGAAGCCGACAGCAGAAAAATGTACTTATCATCCAGGCTCCGTTCCAAGTTGCTACAGCAGTATACAGTGGCTCTCTTGGATACTCTCTTGAATACTCTCTTGGATACTCTCTTGGATACTCTCTTGGATACTCTCTTGAATACTCTCTTGAATACTCTCTTGAATACTCTCTTGAATACTCTCTTGAATACTCTCTTGAATACTCTCTTGAATACTCTCTTGAATACTCTCTTGAATACTCTCTTGGATACTCTCTTGAATACTCTCTTGAATACTCTCTTGAATACTCTCTTGAATACTCTCTTGAATACTCTCTTGAATACTCTCTTGAATACTCTCTTGAATACTCTCTTGAATACTCTCTTGAATACTCTCTTGAATACTCTCTTGAATACTCTCTTGGATATAGACCAATTCCATCAGTGATCCTAGATTTTACTCTTGATATCGGGTTATGTTCAAACAAAGCGAAGTGCTCGGGCGGTACGGAGTCCCGGGCCCGGACGCCCGTTGGACCGAGGCCATCTTTCTCTTCTCCAATCACTTCACTCCTGAGCATAGGTATCCAGTTACGCCATGAGAAGCCGAGAAACAATCAAGTCAAGGCAGCAAAGACTTGGCGCGGTGCCTCGGGCGGTATGTTCCCGGCGCCCCGATCTTCCACCGTTACAGGGATGACTGACGCGTTCTGTAGTGCGAAGCGTGCAAGATCCGCAAGGTGTGTCTGATCTCTGTCGGACTCTTTGCATCAGACACTAAGATAGATCTAGATCCGCTGTGACCGGGAGGTCCCCTGCTCTAATTGCCGGGCTTCCGACCTTGCCTGTCAACACGTCAGTGCCGATGCCAACGACAAGTCCGAGAGTCGTACAAGTGCTGGAAAGCTCAAACACCTGTGAGTGCATTTGTGGTCTAAGCAACGCCTGATCTCTCTTCTGTCGTCTTTCTGGTGCGCTGATGTTGGTACAAACCCAGTGAAGCGCAGATCAGCTCCTTGGAGCACCGTCTCCACATTCTTGAAGCCAAGGCCGCCACTCCGGCTGTACATCCATCAGGTGTTCCCAACCAAATAGAAGAAAGGATAGGGTTGGCTTCGAGTGAGAATGAACTTCTCCTTTCAAATGAGGACAGCCGGCCTTTTGAGGGTGAATCATCTTTTGCCGCCCACGCCGTTCAGGCAAGTGAGGTCGTTGGAATGCACGTCGACGATGTATCTGGGAGCGACCCGGCTCTCAAAAATACATTGACACATTTGAACACCCTGCTTCAACCTTTGACCTCGAAGGAGGACTATTCTTTCCATTCTTCGCTGACACCTTTGATGCCAAACATAAGATTACTGCCTGCCGCGTTGGTCATTGGGATGTTACAACGGTTCAAGAGTATGATGCCCATATCCGTCCACGTTTATAATTTTGAAACCTGTACTAATCCATGCAGCACGTTATCCCATATTCCTATCCTCCTATGCTGTGAATGACTTGAAGTTGGTAGAGGGTCTCTGCCAGAGCATCTACTTCCCAATCAAGTCAATCAGCATTGGGCAAATTGCAAGTATGCATGGGATCTTTTACTGTCTTCTCAAAGAGTATGAGGCCATGAAAGACCCACTCTGTCAGCAGTTTGACTTCCCAGCCCAGATTGCCCAATGTGAGAAGAATTTCATCATGGCACTTGAGACATACGAAATCATGTCGGTGCCTTCGTTTGATAACATATTAGGATTGACAATGGGGGTAGGTTAATACCTTTCGGCCAACTATTATCAAGAGACCCAGCTGACGGCTTTGGTATCACAGGCTATTAAAGCACAAGGAGAAGCTAAGCCATTCTTATACTCAAGTCTCATCTCAACGGCTGCTACACACTGCCAGACACTTGGATACCATCGTGACATGACGCACCAAAATCTGCCAGCGGAGAAGGCAGAAAACATGAGACGGCTGTTCTGGGCAGTCTACGTCTTTGACAAAAACACGTCTCTCTTGCTAGGCAAAGCATCGCAAATCCAAGATTGTGAAATCGACACAAGATATCCTTTGGTACCCCTTGACCCGTCCCTTCGGCCTTGGGATGAGTCTTTTATTCTAGGAATCAAGCTGGCAAATCTCCAGGGCAGAATCTATGGTGATCTCTATTCAGCCGGCGCGTCATCGAAATCTTCATATGACCGAGCCGACGCTATCAATCAACTGGTAGCTTCTATGGAGCAGTGGCGGGTCGATCTTGAAAGTGTAAGTGTCATTCAATGAGCCCGTCTCAATATCCGAGCTGGTGTCTAACAGTTTTCCAGATTGACAGCACCGGCGTGAATAACCAACAAGTCTTTACTCTGTCCCGGGGAAATTGGGATATCATGTACTACTCAACACTCACATCCATTTTCCGCGCAGCATCGCCACAAGGAACAGGCTCGGAGATTAACGCAGACTGCTTCCGAGCAGCCCGTCTCGGGTTGAAATCCCATCTCAGCTGTTTCCCCCAGTAACAAGAAGCGAAGCTTCTTTCTGAAAGTGACTATGTGAACTGGTATATCACGCAGACCCCTTGACAATCACTGCCACAATTTCATTACTAACTCTCGCAGTGTCCTTCTATTCTCATCCTTTACACCTTTCATCGTAACATTCCTCCACGCCGTGGCATCAAAAAGCCCAGACGATATCCAAATCCTCGAAGATGTAGTCGACACATTAAAAGGCGTTAAAGAAGCATCACGCGCCTCAAGACGTCTTTATAAACTATGCAGCACATTCGCATACCTTGCAAAGGTACTATCTCAAATGAGCGGCTCATTTGTCGGAATCTACAACCCCCGTCAAGACTCCCTGCAATTAGCAAATGGGTCAAGCCAGCCTGTGTTTCAACCTGATCTTTTCCAGAATGCTTTGGATGTTGATTTCACGGATTATCTCAGTCCGATGGGTGTATCTGCCGTTCTGGATGGGTGGGCTAAGAGACAGCCTTTGTCGATGAATGTTTTTGATTTCAACTCCATTTCCGAGTAATCTGTCAGGGTTCTCGACTGGGTTCTTTTCAATGCTCGAAAATATAATCAAGATAACTCGTTGAATTTGGATTCTTGTACACTAGCAGTGTGATATGAACGAAAGTAACCTGCACTTATATTCTCATTCCAGCTGATCCGATTCTCGACTCTCGATTTCCATTGTCTGGACGCTTATTTGCACTTTCCGGTCGCGGCGTTGGCCTCTTGCTGTTGTAACAGGTCAACAATACTCCTTTTAGTCTTGACGGACATCCACATACCACACATAGGTTAGAGGCGCAGTTGCCCATACTTCCATCCTTCTTGCAAGTTCCACCGGATTGGATCTATAAGTTCATGAGCATAGTTCTTCCAAGGGTCGTCAGTGCACATACGGTAGCAGCCATGGAGAAGCCGACGAAGGCGAGGGTAGAGAAGATGGTGAAGCGCATGTTGGATTGTGTTGGTAAGAGAGAGAGTTGCTTTCTTGTTTGTGATTCTGAAAGCTAACCTTGGATCATCCAGCCCTATTTATACCCTGATCCCCACGCCCGCCCTCGGTCCAAGTTGAGTCCGGTTATTTCGGGTTGCAAAAGTGGACTCGACGATCTTCATACAAAGATCTACAGTAATGACGATTGAAACCCACTATCAGTCTTGGGCTCGACACATGTTTGGAACTATTGCATTTACGATCCTTGGGAAGTTGTTAGTTTGTCCCATAGTTAGTTACTTAAGTAGTTAGTTGGCGGTTTTCTACTATTGACACTCCTGAAGTCAAAGTTGACAATTGAACTATGAGAATCCATAATATCCCCCACAACAAATCTTGGAACTCAACTATGACATTCGCTTGGATATAGTCTCGGCCATAGGGATGTAATATTACCCGAAGCTTCGTAGACACCTTGTATACAACCCAGGACTCCCCACTCCCCACTGCGTATATCTGCCCAGGTGAGTGTTTCGGATCTAATATTACCCCTAGAATTCAGGAGCCTAGAGCTATAGCTATGACGATCCATGGATATTCTGGAGTATCTCCCGATGTCGTAAATTTACTGATCTTCTGGTCAACTACCTTGTTCGGAAGGCATTTTATATCACCCCCGGGGCCGACTAAAAATAGTCGTTTGCCGAATCGTGCCAGATAGAAGATTGATGTCAGTGAATATAGTAGCATTGACGCGATCAATTGGCATTGATTGACTTAAACTTAGAAGGCACGTAATGGATCTCTTTGACGTGTGCGGTGGGTGGGAAGTGGAAAGTACAAGGGTCGACATGCACTTCAAAAATGGTTGTGATATACCTAACAGCCCGCAGGATGAAACGCTGGCATGACACTAGAAATCCTTCTAGAGTTACTATCGTGAACTACGCATTTGCAACTTGATGAAATCTAATAACTTATTGAATCGACCGTAGTCGAGATTATATTGTGTAAAATCTAACTCGAGAGTAAAACAAGATAGAAAGGAAAAAGGCAAGGGAAAGTTGGTACAAAGAATGTACATGAACGCATCAGCGTTGACAGGGTATGCAAGATAATATGTATACAAAGCGATGCTCCAAAGGAACCTGGAGGTTCAAAGTCGAGCTCGAACCGGTCCAAATCAAACTCACCAACCGAACACCTCGGCCACGCTGAGGGTACTCCACCGCACGCCACCGACAGCAAAGATCATCAAGACCACGTCGACGACGGCTAGGACGACGGCGCCGGTCATGAATCTCGGACTAAAGATTCGGTAGAGCATTAGGTGGCGGCGGAGATGGCCGGCCCACATTGTTGTGGCGAGGTTGATAGTTGCCAGGTATAGGATGTGGGTTGTGACAGCCTGGACGACATCTGAGAGGATGCGGGTAGTTGGGTTTTTGTTTGGGTTTGAGGCTGGGACACGGTCGTGTGTTTGGAGGGGTCGTTTCCAGAGGACGGTGAGGGGGACAGCGATGGCGGCCAGGATTTGAGCACCGAATGTGTTGAGGATGACTAGCAGTGGGGACCAGGGGTATTTGATTGTGGAGAGGGGGATGAAGGCTGTTTCCCATTGGATGCTGGAGAGGGTTGCTTGGTGGCCTGTTTTGAAGAAGTAGAATGAACCGAGGAGGCCGAGGATTACGGGGCCGATGGAGGAGTTGGACATGGTTAGGTTGTTTGTGTCGAGGATTTCGAGGAGGGAGAGGATTTGCCAGAGGAGGAGGGCTATGGCGCCTTGGCCCATTGGCTTTTGCATGAGGATGATTGCCAGTGCGAAGTTGATGACGAGGAAGAAGAAGCGGGTTCCGTAGACGTTGCCGAAGCCCAGGATGGTGACGGTTTTGCGAGGGCCTGTTTGTTGGCCTGCGATGAAGGGGGCTGGAGGGGCGTTGGGGTCTTCTGGTGGTGGGGGTTGTGTGGTGACGCTGATGCTGACGCAGGGCTTGGAGTAGATGTAGGCACCTGTGCCTGCTGCGAATGCTAGAGCGAGGACAAGTTGCGCAAGGAAAACTCGCAAAGACTTGAGTGTTTCCGTGCTCAAAGGGAGCCATTCGCCGTCATCGGCGCCTTCAAGCATCCAAAAGAGTGAGGTGATGAAGAGGCCGAAGCGGAAGGCTGTGCCAATCCACAAAGATGCAGCACCTTCGTAGGACTTGGAACCAGTGTAGAAAGAGCGAATGACACTGGGTAGGAATACAGTCACCAAGAATGGAATGGCCAGTTGCCATGGGGCAGAAATAGAGGAGGTGGAGGATGCATAGTAAGTAGAGCGGCAGAAGGGCATTTGTTCTTCACGGCAGAGGCGAGAGAACGATGCAAGGCGGCCTAGGATCACAAAGAGGACAGAGTGGTACACACCCAAGACGCGGTCTGTGGTCTGCTCCTGACGCATGGATGAGATACCCGCGCACACACCAAAGGTAGTAAGGAAGAACAGGAGGATCTCATCCTCCCAGATGGTGTATGAGTTTGAAGCGAACCCAATTGACTGGGACACCGTGAAAAAGAATGCAAGCCACCCCCACATACCAGTGGGAAGAGGCAAGCTCAAGCTAGCCGGCTTGGTGAAAATCGCCGGCAGAGCACCGATGATACTTCCAGCCGCGGCAAAAAGAACGAACCCATCAATGACGCCCGTTTCAGTAAGACCAGTCAGGCCAAACGCAGAGCCAGCGATGGCACCAATGCCACCACCGACACCAGCAGACTGTAGCAAACTAGTGGTAATCTGAGTGCGATCGTTCTTCAAGCCCCGAGCGTATACTACCAAGTAAGCAATCCCAGCGATAAGGATCACAACACCCTGGATCATGCTAGGAACATCGAATCGGGCCCAGAGGTCACGGCAAATATCCAGCGTGTGACGCTGGTACTTGCGGTAGAGTTCATTGCTAGCCCGAGCAGCAGTCGTCTTCGAAAATGTCCTCGAGGAAGACTTCCACTCTTCCTCGGCGGCAGTCCAAAGCAACATCGACTCATCGTCATCACTAGCCCCTCCGATAACAGCATATTGATGCTGGTATCTCTTCACCTGCGCAGCAGCAAGTCGATTAACAGTAGCTAGATTAGCCCAGTTATCTCCCTTGGGGCCAGAAAAGGCCTCTTCGATAGGCGAGCCGAGGTTGTTGAATGGGATAGGCATTCCAAGTAACAAAGAGAGCGTCGGGACGAGATCGATTTGCGGAACAAATCGATCGCGGGCATGTTGAGGCGGAAGGAGTGTATCTTTGCTTGTTCGGCCGAACAGTCCGCGCTTCGAGTACATCCACAGAGCGGCCTCGATTTCATCGGCGGATTCACCGCCGTGATCGCCCTTGGTGTCCATTCCATGATCACCCATCACGACAAGCAAGGTATCATCATCTAAGGCGGCGATCACATCGCGAATAACGCGATCCATTTCCTGCAGCTTAGATGCCATGGCAGCGTGGTTGGGGCCGTATCTGTGGCCTGCGTGATCAACACCCAGGTAGTGTCCGAAGATGACGTCCCACTTGGAGCTATTCTCCGGACGGAGGAGGGGGAAGAGATGCTCTGTAACGCCGTTGTCGACGGTGTGCAGATCCCAGACGTTGAATGAATCATAGGCGTGCGTCAGGTTGGTATCAAAGTAGCCTGGGAACAAGGCTTGCCAGGTATCGTCGCCGAGGTGGACGAGGTTCTTCCCATTCTTGAAAAGTTGCGCGACCAGGTTGTCCTCGTCGATGGCTGTTCCGGCAAAGTTCGAGCCTGCTTCGAGGAAGGTGGGGAGAGTTCCGGTTGTCAGGCCCTTCAGGCGGTTCAGAGTGGTTGTCGGAGGGTCCGCGATGAAGGGGAGGAGGAAAGCGTTGGCGGGGTTTTTGACTGCCGTCTCGTAGAGAATGGGAATGTTGTCGTGGAAGAGTTGGCTTTGCTCGTCATCAGTCGAAGCGAATGGAACGGTGAAGTCGTATCGGAGGGCATCAATGATGATCACAACGGCTTTGTCGAATGTCTTCTCATGCCAGCAGCCTTTCTGGACATTTGCCGGTGTCTGTAAAGCCACATCTTCGAAAGGCAGAACGTCGCATGAGGATTTATTCTCGAGAACCGTGCGCGTGAGTAGGAACCCTTTGGTGAACAAGTAGATACCTGCGATATGCAAGAACCTACGGCCATTCTAGTCAGTCCTGCGCTCTGTTCACGTTTGGAAACCTTGTCAGGTCTCGCGGAAACGGCTCACAATATCCAACCCAGGACACCCATCACGCCTACGTGCTTCGACCTGAACTCGTCTTCAAGCTCCATCGCTTGGTGATCCGCCACACCCTTCTGGTTCCCCTTGGGCTGCGGAGCACCTTTAGGGGCATTGGACTTCGGGACAGGCCCCGCGGAACCCGGGGTAGCTGTCATTTTCGGAGGGTGTTAGGGTGTTGCAATCGGGTCGGGAGAAGCTGGCGCGCCAGCTCGCGGGTAAGGAGGGGACCACAGGGGGTTCGACTTGGTCCGTGACGGTGGACGCGAGCTTGAAATGGGAATTCTAAAGGACAGGGAAGCCGGGAACAAGCACAATGCTGTTGAGCCGATTGAGGTCGGAGACCGTGGAGGTCGAGAGGGGCGGATGCGAAACCCTTGATGTGCTCGGGTATGAGCGGCTTCCCTATGGACCTTGAGGTCTACAACAGGAACATCATATACAAGAGAAAGTCCAATCAGAAGCTGGTGAAAAGCAAAAAAATTACCCTGTCGCGGATCAAGCGGTTGAGTGGGTCACTCCTATTGGCTCCGAACGCACTATAACTACGGGGTGCTGCACACAACGAAAATCTCGAATTGCGGATTTGCCTGAATATGGCGACATATAGACTAAGTACATACATTAACCAGCTGCCGGGTACCGGTAGAAAAAGGCACAGTAGAAGTGAAGTAAAGTGAAGAGGCCCCCCGAAAAAATATCAAAAGGGAAAAAAAAGGAGGGGCCCCGTAAAGTGGAGGAAAGAAGGAGAAAATGAAGCAGAAAAGGACACATGTGTTAACAAGCCCTAGGGTCGTGTCAGGGCTGAAAGGGACAAGATCCAGGCTCAGAGAGAAGAACGCCAGAGGGTAGAAAGAGAAAAATCGGCAGGCCCTCGCTATGAACGAGCCGGTTTCAGATATATCCACCAATGCGGGGGGTGGCCTTGGAGTGGCGAGTGACTCCAGATGGACGCGGGGAAAGATCAAAACCGGCATCCGCCTATGTGCAAGCCGTGGAGGCCAAGGAAATGGATATGTAGAGGTAGAATCGCAGATATTCGCCAGGGTACTCGTGATGTTTTGGGTCGTGGAAAAGTGGTGGAACTGGACAGAGAGATGGAAAATTCCGTGCGGTCATGGGTAAGTTGGATCACCATTCACGCTTTAACGGTATGTCTCTTCCTTCTCCTTGAGTCCACCCATGCGCTCAATGTCGAGGGATTGGAAACGACCAGTGTCGTTAGATTGGTAGGGAGGGAGTTCTTCGTGACAGGGCTCCAGGCCGACGCTGCCAGCATCGCTGATTCTCACGATGACCATGCGTCCGGACTTGCGCTTACCACTTTCATCCTCTTCTTCGGGGAAAGTGATTCGGATCTCGGGAACAGGGCTGGGAGGGGGGCTATCGGAGTTCTCCATCAGGCTTCGCTTTTCGTCATAAACCATGACAGAATCGGTTTTGTTGGTGGAGATGGTCAAGCGGCGGCGGTGGTCAGGGGATTGGCCATTATAGACAGGGAGCAGATTCTGATTGCGGTTGTTACGCTTCTTGCGGCGGAGGATCAGCAGTCCACCAACTAGGGCAAGGCCCAGGAGAACGAGCACGAGGAGGGCAATCATCAGGTCGAGCATAGTATTGGAAAGGCCGCCATCGCTGTTATCGCGGGCAACAAGTCTGGGAAGTAGATTGGTCATTGTGTCGGTTGAGGTTTGATTTTTCGTATTGTTTTTTCTCTGGTTGTCGTGTGTCGGGTTGTCGGTGTTGATACCGTGCAGATTGTTGGGTCGCGACAGATATGTATGTGATCGTCGATGTCGAATGCCACAGTTTCAGGATTGAATCTGGGGAAACAAACAGTCGCGGAATGCTCGGGTCTCAAGGGGACCGAAAAGGGGGTTTGAACGAAAGTGATGGGAAGTTTAAGGAAAGAATGGACAGCAAGGTGAGCCGCTGAAAGAGTGAAGCTGGCACCTGCGAAGAGAATGATGAAGAGAGAGGGAAGAATGAAGGGAAAACAGGGAGAAGAGGAGAAAGTGAGCAGCGGTGCCTAGAACCGCCTGGTTTCTATTGTTGGTGGAGAGCTAAGCTATTTAAGGCTTAGCTTCGTTCCTTGGGTGATGCCGCCCCTCTTGGCTGCAGTGGTTGGCCAATCACAGCCCTCCAGTGCCTGGTTGACCCTCTGGGTTGTGTCCACTTGGGTTCGTCTCCACTGAACTATGCCCGTTTGTGATGCCGTTAAGTTCCCCTGAAATTGCATTTGGTGCTTCTAGATCTTGATCTTGTAGACATACATTCTGATACACTGTGATGCACTGCCAATTTGTGAGAAAATTCCGGGTCTGGTGGAATTAGTATGGACTTCAGGAGTACTCTTTACCGCGACCGGGGTCGCACGAGCGCGAACGGTGATGAGAAAAGAAACCCTAAATGACGTGAGATGATTCGCTATCACGCCTCGGAAACAGGTCCGAGGCCAAGTTGGAAATGAATGTCTCACTTGAGCATCGGGGGAGATTAGATCTGATGCATTGCACAGCGAGACATGTAAACACCCCTATGACGCGTGATCAAGTAAACATTAACTGGAGTAAATAGCAACCAGTGATGATCAGTGAAACATTAACAGAGCCGTAAAGGCGAGAGAACACGACTCATCACTGTCCTATTGGGTTGAGACAACTTTGGGAGTCACAGGTAGTTTCTACTTAAGTACAGTGACTGAATTGTTAGAATGGTTAACCGTGTTCGAGATGTTTGAGCATATACGGTGGGTCGTTGGGGCTGTAGAGGAAAGTATCTTAGGGCTTGATCAAATACTTAAGTACTTCTAAAGTTAGTAGAACAAGTCCTGCCATTTGTATGATTTAGATGGTCATACTCAAGTACGGAGTACATATGTATGTTCCATGGATATTAGAGTAAAATGATTCGATACGAACATGTTCACACCAAAGTGCTTTGGTCGCGTGAGATACCCGTTGACTCCGTACTCCGCACAAAGATATATATAGCCTCAAATTTCGTCCCATCCCAGCAAGCAACCAAGTATGGTACCAAACATGCTCGAAACAATTTCTAAAATTTCTCCATCTGTAGTCGAACCTATGTAAGTACTTATGGAGTACTCCGTATATGGGTGCAATGTTACGTAGACTATAGAAAACTACTTAAGTACAGAGCCGAACTCAAAGCAAATGCCACTGGAGCGGAAGACTTGGTGCGCACGAAGGGTCTACAGCCCTGGAGGTGCATCGCCCTCCATGTCGCCAGGTCAGTAATTAGAAGTAGTTTAAAATCCCTGCGAAATGCCGGTCTACTACTGTATTTTGGAAGAATAGTATGCTAATGGTTTTCGAAACTTTTGCCCGCTTCAAATGTGGTATTTGCCAAATACAGTACTTGAAAAAAGACCCTACAAAAGACCCTACAAGTATAGTATTTGAAAGGTATTTCAAACCTTAGAACTATTGGGCAGGCTGCATGGCTGGTTCATTGGGTCGGAGAATAGCTGATACACATACGGACAAGTCTACCGGTACACCATGATCCCAACTTTGAAAGCGTACTCATGGTTTCCTGCCAGTCTGCTTTTGTACTCTGAAACCACCAGTCCAGCGTTTGCCACATGATGTGTCAAGTCCGAGCTGCATGTACTTCTCCTGCTCGCATGGGCTGCGCCGCCACATCGGAAGCACACAGCACCAGGGCACGCGGTCCCGGTCCCACAAGCCCGACAAACAGAGGGCTAGTGCGGAGTATTTAGTTGTTTGCGTCTATCTGCCTATGTCGAATTTCCCGCTACTCAAATACTGCCCAGGCGGGGACAGGATCAAATGACAGGTCGAAACCACTGTACCTACTTGCTCATGACTATATATTGGTGTCCGTACCTACAGATATGTATCCACGACTCAAGAAACTTTAGTACCTGGCCGTAGAGCCTCCCGAGGTCCAGGGCTCTGCACATAGCAAGGACTCGCTGGCTTGCATCAGGCTGCATGGATATATTGTGACAGAATTGGCCGTGCATGAGTGTTACTGCGCCAACCTTGGGAAGTGGGCAGTGTAAATAGAGGCCATATACTTAAGTAGAGGCTCTTAAGCGTCATCAGAGCCAATTTTATCATGCGGGATATGAGCCCCTCGATGCGATATTATGTACGAGTATATATCACGCCAAGAGTCAACTTTAGGAAAAATTCAGAACTTCTACACATACACCCCGCCAAGGCGACATCGACAACCCAACCAACACGTCACCATCCGTGACCGACCAAAAGAATCCCTGTAGAAATATTCCGTACGAAGTGCTTACCGTAGGGAATGCGGTCAGAAACGGCCAACACATCGGATTCGATAGGTCACAAAGCCGGAGAAAGGCCGATCACCACCCCAACTAGAATTGAAGTCGCGCTCAGATCAACGGGAATCGGACGCAAGGCAGTGCTCTCAGATCCGGGGAAGATGCGAGTGATGGTCTGACACTTGGTGCGACGGCGCAAGGATTCGCCCAGCGGTGTATCCCCGTTCTGTCCCACGGCTTTCTTTGGAATTGCCGAATGACACTGCGACTACCTCATGTTCGATTCTGATTTTGATATCTCGGCAAATGGGTTTAGAGACATGCCAGATGACGGGACATTTGAGCTGGGCCCTTAGGTTTTGGGAAGGGTCAGTGTGACGATTTCGAAGTAAGGGGCTGGCCGAGTCTATGGAAACCTGTTTTTGATTTGGTGTTTTGGTTCAGTGTTTTGGTTTGTCTGTTTTTTTTTTGTTTTAGCATTGGACTATTGGTGGTTACTACGAGTATGTCCCTCTTGATCTACGGTTTCATTAAAATCAAGGGAGTCTATGGTCGTTGAAAATGGTGTATAATGGCAGACACGATGAAACAAGAAAAAGCAAATATGAAAAGAAAAACCAAAGACAAACCAGCCTGGACTCGAAACGAGGGTTCCGGACAGAGCCGAATGTCTATTATATGAAGAAAGCTAAAGGGCTAGGCTAATATCAGGAAGATCAGGAATTTCAGGAACATAAAGTGTACCTTACCTAGGAGCTAAGGGTGGGCCCGGAAACCTTCACTCAGGCACACCTGAACACCCATGGTCAAGCCTTTGGGCAGGGAGTTCAGTGGAGAGGAACTCTTGGCCGGGGTGACTTCAGGGTGTCTCGTTCACCATGCCGTTCCAGTGGTTCAGCCCGAGGAGTTACTCAAAGGAGTATTACGGGAAGATAGTCAAAATGCCATTGAAGAGTGAAGAATCGAATTTAGATGTAAAGACGTACGAATAGAGAAAATCGAATGGGGCCAGGCTAAGAAAGAAGCGCCGGAAGTTAGATCGCGGTGACGGGCCAATACACAAGCCAGGACCCATTGATGGCTGAAAAGTACTTCTCTTAGTATGCAGTCACTCACTACTAAAGAAGTACCCCCAGTACCAGCCAGGATCGACCTGTTCTCAGTGTCACCGTATTACCCAACCATACAGCGGCTGATCTGCCCAAAGAATATTCGCATTTTCTTCGTTATCTATTGCTTCGTTCCTCACCTTTTCCTCTTCTTCTCTTCTACTCCCTGCGTGGACTTCTGAATTCTTAGCCCGCTTCATCTAGTTCTCGCTTCGAGTCTTTTTTTTTTCTTTTTATCGTTCCTGTTATCCCCACGACAATACACCAACAAAATCCCTGGGGCTGTCATGCTGGCGCCTGTGTGACAGCTGGACTACATTAAATGCCTTGTCTCTCGCCTACATTCCCTTCGACCCACTAACTGTTTTGCGCGAGCGCATTCCCGCCTCTCTCCCAAATTCGACAATCACTCCCCCCCCCGATCAACCCCCCCTTGCGTATCAATCTAGGGTCACCCTGATTAACCCATTCTCCCACGCACATGAGGACGATCGACACAAAGGAGATTCCTGGAGCATGCACGGAGCAGAGTAACATCGCGACGCCCCAATTCTGAACCCTCCGGAGACTGCCCCACTGCCAAACGAAAGGGTGATAATAATCGTTATTCTTTGTCACCTTGCATCTTTCTATCGCTGTCAGGCGAGATCGTCCACCCGTTCAGCATTTCTCGAGCTGTTCCTCCCTTCCGTCTCCCTTCCTCTTGCTCCTGTATAATCTGTACATGTCCAGGACCGAGCAGGAAGAAATCAACAGTTCTTCGAGTCGCTCTTTCTTGTGATCCCCTTCTATCCCCTCCTTTGGTGAGTGCCTCCTCCAGGTCTCCAGGTTTCTAGGTGCTCCTCCATCCTGGATCATCGCTAACCAGTCCTTGTGCGATCGCAGTCTTATATTCCCTCGTGTACGCCGTCTCTGGTGCCTGGTGCCCGCTTGCAAATACTGGCCGACACAGCATCCGCTCTCTCTCACCATCTCTCTTGTCATTTACACCACATTCTCTCGCCTCTTCTTCTCTTTCGCCGTTTGAGTACATATCGAATTACTTCGCCCATCGAATATTCCCTGGAATGGCTTCTACCATGGCCGCTAATGCATCCAGCGTACATAACGTAAGTGGGAAACCCACTTGGCGGTGGGGACAATCATTAACACTCTATCAGGCACGATCGAGCCGAACGTCCAACATGGGTTCATCCGGAATGAATGATCGTCCTCGTGGATCGCAGAACAATAGCGTCGGGAAGGGTTTCGGTGCTGGCAAGTCGAGCTGGAACAACAACATCTGGGGTGATTCCAATCTCGGTGGATTCGGAGATGGTAAGCGATTGCCTCCAATTGCGCATGGGCGACCACTAATACAGCCAGACCAACACATCAGCGAGACTGCATTTGAAGGGAAGTCGGGCTCTGGCTCTCTGCTCTCCACCTCCGAGTCGGATGGTTGGGCGGGACGTTCCAACCTGCCCTGGGGAACTGTGAACACCAACCAGACCTACCAGAACAGGGGCCTAGCCACCTCTCCAATTCAAAACCGTGGAAATGACCGCAGCGCCCCCGCGATGAACGAAACCGGCGATAGCTCCTACTTCGCGTTGCCTCGCACCACTGGTATGGGCGCATCTGCTGTCACCGCTAGTCACCGCCCTTACCTCCAGACTGGGTCAGAGGGTGTCTCTCCTTCAGGTGATGGCATTACGTTCGGTGGATTCTCGGGTCGACGACAGATGAGCTCTGGCCTCGGTGGTAGCCCGGTCGGAGCCAACTTCCCAGGCAAGCCTGGCTTCTCAAACCCCCTCGATGGTGCCCGCACGGACGATATGGCCGGTATGGGTATGGGATCGCTGGGGTCTGGCATCCCCGATTCCATGTCCCCAACTCAGGCTCGTGCTGGTCTCTCCCACGCCTCTCATAACTCAGCCTCCTACGCAGCCCAACGGCCGACTCATTCCGCGCACCCCTCGTTCTACTCCGATAACCAGAGCACAGATGGTCGCTACGCAAGTGGATCGATGGATTTGAACGCCAGCTTCAACAAGCTTCAAATGAATGACGGCGCTTTCATCGCCCAAGGTGGCCAACGCCCATCGTACATCCCTCACGCTTCCTTCGACGGGACATTCCCCCGCAACAAATATCAAAATGACGAGGCCGCGTATCAGGCACTCGGCTACAACTCTGAGTCTGCACAGGATCTCCAGCTGGCTTACCAAGCTCGTTCCCGTGCTGGGAACACAGGGTCCATTTCACCCTCCGACTATGCTCGCATCGACAGTCCCATCTACTCCGGCGTCGATGGTGCGGGTCAGTACCGCGCGGCTGGAGACAGCCACGCAGCTGCTTTCGAACGCAGACTTCGCGTTCTCCAAGAGCAGGAGCTTGCACAAAGTTCCCAGAGAATGCAATACCCGCCTTCTTACGACTACCAGGCCTACCAGGCTTCTCGACTCAACGCTCTGTCCGGATTCTACCCAGTAGCGCAACTGAGCAACCTTGGAGCCGCCGCGTTGGTCTCCCGCACGCAACGCGAGGCTGATACCGCCCAGGTTGTTCGCAGTCCGCTTCTCGAGGAGTTCCGCGCCAACAGCAAGGGTAACAAGCGCTACGAGCTGAAGGACATCTACAACCACGTTGTTGAATTCAGCGGTGACCAACATGGCTCCCGCTTCATTCAACAGAAGCTTGAGACTGCCAACAGTGACGAGAAGGAGCAAGTGTTCCGCGAGATTCAGCCCAACTGTCTGCAGCTCATGACCGACGTCTTCGGTAACTACGTGGTTCAGAAGTTGTTTGAGCACGGTAACCAGACTCAGAAGAAGATCCTCGCCAACCAGATGCGCGGACATGTCCTCGCCCTCTCCACCCAAATGTATGGCTGCAGAGTGGTGCAGAAGGCACTCGAGCACATCCTCACTGATCAGCAAGCTGCCATGGTCAAGGAGCTGGAGAATCACGTCCTCAAGTGTGTTCGCGACCAGAACGGTAACCACGTCATCCAGAAAGCCATTGAGCGTGTGCCTTCTCAGTATGTTCAGTTTATCATCAACGCGTTCCGTGGCCAGGTCAACCGTCTCGCTGCCCATCCCTATGGTTGCCGTGTCATTCAAAGGATGCTCGAGCATTGCGAGGAAGTGGATCGCCAATCTATCCTGGCTGAACTCCACGCTTGCACCTCCAACCTCATTCCGGATCAGTTCGGTAACTACGTCATTCAACACGTTATCGAAAACGGTGATGAGCCAGACCGGACTCGCATGATCGATATCGTCATGGGACAGCTGCTCGCCTACTCCAAGCACAAGTTCGCCAGCAATGTCGTGGAGAAGAGCATTGAGTTCGGTGCCGAGCACGAACGTGTTCACATCATCACCACTTTGACTTCTGCGAATGATCGCGGCGAGAGCCCTCTGCTTGGTCTGATGCGCGATCAATATGGCAACTATGTCATCCAAAAGGTCCTCGGTCAGCTCAAGGACGCCGAGCGTGAAGCTCTGATCGACCAGATCAAGCCCCTCCTCAGCCAGCTCAAGAAGTTCAGCTATGGCAAGCAGATCGTTGCCATTGAGAAGCTCATCTTCGACCCTAACGCGCCGGTCACCGGATTGTCCAACACCACCTCGACCACCCCTCCACACTCCCACAAGTCCTCCCCTCAGCCTCTCAAGCGGTCCATTCCCACCGAACAGCCGCGGGCCTTTGGCAATGCACCACCGACTCCCCCACCTACCGACCAGGCTGTCGACAGTACCCTCGAGTCCAAGGGCCTCGCCAAAAGTACCGTCACCACAGTTTCCAGCCCCGAGACAGGCACCGGCGTCCCGGTCGACGTCACCAGTGCCCACTAATTCGTTGCACACTTTACACCCGCTCGCCATAAACTTTCTAATGCGACCGAGCTTCTTGTCTTCTATCTAATACGGGCGTATACATACCGGGAATCAGACGCAGTCTGTGATTCCCTCACCCACGGCGCAGGGCCTGTCATTTTTAACCCGATCTATCCCCTATCTCGGTCTATCTCTTATTTTTTTATTTGTTTCTTGACACATTCTTATGACGTGATTTGAGGCGTTCAAGGTTGGGTTTCTGCTACGGAGAAAATACGAAAATACGCATCCTGTGGCACACGCCTGTTTCTTTGTTCAAAGTCGATTATGTTGACGGTTTCGCATCATGGTGTTTGTCAACGGTGTTCTTGCTTCTGCCTCAACTCGGCCAGGGTCTTCCGGGATTCCTTGGTCGTGCTGATATCACGTCGTTTACTTCTTGCTCGTGGCTGTATTATCAATGCATTATGACTTGCCTTTGCTCTATATCTTCCATATTGTAGACTGTAGTGCGGAGTATGTACTTCACCTCCATCCAAGATCCAATCCCCACAGCGGCAAATGCTTAACTCGAAACCGACGAACGCCCCAAACCTTGTTTCGACCTCATCTCCGTGTCATGCACGTGACACCACGTGACCGATAAGATAGCTCCAATTTCATACATTCGCATTCGCGACTCACCACACCCCATATCCTCAAAGCCCAGGCCCAAGAACCCAATCGGGCAAACAAAACCCACTTACAAAACCTCTACTATCTACACGACACCACACTTGAATACACATCCACCAACGTGGAACAACCCCCAAAATGTCCTCCAACGTCGGCCTCACAACCCCCCGCGGCAGCGGAACATCAGGCTACGTCCAACGAAACACAGCCTTCATGAAACCCCGCAACACAGGCTACGGCGCGCCATACCCGCCCGTGTCCGGCGCAAACGGACCAGATCGCCCCTTCAAGCAGCGGGTGCCTGATAAGCAGATTCTGGAACATGATCGGAAGCGCGCTATTGAGGTTCAGGTTATGGAGGAGCGGGACCGATTGGAGGAGGAGAATGAGAGGATTGAAGAGGAGATGAAAAAGAAGGGGAAGAGCAGCAAGGTTAAGAAAGAGGGGGAGACTGAGGGTGAGATTAAAAGTGAAGATGAGAGGGTTCTTGGGGATGAGGATATTGATGAGAGGTGTGAGGTGCTGAGGCAGAGGTTGCTTTCTGAGTTGGAGGTTGAGATGGAGAGGGGGGAGAGGAAGATTGATAGGAGGAATTTGAAGTCTTATCGGGTTCATGAGCTTGCTGAGGCGAAGATTGAGGAGACGGAGAGGTTGAGGAGGGCTTTTGGGTTGAAAGAGGATAGGGAGACTGGGGAGATTACTGGGTCGAGGGAGAGACGGAGGGATTGAATCTCTCTATCTTGCATTTTTCTCGCCTATTCATATATTCTTGTTCATGGGTTGATTGATGAATTATCCTCTCTTATCTTTTTGCATCATGTTTATGGGGCTGGGCGTTCAACGGAATGGAAATCGTTTTTCTACTTTTAAACAATTGGATATCTCTTCGTTCTAACGGTACATCACGACACGAATTTCTCAATCACCCATCCCTCCTTGGGATCCTTCTTTTGAACAACCTTCTTAGCAGGCAGTGGCCATCCCGTATTACCTGCGTCACCAACCAGCGAGGGAATGACCCAGCAAGATCTACGCGGAGGCACACCTTCAATAGCATCCGCCTTCCCAATCGGCTTGCCATACTCGATGAGCGGTGTTTCATGCGCAATGGCAGAAAGCTGCAGACCACTAGGCACAACGAGTGGGAACATGCGAATCTTAGGGATTTGATCACCAACCAGCGCGGCAGACTGCTGCAAATGCGAGTAAGTGATATACTGCGGCATTTCCTTAGGAGTCAGCTGTGCAAGCAGGGAAGAGGGATGAACGTAGACGGCACGCTCAACGAGATCTGTTCCCTTTCCATCCCGTGATCGGAAGAGAGTGAGGTATGGGACGTCGATTGCGCGACGAGGAGCGCGGGGGATCTCAGGCGGGACGGGAGCCAGGTCTGCGCGGATAGCGACTTGGTCGATGAAGCCTGCTGTGACGATTTGTTTGAGGGCTTTGATTTGCTTGGGGGATGGTTCTGGGAGACGGGGTGTGTATGTTGGGACCAGACCGGGGTTGTTGGAGCGGACGATGTCGGTCAGTTGGCGGCGGAGTTGGGTTGCTTCTTTGAAGGCCTTGGCACGGAGGAACATTTGGTCTGCGAAGGCATCGCCGTCTGAAGCGTAGCCGTATGCGCAGATTGCAGAGAGGGATTTGAGGGCGTCGGAGGTGTCGTCGTGTTTGGAGAACAGGCGGTGGGCACGGGCATGGGCTTTGGATTTTTGTTCGCGCGCTGTATCCTCGATTCGATCTGCGTTTGTGTAGACCTTGCGCTCTGTGTCGCTGTCGCTGTCACTGTCTGAGTCGTTCTTCTTGTTCTGGGCCTTGGGCGGATCCAGTTGGTTTTGGGGGATGAAGAGATCGCTGACTGCTAGCGCGGCGACGAGTGCGATCACGTACGGCATACAGCCGTGCTGGTGGCCGATGTGGAGCATCTTGCTGAATCGGGGAGAAAGGGGGTATGTAGAGAGACGACGGCCGATTTGCGTGACTTGGCCATCAGATGATAGAGCGCCGAGGTTTTTGAGCAGCTTTTCAGCCTTGGCCAGACCTTGACGGCTTGGGGGCGTGGGGAATGGGAAGTTAATGACGTTGTGTAGACCCATGCTCTTCATTTGGAGGACAACACCCTCAATTGGCGTGCGCAGGATCTCTGGATCGGTGTATTCGGCGAAATCCGCTTCGTAGACCGCAGAGGAGTACATTCGGTAGCAATGACCGGGGCCTGTTCGACCGGCACGACCAGCTCGCTGGTTTGCACTTGCTTTGCTGATCCAGCCAATCTGGAAGCTTTGGACACCAGTGTAGAGATCGAATTGCTTCTCCTTCGATCGTCCGCAGTCGAACACGTACTTAATACCAGGGATTGTGAGAGACGTTTCAGCGACGTTGGTAGCGAGGATGATGAGACGGGAGTTCTCTGGGGGTGCCTCGAAGACCTTCATCTGCTCTTTTGTCGGAAGCTGTGAGTAAAGAGGCAGAACGTGAACCCGAGTCGAAGAGTCCATTGCTTCTTCGCCCAGATCAAAGCCTTCATCTTCCTCGGCATCGTCCAATCCTGTAATCTCCAAATCACTGTCGTAGTCATCCTCACCCGCGTTGTCCATCTCGGTACCACCCAGCTCGAGGTCCTCAGCCTCCAGTGGCGCCTCGTTGGCAGACAGCTGAACCTTCGCCTGCGTGGTGTCCTCGCGCTGAGTGGGCTTGAATGCTCCCTTCAGGCGCTTGGAAAGCTGCCTGATCTCGTTCTGTCCAGTCAGGAACACAAGCATGCCACCAGGTGGAAGCTTGCGATGTCCACGGGAGACCTTGCGGAACGCATCCTCAACGTAGTCACGCTGTGTGCGCCGGGAGAAATGAACCGAGACAGGATATTGGCGACCCTCAGCTTGCACTAGCGGAGGTGGACCACTGCGGAAAAGACTGGGATTCTCAGTGAAGTCGGAAATGCGCAGAGTAGCCGACATGATGACGACCTTCAAGGGCTTGATAGAAGGGTCTTCTTCACTGAGAGACTTGCGGAGGCCCACAATACGGCTGACCATTCCGATGAGAATATCAGTATTGACACTACGCTCGTGAGCTTCATCAATAAGAATGATAGAGTACTTGCGGAGGGCAAAGTCATCCGCAATCTCGCGCAAGAGAATACCATCGGTCATGAACTTGATGGCAGTCTTCTTTGATGCCGTAGACTCAAAACGAATTTGATAAGAGACCTTTTCGGCATGTTCACCCAATTCTTGGGAGACACGGTTAGCCATACTCACGGCCGCAACTCGACGAGGCTGAGTGACACCGATGAGGCCCGGGTTCGGGCTACCTGGAGATCCAAAGCCAGATTCAAACAGGAACTGGGGAAGTTGTGTGGTCTTTCCGGAACCAGTAGCACCCCAGATGACAACCACAGAGTTGTTGTAGATGGCTTCCATGATCTTCTGCTCTTCACCGACAACAGGGAGGCCAATACGGGCAGCTTGGATCTCCTCTGAGCGGTTGACAGCAACACTGAATGCTTTGCGGTTGGGATCGCCCTGAGTCACCTGCAATTCTCGAGGCAGGGGCTCTTGCTCGGTGGTATTGTGACGAGCTGGCAGTTTGGACGGGTCAAACTTCTGCTCTTCTTCGGTGATTGCACCCTGAGTGGGCGTGAATCCTGAAACTTCATTGATTTGCTGCTGTGCCCAAGATTTGAAAGCAGACTGGCGAGTCTTGAGAACAGGAGCATCTTCCATCTCCTCATCGTCTGACTCTTCAGAATCTTCAGAGTCCTCCTCATCATCGGAACCCTCAGAGGAAGTGCCCTCGGACTCATCGTCTTCAGAGCCTTCAATGTCACTTCCAGATTCGTCCTCATCTTCATCTTCTTCCTCGTCTTCCTCGTCCTCCTCGTCGGAGTCAAAGCCCTCCCAAGCGACCTCTGCCTTTGCCGGTGCTGGGGCAGCCTTCTTCTTGGGTGCGCGCTTCCTCTTCTTCATCACCGGGAATCCATCGGCCCCCATTTCAAGTGGGCGTTTCAACCCACTTCCAGCAGCTATATCCGCCTGTTTTTGTGCTTCCACCACTGGATCTGTCCTGGGGTCTGATACCTTCAGGTGGATATCGGAGTCGTCACTGTCATCTCCCGAGAGGTCTGCGGCAGCATTGCGCGTGGGCGCGGCATCGGCGGTAGCAGGTACGTCGTCTTCCTGTCTCTTGCGCTTGAAAAGGTCCCTCGAACTCTGGAGGGCCGATGTGTCGACGGAGGATTTGGCGAGCTTCTTCAGTAATTCGATGTTCTCTTCCTTCTTGAGTTTGTTTTCCTGCGGCAATGTTAGAGCTGTGGGAATCGAAGTGGCACTCCACTTACAATATACTTGTCCAGACGCTTCTGTTTCTTCGAGGACATATTAGGCTGTTGCTCTCGAAGCTCTGCTTGTAATTTCTGTCGGCGCGCTTCCTTCTCATCTTTGGAGACGGGCTCGACTTGAGCAGCATTGGTGTCGGCAGACTCCCCAGCAGGGTTTTGGCGGTGCCTCTGCTTTCGCAGACGCGGTGTGAATTTAGGTGGCATCTTGAACTACCACACTGCGACCGAGAAAAATCAATGGCGAGTAATCCAAGCTCTGCGACACCCGCGGACAATTGCTCTCGTTGGAAAAAAATCAAGGCGGTCTGATACTGCCAGCGAAACTGTGGGGAAGCCAGTTGACCGCCTCCGATACAAACAGCCCAGTGTCGATACCTCCGATTGACCTGCCATTGCTAACTGTTTATTTTCGAAAGATCATTCTTCTGTATCTTGCATATTCCAACTGTCTTGATAATGGCTGCAGCTTTTGACACCACCAGTCTTCAAGACTCCCTCCAGATCCCGTTTCCTGCTGCCACTAAGCAGGTTGCGGGGTTGGTGAATGGCATACAGACTGATGTTTCGACAATGAGCTTCAGCGATAAGATCATGGTTACAATTTCACAAGCTGGTCGGCTGTCACATTGGGTTGGTCTCATCGAGTCGATGCTATGGAATGTTGTTGACGGATTATAGTTGCACGTACCAATGGAGAACCTCAACCCTGGCACTGAGGGCATGCATACCTTTTCCGAAGGCGATGATAGTCTCTTGCCTCTCCAAAATTTGACTACCACTACCATTCTGGGCGGTTATTCTCCCGGGCAGGATACAACCGGCCAGCTTCTTGCTCGTCAGATCGCCACCGCAATTGCAACCAAAACACCCAACGAGAACAGACTCCTTGTAGTTGGGCTTGGTCTCGGAAAGGAAACACCTGATAGAGACGCATTCTTTGCCATTATTGATCTTGTCCTCCAATGTCTTTAAAGAAGCGACATTGAAGATTATCCGGTCAACGATGCGAAAATCAGAGCCCAACACGCCTCACCGTCTGTCTCCTTGAATTCTTTTCGTAATGGGCTCAGATCTATGAGATACTTCACGAGATTCGAAGCCTCTGTGGAAAGGACCGCAACATCAACCAACCCAGTCAATTCGGGTCGGATGATGCCGCCCCGGGCTTATGTGGTGTTCCTGCAGCCTTGAAATCGGGGACATGTGCAGTAAAGGACACGGCTCTCTGTTTCCGGAAGGATGAGGATTCGGCTTTTGTCGAACCAGCTTGAAGTTGGCTCGATGGGTACGTCAGAACTTTCTTCGCTGTTCGGCAGGCAATGAACAACTGGATAACAGAAAATCATTGGCTGTGCCAGCGACTTTGAGGGATCTCTTCACGGAATTGTTGGAACCATGGCTTTTTTTCCCCCCAAAGGGCCCATTATCACACCAAATAACCCAGGGCCTCTCCATGGTCAAACCAGTCCGACAAATTAGGATATTTGCTTGGGCTCAGATAAGGGGTGTTGCCCTTGCAAAGCAGCCTTGAATTTGGTGGCAGGTATCGCTGCCTGTATCTTGGCCATTGACAATCCCTCGCTGCTCAGACGCATCAGCACGCTTATATCTTCCACTTCGGCCTTTTGCTCTTGCATACATTTCCGAAGACCCCCAAAGCATCTTTCTTAATATTTCTATCTGTCTATAGGCCTCAATTTTGAATGCACTTGAATTAATTGAGAAACAGGGGCAAAGTAGAATACCGTTCATTGATGCCGGTGCATGTTGTTTAGGTCCTTGGAACTTCAGAGGGCGATTGCTTTGCAACCACCCATTCACTACTTCTATCGGGCATTCGAACCAAGAACATATATACTAACACTCAAGCATTACAGCTCTTTCTCGAAGAAGAATTGTCAGCTCATACCTTGCGCTCCGTAGACGCCGGTTTTATATTGCGGGAGGGCCGGTCACGTGCACGCATCGACAAACAGGGGCTCAATGGACGTCATGGCCACCACGTAGTAATCAAGGATGCAATAGGTCAGGATTCGCTTGTAAGCCGTGATGTGTACGACTTAAGTCCATGAAAGCTTTGATCTGAGGCTGGGTGGTCACATGTTTACGCGCCTGGGACTTCCAAACTGAGATCTTTGGAGCTCCATACTTCTCCATCTCCAACTTCTTTCTTCAAATTCACTCTGACACTTCCACATCCTATTCTCTGGCTCGAAGCAGTCCAACTTGCAAATTATCTCCTGTTCAGCTCATCTTTCTCTTTGATTGTTAAGGCCTCCAAGAGTCGCGGGCATGGATGACATGGAGGATCCGCGCTTCCTAGCTGCGATAGAGGCATCGCGCAAAGAGGCCCGCATGGGTTCCTGCCCAGCACCTCCGCCGCCAGACTGGGTGGTGGACTTGACCCATGACTCTGATTCAGATATCGAAGAGGTGTTTCCTAAATCGAAATCTGTTGTGAGCTCATCACCCGATCCTATGGATGCTGACCATGATGACTATGACGAAACGGAGTTGCAAAAGGCTCTTGCACTCTCAGTGGAGCCTAATGCCGCTTCTCCTATGTCTGAAGACAGCAGAACCGTCTCCGAGATTAGCAAAAGCAAGGAACCTGCAACGCTTCCCTCGGTTCCCTTTACTGGAATACAGGGTTTGGATCGCAAGAAGATGGAAGAAGAGCGTCTGGCTCGCCTCGCCAGTCGAAAAGCCCAGGAAAGCGGACCTAGTCCCACCAAACAACTCAAAAGGAAGGCTGAAGACAGTCTTGACACACCTGTCCAATCCAGGCGCAAGGTCGAAGCTGCTTTGCCGGCTGTTGACAATCGCACAGCTGAGAATGAGGTGGTTGACCTTGATTGCTTAAAAATTGCGACAAACAATGCAGAGGCCAGTTCAGTGGTAAACAACTCCTCACAACTGGAGAACACCACGTCCGCAACAACTGCAAGAAACCCCCCAACCGGCAGAACAATGAATAGTCGACTTGCCTCTGCTATCTGTCGTCGATATGATTCAAATGCACCAGATGTCAAGATCTGGCCAACTTCTCGTCCCCTAGCACAGTGGCCTCTCGGGGCTATCAAAAAGACATACATTGCAGGGTTCCCTCGCGTCGGAACGGAAATCACTATTGAGGAGGTCATTCAGCGAGATGACTTGCAACTAGCGGTCTTCAGTGGCTTTATGTGGGAGATGGAATGGTTCTTCAAAAAGCTCGACACCGCTTCCACGCGCTTCGTTCTGATGATGCAAGCCAACGACCAAGAGACGGTGCGTATCGAGTTTTCGCTCTTTCCAAGGTTTACGGATATACTGACAAAACTGCGATTGGAAGAAAGATGAATATCTTAATGATGTCGCGGCAATTCCCAACCTTCGTCTGTGCTTCCCACCAATGGAACCCCAAGTATTTTGTATGCATTCCAAACTGATGCTACTATTCCACGCGGATTATCTCCGCATTGCGATCCCAACCGCAAACCCGACTTCGACAGACTGGGGCGAGAATGGTCTTATGGAAAACGTATGTTGCTGACTCTTGGCAATTAAAAATCTCTAACAGAACAATAATAGACTGTCTTCCTCATTGATCTCCCGAAGATCGATATTCCGCTAAGTGAGGTTCAGAAGACGAGTGAGACTCACAATACTCAGTTCTACACGGAGCTGGTATACTACCTCGAGGCCTGCACTCTACACTCGAATATCATTGATAAGCTCAAGGGCTTTGACTTTACAGAGACCAAACGATATGCGTTTGTGCATTCAATGTACGCACGTCTATCCCCACGCAAATGTCATAAGCTAACGTGAACAGTGGTGGCTCCAACACCGGGGAGAGGTGGAAACGCACTGGATGCAGTGGCCTAGGTCTCGCTTTACAGAATCTTGGTCTCGCCACTGAGTCCAAGCTCAACATCGACTACATCGTGGGTGTCCTTCGCCCATCCTATGTGCTTTCACTAATGATGACCAGACATCCTCGATGGGCAGTCTCAACGCTCAATTCATACGGTCTATGTACCTGGCCTGCAAAGGTAAAGTGTCACACTTCCATAGAAATGGCCATCATCTAATCCAATCTACTAGGGGATGACGGTACCAAAGACTACGAACTCCGCACTGGTTCCAAGAAAGACCCCGAACGGAAACGCATGTCCGAGCGGCTCAATGCCGAAGCCTTAGCCAGAATGCGCGTCTATTTCCCTTCGGACCAGACCGTAAACGAGGCACACGAGCACCCGAACCACACTGCAGGTACCATCTGCTTCAATGCGAGGTGGTGGACCAACCCTGCGTTCCCTCGAGCTTTGCTTCGCGACTGCGAGAGTGAGCGTGGTGTTTTAATGCACAACAAGGTGAATAAACATTATTGAGATGCACTTGATGATCTTTTACTAAGCCATTACTGCCACAGATCGCATTTGTTCGCCCTGCGAAACCGATCAACCTGGATGAGAAAACAGAGTGCTCGGCCTGGGCATATGTCGGCAGTGCTAACTTGTCCGAGAGTGCATGGTATTTAATTGTCCACCATCCCGCTCAACCCCCACTAAACAGAGATAGGGGCCGTCTCGTCAAGGACTCAACTACCAAGAATTTGAAAATGAATTGCCGCAACTGGGAATGCGGAGTGATTGTCCCCATCCGCAGCGAGAAGAAGCCACACAGCCCCAGTGCCGAGAGCGAGTCTGCTCCTTTCCCAACTGAACACTTCCAGGACATCATTCCAGTTCCGATGCGAGTACCTGCTGCTCCTTTGTCTGAGACGCGCAAGCCTTTCTTTTTCGGTGTCTGATCTTCCCAGCGGACATTCTTGAGTCGTTTAGATTTGGGTTTGAATTTGGGTTTGAATTTGGGTTTGAATTTGGGTTCGGGTCAGCATGGTATTCAGCGTGGTTCTCACAGTTGTACACAATCATTCGGTCTCGAAGGATACATGAAGCAGCTAAAGGCATTGCAATGGCAGATGCAGCGGAGTCAAATGAAATTCTTCAACGAAAATGTTTAAGTACTTTCAAGTTCCAGTTTGTAGAGATTCACACGTCTTCAATGGAATATCAACATCAACATCTCTCTAAACAGGAACCTCCACCCCCGAAACCTCCCCACAAATCTCCAACAACTCCTCCTGCTTCCCCAAATCCCCAGCAGCCTCATCAGGCCTCTCCTCACCCGCAGGCGAAAAGAAACACCCACTCCTCAACCTCCCCAACTCCCCAACACCAACCGCCCACTCCGCCAGCGCAACCGTAGGCTCCCCCAACCCCCCAGGCGCCATGCTCCCCCCCATCTTCGTCCTCACCCAACCAGGATGCATACTAACCACATTAACCCCACCCCACCTCCTCGCAAAAGCATTAGCAAGCATCATATCATGCAACTTGCTATCACCATACGAAGCAGAAGTCCTAATCCCCCGCAACGAATTATCACCCCCGTAATGACTATCCGAACTCATGAACAGGAGTCTGCCAGGCCGATCCATTAAACAAGTCAATATATATGGCGCAAGTGTATTAACTGCGAACACGGCGGAGATGCCATCGGCTGTTATTTCTTTTGAGGATGTTGCGCCGAAGCCAATGCCTGCGTTGTGGATTATTGTGTCGAAGGGGCCGTGTTTGTTGGCTTCTGCTGCGAGGTTTTTGGTTTCGGTTATGGAGCGCAGGTCGGCGATCAGGATGGGGGCGCTTGGGAGGGCTTTTTGGGTTTCTTGGGCGCGGAGGGAGTTGCGGGCGTGTAGGATTACGGTGTGGCCTTGGGTGGTTAGGTGTTTGGCTGTTGAGAGGCCGATTCCGTCGGTGGAGCCTGTAATGAAGATGCGGGACATGTTTGTTTGTTGGTTTGGCTTGGAATAAGTGGTTTGAAGACCTTATGGTGTTCAGAGACGGTGTTTATATACTTCGTAGATGGGGATGATATCATGGCTGACGTCAAGTATATCCGGTTTTATATTTCATATTTACTCGCATTTATACTTAATTCACTTATACTTGTATATACAATTAATGGAGATTTATGCTTAAGTAGACTATAGATTGAATGAGATACTTAAGTAGTATTTAGTATTTAAGTGTGTAATTTAGATAATATACTTTTAATCCAATCCATTCCACGCTCCATCTAAATGCATTGACATCACAGGAAAAAAAGAAAACAAGGCAAGACTACTGTCTCTTACCCAATCCCTTGATACGATCGATCATCAGACCAGCCGCACCAAACAAGGATCCAATACCAAAGCTCCAACCACGAACACGCACAGTGTAAATGAAGAAGTAAACCAGAACCCAGTTAATGATAACAAAGGCCAAGAAGATTCCAAAGCAGCGCCACTTGTCACCATCATGAACATTCAAGTTGGTCATGTAGTCAGCTCCAGTCTCGTAGGGACAGTACTGGCAATCGCTGGTAGCGTTGGGGTCAATCAATTTACCGACCTTGGCAATTGAAGAGACGAAGTCGCCGGCGTACTGGGCGCAGGTCTGGCCGGGGGGTGGGTCGAAGTGGGTAGCTTCTTGGGTGGCGCATTCGATTTGCACATCTGGTAGGACTGCAGAGAGGACACCGCGCATCCACCAGGTTGTTGGGTTGACGTAGTACATCCAGTATTTCCAGAAGACGGGGTAGTCTGCGTAGGGACGGACGATACCGTTGAACAGGTTGACCATGACGAAGAAGAAAGGTAGGACGTTGGAGATGACAGTGAAAGAGGGGGCGAAGGCGCAGATCCATTGGCCCCATGATGCTTGGAACAGGAAGAAGAGCATGCTCATTAAGAACACGTATCCGGCTGTTGAGCTGTCGGTGGGGAATCCAACGGGGTAGTACCAGAGTAGCCAGTAGATGAGACCGGAGATGATGGCGGCGGGGATTTCGCAGACCACGTTCGCGGTGCAGAAGGCCACCCAGCCGTAGATACGGGATGGGTATTCTCTTGCTTCCCAGAGGGCACGGTTGATGTAGAACTTGGGAACGATGGAGTTCAAAACAATAGGGGGAATGAGAATGATCAGGAAGACCGAGAACATGCGGTTCTGCATCGAGGCCACTGTGTTGGGAAGCATGTAGAAGGTGAAGCCGTTGAAGATTCCAATGATGACACTGACAAACAGTTTGCCGTAGTAGTAGGATGGATCACGCCAGTAGTTCCTGAACAGTCGCTTGGTGAGCTCCATGGTCTGGGTTGCTGTTGGGGCCGCAAATTCGTAGTGAGAAGAACCAGAGTCTTCGATTGGGACCTTGGAGCGCTCTGATCGGATGCGCTCGATCTCAGAGAGCATGTCGCGGTTCTGCTCAGAGTTGCGCCATTCTTCGTTCCAGTCGACTTGTTTCCCGTTCCGTTGAGTTCCTTTGGCAGCGGTTTCGAGAATGAATTCGGCGACGTTCTTCGAGGGAGGGCAGTGGAAGCCACGGTCACCGAAGTATTTGATCACAGATGCTCCATCCTTACCGACAGGGCCGAAGTAGAAGGTGTTTCCACCTGGGTTGAGGGCAAGAATCATGTCGAATTGCTGGATGAGCATCGAAGAAGGCTGGTGGATTGTGCAGACAATAGCTTGACCGGCTTGAGAAAGCTTCTTGAGGAAACGAACAATGGAGAAGGCAGCCTGGGAATCGAGACCGGAAGTGGGCTCGTCAAGGAAGAGCAGGAGACTAGGCTTAGCAGCGAGTTCGACACCAATTGTCACACGCTTCTTTTGCTCGACATTGAGAGAGCCGATGATGGCGTCTTGGATTTCTTCCAGCTCGAGCAGGTCGATAATCCGATCAACGTAGTCAATCTTTTCTTGTCGAGGAACATCACGGGGCTGACGAAGAATGGCAGAGAACTCGAATGCTTCGCGAATAGTCGAGGTGTTGTCATGCAGATCCATCTGCTCACAGAAACCAGTTCCACGTTGGAAGTCAGTGCCCAGCTTGTGGCCATCGACCAGCATGTCACCAGTTACAACACCCATCTTCTGGCGCTGGGCCAGGGTGTTGAGCAGGGTGGTCTTTCCAGCACCAGAGGCACCCATCAGGGCAATCATGACACCAGGCTTAGCGTAGCCGTTGACACCGTTGAGGAGCTTCCGGGTTCCATTACCGTAAGGCACAGTGTATTCAACATTCTCCCAGGTGAAGCAGCGCTCACTGGAAGAAAGACGGTTGAAAGTAACATCATCCGCGGAGGAAGAGGCCTTCCCGCGAGCAAGCGCAGCATTATCTTCAGTGCTGGCAACTTTCTCCTCATCATTACCCTTAGCCTGAGCAGCGACCTGCTTGGCGCGCTTGGACTTCTTGAAAACAAGAGCACCCCCGCCGCCACCAACGAAAGAAAGAACCTCAGAAGCAATGACAGTGACCAAAATGTAGAGCACAGTCCAGGCAATGACAACACCGAAGTTACGCCAGAGGTGGCTGCGTGTGAACTGGAAGTTGGAAGTCAAGTATTGCGCGCCATCAACAGACTTCGCATTCAAAGAAGAGCCAGTCAAAGCACATCCCTGGTATTGAGGGTTGACGCCTGGGCCCTGGGGGATAAGCTGAGAAGGCGCACATTCCATAACTCGATCAGAGAATTCGTTTGTCAAGACAGCCTCGTAACTGTACGAGATGGGGTTGACGTAGAACAACCAACCAAACCAGATCGAGTCCTTGATCAGACTCTGCTTGGGAATCACATAACCGACAAAGATAATGAGCAGGTTGAGGCCAATACCACTGAATCGAACTGCATCATCAATAGTTGGCGACAGCGCAGCAAACATTCGATATAACGCGGTGATACACATCGTGTTGGTATAGACGATCAGGAAGAAGATGAAGAACTTGGAAGCCGACACATCAAGTCCAGTCATGAAGTACACGATGATGGAGAAGGGAACGACCATGCAGAAGATTGCAGGGAAGTCCACCACAACACGAGCAATAGACACAGCGGAGGGTCGATAGAAAGCATAATCCTTGTGGCGGGCGACGATACCACGACCAGAAACAGCAGGCATCAGCTCCGTCAATTGGAGCCAGCCCAGGAACAGAATAGCGAAGAACAGAGCACCACCGCGCGAGAATGCACCGCTGGTATCCATAGATTCACCGTAGAATAGAGACGAGACAATAAGAGCGTTGGAGATGATGATGAAGTACTTGGTGTAGAGTGAAGTCTTGTCACCCCACAGAAGCCAAAATTCACGCTGCACACAGGCCATGACCTGGCGCACAAGAGAGACAGTGTAAGGAGACTTCTTCGAAACGGTCTTAGACTTGGACTGTGCAACGGTCGACTGGAACCGGCGAGTATCCTCCTGCTCGGTATCCTGAAGACGCTTTTCATAGCCGCACACATCCTCCCAGATAGCCTTGTGGGCTTGGCTATCGCGGAAGACCTGCTCAAGGGCCTGGGCGGTCTTGGGGGTGGAAGCCTCGCGACCGGCCTGGAATTCACGAGCATTGGGATCGCAGAGCGAGGTGAGGAAGTCGGCAGTGGTAGATTGGGGTGGGCAATAGAAGCCCAGGTCAATGAAATATTGACGGGCCTGGTTGGCAGGACCTTGGTAGAGCATACGACCTTCGTCGATAACCATGACCTTGTCCATGAGCTCGTAGATACTCTCGCCAGCCTGGTAAAGGGTGACAAAGGTAGTGCGCTTGCTGACATCCGTCATGATGCGCAAAGACTTGGCGTAGTCGAGAGCAGTGCTGGCGTCCAGACCACGGGTGGAATTGTCCCAACACACGACGGAGGACTTGGTTGCAAGCGTTTCGGCAATACTAACACGCTTGCGCTCACCACCAGACACACCGCGGACATACTCGTTACCCACGAAGGTGTTCTTCGTGTGGCTGATGCCGAACATTTTTAGAAGGGCATCGATGATCACGGGGATGCTTTCGCGGTCGTGCTTGCGAGTTTTGTTAATCAGGGAGAATTTCAGGGTCTGCCAGACTGTCAGGGAAGGGAAGTGCTGATCGTCTTCCGGGTTGTAGTTGACTTCTCCACGGAAGTGCTTGTTCTGGTCTTCCGCCGAGAGACCACCATAGCTCACTTCACCTGAAACGCCAGCGAACGCACCGCGGTCATTAGCGATGGCCTTGAGGAAAGTAGTGCATCCAGCACCGGGACGACCAAGAACGAGCATCATTTCGCCTTCGCGAACGGCACCGTTAAAGTCATGGATCAGATCGCGGACGGGGGGCTTCTTGCCAAAGTGCAGCTGCGGCACAAAGCGGCAGACCAGGTTGTAGAGATCAGGACCAAATGTGCCGACGACGGCATGGGGGAGAGTGCGCACGAACGAGGCACCTGTCTCGATACCCTGCACCGTGAGATTCTTGAAGACCACACCCACCTTCTTGGCGGGCTCGCCAGTTGTGGTCCGTCGTTCGAGATGACCTCCGACGAGGAACTGGCCGAGATCAAAGTCATCTTCCTCGGCTTCCGATTCCTCGGCTTTCTCCTCGTCCGCGCGGGACTTTCTCCGGCCGCTCTTGCCGGTCTTGGTGGTGGAGCGGGTGCGGTGCAGACTGAGGCGGGTCAGTTCCCGGCGCATGTCTTGAATGTCTTCCATGGCGCCGCTGCGAGAGACCGGCTTGCCGATCTCTGCTTCTCCCCAGCGTCCATCTTGGCTGTTGACGGAGGAGCTGACGGTGGAGCTGGAGGTCGAGGTTGGTTTGAGGTCCGCTGTGGTGTCCACCTCGTTGGCGGACTCGAATTCCTGGTCATTTGATGATGATTGTTGCATCGTGTTGGAGGTATAGGTTTGAGAGTGCGAGACACTATGCGACTGGGTTGCATGTGACTGCGAGTGCGACTGTTCCGAGTGGCCCTCCATGACGGATGCCGGGCACAAGCTCTACTCACGATCAATTGGGGAGAATTAGGTGTATTAACAGCTGAAGAGGTATGTACAGCGAGATATAAGAGGGGAAATAAGGAAAAGGGGAGAAAGGAAAGGATTAGGAAGCAAAATGCCTAGCAAACCGGTCAGCGTCATGGAAAACCCTTTTATAGACGCTTAACTCCGACCCATTTGTCAGATTACCCAAACGTGAAATGGGCACCAGTCTGGGTCCGTCTCCGGACGAATCAGGGGAGCCAGAATGGGGGAGGACTCGCTCAGACAGAGCTATAGTGGAGAACATGACTCAGGGTGATTCATGTCGGCTGCATCCGTCAAAGAATTTTCATCGCCCGGAGATAACATTAGGGCCGGGACTTAGCCGTCAGCATGATTCATTGGCCAATCTCAGGGGGGCATGAACAAACAGAGGCTCATTATTGGAGAAGAGAAGAGTTAAGTGGAGAGAGATGAAGTTGCGGAATATCCATTCCTATCGTTATCGGCCTTATGCAAGTCTTGGCGCGGCTTTTGTATTCCGTCGGCCAAACACATACTTACTAACACACTTATACTCATTGTTACTACGAGTACCTCGCTTAAATTTGAGTATTTAGGCGTAAAGTATGGGTTTATCATCAACTCGGAACTCCAAGTTCAGCTTACGTGTACAGTTCCCATACTACTCTCTACTCTATACTATACATGATTCATGTTCGGCGACTTTCCCCTCTGACCGCTCCACTCGGTCTGAATGTGTCCGACTTGCATATGCATCCTACCCGTACTCTAGGCCCGATCAGTGCGGGTCGATTCTTGCAACAGTCTGTATTCCCGTAACTAATGCCGAACTAATTGGACTAACCCAGAAGCTTGGATTAACGTCTCTTCTCGATGCCCCGATTTTCAGATGAGATTTCGATTTGGTTTACGGAGTACTCGTAGATTGGCCTAACCATCTATGGGGTAATTGACGTGATCGAGCTTACCGCCTGTTCCCTGCACAGTTCGGGCGTTCGTTAGACATGCTTGCTTATTTCACATGCATCATCCCCGTTAACGAGGGGCAATTGCCTACCTTGGCAGTATCCATGGATGGAGTAGATGCTTACAAATAAGTGCATTGCTTTTGCTACTGTACACAAAGAAATAAAAAAATAAAAATTTCGGAATAGTGACCGGAATTGGAACTTCTATTTCCGCTTGGCTGCTGCTTGGGCAATGCGCTTCTGGATCTCTTCCTTCGAGAGGATTTTGACTGCGTTGTTGGAGAAGACGTAGCTCAGTCCGGACCAGAGAGTGGTGCCGGCCACCAGGTATCTAGACGGGTCAGTGAGGTTCCAATTGGACCAAAATTGGACAGACGAAAAAAAGGAGCACAAAAAGAAGAAAACAAGAGATAGATCAGAATGGTACAAAATAATCGAAATCCAAAAATGAAAAAACATACAACAGTGAGGATTCGCTGGTGGTCACCCACCCAACTACTAACTCACCGGCGTGTGGCTTAAGTA